AAGGATAATATGTTACAAAAATGATCTCAAGCCTTGGCCTTGGCCCTACTCTTACGAGCCTTCTTTGGCTTTTCCTCTTCCTCCTCATCATCATCGGCCTTTTTCGTCTTCTTACTCTTGGCTGGTGCCTTCTTCTTCTTAGGCAAGCTCACATACTTGTCCTTCTTCAGATCAAGTACTTCCTCGTCCTCATTCTTGACATCTTCCACAACTTCTTCTCCGTCGGATGCTTCAATGGCATCCTCAATATCAGGCATCTCTTTCTTTCCCTTAGGTGCGATGACATTGCTGGCCTTCATAAATGGCATCGGATGCGAGCGCGAATTGTACAGACGTGTGAAGGTGGCTTTGGTCTGTGTCTCAAGTTTGACCTTAGACTCGTCCATTGGGCCGACTCCCAGTTCAACCATGGAATCAAAGTCCTCACGGGTGAGATAATATGAATCCATGAGATCAATGACCGAGTCAACACAGTCTTTGCCTTCCTCCATCATTCGGCGTATCACCTTCTCCTGGAGCAAAGGCATGTACTGCTGACGGATCTCGTCGCGGTTACCTGTGGTACGAAGACGCATGTGGCCCTGTAATTCCTTGACGTATCGGGACAGTTTGCCTAAAGAAGAAATCAATTAGAGAGTTTACACAGATGATTGATGGGTATGCCAAACGTACCATGTTTGCTGTTGTTGCCCAACCAGCTAGTAAATGCAGGCCGCTCACTCATGTTTCCATACTGGAAGCTGGCCGGCCTCACAAAGCTGAAAATTGCATGTGTGGGCATAAGACTCCACTGCTGCTGGGTTCCGTGAATCATGCGGTCGACGAGATCGCCATCGCTGATACTGGAGGCGGCATTATCCATCAGCTCAAGCGACTTGAGTCGCTGTTCCTTGCCTTGATACTTGCCAGCAAGAGCAGGTTTGGTCCTGAGGTAGTTCTCCTGTAGCATCAGGTAGCTGAATTCGTGGTCGTTGAAATAAAGTTCGACCTTGTCGTTCAGGGTGGAAGTGGAACTTGGGGAAAACATCTGGGCGCTGAGAATTTTGCCGACAATATCCCATGGCTTGAGGATGAGATGCTTCTCCCACGACTTGGACATCTGTTTGCCCTCCTCATAATTGAGACCTTTTTGGTCCAGTCTTGCGGTGGAAAGCATGTTGATGACCTGGCGGATATCCGCATGGGTTCCTTCAATGAGACCATCAAGTACAGGCGGCGGAATCTTGAGGCCTTCTCGGAAACAGATAGTCGAAAGTCGTGCCCGGATCTGCTCAGCGGTCGGGCGTCTGAATGGCACGTCATAGGTTATGAAGTCGAAAGGCTTCATTTTGGGAAGTTTTCGCTCATTGCAGATGAGGATGATTGGAATCTTGCTCTTTTTCACAATGGCTGCGACAGCCCCCACACCTCCACGATCACCAGCAGACATGCCATCAACCTCGTCCATGATGAGCACGAGCTTTTTCTTTCCACTTTCAACCTGCTTGCCTTGTCCGGCAAAATAACCTTGCAATGATGTTGTGTCTAGCACACCCAAGGTAGAACTCTCCACAAGTTTCTTACTCCTCGTGTCACTGGCGTTGGTCTCCACAATATCGTATCCTTCGAGCTTTGCCACGAGATGGGCTGCTGTAGTTTTGCCAATTCCTGGGGGACCGTGAATAATGACAGCACGATATATTCCCGAGCCATCTTTACCACCCTTCTTAAAATCGGCCTGAGCATTGGCATGCCAATTCCGCAGCCAGGTCTGAATCTTTTCCACTGCAGTTTTATTACCACAGATCATACTAGTCGATGTTGGTGCGTACTTCGTAGTCCAGAGATCGCTAGATGATATGACCTGTGAGCTTGGTGGCGTCTGAGACGCGTTGGCGGTGGTCTTGGGGCCTTGAGAAATCGCGGCCGTCTTTCGTTTTTCCGCTTCTCGTTTCTTCTCTTCAGCATCGATTTCGGCTGCCATGGCACGGACTTTGGCCTCGTCGGCTTTCAATTTCTCGGCGTACTTTTCGGCGGCCTTTCCGTCACCGCCGTTGGCAGGAAGTCGTCGAATCAGTTCAAAGAGACCGTCCTCATTGATGGTCTTGATCTTGTGCTTCGCAATGGTCTCAAGCTTCTTCGGGCCGGCATCACCTCCCAGGACCACATAGCTCGTCTTAGAACTAGGGGCCCCCACAACTTTGCCACCATACTTCTTAACCAATTGCGCACCCTCTTCACGACCCAGGGATTCTAGAACACCTGTGAAGACAAAAGACAAACCAGCAAGGCAATTTTCTTGTCCAACGGGCATCTCTTTGGTCCCAGACACTGCCGGATCTCGGCTTTGTTGTGCACCGAATTTGAATTTCTTTGGCTCTCCCTGAGGAGGTTCTGGGGCTTCAATTGTAGGAATGCTGTCGAAGATATCTTGGAGCTCTTTGCTCTCTGGTTTGTCCTCCTTTTTGGCATTTTTAGGGGCAGCCTTTTGCTTCTTGGCAGCAGGCGATGTTGCAGGCTTGGCCTTCGGGGCTGGCTTTTTAGTTTCCTTTTTGGGTTCCTGGTAGTCACCATCTTCATCCTCGTCAATGAGAGCCTCCGATTTGCGTTTGCGGCCAGGTCGAGCCTTCGAGGCAGGGATCTTGGGAAGATCTTCCATGACCACATCATCGTCGTCATCGCGAGAAGATTGCTTTTTCTGTGTCCTTTTCGCAGCAGCAGCAGGCCTCACCTCGAGCATTTCGAAATCATCGTCCTCGTCGCTATCGTCTCCAGCCACATAAGCGTCTTCCCCTTTGCCGGCTTTTCCGTATTCGGTTGCAAAAATGTCATCGGCGCCGAGATTCTCATCTTCTACAATATTTGTGGCTTGTTTTGTTGATCCCCGAGTAGTGTTTCGTCCCTTGGTCGCAGGTTCTTCGGCAGTCTTCTTGGGTTTGGGACTTTGGGCAACGGTATTGGCTTTATCGGGCTGAGCTTTCTCAGTCCTTTTGGCAGGTCGTGCCTTCTTTTTGCTAGAAGCAAAATACTCGGAGGAAGTTGTAGCTTCTTCCTTGGTCTCTTCGGGCTTTCTGCAAAGAAAGTTCATCAGTGAAATTATGAGACATTCCAATCCAGCGATAGACATACGGTTGGCTCTTGGGCTTCGCCTTGGTAGCAGGAGCTTTGGCAGGTGCTACGTCTTCATCATCACTGTCATCCACAACTTTCCTGCTGCCTGTTATCGCGTCAGGCTGGCGGTACTAGAGTAAGGATTATGGAACATACGTCTCTTTCTTGTGGCGGAAGAGTCCTGCATTGTCGTATTCGAGGTTAGAAGCTAATTTCAAGTGGTTCGAAGGGCGCCTGGCCACATATAAAGTGACCATGACCCCCTCTTGTGAGCAAGGCACCAGCTTACCTCTTTTTTGGCCGCGGGCTTCGCGGGTGCATCGCTGGAGCTTTGGCTTGGCTTGCCGCCAAAGAAATTTCGAATGTCCATAGTGAGACTCAATTGGTCGCACGGACTTCCTCACAGAGCAGTATTTAGTTTAATACCACCGGAGCTCTTGTTGCAGCGGTTGGTCGATCGCGAACGACGCGCCACAGCCCCGGGGAGACGTGACTGGCTGACATAAGGCAGCACTTTCCTCCCCCTTTAGGACTAGCGCACATAAGCTAGGTATAGCTGTTGGGACTGGGACTATAGATATGTCGTAAGCATCATGAGAGAATACTCCCCTGGGACTCCATACATGATATGCTAAGCGTCTCCGATACATGTAATACTCGCAAGGTACGAGAAATCATCAAGTATATTTCCAAAGCCTTGGGCATTGGCAACAATATCACCAACTAGAGAACATACTACAGGTCTATGTACCACATATTGCTTAAATGATTAAGCCCTGGATTACAGACTTGCTCTTTTTGCACAAGAGATACAGCTAATGTTTTTAAGATACTCTTTAAAGCTCTTATCAGTGTAAATATAAAGATGCTGCACTGGGGCTGAGGCCTGATTTACAAGGCAGAAATTAGGTCCTGTCACGTGTATATAATCATTTCACTTTGGGACTAGTGCCAATCATCGAAAAGTGCCGGAGTAACGAAGCCTTTCGCAACATTGGTATATCTCGCCTCCTCCCTCGTCACAATGGGTCCACAGATCAAGATGTTTGCTGGACCACTCTCCGCTTGCACCCGGCCAACCCGTACGAACCATTTAATTCCCAGAAAATCCATTGGCCGAAGACTAACAGTGCGGCACAGTGTCGGGACCGCTGGCCACCTTTTCTCTATCACGATGCTTCTCTACCACCTCGCCCGCCCTCGATTGGCTGACCCCGAAATTCCAAGAAAAATCCAAATCCCCTAAGGGTCGCCCTCACGTCGCTACTGGCGGATCCACCCGAGGCACTACAGTCGTATGGGGAGACTTCGGTCTGCGCATGAAAGACCATGACCGCCGCATGCCTGCATCGGCGCTGAAGATCGCTGAAGAGACTATCAAGCGTCGGCTACGAGGAATGAACTATAAGCTGTACAAGCGTGTCAGCGCCAACATTGGTGTCTACACCAAGGGTAACGAACAGCGTATGGGTAAGGGTAAGGGTAAGTTCGATTACTGGACTGTCCGACTGCCCGTGAGCCGAATCGTCTTTGAATTGAAGGGAGACGTTCACGAGAAGGTTGCCCGCGAGGCTTTCAGATTGGCGGGCCACAAATTGCCAGGTAGGTTATCCATTCTCTACATCCGCTTGGGTATGAAATATGCTCATTCTCATTCATTAGGTCTCTGGGAATTCGTCCACAAGGATGACCCTCCTGTCGTTGGTATCACAAAGCTCGGGAACGGCGTTACCCTCGAGAGTCTCAAGCGCGCGCGCAGAAACCCGCCCCTTGGTACTGATGACCTCGCTTCATCTCCGAAGAGCGCCTCCTCCAGCTCCGACCCTACCCAATAAATTGTCGTTTCCTGCATGATACCGTTTTCTCTTTTTTTCATCGGTCATGTCCTTTGCTTTTGTGGTCTTTGCCGCCTAAGCCCCGACACCAGACCCAGGCCCATACCCTTGCAGTCTGCGGGCTTTCGTCGCGGCATCGTCCTCGTCATGTGTCATATCTTTTGTACATTATCATCAGCTGTTTGCGTCTCTTTAGGAGCCATCGAGGCATAGGCTCCTCCGATGGGTCCTTTGTCTCGATACTAGGAGTTTAGACAAGGAAAATATATTCAGCATTTACCTTTACTTGGGTCAGCGAATACTCCCATGCCCAGCTTCTGTGCCTGTAAATCCTCGTCATTGTGGGGTGCTGTGGCATGAGGTCCTAGGCTGGGAGTCGGTTCGGTTATAGTATGTTTTTCGTGGCCTTGGACAAGGTCAGAGTGTACCCAAAATTATCTCTCAAGCTAGCAACACACTTCCCAGTTGTCCAGTCTGCTTTGAAGGACTGACTGTGAACTCGCGGATAGACTCATACCTATGCTTTCTATATTAGCGAAGATTGATTGCAAGAGGTGTTCATAGATAGTTCATACTGAGTGCTCTCTCCGCCGGGTTCCATATCAACAAGTCTGGGATCGGACATTCTGGTGCTCTTCGTGTGGGATAGAAGTATAGCGATGGAACAATTATGGACACGTTGATATGAAAATATAGCAGAAAATACCGATCAACCGGGGAAAGCTATTCCAATATTTCTAGGGGCGGTCTAGGACATCGATGACGGGGATGTGATGACGTATGTCACAGGACAAAACCCGGTATACACCTCAATTGGGCATTGAAAACATATCTTGAGTCATTAATAGTCGATCGGTGTCGCTACAATGCGTATCATAACTTCACTGTGGAATTGAGTGCCTAATTGGCCGGGAGTTTGAGAAGTTGATGTATGCAAAGATCTTTCCACTACCCCAGAGATAGTACACAACGACAAGTGATATAACGCCAGAATCCTTCTCAGCAAATGCCTTCATGCGCCGGTGAAATAGAAAATAAATCGGATACCTGAGGAGTTTGAATGAGTGTACGTCTGCATAATAGCAGACATTAACTTCCTAGACCCCATGCTCACCGAAAGCAACCTTGATGTACAAATCGTCATTCATCCATTGTCTTGGTTTCTTGGTGGTGAGTAATTAAAAGTCCATGCCCATCAGGTAGCTAATGCGTTATTAGTTGTATGTCTCCATTGGATTATACAGGGAAAGCATACCTTTCATAAATGCGCATGAACTTGGCCACGAAGGCTTCAAGGTGAAAGATTACTTTCTGTATCGGATGTTTCATTAGTTCCTGAATTGGTGGCAATGATAATCACAAATGACTTACGCTTCCCAGCTTGATGCGATGTTCATAGAAGGCAGACCAATTGATAACATCCGGCTTCAGTGCATCGTCGACCCGTGCAACGAGCTTGAATGTCAAAGTCTAGCACCAGCAATTAGTATCAAATACATGTTCACTGCAAAAATGTACACACTTTCAAAATAGTTGTCGGTGGGATGCAATGGGTCAAAAGATCATAAAGACGTGCGCGGACATGCAAGAGCCGAGCTGGTGATCGTTCAGCCAGAATTTCATCAGCCGTTAGGGTAACAAGGGCCTCCCAGTCCGGGGGGCGGAATCAGGGTCTTGTCTGTAACTTTTTCACTAGTTTCCCAGAAAGGTAAGCCTCCAAAATCCATTTCAATGAGAATTGAAGTGGAAACTCACTTTTGCGCATAGATCGATTCGAACATGAGCAACGCACGACGCAGATTGCGTCCGCTCTCCTTTGCAATTCTCTTGTTTAGCACCTCAGACTCAGTCCAACCTTCTTTTTTCCCCGCAAGATGAAGCGCAGAGCAAATGTCGCTTTCAGTGGGCGCGGCAACCCTGACCAGCAGGGTTCGAGACCGAATCGGTGCAATGATGTTGGAGGTGCTGTTGGCTAGGAGAATCAATCGCAGGTTGGGACTGTATTTCTCCATGGTACGTCTGAGAGCTGCTTGGGCATCACGTGTCAGATGATCAGCTTCGTTAATCACAACGACCTTGAACCTTTGCTTTGCACCGAGATCCACCTGCTGCGTCTGCGCAACCTCTTTGAGCAATTCCTGAACGACGACTCGGTCGTAGGTTCCGACATCGGCGGGAGTGATTTCAAGGTGATATACCGACGAGACAATGTTAAATTCCAGCTTTCGGTTGCTCGTTGTTTGGAAGACTCTGGCGTCAATTTTGATCTTTTCGACGCCAGGGCCGTACAATTCTTTAAGTGTTGCAATGACTCGTGTTTTCTTGCCAGCGCCCGAGGGTCCATAGACTAGTAAATGTGGAAAATCTCCACTTCGTGCCTATCAAGGGTATTTTGTGTCAAAATGGTGTCCATGTCCCGCAGGTCAGAGTTTCTTACCAGTGACCGCAGGCGATCAGAAAGCTCGGGATGATACGACAGAGCATCGAGAGTGCGTGGTCGCAGCTTGTCCACAAGGAGAGCCATTTCTAAAGCTCTGTTAAAATGCCGAGAAGGTTGAGGAGGTGAGGTGCTTGTAGTTTTTCGATAGAGGATGCGGACTGAGAACGCGTCCAGACACGCGCCTAATTAATCACTGGTCCGTGCACACTCCCACCATATTCATGAATGTAGTCCAGGGCCTTGAAAGACTTATTTTGATTTCAAGCATACAATTACACATGGATAAATTCAACAATATATACAGGCATATAGTTTTCTAGGCATTTGGCAGCCTTCCGCCAAACTCCGAGACGTATGGTACATGAAAAATTTGCTTTGAGATGAGATGGATGTGAGAAAGCCGGATACAACGCCATGTATGTCTCTTTGTTCACTGTTGAATATCCAGGTACATGCAAATTCACGCAGTGGAGATACAGTAAGCCAGTAGGCCCTTGGTATGAGCTTCTTATGATGCGATTGGCGTCAGAACACCATTGTCATCGTATTTCGCTTCTGCTTTGGGTTAGATCAGGCTGAGAAAGCAAGCAATAAATAAAAAACTTACTGAAAAAGGTATATGATAGGGTGATTGTATCAATACCCTGCATATTGGGATCGGTAGCAAAGTCAGGATCAATGAAGAAGAAAACAGGCATATCGACCGATTCTCCCGCATTCAGTTTCTGCTCCTCAAAGCAGAAGCATTGAATCTTGCTAAAGTACGGTGCAACCTGGCCTGGAGTGACACTGTATGTTGCAACTCCAATGATATCATTCGGACCCTTATTCGTTGCGGTATAGAATGCCAGCGCTGTCTCGCCGGGGAGCACTCGGACCTCGCGCTGCTGGGGAGTGAACTTCCATGGGAGGACATCAGATACAGAGCCGTTGAATGTGATGCGTAGACGACGAGAATCTGTCACTGGTGTCACACGTGCAGAGGTATCGCCGTCGCCGATTCTGTGGGTGAGGATGGGCTGACCGCCCCAACCAGTCTGTTGGCAGATCTGCAATTGGTAGAAGGTTGAGAGTCTGATCAGGATATATATTGGATAGAGCGAGAGTTCGGCATACCATTTTGTAAAGAGGGACAGATCCATATGCGAGGGCAACTGTTCCAAGAATCATACTGATGGTATAGTACCTGAGCGTGGTTTTGTTAACACATTGGGCCCCTCCAACTCAAAAGAATTTAGCTCACATTGTAGAGGTATTGCGTTTTTGTGATTCCGGGGTATTAAACGGCGCTGCAGACGAATTGCGTTGCTCATGAACCGAGAAATTCCTCGAGAAATATCTCCGCTCTACTTCGAAGACGCTCTTTTGGAGATAAATTGATCGCTGAGGGATCGTCCCCGTCAGCGCAGATCGCCCGAGCGAGGGGATCAATCGTGAAAGCATGGTTCTATCACTTCAATGGGATCGTACGTTGAGTCGCATGAGACAATGCCCGGGGACAGCGTATCTATCCCCAACACGTGACTCCAGGTCAATGGCTTATCGATAAGCCCGAAGCTTCGTGGTCACGTTATATCTAAACGGCGAACAATGAGACGCAATGAAAATTTTGAATTGATTTCTGATTTATGAATGCGGTATAACTGGATTATCAATGTCTGACTTTGGAAAATTGGGTCTTCAGCTTGCCCAGGCTGCGAATTAACATAACCAGCGACTACTTCTCGGGTGTAGAAGCAGACTTCAGAGGCCAAGAGTGTTGGTTTGAAGATACTTTGCTTTGTACGTAGTAACTACAATGTGCCACTAGGCTTTTGGGGAGCAATTGAATGCATACATGTAGAAGGATGCAAAGTCTATAGAGATTATACAGGGTAGCGGCGCCCAGAAGTCAGTCCCAAAGTCTAAGATAATCGATTAGAAATACAAGAGTTTGACGCCTTCGAGGCATCTCACTGAAGAAAAACCTAACCCAAAACGCTTGATGTGATGCGACCAAAAACTCCTCGTACCATCCTAGGTCGTTCGCGGAGGCAAGTCATAAGAATAGCAGCGCTAATAGCAAATGCAACGCGCTCTCGGTATTGATACTGGGAAACATCGAAACACGTCAGCATCTGGTGATTGTTCTGGAACCCTGTCACAGGCTGGTTTGGAGACATTGAGAAGGGGGTGGAGGGAATGTGGGTGTAACCCTGTCGTGGACAGAGGATGCGAGGGTCCGATACATACCTTTTTATCATACAACCGTGGCAAAACCGTGGCGGCAGCCCGGGGTGCCACAAATAGCACCAACTCCTGTCTCTTCCGCGCCTTTTCAACCAATATACTCCAGCCACACATGAGACATCCCGCACCGACACAGAGCCCGGAGTCCCACATCATCGGAGTGATGGTCTTTGCATCAAAGATCTTGGGGCCAAGTCGTGTCCGAGCGAGACAAACGCCATAATAGAATAAGCTCACAAAAGATGCGAGGAAGGCAGATGATTGTGCTGTATCAGAAAGGGCTCGACGGAGGGCAATTGCAGATTTCATCCTGCGCAGGCGGAAAACAATCTGTAGGGGTATATAGGTTGCACAGGCAAATTTGAAGGTTTTGGCAAATCGATACAAGGCGTGTTTCTCACAACTGGGGCCACAGCCCATGTGAACCATTTCGCAAGGGATTGGAGTCACCTTTGCTGGGTCTCCCCACACTTCTGGCCAACTGTAGTCTTTACACATTGACTGAAGAAGAGGTGCCTGGCCTGTATCCTTTCCATAAACGAAGACGCCTCGTCGAACACGACGCAAAGCTTCAATTAATCGTGAATCGACTTGAGCTGCTTCTCTGATCCACTTCTCATAGGTTTTGGGAAGTCTTTCAGGGAGATAAAACCATGCCCACATAACTACAGAGGCACTCATAGCAAAGCCAGCTGCGTCAGCAAAACCCGGGACAAGGGATTCGACAGTCGTCCATCGGTTTTGGGCGTGGCGGCGGCGGGACCAGCGACCCCATGCAACACACGCGACCGCATCAACGGCTCTCGTGACCATGTAGATGGTGAGGTCCATTGTCCTCCCTGCTAGCTCCGGGCGGTGATGCTCCAGCGGATTGGCCATAACCTGACCAGGGTCTTGCTCCTGATCTGTAGAGTTCCGGATAGCTGTGACATCTTCTATTGGTAGACAAATGCGGTTTCTGTTGAGCAGTTGAAAACTGAACCATCCAGATAGAAAAGTGATGACGAATCTGATTAAGCGGTCGAGCTTTTGTGAGATCTGAACGTCACCTTTGGAGAGCGCGGCTGTGATCAATGCACACAGGCGATACAATCCTATTGGTAGTAGGGTTGAGCCACCGACCAGGGAAGCACAAGCTGTTGGAAAACTGCTTAAACGAAAAGGACCAGTCAAGACTTTAACTAGCTATTCAAAACGATGTCAGCAATAGGACTTCATTCCAATAGACCAGAGAACAAGGGTGACATGATAATTTGCGATAACCAATCCACACTCGGTGATGTCACAACATACCTCTTGAAGTTTCTGTTGCGCAGTCCAGTTCTTATTGCGCAGTTGGCGTACATAAGACAGCAATTTTGGAGTGATGGACGACAGGTACCCGAGCGCATAGGCGCGAAGGAGACTACAGTCACAATCAGCAAGGGATCTTCAGATCACACAGTTGCACCAAGCCACAAGGAAAACAGATCGCATGGACTCACGGCTTGAATATCCGGACCTTGTCCGTTCCATAGCATCTCCGGAGTGCAGGTTCCATGCTGCCGGAAACCTTCATGTCATGATCCGTCGGGAGGTGTCAACATCACAGTTCCCCCGAACTAATCGGCGACGAGGGGTCAGCCAACTGTAAACTCTGATGGGGTTCACAAAAATGTCCTCACCAATTAGAAAATTAGGAGGTAAAAGAGCTTAATAAATTTTGTCCGTGAGTGACCTACAAATTGCACCTCTCGAAAATTGGGTAGTATTCTCCGGTAGAGGGAAATTTGACACTTGTACGATAGTTTTCTGGATGGATCGAGGATGCCGGTGTAATGGTCTGTTAGGGAGCCTTGGTTGAACCTCGGTCCCCAGCCTAGGGGAAACTTCAGGAAAATCCCCGCAAACAAGATCCAAAGTCGGGGGAGGGACCGATTAAGAGAAGACCGAGGACGATCATCCGAAGTAATGGGCCTTTCGGAGCGAGATAGTCGGGATTGCGGGGCCCTTTCACTTGAGCAAAGGATGATTCTTAATTAAAAATCGAAAATGCAGATCTCAGGAGAACAAATCCAAAAGGAGAAGAAGAGCCGCTCCCAATGGGGATTTTCAGCAAAATCAGGAGAGAAAAAAGGTAAGATCTTTGTTCTGAATGTACATGTACCTGCAGTGTACGGAGTACTTGCAGCATAAAAGGAGTCGTCCTGTCTCAGGGCCTCGGGAGGGTTCTCCGGGAGTCAACAGCTCTCCCCAGGAACGTTATAAATACCGAGGGAACATTTTCAGCCACACCGGAACGGCGGTATTTTCGGTAACTTTCGTATTGTTACGTCACGCGCACAAATTTTGCATGTGATCAGGTCCCAGTCCGAATAGGACGATTGCTTTGATGATTCTCCTTCTTCTATAGGACGGATCTCTCTTGCTTTTGGACACTCTCTTGATCCTCTAGATTTCGTCTTTCTTTGCACTGTCACCGGGCCTTCTTGTTCCTATTACATTGCGCCGAACCAACCTGGCTCCTTATCGAGTCGCATTATCAAACTAGAGAACCCCCCGTGGCCTCGATCTACCCCCCGCGTCCCTCTTGTGGAGTCGAGCCAGTGTGGTCACATTGATCACATACATCTTGCATTTGAGTCCAAGGCATGACAGTATTGTCTTGGTCCGCGCTGCTCTTGAAATCAGAGTAGCAACCCTGTCCTTCACTGACACTCCGGCATATTAATCTTTCTTGATATTGGACCATTTCCCACTATGAATGGGCGTGGGACTGAAGTACAAACCGAGCGCACATCCCCTCCGTCTGCTCCTTTCGGATGTGAGTTCTCCCAGGCATTATCTTATATTGTTCACTCTCTAACCCGATTTCAGACTCCTTTCTCGCCCCAATGGATACCCCCTTTGAACAGGCACCTGCTTTGCCACCAGGGCCTTCTCTTCTTGATGATAACGAATCCAACATGCTCGACAACTTCTTTACTACTATGAACGCAAACCACTTTACGAACGATTTTTGGATGCGACAAGAACATAAACCCGGGGTACCCGACTTTGACTGGTCAGCTGAGCTCCCACCCAACTTCGAGGGCTCAACCACCTCCCTATCACAACCTTCATTTCAGCAACACGGGCTTGGCAAAGCAGCCGGAACAATGATGACAAGCAACCCCACAAGCTCAGATATATTCGCCGCAGCTTCCATGCTTTACCACACTGGTCTGAACGGATCAGAGTTAGGATCCACGTTAGCACATCAGGCTTTCCCAGGACAGCCTCTCCCCACTCCTGGCATACAACGAACCAACACTTCACATACCGGCAATACCCCACGCGGGTCAACTTCATCTCCACCCCGGGCTGATGTCCCGGCTGGATATCATACATCAGAGATGTTTTTTGACGTCCGTGACCCCATTCCTGTGGACCAGCATCCATCAAGAAAGGCCCGCACTTTGCGCTGGGGCTCAGATGCCAGTTTCATGGACCAAGGCTATCTTCGCCCCCCCTGACCAGCCCGACGAAGAACAGCGGACAAATGACCTGCTTGATCATCTCGGATGTTTTGAACGCCAAAGCAGTGCGGCAAACACACGAGCACCAACCCCAGAGTGCATGACCGGTGCTCCTTCTCAACAGCCCGCCTTCCGAAGTAGTGCTGTCCTGGATGAGAGCTTACATCCTCGAAAAAGGCAAAGAGCTATGAAAGAGGAGGTCGATGAATATTCTGATGATGATGATGCACGACCTCACTCAAGAAAATCTAGAGGATCGATCAGCAGAGCTCGACGGGTGTCAACGGACATATCGCGAAAAGCCCGACTTCAGCCCGGGTCCAAAGCTGCACGAGAAAATCTTACGGAAGAGCAAAAGCGCACCAACCATATTCTTTCGGAGCAGAAACGCCGAAATCTCATTCGCCAAGGCTTTGAAGACTTGTGTACACTAGTCCCTGCGCTCCGAGGTGGTGGGTTCAGCAAAAGTGCTATGCTCACTGGAGCCGCTGACTGGCTTGAAGACCTTCTCCGAGGTAATGACATACTCCAAGGCCAACTGCATGACCTGAAGGGCATCAACGGTTTGGTGATGCCGCGATAATGCCCTTCTGTGACAATATCACAGCCTTTATGATCTCATGGATGGGCCCTGCCTCTTTTGTTCGCGGGGATTGCAAGCGTTTCAGCGGGTGACAGTTTTGTGTATGTATGGCGGATTGCCATTTCATCTTCGCAAATCTTGGCTACAATATATCTTTTTTTCCCCACATACTCTTTGTCCGCCGTCCCCCCCCAATCTGACAGTTGTCGGTGATACAAGTCACCTTTTGGCTAGTCTCCAGCAAACATCGATACCCTAGTGCATAACTTGAAAGGCCTGGATTGGCAGAATATATTTTTTGAGTACAATCTTTTCTTGTTCAAATGCTTTCGCCCGTATACTAAGATGTAGGTCAAATCGTAGCCCATAAGACAGGGAATACATGAGTACGAAATCGATCTTATATCGCTGTCTAGCCCACGTACATATTTGAAGCTGATATGGATATATCCCCATTTGGAATTCTACTTTTCCTAAACTATTAACATGAATATGTAAGGCCAAGACTACCAAGACATGTGGGACTATCTCCATGTTTTGTTCTCCACCGCTCTGTTTTGCCATGTGAAGGCGCGACGTAACCTTAATTGTGGACCTCGACAGCTCCAACACCCTCGACTCACCATGCCCCCAAAACGGAAACAAACGGACGATGCTTCGGACAACTCCAAGCGCTATGCATACCTCGAACCCTATGTCCGCCGCGTTCCGGAGAAGACCATCAAGTCGAAATGGGCTCCTCTACCAGAACCTGTCCAGGAAAAGGTCAAGGACATTTTCCATTCCCTCGAGCGACCGGTGATAATGCGGAATCAAAACGAGCGGAAGCGTATTGAGGCGCAGGGCGCCGTGCAAGCTGTCGTGCGAAAGTAGGTCCCCTTGCTTGGTCTGGTAGCTTCCGCAGAGCTAGCACCATACTCACCGTATACTTCGCGATGTTTTAGTCTAGGCAAACGACTACCACGAATGCCGTTTCCGCCCATAACGAAGGAATCCAACTTCGACTACGAATATGCGCTGAATGAGCACGTATGTGACGATCTGCGATGGTCGATAATCCCATACTAATTATCAGTTTATAGCGCTCACTCGAGGGCCAATTGGCCACGATGAATGATAGTGTCGATCTACTGAAAGCCGAGATTGCAAAAGAAGAAGCGCTGCTTGCTACAGAAACAAAGTCGCTCCAGGAAATGGAAAAGAATGCCAAACGAGCCGAGGCTGAAAGGAAACGACAGGCTAAGAATGTATGCATTACACTCACCTCGCTTCCAAGTGTGACTAGCTAATCTCTTACGACCGTAGGAACACCCCGTACTCCGACAGTTGGATGCACTGCCTCAAATCGAGGGATCTGGGTCCTCGGAGTTCACGCTTCTTGACGCGAAAGATAGCCAAGTGACACTAGACGAGGTATGGACTGCTTGTGAACCATGCGTGCTCGCTCTCTCAACTGACCGTTATTCTTTGCTTTTAGTTGGAGAAAGACCCCGAGGTTCAAGGACTCATGAAACAACTGCATGGCCATCTTCAATCCATGCAGAACAATACAGCCCCATTCGCAGGCCTCGGAGATGCCATCACTCGATCACAAGCTGCATTGGATTTATACTCGATGCCTAACGACTGATCGCCCCCCTGTACATCATCAAAACACACAAGCCACCAATCCCCGCATTCTGATGCTTATGATTGACACATGAAGGGCCTCGGGCTCAGGACATGCGCGCCTAATAAAAACGCAAGCCAAGTACCGACCGAGCTTGGCAATCAGGAATTACATTGGCATTCCTTGTCGCGTGATCAACTTGCAATGCATTCGCTGAATGGTTGCACATACGGTGGAATCGGGCACGGTTGAACACGCCTCTCATCAGCATAGGATATTCTACTGCAGGGGTAAAATATGAATCATACTAAATTAGGAGGGTGATATCATACCTAGTCCCAACTTGGGAGTTCTGACGGACTAGACAACCCGAGGCTTCACCGCATAAAAAGAAAGACAGTTCAAAATCAAACATACATAATGTTCCAAATATATAAAATGTACGAAGTAATTTGATTGACCGAGGTCTCGCCCTAAAAGTGGCGTGTGCCCAAACAGCCAACCCCATGCGGAGCAGTTCGGAGGGGTGTGACTCCGCTTTCTCCATCCCCGACCTTTAGAACTTTTTTGAAGTTTGACACCCACTGGTCTGCAGGCAGCCACTTAGCTCTTGGCCCTGGTGGTTCTCAACTATTGCGCAATGACTGAAAAGAATGCGCTCGGCGCTTCCAATGCGACAAAGTCCAGGTCGGATGCAGGGAAGGATACGAGCATCAAAGGCTCGACATCTGCGGCCAAAGCCGAAACGACCGGCTCGGGGAGTCACTCCAGTCCTAAGAAGCGCCGGAAGGTGAATCACGGTAAGGAGCTGTTGCGCAGCATGCGACAGGGATCTGGGCGCGGCCGATTCTGTTGCGCACCACGATAAGAGGATCTTCGCTAACGAATGTTTCCCGCAATTCCAGCCTGTGTATATTGCCGCCGCTCGGTAAGTTAGCCTCTTACGAATGTCATTATACTTGGTCACTATATGCAATAGGCCATGGACCGCTGGCGCAAAACCCATTCGAGGAACTGGCTTTGCTAACGGAGTTTTGTTCGCGTGGGACAGCATATGACCTGCGACTCGGTACGACGCCTCTCTCTTCCCTTCTCCCGTCCGCGACCCGTCGCATCTGAAACCCTGAACATAGAATTGCGGAAAATAAATTGCACCAGCTGACCTATGTGGATTTATGAAGGAACGGCCCTGCACACGGTGTATAAAGCGAAACATCGGTCACCTGTGCCATGACGAGCCGAGGGAAACTGCGAAACGAGGACGTAGTGAACACGAACACTCCGCTGCAGACGACGAGGGCTCGTCTAACAATGAATTGGGCACCGTTCAAAGCATGTCTAGGAGTGTCGACGTTTCCGATGCTGCTGGTCAGCAATCATTCTCTGATACCACGATCGGAATTGCACCCTCGGCTGTGAACGCGCCTTCAACAGTGCCGCCCGCCAATCTCTCTGCATCGAGTCAGGGCCTCGACGCCAACTCTCACCGTGAGTTCACAATGAAACCTGTTTTGCCTCCACATCCATCTGACGTGGTATGACAGTCATGCAATACAACGACTGGGTAGGTGGTCAGAATCAGTTCCAGGATATGCATTCTCTCCACCCGTCCTACATGTTCAATGCACACGAGGTGACCAACGAGTACAATCTGCTCGGAGATTTTCTCAGTAACAGTCTTTTGGACGACGGGGCAATGTTCCAAAATCCAGATATGCAGGGAATCTACCCCGATTCATCGTTGATGAACTCGATGAATGGTATGGGGTTACCGCACGGATTACCTCCAGCACAACTTCCACCGCCAGCACAAAGCCAAGTATCAGGAGACTCGATTCAACCAACATCTATGGTGGGCAATGATAAAGCTCGAGAAACATACTACATGACCGCCGCCGACCCCGCGGGCACTGATCCACCAGAAGAGCGAATGAACAAGCTACTCAAAGCGAAATATGATGCCGGGTTACTGAAACCCTTCAACTACGTCAAGGGATATGCAAGATTAAACCAGTACATGGAAAAGAACATGCAGCAAATATCTCGGCAAAAGATTCTGCGACAGCTTGACAAGTTCCGGCCCAAATTCCGAGAACGCATGCAGAGCTTGACTGATATCGAATTGATTTTTGTGGAGATGTGGTTCGAGCGGAGTCTGATGGAGTATGACCGCGTCTTTGCTAGTATGGCTATCCCGGCCTGCTGCTGGCGCCGAACGGGCGAGATCTTCCGAGGGAACAATGAGATGGCACAGCTGATTGATGTCCCGGTTGAGGGTCTGCGAGATGTAAGTTTCAAAATCGGAGACAACCCATACACGTCATATCATACCAAACTCACATGTCTACTACTGCCTATAGGGCAAACTTGCTATCCATGAGATCATCGTCGAAGATCAGCTGGTCAGCTATTGGGAAAAGTTCGGTGCTATTGCCTTCGACAATACACAAAAGGCCATGCTCACCAGTTGCACCCTGAAGAGCCCCAACCCTAACTCCACGAGCGATAGTATCACCTGCTGTTTCTCGTTTACGATCAGACGGGATACCCATAATATGTAAGTCTTTATGTCCACTATCTGCTAAATATTGGTGTGCCGGGACTAACACCGTGTAGCCCGTCTCTCATCGTTGGGAATTTCCTGCCCATCGATAAATAGTTTTTTTTTTCTTGGTAGACTGTCACCTATTCTATATCACGCAAGGATCTCCTTTTTGGTATCACTTTTTGGTTTGATGATTCCCCGAGTTTTGGCTGTCTTTTCACAGAAAAATGTACAGTGCTTGAGTTCTATGTACAACATCAAATAGTCTATTCTGAGTTGAATGGTACCTAGGAATCAAAAGGGTGATGCTCTGAGTAGTGTATATGTCTCAAGTTTGCGATGGTCAAAGAAACGACACGCCTGATGGTCTGAATCGTAGCCTCCGCGATTCACTTGTCTCTTGAGTCCCTCCACCCTCTTCCAACCCAACCCATATCCCCTCTCACTTCCTCTCTCTTTCTTCAATTAAAGCTTTCCTCCTCTCAGACTCGACTGTATTGTATCTCTTTTCGACTTTTCCTTCTATCCTCTTCTCCACTTGTCTCCAGATCCCTAAGTCTTACCATGGCGCAACCGTCTGGACGACGCCAGGCTTTGGCAGGTATGAGCCGCACATCATGTCGCCCGCGAGGTACAGCAGCTAACCACTGAGCTTTCCTTTCTCAGACTTTGCTCGCAGTTTGCACACAACCTTCTCCACAGCCAGTGCTTCAAGCGCTCCTCTTCTCTCCCCCAATGACATACACAGACTGGATGTCGAGCTTAACAGCAACCCGTTTGGCACCGTGGCAATTACATCGGGTAATGAGCAACTGGATACGATTGGTACATTGCTGTGGAATGACTGCATTGAGCTCCTGGTGTCGCATGGTAACAATCCGAATGATGTGCTGTTGCTTGGCAAAGTGAGGGCTCTCGCATTTGCTGTGTTGAATATGGCTGTGTTGCCCGATCTCCTAGGTTTTTCATGGTTCCTATTATACATGGAAGTGGGCTTCACTGACATTCAACAGGGAGTATCAGGGCTCTTGATCTGGCCCTCAAGGCGGCACGTATTTGCCTTGGTACATCACCCTATACCTCACACATGATGGAATTGTCAGAATTAACGACAAACACAGTGAACCAGCAATGTGAAATTGCGCTGAATATCCTGTCAGTCGCAGCCCTGAGGCTGGCAAGTATTCAGCCTGCTCATCTTGGCCTTGACGCCACAATTAATGGCACTCTCACTACCCGATACAACTCGCTTCGTGCTCGACTGGTGAGTCGTATCGCCGGGATACTGTTTGATATATAAATACCAGGACTAACATGCCATTGCAGGCCTGGTTTCAGGACCGAGTAGATATCGCCGAGCATTTCTTTGCGAAAGTTTCTGTGCCTGGTTTGACGGATGATGAAGAGGCGGTTTTCGAAACTTGTTTTATCATTGGCGACTCTGCACTCGCACGACGACAGTTTGACATTGCATTAATTTGGCTGGAAAGAGCGAGAGATCGCTTGGAGGCTTTGTCCATTATGACTGAGATCAAATTTCCAGATTACCATAACTGGAACCTGGTTGTTCGACATTCCCTTGGTGAGTGAGTTAATCAAGTTTTTGAACCAGACTAACGTGATGCAGCCGTGGCTTGTACGCAAATTAAAACTTCCTACTCAGACCTCTTGTACAATCTTGAAATGGGAGTCTTGAGAGAAGTATGTCTGTGGAGGTTGTGCTAAACTTGAAGCTAACCTTTTTAGAATTACCCAGAGCACCCTGCTGTGATTCTTTTTGATCTTTCTATGGGACACAATAATCCAGGTACTCATGGGATACTCCAAGGGAGACTGAATTTGATTTTAAATGGAACTGAATTGACCATATCGGTGTAGGTCTGCAGAGTCTGGTCGAGAAGACGACTCTCACAGATATGAACATGCCTATGTGAGCTATATCACCAGTATTGACATGGCGAGTCATGAAAGTTAACCGTTGATTTAGAATTTTCCAATTTGCCCGCTCCTTGGGACATGCAGGGTAGCTTCATACAGCCGATCTGATGAGGAATTTGCTGATGTTTTTCTAGTGGTTCAGACAACGGGATGGAAGCACTTCGAATACTGCTCATGCGCCCCCTGCCATCAAGAGAATGGACAGAGAAATGCTTTGTCTCTTTTACGCTGCTTCTGAGCAGATCTGAATGTTCTGATCCTATGCGTATTCGCACGCTTCGGGGTGTGATTGACGCACTGGAGCAACGTGGATTTCCATCAATCAGTGCCAACGCAGCTCACGCCACCGTGATCGTAAGGCAGACTTTCATTGCGATCAGTGATAGTAGCTAACAGGTTACAAATAGTGCATTTGGAAAATGACTGGCAGTGCCCTTCTCAAGAACGACTACTGGACTGCACAACTCTGGCTTCAGATGTGCAGCGAACCCAAGATCTTTCAACACTGCTCCCAATTCATTCAGATCGCTATACAAAAGTCAGTGAAATAGAACTCAGGGTTTAACTTGCATTTTAGGCTAACGTCTTTCAGGAAGCTGCTAGTATGTTATCTACAGACTGGAAATCTCGCCGCTGCTCGTCGGTTGATGGATCGGGGCCTAGTCCAAAGCCAGGTAGATTGCGGACGGTTGTATTTGTCCTACAAGTTGAGCTTGCTTGAGGGAAAAGACGGCTCTGGTATGAATAATCTATAGAACATCAACCTTTCTGGTCTACTCTAACTATATGAAAGGGCATTTCTATCTCGGCTTTCCTCTTCACCCCGTGCCGCACAAGCAAATGAGTCTATTGTCGTGCGCGATTGAAGCTCAAAGACAAGACAAACCAGAAGAAGTACTTAATTGTTTCGATCAATTGACCAAATGCTTGACTTCAGATGATATTTATCATCAGGACTTTACCGCTGCCGAACATTACATGTGAGAATGCTTCGAATTTGTGACCTTCTTTAAAAGTCTAACTTCCATGAACAGATTTGCAATTACTCTACTTTTGCAAGAGCTTCAGAAAGGCTTCAGCCAAAGGCTTGGCGAGTGTATCGAGACTGTACTCCGGAGTGGTGCGTTTTCCCCTCAAATTATACTAATCTCCTCGTTCTGACCATTATATAGCCCTGTCTTATGCAAAAGAGAACAGCATGTTTGAAGGTGGCGACCAGGAGGTCTCAGTTACTCAACTACAATTCCTGTATTTCGCAACTTACAATCTTGCTTTGAAACTTATCAACTCTTCTGGATTCCTTCATGCTACTTCGGTCTTGAATTACTCGAGAGAGGTCGGCTTTGAGTTCATGCAAATTGTATATTTGGGTATTTTTACTAACATGTTTGCAGTTTGCGCTTCAATATCGTCAGATTGCTTACCCTGAGATGGATTCCAATGCACCAAGACCGCATCTCTTTGCAGTTGCTTACCTCCGTCTTCTTGCTGCTTCACTTAAAGCCCGCCGCGAGATCGATCAGAATAAGAAGGTTGGTTTCAACAAGTCTCCGAAAAACAGCATAACCCCCACTCCGCATCCCCCAGGGAACATCACAACAGGATAGGCCATGATGACGATACTGACCATCTGTAGATAACGCGCTACGTGGATGTACGCATATGTTTCAAGCAACTCAAACAGTTGCATGGCTGGGAAGATGAAGAAGAAGCATCCGAGGAGACGAATGAGAAGGAAGACAGGCACCTTGACATTGCGCGATTCTTCGACTTTGAGGCTTCCATGTATCTCAGGCAGTGGGACGAGATTATCGGCTCTTGTGCGTCGGATGAGAGATTCCCCAAACCGAAGTTTTACGCACCAATCCTAGATCTAAATTTCCAATGGAGCCTACCACCCGCAGTGTCGATTCCGATCATCAAGGTGCGCTATTCTCTTATTACCGCGATATTACCCTATCTGGACAGCTACTGACATTCATACAATAGCACATCATGTCAAAGCTTAGCGAGCTACAGAACGATCCCCCTACTACATTCCAGGGCGATTTCCGGGTTTCTTTGCCCCGCTACCTCCATTGTCTATTTTCTCGAGCCATTGCACCACCCCCATTCATAAACCCGAATACAATTGACTTCTTGGATGTCAAAATGGCCAATGCAGAGGTTGCTGAAGAAGTGCTCGACAGAGTCCTTGCCATAATAGATAAAGAGACCAGCGGTGGAGAGGTCAAACAAGAAGAGCAGGATTCGAATCCCATCCAATCCGGCTCTACGCTGAATGATGAACCTGCATATCCAGTTGCGGAGTTACTCAAGATTTCTTCCGTGGCTTTCAACAAGGCTACTGACTTTTACCGCGCGACACGGGACGAGGACTGTCAGCGTTGGGCGAAAAAGGCTATTCGTATCGCTCAGCTTGCACCGGGTTCCCAGGCCAGACAGCTGGTTCAGACACTTCAGACTAGGTTGGGGAGCTTGGTTTGATTTTCACGCCTCGAGTTGTCAAAGTGATCTGATCTGGATATCTCCAGTGAATTTTATGGTAAGATTGCGTGAAGTGAGGAATAATCATTTATCGAAACGCTGCTGGTCGAGATTACATCGAGGATTAAATGGAGATGGTTGATGATTTTTCAGATGGGTTATGGCAATATGGAGGAATGTGTGTGGAGTGAAGTGCTAGCTCTTTGAGATGAAGCTGAATTGAATTAGGTATTCTTATTTTTTTTCCCGATCAGCAGAAACGTAGGAGAAAGAAAGAATTCAATGATCTTAATCATGGCGAGATGGCATATAGCCTCTCAAAAGGGTAAATATGGGTATCATCAGAAGAGAAATGACCTCTAAGAAATCAGTAAGTAGAAAGAAAGATCGCCCACCAAAATTCCAGTAGACGATGCATAGATCCAAAGAGGGAACCGAAAAGGAAAGAATCCAAGAGAATGCATAAGCCAAAATGCCAGTAAATAAAAAAAAAGGATCAAGGGAAAGACGATATAAAAAGGCCATGGCCATTGAACAAGCCATAAAGCACCAGAGATGCAATGTCTCCCGAAAGCAGGGTCAAAGCCCCCATGAGAGAATGAACTTCATTCTTCTCCGTTCGTATCACAAGAACGACTCCGCGAAACCTGCCGTGTCCCCTTAGGACGCAGTGACGGAGTAGACGGCATATGGTGAGGAATACGAGGCGACTTGGAGACAGCCGAGTAGCCCTGTTTCCGCTCCTGCTCCATATCCTTACCACTACTATCCGTCTCCGTCTCGGCGCTCTCGGCGCTCTCATCACTACTCTGTCCACGACCCTCCACGATGTGGAGCGTAAGACTGAGTTCGCGCTCGAGTTCCTTTTGTGCTTGGATGCTTTGACTTGAGCCATTGAGTTTCTTGCGAAACGCTCGCAGAGTCCGGCACAGCTGCTCAGTGGACATGTCCAGGCTTCCGAATTCGCTGCGTGGGGTAGTTTTGCCGCGGTTGCGGAAGTCGAGGGATGTGCGGCGATTGGTGGATCTTGCACTGTAAAGTTTTCGCGGTGTTGGGGTTTTGGATTTCGGGCTTACTGGGGATGGGGACCGGCGGTGTCGATCTTGGGGTGCGCGTTGGGTTGGGGAGAGGCGGTTTGGAGGAGACGGTGTTTCTGAGACGGAGTTGTTTTTTAGTGATGATGGCGCCAGAGATAGTCGAGATAGCTTTCGACGCAGGGTTGGGGAGTGTTCGCGTATAGGTGTTGGTGTTGAAGGATTCGGGCTATCCGGGCGTTGAAATCCGGCGAGCTCGCTGCGAGAAAGGACTTTTCGGAGAGGGGGCCTCGCCGCTGTCATTTCCTTTGCGGGTGTTTCGTCGTCCTCGCGTGTGGTCCCAATGAGATCTGGAGAGACCTGTTGCTGGACAGCTAGGTTCCATATCATCAGGATACCATCCATACCGGTACTGACAACTGTGCGCTTGGTTTGGGACCCATCGGATTTATCACGCTCCTCGAGGAGTAACACATCGGTCACGCCTTCTGTATGGCCAAACTCGCCAGTGAGGAGCTGATCTCGCTCCAGATCGTAGACCCGAATAGACTTGTCGGTGCTCGAAACACCTATAAGAATCTTTGGGGTTTGACCTGAGATTTCAGATGCAACTGTCAACGAGCCCAGGACTACTGCATCGGATGTCTCTGAATCAGATGCCTTGAAACAGTGAAGTTGGCGCCCGGAAGAGATATCGAATTTCGAAACACAACGGTCCATAGTAGAAAGGTATAGAATGTTTGAGTCGTCTGGACAAAGTGTCATCGATACTGGGGAGGCCTTTTGCGTGATGACCCTTGAGATAAGGTAGGCAACGGATGTGCCGCAATCGACCTCACGCGTCGCACGGTCTCTAATGACAACAGTGCGATCTGCAGAGCACGAAAGCAACTTCTCACCCTCGTTGATGAACATCAGTTGCCCAACAGCTCCGACGTGATCATCCATGGTCTGAATCAAATGCAACTCGGTGTCTCGTTTCTCGAATAGTTGCACCATCCGATCCCGCCCAGAACTGGCCATTAACCAGGTATCGTCCATGCCTTGAATGGCCACATCAGTGATCTCTCCGCCATGGGCACGCGCCTGGTTAAGGCAAGTCCAGTCGGAATTCGAAAAGATTCTGCATTAGAGTCAGCTGAAAAGCCAGGCTACCGTCTCAAATCTACACATACCTCAATACACCGAACTTGTCACCAGAGACAAACCAGTTGGCTTTTTCAGCGGTCCTCAAAATTTTGAGTTCATTTGCCGCATCGTCTTCTTTTCCCGGAAATTGATCAAGATCGATGTTTTTCGATCCTCGACACTTCCCTTGGGCATCCCAAAAGTTCACCGACCCGTTGCGAGACCACGTGAAGAATTCAGCAGACAAGTCGTTAGGGAAAACCATGCGACAAATACCGAGGATGGGATCGCGATGGGCTGGCATGGAAGCCTCGCTTTCTTCGTGTTCACCATCTTCGCCTAAGGTGTCGATCGGATAGACATGGATGGCGCGGGTGGATTCGACAGTAACCAGGTGGGAATTCAGAGACCCCATGCACGTAATTGCCGGTGCCTTGATCTTCCTGTCAAGTGCACTCTTGTCAACGCGGGCAGGAGACATCGGCATGGATGAACCAGATGATCGTAGAACTTCGAATGGCACACGCTGCATTTGCCTTCCTCGTCCACCTAGCCATATGGACTCTTGATCAAAGTCTACGGCCAATGATGTGATGCTGAATCCGACTTGCTTTACCGTGATCATCTTTTGTGAACCCTCGCGATCATCGAGGAAGCAAAGTGCCCCTGAATCTGTGCCGACTACAGCCTCGTTGTGGGAGATACTGCTCACACAGGTGAAGGTGTTGTCGCCAAGCGCGCCTAATAGACAATTCCTGCCAGAAAGTGCTTTGGGGGCAGGATTGGGCGAGGGACCAGCTCCCTCGATATTCAAACGTGACTTGGTTGGTGACGCTGGCCGAATCACCATTGGAAGACGCCAGACCTTAACGTGTCGCAGACCAGTCCTGAACAAAGAGATTAGTTGACTGCTAGTTACCACCATCCGATCAAACATACGTAACCAAGCTCTGGCCGGCCCAGCACATATCCTTGATAAACGAGGTGCATTTATTCGCGGAGTGTAACTTGGCCGAGCCATTTTTGAGATTTATAGCCCAGATAAAGAGAAAGCCATCATTTGGATTACCAAGTGTTGCCAAATACTGAGAGTCGGGGCTAAAGGCTAGGCTGCGAACACCGAATGTATGCTCGTTCAGAATAGATAGCGGAACATCCGGCAGAGCATCTCTCGCTGTCGAAAAGATCAAAACTCGAGGATTATACCCAGTCTTGGCGTTGTCAGCTGCTACTGTTGCAAGCATTTATCTCATTTTCCCCCACTCACCTCTCCGACTGCAAGGAATCTTCCATTCGGGCTGATCGAAACACTTGTCACTGCCTTGATTCTTTCCCTCGAAGACCAACCACGTGGACTGCCGCTGTCGATGATTTCACTTGACGGAGATCCATTGGGAACATTGAGGTGGGGGTTCGATCGAATATGGGAAAGGGACCGCGATCTCGGGTCCGGGGTGGCCGGTGGTGTTGATTGGTTGTAAAAAGAAGTTGACGGGTTAACACTGGTCGCGGAGGGGCGGGCTCGGAAGAAGCGCTGTGTTATGTTGTCGTTCTCATCTAATTCGGCGAGGACCGCTGCTGATCCAGCGCATAGCGCAAAGCTTCTGCTCTGATCATGGCTTGAAAAGCCATTGGGCGTAGTTGTTGTTGTGCCGATAACAGTTTGGAGGGACAGGAAGGATTGATGGGCGGTTTTGCTAGGCGATCGCGTGCCTGGTCGGAGGATTGGAGAGTTCGAAGGAGTGATTTTCAAGGATGCGCCGGGTCCGGCAAGCTTGCTTTTCGCACTGAGGGGGGCAGTGGTAGCCATATCCTCGGGGAAGAGGCGGTCGGTGATTCAAAGTCCGCGGAGAACACGGGATGTTTTCATCTCAAGCCCAGTTCATAGGACGGGTCCGTGAGTGCCAATCAGGCTAAAGTAGGCGTCGGAAATTTTATCTCGGGTGTGGTCAGGAGAGAGTGTGGAGGGATGGTAGGATTAGTGGGGGCAAGCTGAAATGAAGCTCTGATCAGCCAAGTCTGATCTCCATGCACGAATATAGAACTACTGACCAAAAGAGCGTATAGGAGCATAAAAGGAAACAAACACGAGGCTCATTCCGCGCTAAAGCAGATCATTCCAGTCGATCGGAGGAATTTGAACCCTTGGGATGCCCCTGGCTCCATGGAATTATCTGGGCCCCTGGTTGGCTTCTGATTGGCCTCTTGGATCGAGGAATTGCCGAATTCCCACTGATCGAGAGATTTGAGAGCTCGAAATATCCTTGATCTGCGAAAAAGCGCGAGATGAACGGTGGGTCGTGTACCGCACAGTTCGCCGCACTAACTCGGGCCTTCGGCTCAACGTGAGCTTCGATGGGAGTACAGAGTACGGAAGTACGTTGAACGGTAGTTTTACTAAGTATCACCGATCGGATCAGATCGAAAGGCGCACGGGGGTCCCACGGGAGGTCCACAGGTGGGTTTGCATTTAATCTGAGACTCTTTACTCCGTACTCCGTACCGTGTCCAGCATTTCACGTGCCGAGATGGTCTCGTGCACCCCGATGCCCTAAGTTTACACGAGTGACCTGTCCATTCCGATGCCCATTTCTACCAATCATACAGACAACAAGTCTCATGCAACTGCCCGCACGAAAGCCCTAGCATTTTTATTCCATTCACAAATCGTTTTAAGGAAATGGCTTTTAAGCATCCTGCTGCGCGATCGTGGCTGCTTTACAGAGACTGTGAAAAATATATTCAAGGTCAGACACGGGAAGGTTGTCGCAAATCAAGCCTCTGCCGTTTCTCTCTCCTGTCTACCCACCTAGAGAACCGAGAAGGGAAAGATGTTTATTAACATTTCAAAAAGATATCTGAGAAGATCACTGAGATATTTTTGTGTATCTCAATTCCCAACCCATGCACTCGCCGTTGATATGGTCCTCGAAGGGCCAACAGGGTGTCCATGCAGCCACTCATCACATCGAAGATGATCCATGGTACTCTTAAGGCCTTTCCCTTCCATTTCAGTGGCCACCTCTCGCCGCTTTTTGATATTGGAGTGAGTAGGATTGGTAGATCGACTCTAAGGATTAGACTGTTGTTTGGGATTCATTTCCGATGATTGCTTGGATGAAGTCCTTTCTGGCATCTTTCCAGTCCATGGTGTGGCAAGGGAGTTGAGGCCCTGTCTCGGTTGAGAGATTCCCGCTGAGTTGCAGCTTCCTCCTTAGCCTTGATCCTGGCCTTTCTGGATGCCTTTCTGTTGCGCTTCCGGACCTTCGCCTTCTTCTGCGGGGTCACATGGAAACGCGAAAAATGGAAAAGATGGTTGCGTTGATCAAGTCAAAGACTAAGTAGTGAGATGAAGCCCGGGGTTTTTATCTAGGCTCAATAATCTTTTCCAGAGAGGGACGGTAGTAGCTGGTTTATTTTAGCAAACAAACGACATTGGATTCAAGATGTTGTTTGTCGGTGAACAGAGCAATATACTACACATCTGTACGGTATGACGTTGATGAATAGCTTGGACGCTAGAAAAGGAAAATATACGAAATGAACCAAATAACGTTCCATCATCGCCGGAATAGCCCACTTTTGGCAGACTGCCTTTGCTGTTGTCTACCGGTTTTATGATTGGTAATTGTCGCGGCGAGTACCGCCCAAACACTTCAGAGAATTGAGTGTTTTTCATGGTTTACACCTAAAGATTCACTGCGCTCTTCCCAGGCTTCTCGGAATACAGTCTCAACCTCTGCAAACTTTGCCTGGTAATCAAGAAATCCGCCTAGGTTGTGCAGAGCGGCGAGCGTAGCCTTGTGGCTAGGTCCAAGCGGCTTGACGTTGTAATCCTTCAGCTTTGATGAAGTTTCTTTGTCTAACGACGACGGAACATAAGTTCACGAAGAGCTGAAAGAGTTGTGTTATCGCTGACACCAAGTGTTTCTTTACACATTTCCCAAATTCCTCGGTATATTGCTTCGGCTCTAGCGTGCTTTTCCTGGGACAGGAGAATTGAACCCAGGGAAGAGAGAATCGAGAAAATGAGCCAATCTTTTGGATCAAGTATAGTGAAAAGGTGTGAACTATACGCGAGCAACAGCAGAATGAGATGGCTATATCAAGCTTTTAGAAATGTCGATAACTTGACAAGGTACTTGACTCAGTTTCGCTTATGTTGAATCTGCATTTGCCATATCTATGAACTTTCTGCCAAAAGTGTGAATATAATACATGCTGACTATCAAAGTCGCTCTATCGATGCTCATAATCATCATTTATTCCCGAACCAGAACACCGCGGTACCTCATCTTTCCATCACGTAGAGTCTGCATAGCAGCCTCAACACCATCCTTGGTCAAGGGGAAGGTCATGGAAGTCGGGGTGATTTTCTTAGCGGCAGCAAACTCAAGCAATGTACGCAGACTGCGGCGCGATGCAACAAGCGAACCCTGGATACGGATGCCCTTGATATTCATGAACAGAAGGGGAACGGGCGAGGGAGCAAAGTCGACAGTCAGGGGATAGATCGAGCCATGCACATCCATGAGCGGGATGAGACTTGGGTAGTCGACATTGGCACTGCCGCAGAGAAGCAGGTGGTTTACAGGCTTGAAGTCCTTAATTTCCTCACCCTTGCGGAAGACGTGATATTCCGACGCGCCGAAACTGAAGGCCTCCTCGCGCTTCGCCTCCGAGCTGGACAAAACAACGACATGGCAGCCCATTGCCGAGGCGAGCTTGATAGCCAGGTGACCCAGACCACCGATACCCATGATAGCAACCCGGTCTGTCGACTTAACGCCATACTCCGTCAGGCAAGTCCAAACGGTGGCGCCGGCGCACATCAGGGGCGCGGCATCCGCAGACTCATAGCCGTCTGGGATAGGGACGACGCATCCGGCGTCCCAAACGGTGCCGCCGCTGAACGAGCCCAGGTCGTGGTCGTGTGAGCCGTATTCCTTCTTATTCTCGCAATATTGGTCCCAGCCTAGTTTTGATTACTATCAGCAACTTGTTGATCTTGTTCTAGAGCGGAAGCTCGTACCTGTTAAGCACTTGTCACAGTTTTTACACACGTAGTGTGTGTATCCGTATCCAACGCGCGCTCCAACCTTCACGTTGGTAACGTCCCGGCCGAGCTGGCGAACAATGCCGACACCCTCATGGCCAAGAGCCATGCCGGAAGTGAGGTAGTGCTCATCTGTGCCGCAGAGACCTGAATGTGTTGTCTCAATGTAGACCTCGTTAGGCTGGAGGGTGCGGGTGGTCTTGTCAGCCACAATCTTGCCCTCCTTGGAGCCGCGGAAAACCTCAAAAGTGACACTCATGATGATATGAAAATGTGAATTCGTGGGAAACTAAAAAAATAATTGCACTCAGACAAGATATCACTCTTTTTAAATCAAATAGCTCTACGACTAACAAGTTTTAGATGTCTTGGATGTATCGGCATCTAGTCCCTGGGCCACGCCATTTCCCAGCAATCCTTCCATATCACTGCCAATGAGGTCTCTACTAGGTGTGGATCGAACCATTCAACAGATTAAAGTTGTTCTAGAGAATTCTGCACGTTGTGTCGATCAATTAGCTATCAAGCCTAATCCAACCATTGCCGAGACATCCGTCTGTGGAACTCGTGAGGAATTTCATGTCAAGCTAAACCACAGAGGGTGATCCTCCGAGCAAAGTCTCCACATATCAGATATTTAATACGGCGCAGGACGGTGCAATTCCTCCGAAGTCCAAGTTTGTCGGAGACTTTTGACCTTATGTGGAATTACAGTCGGGATAGATATAATCATCTATTTATATAATCAGGCTTCAATAATTGTGCCGAACTGATCACTTGGACTCCATATCCGATGGCAAATTTGCCCTTCAGAATTGTCCAAAAACTTAACCCGCTTGAGTGACGTCATATCCAAGTAGATACCAGACCCTAAGATACAGTGGGAATGCGATCTCGATAAGAACTGTATATTAGGGGGAATGGCTTTATGAGCATGCTCAAAATCAGGTATATTTGGGTACTAGACTTGCTCCGGTAGATTGAGATCTTCGTTTGTTGATATCTACAGTAACACGATTCTCTGGTAATGTGATCGCCCTTGGATAATTTCCACTCCTTTTACTGAGCACGGATTTTGTGGGTCAGCTTTCCCGTGTGAGAAAAGAATGGAAAGGATGCGTTGGGGCTTGTCATATATATCTTGCCATATTCTTGTGCGTTAGTAGTGAAAATACATGTGTTTGTTACATCAGAATCAGGAAAACGCCTTGTTCGCGCGACCTATATAGTCGACTATGGTACTGTCAGAGGGGTGTGGGGTCTGAAGAGTCCATTTTTCATCCAGATAGCCATGTGACTCTGAAAAATCTCATTTCATCGTATCCCACGAGGCTATAGCGTTTCAGTAGTCCTTGTTAGATCAAATGTAGCCATTTAGAGAATCACATTTCATGCCAGAAAAGGGAAAAACCTTCGAGTGCGTTACAGTTGTGGGAAGTTATGGCATGGCATACAAGCCAAGCTACACTAAACAGGCTTTATAGCGTTGATGCTGAGTCTCAAGGCCAAGGGGTGGATTTAGACAACCGCAAAGCCCATAAATGGATCCGAACCCCGGACCCCAGGCCCGAAGTCCAACCCTCAGTGGCCTATGAGCTTAATATGAAGTCCAATTTAGCCCGGGCACCCATATGGTCCCTACCCTTCTACTAATTTTGCTCTCAGATATTCGAATTTTAGTTGCTGTCAAAGGGTATGGTCTAATGTTCAATGGAGTCCGGCGGGTCGAATCCGGAAAAAAGACTGATGATACATATTTTAATACTTCATAATAGAGATATATATGTATACGTATACATATTTCTAGAGGATCTATACCGGAATACTATGGCTTTCCAAATGAACCTTTTACAACTTACCCGAATGACGCGTTTTCTCGTGTGTGTAAAAGTAAATATAATCAACTAATTATCAATGATATATCTTGGAACTTTGTGTTATTTAGTATTTATCAGGCCCTATTAAGCCCCTTTTCAGAGCCTAGTGGGCTTTCACCCCAGGTCTATAGCCCACCGGTGGGCCTAAGGATCGGGCCCAAGCCTCGACCCATTGTGTAGTGGGCTGGGGTGGGTTAGGTTTTAGGCTTTGGGGGCTTTGCGGAGGTTTAGGTGGGTTGTTCATGCAATGACGGCTGACCAGAGAATCTTCAGTCACCCTTGGGTGTTGTTTGTCATTCAATTAATTCGAGAGGTCTGCAAGGTTGGCCGCATTTTGTGATGCCTTGATCGGAATCCAGTACAGATACTATATACCTCTGGTATTTTTGTTGTATTTCTGTCTCCAATTTCTATTGCAAGTTTCTCCCGTGGGTGGCTCCTTGCGTTTCGGGATTTATTGGCACTCAAAGCAAAATTTGACTGGATAGGTGACCTACACTCTTCCAAACTCAACCAAGCTGTGCGCGTCCAGGCAAAAAAGGTAGTCTTTGCCAATCGATCCATCCAAAACCATCTCAAACATGACAAGCCCCTTGGGAAAGCATATTTCAAGTCGGATGATCATCTCAAATTTATCTATAGGTTGCTCTCCGGACTACTGGAAGGAAGGAATCCTGTCAGGGTCTGATCCACGAGCGTAACTTCTCTGCTGAGCCAATTTCTGGACCGTTCAAAATTTCTAGTATGAGAATAGCTACGAACGTACGCCGATGGGAGCCGGCAAATCCACTCTCTTGAGTCTGAGAATAAACCGAGATATGTTGTAAGTTTTCAACAAAGGCAGGAATTATCGACAAGCACACTCAAAATTTTGAACAAGGAGGAATATCGACGAGATAGAAACAACATATCTCGACTGGGAACAAAGATTATTCAATATGGGAGGGAGAAAACGAAAATCAATCCAGCGAGGCAGACAGTCTACTACGCCAAGGTTATTGATTCTTGTACTCACGTATAGTAGCCGCTATGCGCATTCTATCCCTCTCAGTTGACATCCTGAAGCATAGGAGTAAGTCACGAGTCCTTCTAGAACAATGTCCTCTAGATCAGTATTTTGATGCTTTTATGGACGAAAGTTGGTCAAGCTCCTATAACTTCTGTGCATATTGTTGGACAAGATACAGCGTCTTTTACCACTGAAACTCAACAGAAATCAAGGCTCCCGTTTACATATTTGTAGCTTAACATGTATCCCTCGACAGATGCTTTGACCTGTAACCGGATGTAAGAGGCGGCAAGCGGAAGCGGAGCGGATGACGGAGATAAGGAATACCGTCCTTTCATCCGTACGGATTATATGCTCCTCCCACGGATACTTTCACTTAAAAGCATCAGACATCTAGCCATGGGGTATGATATTCAAGGTTTCAATGTGGAATAGTCGGCACACGGCAATTTTATGCTGGACTCGTGATAAATCACTTCAGCCGGGGACATGCCTATCTAAGTACCCAGACGTTCTGGTCACTACTTGGGTAAACCCACAAGTATATTATATGGCTAGTCTGATCTGAGTCCGGAGCAAATGGAACCCGGGCGCGGGTCTCTGATTAATTGGCTGTGATAGGCCGGGCTCTGTCTCCTATTAGCAACTAGAGTAAAGCCAAGTTATTGTCTGAGAATCCTGTCGTCATTTTGTAATTGGGTCAAATCCTGCAAGCATTCGCCCAAGTTGGTATTGCGTAGAGTCAAATTATTAGGTCTGCTGAGTCAATGTTTGATTGAATGCTGTCTGGGGCTTGGGTTCAGCCCTGAGCACCGATAATCCAAATTTCGTGCGGAATGTTGAATCTGCATAAAACGATCAACCTCCTCTGGAACTATGTTTATCAGGCTTCCATCCACTCATTCGTAGCATCTTGACATGCTAGTCTGAATTAAGGAATATTTTCCTACGTCGCTGTCTTGGATTAGCCGAATTCCCTTTGCTATTCCAATCCGTTATGTAAAGGTTCTAAGTTCATAATGGGCCCCTTTATGAGGATTTCTATATCGGCTTCACAATTCGGCTGTCTTATTACCAATCTTTGGCTCAGTGATATAAAAGGACCCGAACATATATCGAAGGAATAAAAGTTTTCAACAAAGCCAAATCCCCAATCCAATCATTACACATCTCGATATGGCAACTGTTGGCCACGATAGTGACGACGTTGAGAGACAAGCAGAATACGCTACCAACGAATATACAACAGGGACTAGTGACTTCACTACACTGCAGGGTTTAGCGCTGCAACGAACCAGTACCCTTAATCTTCAACACAGCGAGACAGTCGGCTCTCATGCAGATGAAAGAAAATTTTCATTGGACCTGAATATTGGACGTGGAAGACCGTTACCCGCTCAGCTACCCTCGTCCACCGATTATCTTGTTGATTTCAATGATGCCGACGATCCTACACATCCGCATAATTGGCCGTTATTTAAGAAGTACGTCCCTTGTCCGCTTGCGTCGTTTCTATAGCTTACCAATCTGGCTATTGAAGGTGCTATACCGGTGGACTTGTTGCATATTCGACAGTGGCATCCTCATTTGGTGGTAGTGGCTGGTCAGCGGCTTCTGGACGCGTGGCGGAGGTATTCAATGTCTCCGCCGAAGTCACCACAGTGGGACTCTCACTCTACGTCCTCGGGTTTGCCACGGGCCCTATTGTTTGGGCGCCCCTCTCCGAGTTATATGGGAGAAAGGTACCAATGATGCTTGGGATGTTTGGATTAGGAGTTTTCTCCATCGGATGCGCTGTGGGGAAAGACCTTCAAACAGAAATGCTCTGTCGCTTCTTTGGAGGTGCATTTGGGGCGGCACCTCTTACTTGCGGTGCCGCAACTATCAGTGACCTGTTCGATGACTCGAGCCGCGGAGTCGCTATCTCCTTCTTTTCGGTTGTTGCATTTGGAGGTCCATTCGTTGCTCCGTTCGTCATGGGATTCATCACAGACAGCTATCTTGATTGGCGCTGGACTCAATACCTGACTGCTCTTATGGCTTTCTTCGCTCTCATCCTCATTGTTCTTGTTCTTCCCGAGTCCTATGCGCCAGTCATTCTTGTCTCTAAGGCTTCCAAGCTTCGCAAAGCTACCAAAATTTGGGGCATTCATGCTAAGCAGGAGGAAGTGGAAGTGAATCTGAAAGAGCTTGCGGTCAAAAACCTCAGCCGCCCGCTACGCCTTCTATTCACAGAGCCGATTGTCCTCTTGATTTCCATATATGTTGCATTCATTTATGGTCTGCTTTACTCTTTCCTTACTGCTTATCCTATGGTATTCCAGGGTATACATGGATGGAATAGAGGGCTGGGTGGTCTACCTTTGGTAGGGTGCTTTTTGGGTGAGGTGTTGGCAGCCGCATAGTGAGTAACATGGATGGATACCTTCACAAATACATTACTAAAGCAAGCCAGCCTCGTTATTGAGCAGCCACGATACCTCAAGAAGCTCACCGAGAACAAGGGTAGAAACATTCCCGAATGGCGACTGCCGCCCATGATTGTCGGAGGCGTTTTATTTTCCATTGGCATGTTTTGGTTCGGCTGGAGTGGATACCGTGAGGATATTCATTGGATAGGTACGTCAATATGCTAATCATTTGATTGAGACTTGCTGATCTATTGGTTTTAGCACCTACTCTGTCCGGGCTGTTCACAGGCTTTGGTGTCTTCATGATCCTTCTGCAAGCCCAAAACTATATATTGGACGCTTATCTGACGTTGTAAGTACTTGACACTATTCACGATTGCACTCAGCAATCTTCAAGGCTAACAATTACCTGTAAAATTAGTGCTGCATCTGCAATTGCTGCCAATACCTTTGCACGATCCCTAGCGGGTGCTATATTCCCATTGTTCGCGAGCTACATGTATCAAAGACTGGGTATCCAATGGGCTTCTACGCTACTTGGTTGTTTGGCAGCGCTGATGGTCCCTATTCCTGTGGTCTTCTACAAGTATGGCCACATAATTCGCAAGAAAAGCCATTTCATTTCCTAGGAAACGAGATATGGACTGGAAGAAAACAAATAGCATTGCAGGGAGATCGGTTCTAGTGGCTGATCTCTCATGGTCAAAATCAATAATTGATGCCTGGCATCATTCCCGCAAACCTTACCTCTTAGATATTTAGAGAATTGCTAGGGACCCTGAGTTCCGTTGAGCACCTACATTCCTATTTTCAGTCTTCCGACCCCTGGTCCAGCCCCCGGGAACGAATGATTACGAACGGTGTCTTTCCTTGGCAAATAAGATGTAGAAGGTTGGACTGATGACCGAAATGTCGATGCATATCTTGAAATATGCAATCCGAATCATCCAGGTCATGTTCAATGTCGGCAACTGTCCAAGAATAGTTCCGCTCGTGTTCCGCCCGTGTTCCGCTCGTGGCGGACATAAATGTGGAACCCAATGTGGATATAACGATATACAGAATGACGAATCAAGAGCCCAGTTGAATGGATGAACAGCGTGGGAGCGCCATGAATACAAAAGATTTCTTGCAGAACTTCCATGAAATATTGAACTGGAAGAACGGTACCTCTCTGACTAGATCTATCTTCTTCTCTGGTTGATATCTGGCCTTGCCTTAAATGATACTTATCAATTCAATACCGAACTGCCGTTTCGCCAAGACTAATATCCCTGAAATTGGACCTCGGTAAAAATAGGAAATTTGCTCATGAGATCGTTGCTCTGAAGCTCACAATCGCAAGATAGAAAGATTGATCGACAGCTAAGATAGTATGCGGATATCTCCAAATTGGAGACATCACTCCAATTTGGAGATTTCCATCTTCGCCTCCATGTGCCGAAAGGATGCTTATTATTACGTGCCTCGGTTCACCAGCTAGTTTTCTAGCTGTTTTCTGGATCATTTAAACCAATTCTTTCAGCCCATCAATTAGAAGTTTTGTCCATCGCTTTCTGATCGTTGTCATGGAATCTGGCAAGAATTTGAAGGCGCGTCGCCCCCAAGACTACAATTTCCACCTCGACTATCGAACACGATGGTAAGTTTATCTCGAATAATACAATTCGAGTAGCTTGATTAGCTCATATTCATAGCCCCGAAAACTGCGTTTATTTAGATAACAAAATTTACTGATGTATTGCTTAGGTGCGATAACGACATGTTCGATCATATGAACAAATCAGTCTACGGCTTCCTGTAAGCAATTCTCTTGCAGATGAGTATAGCAAGCGTGATCTAACAGGATATTCCCAGGGTTGACTCCTTGATATACGCTTACCTCATTGAACAATGTGGCTTTCATCCTCCGACTGCTGAAATGTACGGAGTCGCTGTGGATGCTCATACCGAGTTCTTCTCGTCGATCGCATATCCTGCAGTTGCAGAGCTAGGGCTACGCGTGAACAAGCTGGGAAAATCTAGCGTGGCATATGAAGCTGCTGTTTTTGAGCGGGGCGTGGACGAAGTCAAGGTCGTGGCGACCTGTGTTCATGTGTTTGTTGAACGCTCGACAGGGCGACCATCGCAAGAAGGCATGACTGCAACCTTAAGGCAAGCTCTTGATAAGTTGTATGTCGAAGATAAACCAGCTAAATTATAGTAAACCTCTTGTTCATAATATTGAATCTCCTCTCCATGGATTCAGGCAAGAGATCGCGGCGCTTGTAGATGGCAAGCGCGGGAAAGAAGTGTTTTTGTAAGATGATGTGGATTATGAAATCAGTCTCTTTTACTACCAGCAAAAGCTTCAAACTCACTGCTGCATCGATATGGAATACCGGTCAAGTAATTGGACTAATACACGAGATACCGACTTGCGCGGATCTCCTGGAACGAATTGAAAATCAGGCGCTGGAACTAATTGAGAGGACAAACTCATTATGCGTAGAAGTAATGCTTCCTAAGCTTTAGTCCGTTGCTAGAGAGCAGGTTCCTGGATTATTACGCACGTATTGCGTCAGACACGCAACTCTTCTGCAGCAAGTCCTGGTTTAAGGGACGAAGATAAAACGCCACACCGGTCTGAAAGCCACAAAGGGACATAGATAGAGGTTTGGTAAGCTGCAGCATCTCGAACGACTGAAATTTGAATAGCGTAACTAGGCGGCACAGCCTTCATATCCCCACTAGAGCTTCTCAAAAGTGGGTACCTTCTTTGACACCAATGCCCTAATAGCAACGGGGACATCGTTTGTTTGAATCACTGCGGTGTTGTACGCCAGCTGATATTGAAGACCTAACAAATTCTTAACATTAGTGTCCCTTGTCGAGCATAAAGGCGCCGGAGTCAAGTTTTATACATACCGTCTGCAACGGTGCGATCTCGACTGTAGTCTAAGAAATGTTTGACCGTCTGTACAGCTACTGGGCTTTTTTCGCTGAGCGTCCTGGCCATCTTAAACGCTTCTGCAAGAGCGTCTTGCTTTGTCGGGAGGACGCTGCTCACAAATCCCTCACGACGGGCCTCATCCGCATCGAAGTTCCTGCCCGTCATAGTCACATCTTTGACCCAGGTGTAGGACCCTACAATTTTGGGCAGCCGTGCGAGAATACCGATATCAGAGGCAATCCCGATATCGACCTCTTTGACACAAAATATTGTGCCTTTGGTGCAAATTCGAACATCAGCAGCTGCGCAGAAGTCGGCTGCCGCTCCTAGTGCAAAGCCATGCAGAACACAAATGACAGCTGTGTAGATGGATTTTGTCAGTATAAATACTTTGAACTCGGTGCATTCGTTTCCACGAAAGAGGATCTCTTACGTTTCTGGCACTTTTCGATACTGTTGATGCATTCCTGAAACTCAACCCCAAAGTGTCGGAGAGCGGCGGCACGTCTGGCGGGGTCAGCATACTCGTCCGATCGAGGAATAAACGGTGAACCCTCTTTAGACACCCATTTGAGATCTATGCCAACGGAAAATGCCCGTTCGCCAGACCCTGAGAAAATCACTGCGCGGACTGAAGGGTCTATAGAGAGACGATCAAAAACAGTCCGCAGTTCCAGCCATAACCTCAATCATGTTAGAATCTTGTTCTTATAACCAAGTGGGTATCAACTTACTCTGGGATAATTGCGTTCAACTGGTCCGGCCGATGGATCTCAACATGAGCTATCCACGGCTCAGGTACAGTGACTCTGAAATAAGTGTAAGGATTCTCTGACATCTCGACAAGGTGTGCACCAGGTAAAAGAATTTCTCAAGGGGGAAAAGGATGAGTGGTGTTTCGAGTGTTGAGATTTTGGTTTCGCCTTGTCCTTATAGAATCAATTCCTCGTTCCTCGGCTTAATTTGAAGGATAACCGAGGATGAATTTGAGAGGAGGAGAATGTAGACAATCGCTGAATTTCCCCTTTTCATGCTTACGAGACTATCATTGAGCTTCCGGTGGGGATAGCGACTAGTTATGTTGTAACTCATTTATTTACTCTCCTCAGTCTCGTTATATATATAACATATCATGATTTCAGAGGGTTATCCAATTTCATATGACTTAACAATTAATTCGCATTTTCCTTTTATTTTTTATCGCCCCCAAGGAGAAGACGACGCGCGTGAGAAACCCGTAACGGGATGATTGATTACTGATCCGGTTTCAAGACCCCCGACGGTATTTTGCCTCGCTAAAAGCGATGCGAACGCTGTCTTGAATTTCACAAGACCCTAATGCTTTCAACATCGCGTGCTAGAAAGGCAAGAGGGCATCTAGGCCATGATAGTGCTCGGCGAGGCGCCAATGGTGCCAAAGTGGTCGTCTCGGCGTCTATTCCAGGGTTCTTCCAAATCAGATCACTCCGCTAGAAATGATAGAGCATATCCAGTCGGTTATTGCCATCGGTATCTAGTCGGTATTTGGTCGCTCTTGAGAAGAACTTGCCTACCAATGTAGGCTTCATCATCTTGCAAGTCGGAGCCGGGGAAGGAAGATTTTGTAATGTTTAACCCCATCAACCGATCAACCAAAGTTGAAGTAGAAACCAAGGTTTGTGAAATCATATGTATAGATTGCCACTTCAACGCCGCTTGACTGAGCTCAGGGCTCATAGTTTCTTGTCCTTTGTAGGTCTTTGGGGGCCATTTGTCCTTTGTCTTTTGTCTTCGTCCCACTGTGTTCTCATGCAGGTCAGCTTTATATACTATTCTGCGATTGGTTTTACCTTCTACGCGAGTCTATTCCTAACATCGTCTCTATTGAGTCGCGGAAAATACTCAGCTTAAATTTCCGAGCATCCTACCCTTGGACGATACCTTCTTTTACGGACATGGATTCACATTCACGGATATAATATCCCAATATCTGCATAGACTTGCAAATCCACAAGACAGAAACCGGATGAAACCCCGCAGTCAAGATATTCGCCGATAATCAACAGTCACCATGCACGTCATGTCACTCTTTCTTCCACCCCGTCCATCTCTCAAATCCCGCTGTATCCAGATCAAACAGATCCAACATCCTTCCAACACTGTGGTCAATCAAGTCATCTATCGATGAGGGCTTGATATAATAAGCTGGCACCGGAGGAAAGATGACAGCGCCAGCTTCTGTTACAGTGGTCATATTGCGCAGGTGGATAGAGCTCAGAGGAGTTTCTCTCACGGCTAACACAAGCTTGCGTCGCTCCTTGAGGATGACATCTGCTGCCCGGGAAATGAGATCATCGCAGATCCCCGAGCTGATTGATGCCAATGTTTTGACACTACAAGGGACGACGATCATGCCGTCAACTCGAAATGATCCACTGGCTATTGGTGCAGCCATGTCATTGGTGCTGTATACGTGGTCTGCAAGTGCTCGGATATTCGAAATGGTGTAGTCGGTTTCATATTTTGTAGTCGCCTCGGCCCATTTGCTGACCACCAGATGGGTTTCCACATTCAGCTGCCGCAGTGCAATGAGGACTTTGATCCCTAGAATAGAACCTGTTGCGCCAGTGAGGGCAACAATTATTCTTCTTCTTGGGGGTGAGCGCTGAGTATGACCTTCCGTGGGTGCGGTATGATCGAAGCGAGACTTGAGAAGGTCCATGGTCAAAGAATGGACGGCCAGGGATGAAGTCAGGGAAGAAAAGGATGTCAATTGTTGAAACATATAGCAAGCTGTTTATACGAACTCCCAAATATCCCCAATAAATGTTTGTTTGCCAAATCGAACAGAGTTTAGATGTTCACGTCAGTTTATGCACAGTTCCCGATTAGGTTCCTCAGATGCCACACCTTGGGAGGTGAAGGTGTGTAAGAATGTCAATCCTGCCACGTCTTCCAGTCAGCTGGACTTGACTTCCACTTTCGGAATATCATGCAAAGCATGGCATTGTATAAGAGAGGGACTTGGTGAAGAATCCAGAGTCATAATTTCCGTCTGTTCCATATTGATATCTACCTATTTTGTGACACAACATGACCTCACATCAGGACCATTCCGAAGCCGCTGCGGACCTGCGTCAGTTCCTGAAGGAGCTCGATGACGAGAATGACCTTCTCGTTATTAAGGACGAGGTGGACCCTGAAATGGAGCTCGCTGCAATAACTCGTAGAGTCTATGAAACCGAGGAAAAAGCACCCTTGTTCGAAAATATCACTGGTCGGAAAGGCAACGGTCTCTTCCGCATCCTGGGAGCACCGGTGGGACTAAGCCGCGTTCCTGGCCAAAGACTTGGTCGGATCGCAAAAAGTCTAGGGCTACCTTCCTCTGCAACGGGCAAGCAAATCATTGAGAGAATTAATGAAGCAAAGGGTCTTCAGCCGCTACCTCCCAATGAAGTCGAGTCTGGGCCTATCAAAGATTACAAGATCTTCGGCGACGAAATTGATCTCACCACTCTTCCGACTCCTCTTTTGCACCAGCATGACGGTGGGAAGTTTATAGAGACTTTCGGCATGCACATTGTCCAAAAGCCGGATGGAACTTGGACGAACTGGTCCATCACTCGGGCTATGATCCACGGCAAGCGCACACTTGTTGGACTGATCATTTCAAAGCAAGACATCGGAGTGATTTTTGAGGAGTGGAAAGCCATCGGACAAGATATGCCATGGGCGTTGTGTTTTGGAGTTCCACCAGCTGCCATTATGGTGGGTGGTATGCCGCTTCCAAAGGGGGAAGATGAGGCTGGGTACATCGGTGCTCTGATTGGAAAACCGCTGGATGTGGTTCAATGCGAAACAAATAGTCTTCGTGTTCCTGCAAATGCAGAAATTGTGATGGAGGGGTTTGCTTCGATATCTGAGACTGCACCGGAAGGACCGATGATGGAGTATCACGGTTTGGTCTATCCTGGACGCACCCAGGAGTGTCCGATTTTCAAAGTGAATGCCATCACTTATCGTGAGGATCCAATCCTGCCCATCTGCATCACTGGACGAGCCAGTGAAGAGAGTCACACCGTGTGGGGGGTGATGGTAGCTGCGGAGGTATTGAGCGTCTGCCAAAGTGCAGGTCTACCCGTCCAAATGGTTTGGTCTCCCTTTGAATCGCATGCGCATTGGTTTGCCATTCAAGTCGACCGCAAAAGGCTTCGTGACTTGAATACCAACATGGATGAATTTTCTACCAAACTAGGGCATGTTGTATTTGGTTCAAAGCCTGGATGGTACATTCCAAAGGTGTTCCTAGTCGGAGATGATATTGATCCTACTGATCTTCGGGATCTAATCTGGGCAGAGGCTACTCGCTGTGAGCCCGGAACTAGCGAGTTCCTCTTTGATGAATACGGAAACATTCCTTTGATCCCGTATGTTGCGCACGGTAAAAGACCAGAGCGCAACAACAACAAGGTACTAAAATGTTGTATGCTTCCGTGCGAGTTTGTTGATGAAGACCTTCCTTGGAAGGTTGGATCTTTCAAGGGTTCATATCCTGTTGATGTTCAAAGAAAGGTCGAGACTGACTGGACCAAATATGGCTTTGATGCGCTGTGATTGACCTTTGTGAAGTAAAATCGATCGAAAATTACATGTAGCAAAGTACAAATTCTATTTTCCTCTTCCCCACGCTACATCTGCCGAATGATCACTTGGGCCAACAGCCAATCAAATTGTTGAAACTTGCATTTCCGTAGCAACAGATTGGGCTATATAATTGGCGTGCTTTTAATAAGAGCATCTGCACGGTCATTCAGCTATTTCCCTCCACTTATACACAGCTTTTGCCTGCTTCCAAAGTGAAAAGCACCCCGAGCAGAGTCGGAGTCAGGATAGTGCATCTCTAGAGTCAGGCTCTTATTCATATTGGCATCAAGGAATCCTGCAAAATGTCCGATCTAGATCAAAACAATCTTGATCCGGAGTGTCTACCCCCCTCTGTTAGACATTATTCTTATGAATGAAAATATCACTTTTGCCGAATAATCGCACTTGAACGTGAACATTTGCTCGTATCAATGCGCGAATCTCGTGAAATGGCCAGTATCAACACAGCCTCTAGCAGTACGAAGCCAGAGCCAGATGAAACCACTGAATACATTACCTGTTCGATCGATCCTTTCACTTTTGAACAAGATTTTCTCGCCTCGGACAGCATCCCTGGCCATCAGGAACATGCATCTTCCCCAACCCCCATTCTCGAACAGGATCACGAAAGCCTTACTACTATCCCTGTTTTTTTCGATCCGAACATCTTTCACCCCAGCCACTCAATTACTTGTTGTCAAGATGATTACTGGTGAACACACTCAAATATCTTTTGCCGTTCATAGGGCAATTGACAGCGCCCTTCGAAAAATGAGCCTTGATAAAGCTATTCATGATTATGCTTGCGTCGATATCGACGTGGGTGGAGTGACAAAACAAGCAGATATGGGTTGGGGCCCAAGAAGGCTCCCAAGTGGCTATCCTAAGCGGCCGACAGTGATTCTAGAAGTTACCGTCTCTAAATCTCAATGAAAACTCCGCCATGACATTGGTTTCTAGCTTGACCCTACCAGAGGAAATGTTAATGTTGTGATCGCAGCCATAGTCAACCGCCGGCGTCCTATGGTTAGTATTGACAAGTGGATATGGGATGCCGTCAATGGCAAATCCCTCAACTGCCAGCATATCGATGTCTCAAAAAGCGATACAGATGAAGTCAAACTATCAGGGGGTCCCCTCATCATTCCCTTCCACCTCCTCTTTTTCCGGCAGCCAGAAATACCACGAGAAACCGACATAATCATCGATCGGGAATGGTTGCAGAAGATCGCTGAGTGGGAATGGGATCTGCAGTTTCAGTAGTCTCATGATTAATTTTTGAGAAAGACTATGAATCATGTCTTTCTGGAATGATATATTATTTGGTACTTTTGGGACCCATTTCAAACCCAGCTCATTAGCAGGTTGGGGCTGGCTGGGCTTTGGGCTCTGCGGGTTTTGCGAAGGTCTATACTTGGTCAATACGGCCATCTGTTTTATGACTGCAGGGGGGGGAACAGCAGCGTATGTATTATGACATGTATTTCACTATATTCTCAGTCATCCAGATGTGCTTTCAAAGCTGAAACAAGAGCCTCAAGAGTCGGAACAGCACATCAAGGGCAAGGACTGGAGACAGATGGAGAATTTACCATATCTGGTCAGTCTGCTTGTTGCTAATCTTATCATACAACCTTCAAATAATTTGTTAAGGGTTGTATCCAATAGGGAGCTGTGATAAACGAGGCTCTTCGTCTTCGTCCTCCTGCTCCCGGCTTCTTACCTAAAGTTGTGCTCAATGCAGGTGTGGCTGTGGACTTACAATCTATACTCGAAGGGATAAGTTAGACACGGGCTTGATGATTCTCAAGTCTCTCTGGTGCAAGCAATATGTAGACATTTGTCTCAACCAGCCAAATCTCAATGAATCTTAATCCGGAGATCTTTGACGAGCCTGAGATCTACCGCCCCGAGCGGTGGCTGGGAGAAGAAGGTAAGAAACTCAAAGAGTGGAAGATCTCTTTCAGCAAAGGTCATCACAATTGTATTCGAGCTAGGTACGTACACCCCAGCCATGTCTTTCCCGTAGTCACTAATTACAGATATGGCTTTTTCAAATTGGCTAGTATTGAACTTCATTTGTGCCTTTCATATCCCTTTAGCCGGTTTTCATTGGAACTCTATGACACGGATACAACCAATATAGAATGGAGGGATACTGTTTCAGCGAATAATCTGAACCCGATTCGAGTGCGGATATTGGAAGATCGATCAACGCTGTGACATGATACATACTGACTCTTATCCGCCAACTATATATATATTTTGGATAAAGACCGCAATCGAACCAGGACTAGGGGTCAGCAATCATCTAATTTTATGTCCTTGTTATCCGCCTGGTATATCATCTAGAATCTCCTGGACTTGAGTTGATTTCGTGGGGATCATCGGTGTAGGTAGATATAGGGCACAGTGGACATCAGAAGGCCGCACAAGAAGATGACTGTTCATGTTGGGATACTTCTAACACGCAGTGTCTTCCAAGACGTAACGATCCTCCATATAATCCAATTCAGCTGGAGCCAGTTAGTGTTAAGCCAGGCTTGTATGAGATAAGTATACAGAACTCGGAAAATGGAAGTTGATGAATGTAGAGCTGTAATGCCATATTTCTCAGGCCACTAACTCGATTTCCTTGGAAGGTTGGTAATCTTATCGCTTGTTTTCTTATCGCCACCGGATATTTTCCTCTCGCTGAACATCAAGATCTCGCATTTATCCATTGTCAGCTTTACTTTCCTCACTACTTCCTCTTATTCCATTGCAGCGGACTTCTAATATGGCCATCAAATGTGCTGCTTCATCAAGGCTGGCCCTGCCTGCCGTTCTGCGCAATGTTTTCCGCTCTCAGTTCGCCAGTAACTTGAGCGTTTCTTCAATAAACCCCTATCACCGACAGCCCGCCTATGGTCCTCTTTTCTCTTCGAATATCCGGCTTCAACGATCCTTCAGCTCAATGATGCGCTTGCGTGAGTCCCAGAGTGATCAACCGTCGCCTGCAGCCCCTGAAATCCCGGCCGTCGCCGACGATACTGTGCCTTCTCAACCCAAAACACCGAAGAAGAAAGATTACGATTCCTTCGGCAAGAAAGGCGGATGGAAGGATCATAAAACTCCTCCTAGGGACCAGCGAGGGAGTTCAGAAAATAGCAAAGGAAGAACGGACAGAGAACGCAGAACTTTCCGCAACGAGGCTCGCAGGGAGGCCGACAAGGAACCTCGCCAGCGTTGGCAAGAAAGAGCCGAAAAATCGAAACAGTTCTCAGAGAAAGGGGGCAAGAGAAAGCCTGAGGCTTGGCAAGTGCAAAAATCGGCTTTAAAGAAGAAGTTCGTCGGTGGTTGGAACCCTCCCAAGAAGCTCTCGCCTGATGCCCTCGACGGAATTCGTCATCTTCACGCTAAGGCCCCCGAACAATTCACGACCGCTGTCCTTGCGGAGGAGTTTGAGATGTCCCCGGAAGCCATTCGCCGAATTTTGAAGAGCAAATGGCGCCCATCAGAGGACGAGATGGAGAGTCGACGCAAGCGATGGGAGAATCGACACGATAGAATCTGGAGTCGCATGGCTGAACTTGGTCTTCGCCCTTCGACTAATCGCACGCGGCCCCTCTCAGACTTCCACGTGCTGTATGATGACAACAATCGCGAGCGAAGATAGTCGTCTGTGTGAATTATACTGTGTTAGATAGTTTCAATTCGCACCTGTACAATAAATAATATAACCTTTGGCATTTTCATATCAATTATCGGGAATAAACAACATGTATCTACTCAATATCGATGTAGTATTGGATTGTAGGATAGGGTGGGTATCATATGTCATTTAGCCCGTAGTTCGGGGCGGAGCTAGCAGCAAGGATATCATCGCCACGCAACTCTCTCGGCAACACATCCTCAACTCTACAACCAGGATGGTTCATTGGGGTTGACAGGATGCTAGTGTTGGCGTATTTTACCAAGCTTCGACCTAACTACAGTTCATCGTGCCGGCAATTCCCCCCAGGCCTTGGCCCCCTCGAACTGCAGCCCACATGCTGACACAACCGCCATGCCATCCAACATCCAAGTCTTCGTGAAATGGAAGGACCAGACTATATTTGCAGGAGAGGATGTTGAGTGTACTATAACATTCAAGAACGTGGCCGATACGAGCGCCGATGCCAATAATGCGGGTGAAGGAGGTCAACATTCACGGAAGATCTCTCGAGTCGCGAATCACACACCTCACTCGAATTCGGACTCTTTCTTCGGTTTCAAATCACCCCAGGCTCTGTTTGCTAGTCGGCGATCATATTCCACCAGCTCACAACGAAAGCCTTATCACCGGACAGCCTCGTCCCTGAGCTCTCCGTTGGTCGGCGGCTCCCATAGCTTTCCTCCTAACAGCGGTCCCTCTACACCGCGAGCATGGCAATCGGGTCACAGCCACAAACGATCCGTTTCTATCCTCTCCATTGATAGCGAAGGTCAGGCCGATCCGACGCCGTCCCCGCACAATTACAATCGGCACCAACCAGCCAGGGGTCATGGGCGGTCGGCGAGTCTCCAGGTTATGCCGCGAAGGAACAATAGCTACGAGGATTCTTACAAAAAAGGTAGATGATGCACAGTGCGAATATGTGTATAGGGCTCTTCAGCTAATGACTGTCTCTTACCAGCGAGAGCTCCCTCTCATGCCTTTCCATTTCCACTGACAGAGGCTCCTAGTGAGCACCCCAACGGCAGCCTGAAAGTTGATACCTCTCACTTGGGGCGAGCCAGCCGCCCAGGTTCCTTAGCGACTAGTCCAATAGGTGCAACAGAGCCATTGCGTCGACCTTCACGGCGGCCCCAACCGCCTCCCCTCGATTTTAAGTTTCCGGCCACTCCTTCGACTGATTCAACCAACAATCGCACCATGCGCACTCCATCTCCAAAGTCGGCGACAACAAACGGTACAGCATCGACCGGAGGAAGGTCTGCTGTCAGAGACGCTCAGGGTCTGACTGGACCGGCGCACCAACAACTGACCCGAATTATATCAGCCACAAGCGTGAATGGGAGCAGCCGGAGCAGCGGGGAATTTTACTCCATCAGCGACCAATCGACCGAGACCCTCGGGTCCGAATACACAAATTATTCTGTACAGGGTGCTCGAGCTCCCCCTTCTATGCGGCATGCGCGGCATCATTCAAGCGTAGTTCTATCTCCCTCCAAATCCTCCAACAGCCAGGCGCTGCTGATGGGCTATGCGCAGGTAAGCGCATCATTCACGGTCGATGGCTCACTGGTGAACCAGTCAGCTTTTGACGAAGTCAAGCGAAAGGGAGTTGTTGGTGGTCAACCGGGTTCAGGTGGACTTCCTGGCCGCCCAACGACAACAGCCGAGCGACCACGTAAAACTGGTGGGTTCTGGGGCGCACTCAAATGGAACACTATCGAGGAATCCATTAGTGGTCTCCTTTCAAATAATGAATTGGACGGTCTACGAGAAATGCGTGGCGTTACTTCGTCGAGATCAATTCCGTTGTTGTCCACCTCCCAGTCGCTGCTTTTTGTTGACCTCCGACTGGCCCCAGGGGAGGAACAGTCATATTCTTTTTCGTTTGCTCTTCCCAAAGGACTCCCGGCGAGCCACAAAGGGAAAGCAATTAAGATCTCGTATAATTTGGTCATTGGAACTCAGCGGCCTAGCGGGCCTAACGAGCCCCAAAAGGTCAACCGTATCAATATACCCTTCCGCGTTTTCAGTGGTGTGAATGGTAAGTCACATTCTTCATTTTTCCTTCCATCCCGAGGTCTTACGTTTTTATAGAAAAAGGAGATATCCTTGGGCATGACTTGATGTCACCTTATGTACTTCTACGGGACGAAGCAAAGGTGCAAAAGGTCGGGCCAGCGATGCCTGTGGCAACAAAAAACCAAAGTGTGAGCAAATCTCACCATTCCGCGGCCGACTTCCTTGGTTTTGTGGATGAAATTTTGGAGCAACGTGCGCGTTCCAACACACTCTTCCCACCTGGTGCTACTCCCTCGAGACGACCTAGCGTCGAAGGATTACCCCAGTTGCTTACTTCGAAGGATGTCATCGACTTTGCTATCCTTCGCAGCAACCAGGCGGCGAACTCTCGCCGTAGCCCCAATCGGTTTGAGATTGCCCGTGAAGGTAAACGTATCGCAGTGGTCGTATTGAACCGACCAGTTCACCGACTTGGAGAGACTATTATCGCCACTATGGATTTTGGAGAGGCCAATATTCCATGCTACGCTGTACGTGCCTCTCTAGAGACGTCCGAAAAGGTCACCCCTAATTTGGCCATTCGGTCAAATGCCAGCATTCACCGAACCACGAGGCGTATCCATGCTTCTTTGTTCGAGAACACACTTCATGCCACCCGAGTGGCTTTCAGCCCAGCTATCCCCATCACAGCCACACCTTCGATCTTGACGAGCGGTGTAACTCTCGATTGGGAGCTGCGATTCGAGTTTGTGACATCCAGTGTTCGAGGCGAGCAAGGGACCCAACCTTCGGGCATCCGCTTACTCGAGGCTTTGTCGTCGGATGATCGCGGCACTATGCTTTCCGCCATGGAGCATCTGAACTGTGAATCCTTTGAGATCGCCATCCCGCTAACTGTGTATGGAGAGACTGTTCGCGAACGACTACCTGAAGAGAATGAAGGCTACCCGATCTAGAAGTCTAGATTTCTGTGGGTGTACACATGTGCCTGCCTGCCGTGCAGGTTAGGCTCGATTTTCATTTAAATATTCCTTGTGCCATCGAGGGAGAATCTCCCGCAAATATAGGCCTCAGGCTCTGGATTCCCATGTATAATTGATCTTAAAATTGAATGAATTGGTCCCATACATCTGAAATATATCTTATAGATGTGACGTAGATGCGGTAACTGGGGCAACGTGATCAACGGATCGAATCTCACTTCACGAATTTGGGGAGCTGAAACCCGATTACATCTCTCTCCTTGCGCATTCCCCTCATACGTATCATCCAGAACCTTTGTCAGGTACACTACATTGGCATTGTCTGCACGTCAGTACATCCGCACTTCTAATGAAATTCCCCAAATCATCGACAGCAACGAATATCTAACATGGGAATGCAGGCACATCGCGATCAGCGCAAACCCCGCCAAAATACACCCCTGCCGAAAGGGAATACTTATTTCTCGAACCCTGAGAAATTATGTCTTCGTTCATCACCACCATGTCTGTCCCCGCTACTCCTCCCGTTGCTCATTTCCCTTGCCCTGTGGATGCCTCACTCTCCCCGCAATCACACTTCCCTTCTGTTATCAGCCCTTCCGCCCTGAATCAGACTACTCGCACTTCCCACAACCCCCTCTCGGAGCCCCCATCCTACCTGTCGCCGGACGTGCGCGCACTAAAACAAGGCTGTCTTGGACTAACTCCTCCCAGCAATGCACGCACACGCGCCCCTTTCAAGCCCCGCTCGGCCGCCAAGGGCACGAGCAGTTATCAGCTACGACAGTTCGCCGAAGCCACGCTTGGTAGTGGTAGCTTGCGCAAGGCCGTGAAGCTGCCGGAAGGCGAAGATCAGAATGAATGGCTCGCCGTCAATAGTAAGACATGTATTGAGTCACAATGGGGGTCTTTACTAATGTTTTGATCTAGTCGTCGACTTCTACAACCAGATCAACCTTCTCTACGGGTCAATAACTGAATTCTGCTCACCGCAGACATGTCCTGAGATGAAGGCTACAGATGAGTATGTTAGTTCCTTGGCAGATTGTTGACCACCAGCTTACAAATGGATAGGTTCGAATACCTCTGGCAAGACTCGGAGAATTTCAAGCGCCCAACCAAGATGTCGGCCCCAGAATACATTGAACACTTGATGAGCTGGGTTCAGAGCAATGTCGATAACGAACAGATGTTCCCTAGCCGCATTGGTATGTCTCAGGAATCATGTATCACTAGTAGATCTACTGCTCACCCGTGTTTCCCTCCCAGGTGTCCCATTCCCAAAGACCTTCCCCAGTCTTCTCCGTCAGATCTTCAAGCGTCTATACCGTGTCTACGCCCATATCTACTGCCACCACTACCCAGTGGTAGTGCACCTTGGTCTCGAGCCTCACCTCAATACTAGCTTCAAGCACTATGTCTTGTTCATCGATGAACACAAGCTGGCCAGTGGGAAGGATTTCTGGGGACCGCTTGGTGATCTGGTGGAAAGTATGTTACGCAGCGACTAAGGGTTGAATCGGGAAAATGGGTAGTCATTGTGTTTTGCATCTGATATCCGCAGTTGGGGGCTACGGAAAGGATTTCTCAATGGCGTTTCGGGTGGTGCATGCATGAAGTATTATAGCTTGGGATCTTGGCGTTTGGGGTTTGACCTGACGCGAACACCGCAACGATGAATTCATGGATATGATAGGATTTTATTTTTGTCAAGAGGGCATTTCTATGATTATCGCGTAGCCAGTCCATGGCAGTCTATGGCAGCGTAGGCAATGTCGAGGTGAGATCATATACTACCATGTTCCTGCAATCAGCACAAGAGTAAACCAATTGCCATAGTTACACCACCGTCAAGGCCTGTTTATGCCCTTAGTCGTAACGGAACTGGACTTCGATGTAATCTTTTGGTCTGAGTATGTAGATCATCCCAAACCTCGAGCGTATTTTCAAAGTCATACATGATCCGAGTCGACTGTTCTGATATAACCCCAAGATTTTCGCAAATTAAAACAAATTGTGGTATATGTGGTGGTCTTCCAAACACGTCAAAGACACGTTGAAGCCGCCAAGCAATCATGAATGCACGTGACACCCCCTTCTGTGCGTCCACGTGACCACGGGAACATTCGGCCCGGAGGTCTCAACCTTGCATCCTTGACGAAGCAAGCACTCGGAACGTCGATATCACCTCCCCATCCAACCCTCTGTGTCCCTCCTCCCTCCTCGAGGCCCTCCTCCAGCCAATTGCACAATGATGTCCGCTCGCTTCGCCCGCGCTGGCCTGCGTGCCACCCAGTTCTCCGTTCCTCGCACCGCCGCCGTTAACGGCATCAGGTCCTATGCCACCCCGGCCCAGGAGACCCGCGCTCCCGTCGCCCTGTTCGGTGTTGATGGCACCTACGCCTCTGCTCTGGTATGCACCTCCATTGCTTCGGCCTTGTCGCGACTCTGGTTCGCTGCGAACCTTGTCCCGTCTTTCCCCGACCCCTCCCACACTCGTTCACTCAAAACAATCTGCAAATCCTCATCTGCAACTCGAACCATGTCCGGGATGAATATTGAATTCTGACCTTGTCGTTCATTAGTACACCGCTTCCGCCAAGTCCGCTGCTCTCGACCAGACTGCCCGTGCTGTCGCTACCCTCGGCGATGCCATCAAGGCTGACAAGAAGCTCGTCTCTATCCTCGGCGCTCCTATGCTCACCGTCGCTGACAAGAAGTCTATCGTCGCTGAGCTCACTAAGGTCGCCGGTGCCGACAAGGCCGGTATCATCCAGAACTTCCTTGAGACTCTCGCTGAGAACAACCGTCTCGGTGCCCTCGAGGGTGTCTGTGAGAAGTTCGCTACCCTGATGGGTGCTCACCGCGGCGAGATCGATCTCAACATCACCAGTGCTCAGGTACGGATTCTATGAGCTGTGCTCAGGTCGCAAACGAAAGAAGGGTATAAAAGCTAAAACTTTGTCTCTAGGAGCTCGATGCCAAGACCCTCTCCCGTCTCGAGAAGGCTGTTGCCAAGTCTCAGTTCAGCCAGGGCAAGAAGCTCAAGGTTGTTGCCAAGGTGCGTTCTCATCGATGAAATACCTTGTTTTGTCTCTTTTTACTAACTATTCATCAGGTCAACCCCGACCTCGTTGGTGGACTTGTCGTTGAGATCGGTGACCGCACCGTTGACCTCAGCGTTTCTTCCAAGATCGCCAAGATGAACAAGGCTCTTTCCGATGCTTTGTAAATGTAAATTAGCCTCTGCGTTTTGAGGGGATGGTTAGACTATAGCATATCGTCCCGGATGAACGGTAGCGTTTGTAGGTGGAAAGAAGGATTCCAAGAGTTTCCTTTTCGACCTTCATTTTGTTTTGTTCGAATTACTTGTCAATTGCACAAATTCATCCATTATTGATCTCTTATACTTGGTGTTTACTTGAGTCTTCAAAAAAAAAAAGGTATGGTGGACATCTTGATCCAGCGGGTTGATAGTATCTCTTATCCCCCAACCTGCTTGCCTTGGTGTTTGCCTGTCTTCCATATTGCGTAGAGTTGGTGTGCCATTCTGATCGCTGGTCAATCTGTGTGATGACTACTAGTTTTTGAGAACTCCTCTACTTATATACATATTTACCTTACCGGGTTGATCCAAGATGAACGGGTAGGTTCCTCTGTTTGAATGAAATGTTTACTTCGCTATCAAATGCACTATAAATCAAGATAATACTCCGAGAAATGTATGTATGGAATAGGTTGTAAACAATAGATGGCAGATGCAACACGTGTAAGCAAGGAAACAAAAAGGCAATCGCAAGTAACCACAGACAACAAGATCGTTATAATCGTGTCCAAAAGGAAAATAGGAAAATTACCAGAAGAGAAGAGGAAGGAGAAAGGGATGCTTAAGTGCAAGGCAAATTCAAATGGAAGAATGAGATGCAAAAGATGACAACATCAAAGCTGTATCAAGACGATCAGTTCTGCCCATTCTCTTCAGCCTTCTCAGCCTTCGTCTCAAACTCATCCTCATATGCAGCAATCGATGCAGAGCTGCGCACCCGCTGCAACTGACTCTCCACATAGTGGTCCACATGATCCTGGTCATCGGGATCTGCAGTGCTACCCCTACGACTGCCCAGCCGACTAGGACCACGGCTCTCACCGTCATCATCCAAGTCCGTCGCAGCTGGCGTGACAGCACCAGAGTAGAAGTCACTACGGTTTCCGATGGAACGGGTAGTCGACGAGCGACGGATAGACGGGCGGTTCGAGCCGCGCGGTCGTCCGGAACGCGAGAAGATGTCGTCGAAGTAGTGCGATGCCGCGGCGAAGGGTGACCGCGGCGTCTGTGGCAGACGACAGTTGACACCAGTGTCGTGGATGATTTTGGCGATTAGGCCTGTCCATCCGCACTGGTGAGATGTTCCCAGTCCACGTCCGCTGTCGCCGTCGAAGAACTCGTGGAACCAGAGATTGTCTTTCCAGTGCTCGTCGAAATCGAGCAGGTCGGAGCCGGCGTTGACGGCGCGACGGCCTTCGTCGTTGCGGGCGAAGAGGTGCTGCATGCGGTGCTGTAGTTCTTCTGCTACGTGTCCGAGATGCATGTAATCGCCTGAGCCCTTGGGACATTCGACTTGAAGGGAGTCGCCGTAGAACATGTGGAAGCGGAGGAGGGACTCGACGAGGAGGAAGTTGACGCAGAGCCAGATGGGGCCGCGCCAGTTGCTATTTCCGCCGAAGAGGGAGGAGTCGGAGTCGCCGGGGACGTAGCCGACTTTGAAGGTTTGGCCGTTGACGTCCATGGAGTAGGGGTTTTCTTGGTGGAACTTGGACATGGAGCGGATACCGTGCTCGGAGAGGAACTCTGTTTCGTCGAGCATTCGCTCGAGGATCTTGATGAGACGGTCTTTGCTGACTAGGGCTAGGAGCAGTCGGTCGTCTTTACCGCGGTTCTTCATGCTGGCGATGTTGCGCTCAGCTATGTCGGGCTTGTTCTCGATAAACCACTCTACTCGTCGTTTGAACGAGGGGAATTGGTTGATGAGCTCAGGCTCTAGGGTGAGAACTGCGTACAGCGGGATCAAACCGACGAGAGATCTGATGGGTAGCTGCTGAGTCCATGGTCCGCCGTAGGAGATGGCATCGTAGTAAAAGCTGTCTTCTTCGTTCCAGAGGGACTGGATAGTGTCATCGCCCGAACGGAAGGTCATTGCATCACTGATCAGCAAAAAGTGCTCGAAGAACTTGGATGCAATGTCTTCGTATGTGCGACGATGCTTGGCCAGCTCCAAGGCGATGTTGAGCATGGTCAGACAGTAGAAGGCCATCCAGCCAGTGCTATCAGCTTGCTCAAGCACACCGCCAGTGGGCAATGGCTCCGAGCGATTAAACAGACCGATGTTATCGAGTCCCAAAAAGCCACCCTCAAACACATTTTTGCCACCGGAGTCCTTGCGGTTCACCCACCAGGTGAAGTTGAGCAGCAACTTTTGGAAAACACGTTCCAGGAAGTCCAAATCCTGTCGCCCGTACATCTTCCGCTCAATTTTGAACGTGCGGAACACAGCCCATGCATGCACGGGAGGATTCACATCGCCAAAGTTCCACTCGTAAGCAGGCAGCTGACCGTTCGGGTGCATGTACCACTCACGAGTGAGTAGGTCGAGTTGCTTCTTTGCAAAATCGGGATCCATCATGGCCAGTGGGATACAGTGGAATGCAGTGTCCCACGCAGCGAAGAATGGGTACTCCCAAGAGTCTGGCATGGACAGGATGTCGTCGATGTACAGATGACGCCACTGTTCATTACGAATGCCCTTCCGGCCCGGCGGAGGAGGAACTTCAGCTGGGTCACCATTGGCCCATTGATCCCAGACAAAGTTGTAGTACTGTTTGCACCACATCATTCCGGAGAATGCTTGACGCTGGATGTTGCGGAGATCGTCGGTCATTGGGAGAGGGTTGAGGTGGTAGTAGAAGTCATCCGCATCAGCGCGACGCTGTTCAACAACATCATCCAGAACTTCTTCATCAACGAATTCTTCCTTCTTACGGGACATCTTGAAACGGACCACGGCGCATTCGCCGGGGGAACTCCCTCGCCGTTGTTGAAGGCGTACCAGGCAGCGAACTTGGTACCTTCCTCGTCTGGGTTGATGGCATCCTTTTCTTCCTGGACGATGTGGCGGTGGAATGCGTCTTTGACATAGGGTGTCTGGTTCTCAGTACCCCACAGCACCTTGTTGTTAGTTTCATTCTCGGTGAACATCATCTGAGGCTGGATATCTTCATCGCTAGACCCCACCGGGGGCGATGGCGCAAACGAGACATATCGCTCGCCAATTTTGCTGTGGTTTGATTTGGCTACCAATGGACCCTCTCTCTTGATGGATGGCTTTTTCTTTTGCTTCTCGTCGCCCCAGGCCCACGTGTTTCGGAACCAGACGTGAGGGATGATGTGCAGATGAGCAGGCTCGGGGCCACGGTTATATGCAATGACACGGAAGTTCAATTCTTCCTCATCATCGGCGTCCTTGGCAGTCTCGATGTAGATATCCCAGTAGCGATTATCATCGAAGATACCAGTATCAAGGATCTGATACTCTTTCTCCAAGCGTGAGCGCTTTGCGTTCTCATCGACGAGGTCTTGATAGGGGAACTTTCTCTGGGGGTATTTGTAGAGGAATTTCATGTAAGAATGCTATAGTCCAGGGTCAGCATTGCCCGCAGTGAACGAGGTGAATCTATAGAGCTTACCGTCGGGGTGTTATCCACATGGAAGTGCGCCTCCTTGACACTCTCGCCATGATTACCCTGAGGGTTTGACAACCCGAACAGGCGTTCCTTTAGGAAGTCACTGCACTCTGGTCAGATTTCATGTGGGGAAGTGGAGCCACGGCAATCAGGCCCAAACTCGACTTACTCTTCGCCATTCCAGAATGCAAAGGCAATGTTCTGTATACCGTGTGTATCAGATACACCGGCAATGCCATCTTCACCCCAACGGAACGTTCTCGATCTTGCGTGATCGTGGGTGAAGTAGCTCCAGGCGTCGCCATCTTCACTGTAATCCTCTCTCACTATAGCACGAAAAAGCGGACATTAGTCGGCTAGTTCTCAATATGATCTCGGTCTCGGTATTGCAAGCTCTCACCTGTGGCCCACTGTCTCTCCGCCTACAATGCAATAACTTTTAGCACTGCCAGCATGGCTCCGAGCTATCGTTGGCCTCAACTTACCACATACGGTCCCCAACGCTGTTTTCTTCAGTTAGCATGGATGTCTTACAAGCTCCACCCAGGTGGGATCTTACCTTCCAATACTTTGTTCTCTTACGGTCTTCCTTCAGGCGCTTCTCCTCCTCTGTAATGACTTCTTTCCCATCGAGTAAAACCATGATTGCGCAGAAAAATGTGAGTTGCAAAAGGAAGAAGAGAAGAGAAGTAAAAAAAAAAAAAAAAGGAGGGGGAATCCGAGTCCGTGCCAACCTGGGGGAGGTGGGCTGGACTATGACGTGAACCAGGTCGAGCAGAGGTGGATTCCCTGGGATTTTGAATGAGCAATGCTGATTGGTAGGAATGGATTCGGCTCGGGCCTGGATGCTGCACACCTGGGCAGATCCTTGTTTTGCTAGAAAAATCTCATCGGATATTAATTTGGTTATCTTCCTATGAGAATTAATATGATCTATTATGAATATTACCGGAATATATGGCCTCAGCTTATCTCCCATTGGGAATTACCCAGAGCACCTCGGTAGGTAGAACTAGAGTCCGAGCGCCGAGAGTTGATATCAGGCCTTATCTCCCTCACCGTTTGTAGTACCTACATGTACGTTGTACATGCACATCTGCAATGCACTGAACCTGAGACATTCAAGCTGATCCTAGCTCGGTGAGGTGGCATTTACCTGCATATCCAAAGCCATTTAAAACTCAGAATATCGCCGAAATCCAGGTAAGTCATGGGATCACCATTAGGTATATAATTGCTATGTGGTTCGACTCAAAGGTATCCAGCTTATCTATGGAAAGATGGGGTTGCGCAATTGATGCGTTTTGGCTGATCATATGCTAGAAGCGAAGAGACAACCATAAAATCATTACCTCTACGGTGGTATATAGGAAGATTATGAAAAAAAACCAATATGAAAAAAAACCACCGAATATCACAAGGCCGCATAAGCGACTACAACAATTTTGGTAGAATTCAAACGCATCGTGGAGACTGGAAAGACCCATGAAATCGAGGAGAAGGGAAATGAAACTGGGGGCCCTACCCTAGCTCCACCATATCTGATCTCCACTAGTTCTCGTCGACTCGCCAACCCCGGACTGGCCAGGTCACAGATGAAATCTAGATGCTTGCTCCATGGGGCTGCCCAAGTGTTGTATAATAGCGGTAAATGACTTTTAAATATGGTACGTAGTTTCTAATCGTCGCTTATTTGCTTGACTTTGTGTATACGCAACTCTTTTCGTAATCTACTTATACATAATATACCGATACGCGCATATTTCTCAAGTATTATCTTGGTAGGGGGGGTTCATAGAAAGAATCTGCCCAGGTGCCTCGATTTAGCTGACTCACTCAGACCTTACGCCGAATGAAATCATAGTCGCTTCGAAATCTACGCAAATCTGCCGTTCTCAGCAGTTTTCGAAGAAGTGCAACGTCAAATTGTCGACTGTAGTTCAACATCGTATAGTACAAGTTTCATTCGTTGCTCATCATGACTTGCTAAAAATTTTGACTATCATACACGTAATTCATCCAGAAATTAGGGCGCAGTGGTCTTGTGCAGCTGCTTGCCATCAATGCGGGCGCTGCTGCCGGCAGCTGCACCCTCGCGCAGGCCACTGTTATCAGGGGGGAACTCGACACGTCCAGATCCAACACCAGTGGTCCGCTGGTCAAGGGAGTTGAAATCGCTGGCAGCTGGAGGTTGTTTGGGCAGAGGCAGGTTGGCCTTGGTGTTCTCGATTTCTGCGGGCTTGTCGGTGTTTTGATCGATAATCGACTGTACAGATGATGTCAGATGGCTGCTCTATTCTTTGGGTATGTTTCATTGCTAACTCACCTTCATCTGAGAGACGTCGGAGTCTGCTGGGGGCTTGCCACCGTGTGACTGGGCAACCTTGGACTCGGCCTTGCGAATGTCTTGCGCAGTGGTGTGGAAGGTAGAATCGGACATGGTGATAGGTTTTGATGGTGTTTGATACAAGGGCAGTGTTGTGGTAAGATGGTGATAGGCTGTGAGTGTGGTGATTGATACAAGAGCAGTATTGTGGTATGTTGTTTTTGAATGTGATGAAGGAAGTGGTCAAGCCGGTGATTTATATCCTTTGCTGGTGCTAAATCGGCCATGACGATTGTTCCTGCTATGATGCCATGGGATCCAGGACATGGATATCATTCTCCACCGAAACCGGCTAGATGTATCGCAGGGGCTCCACCTGACGCCATATACACAGATAAAATGTTGATCAGACTCCCTGTTTTCCTACTTCATAGCATCAAAAATATGTCATGTCCTCATAAACACGGTAAAATGGATGTCATCGTCTGGCCGATCGGTGCTATATGATAGCGGGGGGCTTCGGGAAGCTACGTTGGCCGAAAACAAGGCTAAAAGCACGGCCAATCCGAAGGCCAATCAAAAGGTCGCTTCATTGTCATAGCCGGAGGGGCCGAGAGAAATTGATCTAAAGGATCCAAATGGCCCTGGACATGAACATAAATGATGTTCACTTTTTCAGTTTCCGGTAAAGAATGATCTCTATTGTGCAGTCCACGGAGACCCCTGGTCAATTCCATGTCAACCTCAAAGGAATTGATCACCGAATGTATCCAATGTCGCCACCCTCAAACTTGATATAGAAACAGTTGCATTGCACTGGAGAATCCAAGGAACACCGCGCCCCTTGCGGCTCAAATCCCATGGATTCTCCAGCCATGGAAACCTGTAAGACTGCCCCGGCGAAACCACACACTTCAATGCCCAAGATTGGTGATGATAGATGGCGTCACACCTAGGTACCTCGATCAAATAGTCATCGGCAAGATCCAACTGGACATATGCTTTGACGAATACTGAAACATTTATGCCATGTAGTCTTACAGTTTACTTTGACCTCCGAAGATATCGTATCCAAAGGAGGCACCTTTTTTCAGCCGAAGGGGCCAAGGATGCTACGAAGCATGAATCGGACAAGCACAATATTACCCTGTCCTCTAATCAGTGTTTACCTAAAATCGATACATCACAAGTCGGGATTACGACTTGCTAGCCGCAAGAGCTCAATTTTGATCATTGTAATATGCGATAGAGCGATTCCAGGTGTTCTTGTGGGGCTCCATATCCTCATCCTTGCCAGGGTTGCCCATGTCGGAAAACTGTGACAATCTTAACATTTGCTTCCTGCAAAGGTCAAAATCGACCATCTATGTGGCGAGCTTTGCCACGGTAATAGAGTCTTCATTCATCTCGCTACTGACGCTCACCCGTGACTGATTAAACACTTCACCAATACTCACCTGTGGCGATTTAGCTCTCGTGCCCATCCTTCACCCCAGAAACCAATGAGATCCGAGTCTGAATATACTACAAAACTCATCCGTCATTAGATGTAACAATTCAGTCATTTGCCCATAGTTGCATTGTCAGACAGCTAAAAAGTATCGTCTCAGACAGATGCGAAGAGTATTTCGGGGAAGTGCCTTCCACTACAAAGTAAACGTACGCCATCAAGGGGGCAGCGCGTATGATATCCATTTGATTGACAGTGTGTTTATATAAGCCGGGGTGCGCACCTGATACGCCCGTGGACGCCAGTTAACTAGTTAAGAGGGGATGAAATTGGCCAATAAAGCTCAAGTTGAGCTCTCGACCTCTGGCTATGTTCAGCGCAACGTTGAATGACCAGTACACTCACGGCCCTAGATTCCAGCTTTTATCCCTCCGCTGCGATGGAGGGAATCGATAGAGTAGTCCCTATTAACAGCTTGCGTATTGTTCGGGCCTGAGGTGCAGAATCCTGGAACTATATATCCGTAAGCGAGTTACGAGTTACGAGTCGCGGAAGAGTCACGAATGACCCGGCTGTAAATTTGAAGATATCCCAAATCCGATCAGTCTGATTGAAAGAGTTTCAATTTCAAGTAAACAAAAACACGGGTGAACCGCAGTGCCGTAGCAGTGCAAACGAGGGATGGCCACAGAGGAATAAATCCCTCAACCAGATCCATACAATAGGGGGTTTCTCAAAGGATGCCAGAAAAAAAAAAGATAATACTAAAAAAAATTCATCCCAATAAAATAACCACGGGAACATATTGCGTCAATCAGACGCGGCGCGGGTCCAATATCACGGATAGAGAGCATTCCGTCCTGCGCTTAGCCTTCTAGTTCCGACTCCAGGACTGGACGGCCTTGTTTTGACCCTTCCAGATCTCAAAATTATGTTCGGAAATTCAGTTGTTCCCCTGCTTAGACTGACCCGACTGCTCGTTGGATCCCTGGGAAGCTGTTACACAGTCAGATCCCGCAGCGCAAAACCAGGCCAGCTATATCAATCGGCCCCCAAAGATCAGATTGAGCGCTCACCAACTGACTGGCCTTGTCCACGTGGTTGGGATGAGGTGTTGGCACCGGTAGTCCGGGACTGGAGGCGTCTCTCGGCCTCGCGGATGCGCTTCTGTAGCTCTTCCAATTCGCGGTTCTGGATCAACACCTGCTGCTTCCTTGTGGTTGAGGTTAGCGTGATGAATGAGGTTGACGTTGACGAGAAAGTCGCGTGCGATATCGATGGTGAGGGAAAGTAAAGGATTTGATATCACTCACTTCTGGTCGATGGTTTGCGAAAGGTCGTTGACGTCAGAGTCAAGCATAAAGGCGCTGTCCAATGCGGACGAGAAGGCTTGCGCCATAGTCCTGTGGTCAGGGTTAATACCACTTATCGGAGAACTGATGATATAGGGAAACGAACGACTGAGGCCGGGCCTTCGGCTTCCACTCGCGATCCATGTCGGACATCTTGTGGGTGTTTGATCTCTCTTCTATCACGGAACGGGATCCTAATGTACGGCGACAGAGGGTGTGCGACCTTGCGGCGGGGCAAGAGCAAGTCGCAAAATTAAGGAATTAGGCGGGTTTAGGTATCGTCGAGACCAGGACCAGCCAAGAATCAAATAAAGATGAAACAGAATCGAGGATTTTGATACTGGTTGAAAAACAACACAGAGTCAGTCTTTATACTTCTCGACAGATAAGCCGCAATCTGGTGGGGAGGAAGAAATACCGGGATACCAACAATAACAGATCGGAGAGTGATCAAAGAACTTTAGAGAGCTAGGAAGCTAAAGGGGGAGAAGAAGCGAAAGAGATGATCATAGCCCACCTAAACTAGTGACCCCCATATATCCGCAAGGAGAAAGTTAAGTGTTACAACTGTATTACAGGGGCTCTACGCCATTATGTGTCGCATTTTAGGGGGTTTTTTTGTTTCAGGGGTCGATGTTCTACTTCCATTTTCTGTTTTATACGTCCAAAATAGGGGTTGACAGTATATACATACACTCCAGGGCTTATAGAGAAATTATGTATAGGAAACTGCTATTAAAATGAACCCCTGGCATCGGTTTCAAGGCAACTTTGCCTTATTTACCGCGATACGAACGGGAATATAAGGTTGAAAATGTCTATGCTTTACTATATCACTCATAGATATCGTAGGTCGTACGTTGCATTGCGCATTCTGGCAGATTCCTCCCTGGCAACTGGTCACATGACCCAATACCATACAGTACAGCGTGAACTCTTCATTTCTCTCATTTCCATCATTTCAATTCTACAGAGAGCCATTTCCATCTCTTTGCTTCTTCTCACTTTAAATTTGACGCGTTTCTAACCCGGGGGGTCGATGTTCATTTTTGACCCGTTCAAATTTTCGCGATAAATTGGACCCTATTACGTTTCAAGCCTGTCGCGTTCGCTATCTTCAAATACTCGCCAACCTAGCCAACTTATTTCCCGAAACTCGCAGTTCGGCGCCAGCGGACACCTTCCGTGATAGCCCGATCGCCGACCATCGTGGCCCCCATCCTGAAAGCATTTCCCCCAGTGGCCGACCGGACGGGCAATGGGGGATGCCTCCTCTGTCGGCATACACTTCGTTTGAGTCCCTCCTGTTCTTTCAGTCTTTAGCGACTTCGGATACCCGACCGACAAGCTTCGGAACTATATCATCCCTCCTGCGCAACAACCAGCTTGTGCGCGAGAATGTCGATTTTGATGCCGATCGCCTGACCCCGGAGGCGCTGGAAGATCTCTATGCGACATTGATGCGCGATGGATTCAGCCGTGGTGCGCCCTTGCCTAATGGACGTTCCTCAGACACTTCTAGTCCCCCTAATTCGAAGAAACGAAAAATCTCCAGTCCGCGACCAGATGGATTGACCGGATTCACCCATGCCACACTCGTCCCAGAGCTAGTGACACATCTTTACGCCAAATACAGAGATCTAGTCACGAGGGAAATTAGGGAGGATGAGAGAAAATACACAGAAATCCGGGCTGAGCTAGAACGGTTACAGCAGGAGGACGCCAAATCAGCCGCTGCAGCAGCTACGGCACCCACGCCGGTGAAGCCGATGCCTATTGAGGTGAAGGATGCTGGTCTAAAGGAAGAGACGTCGCGTCCACATGTACAAGATCTGACTAGTCAACCTCCTGCGACAACCGCCCCGCTCGCCCAAGACACCGCGATGCCCGAACCACAGCACATCGCAGTAAATGTGCCCCCTACGACAACCGAGCCTCCGAAAACACACGTCCCTCCTGTGACCCAACCTCAAGCTCCAATTCCCCAAGCGCAAGCGCCAACGCCCAAGCCGCAAGACATAGCTGGACAAGTACCTCAACCGCAGCCTACCACCACTCAACCACTACCAAAACCATCTATCCAACCTGCACTTGCTCCAGCTACCCAGAAAGCCCCTCCAACCACGCCAGCCGGATCCCGAATCACACCGGCTCATCCGTCGCAAATCGCACCCCGAGCCAATCCTGTCCAACCTGCGCCCATTGTTACGGGTAAACCTGGCCCGTTGGCACCGGCGCTCCAGCGGACCCCCGCTCAGCCAAGTTTCCAGCAGTGGCAACTGGATCCTTCTCCTCACTCACCCTACCCTGCTGTCTCCCCAGGTGCTGCTACACATCAAGCAGCTCAGGCAACTGCAAAGCGACCAGTTCCGCCACTTTCCGCCAACCCGCCTTTGCCAACGCCACCAGCACAGACTCCTCTCCAACCTATTGTGCCACAAACACCCAGCGCTATCCCATCTACAGCTCACACGCCTGTCCCGATTGGCCGCCCGCGTGTTTCTCAAACCCCGAGTGCTACATTCCCCTCTTTCTCCGAATCGCGCGGCTCATATCCACGCCTGTCAATCGACACACAAGGTTCCTCCACACCATGGAAGAGAACTCCTCGCCTGAGGGTCTCGGCCTCTCCAACCTCGCCGCCACGGCCACGGCCTGAGGACGTCAGTCCTATCAGTGAACGAAGCGAATCACCCATTGATGTGATGGAAATGTCACCTCCTCCGAGAATCAACCTAGGCCAACGAGCTCCATCTACAGAAGACAAGAAACCACGACGCGGCCGGGCTGACACTAAAACCACCCCCATCATCAAGACCGAGAAACCAGCTTCAGTTCGGAGGACGCGTGCCATAAGTTCGGCTTCTTCCCGGAGTCGCGGGCGATCTATGGCTTCACGTGATGGGTCTGTTGCGCCATCGGAAGACACTGTACGCGAATCCCGAGCAACGGGCCGCCGAAAGGGTGCAGCTGCTACCGCCGACGAAGAGACTCCCAAACCGCGGATAAAACGTAAACGCGGCGCAAGCGAAGCATTGGAAATTGAACCACACCCTGCTGATATCCCGCGATTCGACACAACTCAATATGTCATGGCTACGCGCAATTTCCACCGGACTGCGGCGCCGATTATGAACGATGTAGCCACTCACAAGCTTGCGTCCATATTTGCCAAGCCAATCAGTGAGCGTGACGCCCCGGGCTACCACGATCTCATCTATCGTCCATCTGACCTCAAGTCAATCAAGTCTGCCATCCACCAGGGTAGCAAAGCCGTCGCCACCGCAGGAGACTCAGCCAGCACACCAGCTGGAGATGGAGAGTCTCCCGTTCCTGGTGGCACACCCTCCTCCAAAGGCGGCATCCTCATGCTACAGAAGAGTGAGGACTTCGTACCTCCCAAGGGAATTGTGAACTCCGCCCAACTGGAGAAAGAGTTGATTCGCATGTTCGCAAACGCTATCATGTTCAATCCAATTCCTCAGCGAGGATTCGGACCCGCCTTCCCTATGTCAAGCGACCGTGGTTCGCGTGAGAGTACTCAACTAGGTGATTCTGACGAGGGCGGTATCATCCAGGATTCGATGGAGATGTTTGAGGATGTTCAGCAGGCTGTTACTCGATGGCGGGCTGCTGAACGCACTGCTGATGAATTGGCTAATAAGAATGTCCTCTCTCTTCGACGTGGGAGTGCCAGTGATTTCAACACTGACAGTACTGATGATGTGAAAGGGTGATTCGATCACCATCTTGTATTATGAAACGTTGTATTTGATTAGAATCAGTCTATTGGTTTTGGAAATGAAATGCTATGATCTTTTTCGTCGGCGCCTTCGATAGCCCGGCGGTTATTAATATTCCTGCTGCCATGCATATATCCTTACTTTGATGATCATTTCTGAAACATATCAACGTGTATATCATTGTCATAACCTTTCAGCCAGCCCCGCTGCCCTGAGTCTATAATGGGGTATATATTTTTTTCAATTTTCATCAACCTCTAGACCTGCGGCTTTGTCCGCCCAAGTCCCTCCTTCGCATAGAAGTCCATAGGATAAACACCCTTATTCCCCGAATCCCAATTCTCCCGCACCCCCAACGCAACAAGCGCTTCATACGGAGTCAACAACGGCCGAGCAAACGCATACCCCCAATCAATACTCAACCGCGGACAAGCAATCTGAACCCAACATTCCACATCCGCCATGGAAGCCAGTTTTCCAGGAAAGATCTCACTCAGCAACAAATTAACAATTGGGATACCGCGATCGCGCAGGTGTCGTTCAATCATCGCCATGGTGTGCGGGTTACCCTGTCGACCGAGCGAGCCGAGGATAATACCCCACTTGCGGGCCGTCTTAGCTGTAGCGATCGCGTCGCGACGGATCGTCTGCATCTCTTCGTGCTCGTAGCTTTCGCGTGTCAGGGTCCGAGAATACGGATCGTAGCGGTAGGCTGGGATGGAGGGGTTGTGGATCATGGCGGATTCGAGGTGGAAGCGGCCGTCGCCAAGGTAGAGGATTGCGTCGATTTCAGTTTCGGAGAGTTGGGGTGATGTGCAGCCGAGAATCTCGCCTTTGGAGAGTGGAGTAATTTGGGGGATGATGACGCGGAAACCGGCGCGTTCGAGGACAGGTTTTAGTCCGTGGAGCGTTGCGTTGAATTGAATCGTGCCGACGGTTGCGATTGATTGGCCCGGTTTGAAGTTGCGCTCGAGCGTTGCGAGGAGGTGGCTTGTGTCGATGCTGATGTCTACGAAGATGTAGAGGGTTTTGATTTGAGTCACGTCGACTGGGATCAGGCAGCTGTGCGCGTAGTGGACTAGTAGATCACAACCTAGGGCGCGCGCTGTGTAGTCATCGATGCAGCAGGCGCCATAGGTGACGTCGCCCATGATGAGAGTTTCGATTCCAGGGCAGAACTGGGTGAGGATGTCGGAGATGGTGGTTGCGAAGATGAGGAGGCCCTCGGGGAATTGGAGAGCTACTCGCTTGGCCCCCGATGTGCGGACTCGGTGGATTGTCTTTGGGATCTCGAAGGAGTAGTTCTTGGGGAGAAGTTCAATTGCTTCTAGGATCTCGGGATCGTTCAAGATCTCTGGAGGCACTTGGTTGAGGGTGCGGGGAGTACGTCTGGGAGCGGCTGGAGGGAGGAAAATCAATATGTGTATTTCATCCAAATCAAAGAGCGACATGTACCTGTTTGCACTGCTGTAGACTCGACATCGTTCTGACTGGTTGTATCTTTCTGGGCTTGGGCATCTGCGGTTCGTCGTCCGACAAATCTCTTCTTTGGCTGCCGCATTTGGCTAGCAGCTTGTGACCCATCCTCAGTAGAATGCGTGGAGATAGTTGACTCCATAATGGCCTGTTATAATATGAGTCAGAAATATCCAAAATCGGACTTTTTTTACTGATCTTGATATTCTTCAAATATTGAGATTGATATCATCCCACTTCTTTTTTCTGCCGACTGACTCAGCAGGTGGGGTGATCGACTAGTCCGGAAATGGTAAAGCGCTCTCCGCATCTCGGCCTCCTACTGTTCCATCCTCAAAGCTCGCCTTCCTTCATTCGCTATTTCCCCTACAATTCGGATTGCTCAGATCATACAAATCGACATATCCACTACCATGATGACAGCTCGCCCCAGATTGAGTCTGTTCTCAGCCCTGCGGTCTCCATATTATGCACGCAGCTTCGCAACCGAGTCGCGGTTAACGTCGGACCATGTCCGCATCGTGGAGGTTGGCGCTCGAGATGGACTGCAAAACGAGAAAAAATCAATTCCAATGCAAACAAAGCTCAAGTTAATTGAGCGACTGGCTAAAACGGGTGTTACCACCATCGAAGCTGGCTCATTTGTACCCGAAAAATGGGTACCCCAGGTATGACGTGCAGGACAGCGATTTTAGTCCTAAAAGACTGACCATTCGGTTACATTATGACAGATGGCAAGCACCGCTGAGATTTGTGAGCATCTTCTCACCAACCCCCCACAAGCGCAATCTACAATCGCATATAACTATCTTGTCCCCAACATTAAAGGACTGGAGAGCCTCGTCAAGATCCTTGATACTACAGGAGTCCCCGCGGATGCAACTGGAGAGACATCAAAGGCAGCGACGACTACGGAGATCTCTCTGTTTGCAGCAGCAACAGAGGCTTTCTCAAAAGCGAACACCAACTGCTCCATTGCCGAGTCACTGGAGCGCATCAAGCCGATCGTCTCATTAGCAAAGACCAGGAATATCCGCGTACGCGGTTATGTGTCTGTTGCACTAGGATGCCCCTACGAAGGTCCGGATGTTGATCCTGTCAAAGTGGCTGATATCACTGCCACGCTGCTGGAGATGGGAGCGGATGAGGTTTCAGTGGCAGACACAACGGGCATGGGCACCGCTCCCCGGACGATGGAGCTTCTGCAAGCGCTCAAGGCTGCTGGTATTCAAAATACAGACTTGGCTTTGCACTTCCATGATACCTATGGGCAGGCCTTGGTAAACACAATCGTCGCCCTGGAGCATGGTGTCCGTATCTTCGACAGCAGTGTGGGTGGGCTTGGTGGTTGCCCGTATTCCAAGGGTGCGACCGGGAATGTGGCTACCGAGGACCTCGTCCACACAATTCACAGCCTGGGGATGCACACGGGGATCAGCCTGGATGAGATGTCGAAGATTGGAGGTTGGATCAGTGGGGAATTGGGCCGAGCTAATGGCAGCCGGGCTGGAAAAGCGACTCTCGCTCGTCTTGCAGAAGAAAAAGCGTCGCTTTGATCACTTTGTGCTACAGCCTGTGCTTGTCACCGCTCGGTATATTTATTCGTTCCCACGAGTTTTGTATTTGTCGACATAGCAATAGCCCATAAATATGCTTTGCGTTGTCAGTTCGCGCCACTTTGTTAATGTACATTGTAGATGTGATCAATATCAACCACCCAGTTCTCCGTTTTCAATTATGGAGGATTATATCCCTAGGCAAAACCCTGACGCCATTATGTAAATTTCTCGTCAAGCCGAGTCACTCAGAAATCAGTGACACGACCACCATAGCTCCAATCGCCCGCTGCACCCCAGCGCAGAGGCTCATTCTTTGGTCCGCCAACTTCACCAGTCTTTGGGTTCTTGTCACCCTCGAACTCAGGCTTCAGTCCCTTTGGCGCATCGGGGTGAAGTTCGCCACCTTTGCCGTCCGCCTGAATCTCAGCCTGTGGGGACTGGTTGACCTGGGGTGTGCTGAAGGCACCAGTTGAGCGCTTTTGGAGCTGTTCAAAGATCTCTTGTTCGTCCTTCGGGAGACGCGGAGGGGCCGGAGAATCTGAGAATGGCATGGGCTTGTCGTCGCTCTGGCGCAGCAATCGAGTTGTGGAAAGTGGTCGGATTGCGCCACGGGCTGTGACAGCAGAGGGGATTGAACGGCGAATAATGAGAGAGAATACCATTTTGTTTGTGAATGAGGGGAATGATATGTCCAATGAGGCAAGTCTGAAGTTGTACGAAGTACGGGAAGATCTCGGAACCTCGGGCTGTTCCAATCAATATTGACTCACTCCACCGATGTGACTAAGACTGCCGATCCCGATATCGCCTTTTTTTATTTCTCTCGGGTCGCGGATCAGATCAGACAGCTCTCTTACGATCTTTACCTCTCTTTTTCTGCAAGTTAGCTTTTTGTCTCTTTTTTTCTTGTATTCTTATAAATCAAAAGTTTGTCATGTCTGCCCTCCGTGTGGCCGCGCGCCGTCTGCCTCGCGCATCCAAGTTCGTCCCGGCTCTCGAGTCACCAGTACAGCACCGATTCGCGACCACCAATGCGCCTCAAAATGTGAAAGCTCAGATTAAGGTATGTGTGAAAACGAATATCTAATTCAACGTCAAAATTTGGCCCTGACAATCACATAGAAGGAGTCAACTCTCCCCAACCCCGACCCTTCGGCGGACTCAGTCACGGCGTCCTTCATTAACGAGCGAACTCCTTTCATGGTCCCCACCTACGTTCGCCCGGCTCCGATGATGATGAAGGGACAGGGCTGCTATTTGTGGGATATGGAGAACCGACGTTATTTGGACCTCACGGCGGGAATTGCAGTTAACTCTCTTGGTCACTGTGACCCGGAGATCGCGCAGATTATTGCGGAGCAGGTGCGGAATGTTGCTTTGGACTGTATGGTGATCAATCGCTAACAGAAGACCTTCAATTACAGGCTGAAACCCTCATTCATGCTTCGAACCTCTACCACAACCCTTGGACCGGTGCTCTGAGTAAATTGTTGATCGAGTTGACTCAGAAGTCCGGTGCTATGCGCGATGCCTCGCAGGTCTTCATCTCCAACTCCGGAACCGAGGCCAACGAGGCCGCCATCAAGTTCGCCCGTAAGACCGGCCGCACTCTGGACCCTTCAGGTGATAAGCACGAGTTTGTGTCCTTCCATAACTCGTTCCACGGGCGCACAATGGGTGCCCTCTCGGCCACCCCCAACCCCAAGTACCAGACTCCGTTCTCGCCCATGCTGCCCGGATTTAAGTACGGAGATTACAACCAGATTGAACAGCTCCAGACTCTTATCACAGATAAGACATGCGGTGTCATCGTTGAGCCCATCCAGGGCGAGGGCGGTGTCAACATCGCTACCCCCGAGTTCCTTGCCGCTCTCCGCAAGCGCTGTGATGAGACCGGCGCCGTCTTGATCTTCGACGAGATCCAGTGCGGTCTGTCCCGTACCGGTACTTTCTGGGCCCACGCTCACCCCTCCCTCGCCCCTGCCTCTGGCGAGGCTGCCCACCCCGATATCCTGACTACCGCCAAGGCTCTCGGTAACGGTATTCCTATTGGTGCCACTATTGTCTCTGGCAAGACCGTTGCACAGAACATCAAGACCGGTGATCACGGCACTACCTTCGGCGGCAACCCGCTGGCTTGTCGTGTGGCTCACCACATCGTCGAGCGTCTCGCCGAGCCTGAGCTCCAGCAGTCCGTCCAGACCAAGTCTGATCTCTTTGTTTCGGGTTTCAAGGCCATGCAGGAGAAGTTCCCAGGCGTGATCTCTGAGATCCGCGGGCGCGGCCTGATCCTGGGTCTTCAGCTCGCTCCAGAGTACACCGCTAAGGCTGGTGATATTATCACTGCTGCCCGTGAGCGTGGCATGTTGATTATCACTGCTGGTGAGGGTTGCATCCGATTCGTTCCCGCCTTGACTATTACCGAAGACCAGATTCAGGCTGGTCTGCGCATTTTGGAGCAGTCTGTGGATTCAGTAGTCGCCAAGTCCTAAGTGTCTTGTCCTGAATGCCGGTTATGATTTTGGTTTTCTTTTATACCATGTATTGCGTTGGATATGAGACATATTTTCATATAGAAACTAGAGCAATAAAGGAAAAGTGTCGTGTGTCCAGTGGTTTCAAGTGAATAAGTCAAGTCTCCGCTAGTAGTATCAACCTCGACTTCTCCCTTTTTTTTATTTACGTCTGACTTGTTAAAGAGGTTGCAATAATTATGTATCTTATATAGAAAGTAACAATGTCCACCGTATATGGTGGATATATTGTAGTTGGTACGGCAGTTACTAAGTTCCCCACTACCACGTGGATCGCGTGGAGATGGTCGTCACTCTTCGCGCTTGATTTGATATGGCCCCTGTGTTATCCCGTATTCTTTTCTCCTATTCAATTGACAAATTATGGACTGAATATCTTTTCCCATTTGTAGCTCTTTACCTCCCTAACACAACCGAATGCCTCTCACAGCGTCCGAAGAGGATGCCGCAACGCTTTCCTCCCAAGAACAATGTTCCTCCATTTGGGATCGCTTCAGCGCCCGTGTTGGTGGTGCATTTAACGGTGCAGACCCCCGAGTCTGCGTCGCTTTCTGGCTCTTCGGTGCGCACCTTCAATCAGCCCAGTCCATCACTTTGACTAATATCCATACCCGGCAGGCCTTATCAACAATGTCCTTTATGTGATCATCCTCTCCGCAGCTGTAGATCTAGTCGGACCAGATGTACCCAAAGGTCTCGTTCTCCTCGCTGACGTGGTCCCGTCGTTCGCGACCAAACTACTCGCCCCATACTTCATCCATCTCGTCCCATATTGGGTGCGCACCCTTGTCTTTGCCTTCCTATCATCCGTGGGCATGCTAGTCGTCGCTATGAGCCCGGGCTATACAGTCGGTGGAACAATATCCTCCAAGATCGCGGGTATAGTCCTGGCTAGCTTATCTTGCGGCGCTGGAGAGCTGAGCTTTGTGGGCCTCACGCACTTCTATGGCCCGTTCAGTCTGGCTGCGTGGGGGAGTGGTACTGGCGCTGCTGGGCTCGTTGGAGCTGGTGCTTATGCCCTCGCCACTTCAGCAATGGGGTTCTCCGTTCGTGTGACCTTGTTGGTTTCGGCATGCTTGCCGGCCGTTATGGTTTTAAGCTTTTTTGTCGTCCTACCCAAGTCCCACCTGAGATCTGCCGAATCTGGCGCTGATAGATATCGTGTCGTTGAGGGCGGGGGCCAGGTGGAGGAAGACGAGATGGAGGACGGCGCTGGCGGGGAAGACGAGGGGCTTTTGGGAGCCTCGCATAATTCCTCCGCCCCTAAGTCTACCCACGTCAATGAAGATAGCCCCTGGCAGGACCAGATGCGCAATAATCTACGCCGTGTCAAGGCACTGTTCATTCCTTTGTAAGTATTCGAGTCTTTCGGGATTCCAAGTCTACGCTGACAGGTATCTAGCATGGTCCCGATGTTATTGGTCTACATCGCTGAGTACGTGATCAACCAAGGTGTTGCTCCGACTCTGCTGTTTCCACTACATGAGTCGCCCTTTGAGCACTTCCGCTCGTTTTACCCTACCTACAATGCCATTTATCAGATAGGTGTCTTTATATCCCGTTCCTCGACTCCTTTCTACCGCATCCACAATCTGTACCTGCCATCACTCCTGCAGGTGGTCAACCTTGTGTTGCTGAGCCTCCACGCTATTTTTAATTTCATTCCCACTGTTTGGCTTGTGTTCATCATTATTTTCTGGGAGGGCCTTCTCGGTGGAGTGGTATATGTCAATACTTTTGCTGAGATTGCCGATCGTGTTCCGAAGGAGGATCGTGAATTCTCATTGGGTGCTACCACTGTCAGTGACTCGGCTGGTATCTGCATTGCGGGCTTCATCAGTATGGGGTGGGAAGTCTGGTTGTGCAGTTGGCAGGTTGCACATGGGCGTGATTATTGCCGACAAATGACATAGAATAGAGTGGATACTGGGATACCCCAGAACATAAAACAACATATAAAAGCACAAAACAGAGAACGAAACATGAAATCGATCCCCGGCCGGGGAAGTCAGCTGATGTCGTCACTGGCATGTGAATGTGGGACTTTATTGACATGTGATACAACTTCCTCCAGCTTCGCTCCAATGACAAGGTTGCATTACTGGCATTACTCTGCTGATCTCACTATGTCCTTCATCGTGGCTGGTCTAAAATGGTCTCTTTGTCTCAGGTCTTTGGGTCCGTTTGACTTTCCTCATACTTTTAGACTTGACCTTCATGCATTCTTATCCCTTGATATAGATTACAAACTACAGGCTGAACTGATTAGATTGATTAGAATCAGCCCCAACTTCGAGAGATGATAGGTATGCAACCGGCATCGCACGGGAAATCCAGACTAATGGACGTTCAGACCACATCTTGGGGAGACCTTCGACCCGCTTCCGCAAGATCCAAGTATTTGCAGTTGTCTCCTTCTGGTCGATCTACTTATTAAGGTATATCATCACCTACATCTGTTGAAGCGATCCCCAGAGCTGAAAATCCAACAGAGCAGATAGACATGGCCCTCCATTTCTTCGATCCCTGTCGTCCCGCTTCACAGGAAAGTTGACAACATGGCAGACGACTGTGATCATCTTCCTTTGGCTCTACCTCAGCCGGAACTTCGCTAAGATCGTCGGGCTCGAATGTCCTGAGCCATTGGCAAACATGTACTCGCGGTCCTTCTTCCGAGCAACTTGGATCACCACTGGTCTGGATGCTGGATTCTGGACCGCGATGAATATAAAGCCAAAATGGCTCCGAGATATAGCGTCACTAGTCTTCACGGCTTACTACTTGATTGCCGCTGAACAGGCCGACGAGAAAGTCCGTCGGGTCCGTGCTACCCTGACACTGGAGCATCTGCGCGTGTCTTGGAATAAAGCCACTAGCCCCTACCTGTGGTCATTGGCGAAGCTGCTACGGCCGCGGATGACCCAGTTTCCGGCTCGAGCGATTCGCATTCCTCGCCCAAAGCAGTCTGTTTACACCGAGTCAGTGAATGCGTGGCTGTATTTCGACGGTTCGTTAAGTGCCCTGCGAGAGCAGAGTTTCATCGTACTGGATGTGCCCGGTGGTGGATTTGTAGCTATGAGTCCCAGGAACTCAGAGGACAAGCTGTTGTCGTGGGCGGGACAGCTCAAGGTTCCGATTCTTAGCATCGATTACAAGAAGGCACCAGAATTTGCATACCCGTATGCCCTGCATGAATGCTACGACGTCTACCATAGCATCATTGCCACAAACGGTCGTTGCATGGGTCTGAGTGGTAAGAACCGTCCCCGGATTCTTGTCACGGGCGAGAGTGCCGGCGGCAACCTGGCAGTGGGCATGACCTTGATGGTGTTGCAGTCTGCGATGGCTCAGGGCTGGCGTAAAGAAGATGTGCTCCCAGCCCCAGACGGCCTCGTCTTGGGATACCCTGCGTTGAACATGAAGGTTGAGAGCTGGATGAGCGATGAGCAGATGTCATTGATCCAGGAGAAAAGCACCCGCCAGACAAACCGCAGCGTTCTGCAACGGAAACAGGATCAATATCGTAAACTCACGCCATTCACATCACCAGGTCGCTCGGCTGAAGATCTTACTGCCATATCACCGCCTGAAAAGGGAAAGGACAGCAAAGGACCCAATGTGGCCGCCGAAGCAGCCAAAGCACTGGAGAAAAAGCTCCAAAAGAGCGAGGACCTAGCTCCGAAACCTGTTTCTAAGGCAGAAGATGAAGTCAAACCGATCAAGACCAGACTAGCCGTCTCGTCTATGATCACCTACGTCCACGACCGCATCCTCACACCTGAGATGACGCGTGCAATGATTATTCTATACATCGGACCCCACCATCGCCCTGACTTCAACACCGATTTCCTTCTGTCTCCCGTCCTAGCCCCGGATGCTTTACTTGCCCGCTTCCCAAAGACATATATCATGACCGGAGAGCGAGATCCTCTAGTCGATGACACGGTTATATTTGCAGGCAGACTGCGCCAAGCAAAGCTGCATCAGTTCCGTGAGCGCCAGGATCTAGGGTTGGAGAGGTCTAAAAACCCCTTCAATGAGAGAAATTACGTCGAAATCTCGCTGATTCCTGGTATCTCACACGGCTTCATGCAGATGGCTGGCTTTTTCCCGGATGCGTGGAAGTATATCCACCGTAGCGCGGACTGGCTTGAAACATTGTTCCAGAAGATCAAGACAGATGACTTAGAGGCGGATTTGCTTCACCCTGACCGGGATGTGAATGCTTTGAATGGCAATTCTTCTCTCAAATGGTCAGCCTCTGCAGATCTTAAGGCAAAGGCTCCACAGAGTGGACGTAACCACCATCGCAAGTTTACTGGCGAGTCCTCGGGCGATGACGACAAGCCTTTGGAAATGAGCACGAGCAAGATCGCGTCTGTTGCTGGTAGCCAGGATTCATTATCATCAAAGGCTGAACGCCGGACGCATCGGAGGAGATCTCATTCCTCTTTTGCCTCATCGCGGGTCACCGGGTTTACATCTTTGGCAGATGATCGCAATGCTAAAGATGATTTTATCGCTAAGCTTCGACACTTGCAGAGAGCCGGTCGTTCGCAGGACACCTTCGATCCTGATGAGACGAATAGTGCACCTGAAAGTCCGGGTGCAATTCGTCCGAGAGGACGGAGCATTGCTTCCCTCGATAGTGAAGAGGATTTGTTGGATCGTCGCATGAATGGACTCGCTGGTGGGTTGATGGGAATTGGGGAAGGGGCTCAGACCCCTGGACTATGAGGTGTGGATTAGATTTATGATTTATGATTGACATTTGGAACTATTTTCGGCTTAGAGTGAGAGCAGTCATGTGTCCTCTAGATTTATATCTATCTCCTATTTGAGCTTCTCTTGTATGTAGATGTCCACGGGTAGAAGATGAGATGGTCACATGTAATCATCTCAACAACATTGTGTAGAAATGGAAATCTATCATCAAAGGGACAAAGGTGCAAGTGGCTCGTTCCCAGTAAGCCCCGACTTTTCCAGGAGGACAGCCCGATGCTCCAGATACGCTTTATATGGCGCCTTCGGAACAGTCTTCTCTTCGTCTGCCCATACTTGATATCCGACCTCGTCCCATACTTGAAGTTGACGGGCAAAATTTGTGCTTGGTCTGACTCGTATTGGCGTTTGTTTCATTCTCACAAACTCCAATGCCTCCGTTTGGGGAATGTGCAATTTGCACATAAGATAGGCAATGACGACCGTTGGTGAGCGTGAGATGCCGAGGTCACAGTGGATCATGATCGCCTCTGGCTTATCGTCCGTTATGTGCTGGGCATCAACAGGTAAGGAGGCCAATGAAGAGAGTTCAGGAGATGCGAGCTGGTCGATAAAATCGCAGATATCACGCATGTACTTAAGGAGGTCTTGCGTTGGCGAGTCTGCGGCTTGAACCCATTTGTGATGATCTTCTGGAACTGCCCTTCTTGTGTGAGACCTCCACAATGCCCACGGGCCATCAGAAAGAGAGACGATTGCTTTGATACGGTTGTCCATAAGCATTTTGATGTTCCACGATGACTGGACATTTCCAAGAACGAGACCAGGAACGATCTGAGTCATTCGGGGAATTGAGTACTGCTCCCACTTCCTTTCCCTTTCAATCCTCTCTGTTTCAATCTGAATATCCATTTCTGCAGCGTTGTGGCTCATAGTGTGGTGTGTGCTTTAGATTGAAAGCCGGCGAGAGATGACAATGAGGGAATGTGGGATTGCGTAGGTGCTGGCGGGGTTAAGTCGCAGACGTAAGGGTAGGGTCTGCTTGCTTGTTCCGTGATATTTACGACTCTTTAGCCCTGGATATCATGTTTGATTGAATCGAGAGGAGATTTTATTCGATTCCACAGCTGATGGTAAATATTGTTAATGTACAGTTATGCTATTGGAGGTATTCTCACAATTTTCGGGCGACAAATCCCATTCGGTCTCTGCGTGATAGATTTACATCAACCACTTCATTCTGCGCCCTACTGCAGCATCAAGGGTGAGAATAGCCTCAAGTCGCGCCCAAACCACAGCCAAAGTCGCCGTTACCAATAATACACCAACCATAACGCTGGTATTCTCATAGCTTCGTGGACCGACACTCTTCTCGCCGCTTCCGCGGATCAGCGCACCAGCAACTGGGGTTCCAACTAACGTCGCAAAGCCGCGCACCATATAGAGTAAGCCATTAACACTGACGAAGTTCTGCACACCGAACAACTCTACCAGGCTTGTCGGGAAAAGAGCGACGTATGCTGATGCAAAGACGCCATAGAATATCGTGAATGTGATGAAGAGTGTACTACCGGTAGATTGTGTGGTGGATAGACATGAGGGAAGCCACAATGCGAGGACGGAAACGGCTGAAATGAGGGTGGTCAATACTAGGGTATTAAGTCTTCCCATCCGGTCAGCTGCGTGACCAATGACAACCTTGCCTAGGGCGTTTGCAGCATTTGAGATGGCAATAAAATTCGCCGATGTTGCCTGTGAGTAACCGAGTGTACGGGCAAAAGATGCGAAAAAGAATACTGGTGTATAGTATGCAGCAGATTGCAACGCTGCACCCAAAGCATGAGCGACGAACTTGCGGCTCTGAACGACTCGCCAGTCAACCAATGGAAGGCGGAAAAACGTTGTGGACCGGGTAGAAGCGGCATTCTCGGCTTGAATACGAGCGATCTGACTAGCAGGCCAGCGTATAAATGTCCCCGATCCGCAGATGAATACGAAGGAGATCCCCGCCGTGACGCGGAGCGTGTTGCGGAATCCGACAGACTCGATGAGGTATCGAAAAGCCAGTGGCCACGCGACGCCGCCGATTCCGGTCCCTGCGAGAATTATTCCCATTGCTAGTCCGCGGTGCTGGGAGAACCAGGTCGGTGCCACCGTGACAGATGGCATATACGTTAAACATGTGGCGATGCCCAGAAGAACGCCCTGGGTGAGGATAAATTGCCATAGATGTTGGCTGAAGCTTGCGAAAAGCAGAGCGCTTGAGTGAATAATCCCACTAGCCCAAATGACATATCGAGGGGAATATTGTTTTGTCCATGCTGTTGCAAATGGAGCACCGATGGTCATCAGTGCGATTGAGAGTGTGCCGATTAGGTCAATTTGCGCTGGTGTTGCGCCGGTGAAGGGGCTGTTTGGTTCCTTTGACATTGAGTCGTAGAGCTCTTGGAAGACACCAAATGCGAAATTTATTCCACATCCTGTGAAGACGAGAGTTGTCGAGGCGATAATGATGACGATTGCATGCCTGCGGTCGTGTTAATGAACTCCTTATGGCGAAGCCTGCAGTGCATACATATTATTTGGATTTCGTGAGGCTACTAGACCTCCGTCGACATGCATTGGTGCTATAGGACGTTCCATCTTGCACTCTAGTGCGTATTCAGTGCATGAGCTGTGTTTAGACTAGAGGCTGAGGAATGAAGATGTAAAAGTGAGGTGAGATGAATTGAATGAGATTGCCTGGGCAATTCTTCTATCAACCCGGTTTAGCCCTAACCGTCTGAGTCATTGCGGGGTATACACTACATTGACCGAGGATGTTCAATCATACACGAAGATGCACTTTTGATTCATATCTAGAGTTTCTATACACAAATGTCATAAAGACCAATTTGATCTGAAGGCATGGCTTTACTATGAGTGGACCAGTGCGACCAACATCTCAAATTTGCGGACCAGGTGGATCCCATCGTGTTGGCGCACCCATCTCCAATCTGTCAGAGCTGCTATAATGAGGAAGCGAATGTTTTTCCGATGGCTCTGTCGTACCATTCAAAGAAAGGGTATCTATGATTAGGCGAAGCATCCGATTTTGATTCTGCGCAGTCGTACAAGAACACTCGAACTTTTGGCACTGATTTTGAATTTTGCCCAAGAGAATCATACAAGGTGAGCTTGGAGTATACTGTAGCGTATAAGCCCCAGGCTCCTATCTGCTCGCTAATGCAAGGCAATCTGTTTCTAGGGACCATTTTCATCGAAGGGTATTGTCTAGTGAATTCGGATCTATGCCTTTCGAGATAAACAGCGGCTTCACGGAGATTTTGCACCTTGGACGATGTCTCTCCCTTAAAGACCTCGGTAGCTTTACAGACTCGTCAAATGCATTCATGTCTGCCCTTCAAATAGTATATATGAGAATCATGCACTGCCCGACAAAGAATTGAATTTATAATCAGTCAAGACTTTCCCGTAACATATTCTAGTAGCAAACGGGACAACAGAGGGCTCAAAGCCTTGAGTGTCAACAGATTCGTCTCCTAGGAATTTAAAATGATAGTGGAAATCTCGATCATGATGGGGGAGTTCCAGTCTTCTCCGCTCTCATTTGGAACCACGGTATTTCAGCTGGCCTGTGGGTAACGATGGCACTAACGGGGTATAGTTGGATGACGGATAGATCCTTCGAATCCACATTGTAGACATGCACAATCCATCGGAGATTTCTGCGACAATGGTTTCTCTGAGTCATGCTCGGAACAATCCGGCTGGAAGATAAATCCCCTGGCTATCAAGCTATATTTTATAGAATCAAAGCCGAGGAGAGTAGAAAAATTGAATGCTTCGTCGAAACTTCCTCGGACTCCTTCCCGCGCTCTTAGGCCGAGCACCTATAAGAGGGACAGAAAAGGAACTTGCATCCAGCATATTCTAGATCAGTGATGTGATAGTTTGAGCTAGGATACTAGTGAGCTGAGCAATTATTCAAGAAAAGAGACATGTTCTTTTGACCCGCCTGAAGCTACGCTAATAAAGCAAGCACTATTTGGAAGCGATCAGAACGCCATTCCAATAGTGGATGACCAAGGCCGTCGGCAATCATAGTGAGGATGTTACTAAAGGGGAAATTCTATGGTGCCATATCGAAAAATCTGCGCTTAAAGTCCATTAGTTCGCATCTCATGCAAGTCGTACCAACGCGAACTCAAGATCGAACGTATGATGTGTAGGAGATCCACCTGTAGAATTCGACTGCCGAGTATAAGCGACGTTGAATTTTAGAGGGCCCTGAATATCAATGGGAGACAGAGATCGGAAAAAGGAAATGCAGACTTGACGAGGGCTGAGATATAGATATGTGTAGTCGGATGCCTTTCGGGCAGATGGATTTCGAGTGACATGTTTGGCTCTCTTTCAGATATAATAATATTAGGGGTATCGAATTTCGGAGCTGTCGGTCTAGATTTGACGGTTCCATTTTAAAATTTCCAAACAACGTACGATGTTCCGCCAACATCCATATTAGCCTGGATCTAGACTCAGGAGCGCGCGGCTATCCCCGCAAAATGGATCCCTGTCACCCGCAAAACGATAGGAAGAAGTAGGAGAAAAAGTCAGAGGAATGTTCATCTCAATCTGAACAGGAATGGATCAGGTCAATTGCCTTAATCTCATCTTTCAAACGTCTCGAAGTGCAAAGTGGATTAATTAGGGCCCACTTGGGCTTTGTATAGATGAACTTGGGATCCACTGGCTGTCTACCGTCCATGGATTCGGTTATTGATATTATTTGATTAATTGATTATTTTCTTCTGATTGGATGATGAAAAATTTGACGTTTCTGTAGAATATGCTTGATATTCATGTGCGTCTTCACAGCGCAGATCAACTTTTGTGCCTCGACTCTATGAATCCCTTGTATCATCTCAGACCTCGTCTCTAGACCTTCTAGCTGGTATTTTGAATCTGATCCAAGTCTATACTATACGCAAACTTGGAGATAGTCCATAGCTCTACATTGACCTCGGGATCTGTCATTTCTTCAGGACCTCGGGAGACCTCTAGCCCCATCCTCACCCTTGGAACCGTCTTGAACGGCCAACTAACCCGATATGGATCTATCGTTTGACATTTAAATAATCCCAGGTCGAGATAACTGGAGTCTCCGCGATTCACCAACTTCACATATGCTTCGTGTTTCCTTTCAATGAAGGCCACTGGCGATTTTGGCCCTGCGCCTCCGGGCATCGACCTGGCCGAGAATCAGCAACCCCAGATGCTGGGTGCTGTCATTACGTTGATGATTATTGGAACCCTGGCGGTTCTACTGCGCGTATATACACGCGCAAAGACAACTCAGACGAATTTTGGTCTGGATGACCTTTTGATCGTGGCGTCTTTGGTATGTCTGAACAATTATACTGATCAATGGATCTTCAGGCTGACCTATCATCTGCAATATAGTGGTTTGCCTACGGCACTGGTATATGCGTGATCGTCAGTGAGTATATTAAGAGTCGAACCTCAAACTTCCTTGCTGACTCTGGATCCCTAAAGGTATCAAATACAAAAATGGATGGCACCAACAAGCTCTCACCAATTCCGATTTTATCGCGCTCTGGAAGCTCCTTTTCGCACATGTCTTCCTCTACTCCACGACCGTCACATTGACCAAATCCTCAATCGTTATGTTTTATCGTCGCATTTTTAACCTCCGCTGGTCCCTATATTACGCCATGGCCGTCGTTTTAGGCTACTTCATTGCTGCCATTGTCACCATTTCAGTTGGATGTCGTCCGACATCATTCTTCTGGGAGCAATACACAGATCCCACAGCCGAAGGAACATGTATAGACGTTCGTCAATTCTTCTTCATCAACGGAATCTTTTCTGTCGTCATTGATGTCATGATCCTGTGTGTTCCAGCTCCTATCATCTGGAATCTGCAAATGCCCAAGTCCCAGCGCATGGCTGTCACCAGTATCTTGCTGCTCGGTGGTTTGTGAGTCTTCATGGAACTTCGGGAAATTGAGAACCCATGCTAATCAACCCCATTATAGTGTCTGCATTGCCGGTGTCGTTCGCGTTGTTTTCTTGCACAAACACACACAATCTGACGATCCCTCCTGGACAATTGCGCCTGTCTTTGTGTGGTCCTGCGTTGAACCTTTTGTCGGAATTGTCTGCGCCTGTCTGCCGACCTTTTCGCCTTTATTCCGCCGCTGGTGGGCCATTTTGGGCATCAAGAAGTCTGCTTCCAGGAAACAAGAAGATTATGGTTCAGGGGGCACTCGGAATCGTCGTTCGAGAAACCACGAATCGGAAGATGAGGAAGAGGGCCCTGATGGTGATGAGATTCAATTGACCAGTTTCCCTGGCTGGCCATTGAACTTCTTGCGTGGAAAGGCTAGCAAAGATGATGTGAGATTTTCCAACGCTAAGATTCGGGTCAAAGAAGAGGTCACGATCTCATTTTCGGTGGATCAAAGATGAGCCCCTGACGGAAATTATGATACGGCAGATTTAATCAAAAAAGCTTGTACATTAAAAATGTTTCGCATAAACCTTTCCCATTTTTTACTTACCCCGGTAGAATTGGAAGAAATTATCTAGAGAGATACTACAACGAATGCTATATGAGGCTACTTATCGATCAATCATTCTTGTCAACTTAGATTGTGACAGTGACAGTGGATTCACAAACGCAAACTACACTTACATACGACAGCGTGGTAAGGAATCAACACAGATTAACGATGTCGCATCAATCCATCGTTCGCCAAATGCACGTATGTTCTTCGCTCATAGAATTAAATTCAGCAAGCCCCTCACGACTTGCAAGGATCGTGTGTGGTTCAAGCGCGAGTCAAATAGCCTTCCCACCAGCTCACCATCCATCTTCTTCCGGCCTCGGGAAATTGTCATGTTTTGCATTTTCATCATCAGCTCAAGCTCCGTTCTGTTCAAGCTAGGCGGGGTGGGATATCTGAGCTCTTGGACTCCGATTAGGTATTCCACGAGTCTATATCATTAGTACACATGGCAGATTTGATCAAATAGAAAGGATGTCTCGCACCGATCGTGAAACGTGGTTGGAAAGTAACATTTGAACCCTCCTTCCCGGGCTTCTTCCATGTGCAGCCAACCTTTCGTGAGGCATGATAACATGGCCTCACTTTGTGGGTCAAACAAAAGGCCTTGAGCGGCGGTGTGATGAGCCTGGCGAAGAACCTCAAACTCCTGTTCAGGAGGGAAAAAGGTTTCGGGCGAAAGGGGAAGACCAATGAAGTCTACACTTGCCGCGATTGTAGCTTCCAGCATGCCGCGAACTTGGAAGAATTGACTAATTTCATAGTCATCGAAGCTCATGAAGTCAACGCCATATTTCTTGTACCATGCCTCATACCACTGGGGGAATGTTAACACGACAGGAATTTTAATACAGGAAAATCACATACCATGTCGCAGAGATGCATAAATGCGTCCATCAACTCAGGTTGGCCCTCGGTCAAGCCATAGATCCAATGTTTCAAAACTTCGCAGATTTTGTAGTCGGATCCTCGACCCTGGCGATGCATTTTGACATAGAGATCAAATTCCTTTGGGGTGTAGAAAAGGGTGATCTCCTTAGTAAAACGATCGGACAGGAAAAGGCGTTGACTTTTGTTGAATACCAACAGGTCACTCCCCATGTTATGTGGCATAACACCCCTATCTGGGGTACCGAATGCACTGAAAATACAGAAGCTGGCCCCTGGTATGCCCTTGAGGCGATCTTGATTCACCGAATGCAGAAGTAACCACAACTCAGAGTTGTTGTAGGTTGTGTGTGCGTCATCGATGAGAAAGACGAATTTGTGGCGGATAATGTCGTGAGTGAATGCCACAAAACCGCACATGTTACAGGCCTCTACCAGAGATTGCAACACGGTGGGACCACCCTCTAATCTAGGAGGGAAACGGGCCATGTAAATCGATTTCACCCCCTGTCCACGGAGGAAGATATCCAGAGATTTGGCGAGAAAGGACTTTCCCGATGACGGAGTTCCACGAGCAAGCACTACTCTTTCTTCATGAAGGAGTTTGGAAAGCTTTCTCACGGTTTGATGTCTTGGGTGGAGGACCTGACTAGCAGTAGGATCTGACGGGTGCGCTAAAAGAGCGTTAAAAATGTTTTTGACAGAGAGAAGGAACAGCTTACGCCTCAGTCTGAAATGGTAACTGATTGGATGTCCACACTCCGGGCAACAGGTCGATGAATACTCGGACTCATCAGACTGTCCTCGGCCAAGGCAAGGGCAGCAGTAAGTACCATTGCCACTCCAGTAACAGGCCCCCGTTGCCATTTTGTGCCTAAGTCACTAGCCACACGGGCTGATATGGAAGTGGAAATGAGCAGCGGATGCGTTGTGGAGGCTCATACAAGGAAGAAGAGAACTGGGTCGAAGACTGGATTGGCAGTGAAAGAGAAGAGAAAGAAAGAGAGAGAAGAGCAAATCAAAACATGGGAAGAATCAAAGTCGGCAAACGATGGAAGGCGTGAGGATCGCTCTTTCCCAAAAGGACGCCAGATCCTCCTGCCATTTGTCTGCTCTTGCCATTGTAAAGGGCAACGCTCCATTGAGTACCAAGAGATCCATGACTACACGAGTTCACAGGGTTCCAAGCTTTAAAATCTAGCAATGTAAATGAGTTAACGTTCTCGGAACACAAGGAACAGCTCCTTCTGGAATCTACGAGGCAAGCAAGATGAAGACCTCCTCAGCGTATTGCCGGTGGACCCGCTGGTGGTTGGTATCATATGGGAACCCTTTCTCAGCATCATTTCCCCCGGCAGCGAGGCTACCACACGAATCCAGATATAGGGTAGATCTCCTTTCGCGCCCAGCTCGACGACTCACAAATAGCCGGGTGATTTGAGGATCTCCAGAAAAGACTGTGGAGCATGGGCAATGGCCCACATCTTTTCTGAGGCAAGCATCAGGACAATATAGGGGGTAGTGACCGTATTTGATTATTTATGGGTGTGACACTTCCATGCTTGGCTATCGTTTGAATGGTAATTTGTGTCAATATTTGGCTCAAAGAAGGGACTCGAGAGGAGTGGTACAGCGACTTCGTCCAACGTGCTCTTATATCGTTGATTGGTTGTGAATATTACTCAAAAGTAGCATGACTCATTGCCTACGGTTGGAAAACGATGATCCTTGGATGACTGCACACAAACAGGCCAATGATGGATTTTTGCAGCTGCTTTCTCTACTAGGAGCTACAAGGAGCTACAAGGAGATGAACGTGCATGCTTGGCGGTTATCTTTTTACCCCGCAAACCCAAAGATAAGAGATAAGGTCGATAAGGTCGCCTGTTTCTCTTCTTCATCTCTTCTATACCTCTGCTATGACTCTCGACCGAGAACCAACTCATGGTAAGCGTAAACGTGGGGACAGGAGACGTGCCTCTCTGGCGTAAGTCAATTCTCAATCTCACTCCGTACTTCCCATTGACAATCCCCAAGTTGCGAGACATGCAGAAAGCAAAAGGAGAAGTGTGAGGGGGGTCCTCCCTGTTGGAGATGTCAACGACTAGGTCGATCATGCCAATTTCAAGGCCAACCGATACCGAGAGCGACATCCCCTTGTCCCTCTTCCGCCCCCGTCACGTCCGCTCCGAGAGACGACAGTCGGCGAATAGAAAGCCTGGAGTATATTGCTCGCCATTTTCTTGGCGATGTTCCTTTGGACGAGGAGAATGTCTGCCGTATTGCGGATCAATTACAAAGCTCGACGAGCACTACCCGGCCGGAAACTACCCTAGATATCAACGAATCATTCGATGTTCATTTCGTATCAAATAATGTGGCGCATTACGCCGGGGAATTTTCTCACTGGACATTTTCCCAGAAATTACGGCACAAAATGAGCTGCCAAATAGACCAGCCTAATTCCAGTGTTTGTATATATTCCTGCGAGCTCTCAAGAGGGTCTAACGATTGACAGCAGGTTAAAGAATACTGGCGACCAACGCAGCTTCAGTCCTCACCCAATATCATACTGGAGACAATGACACATTTACCACCGAGACCTATTGCCGACTTCCTCGTTACCATGTTCTTCAAATACGTCGAGATCAACTCCTTTTACATGGAACGGAAATGGATTGAAGAGAAGGTGGCTCTCTGTTACAGCTCGGCAACTACATATACGGCCATTGACTTTCCGTGGGTATGCTCGGTTTTCATTACTTTGGCCATTGGAACTCAGGTAGCCCATATGGAGGACGAAAAGCCGACTCCCGATTCGGAGGTCACAGAAGAGCTCAACTTATGCTCTGAAGACTCTGTCGGCCTAATCTTCTACCATGCGGCATGCAAGCTTATTCCAGATGTTCTTTTGGTTGCTTCTCATGAAAGTGTCCAGGTCTTCTTGCTTCTCGCCACATATGCACTGCCAGTTTCCACAGGTGGCCTTGCTTACACATACTACGGTCTTGCAATGAAGATGGCTATTCAAAACGGGATGCATCGAAGATACGAAGGCGGCAACTGTGACGCTAGAACCATAGAAATCAGGAATCGGTTATTTTGGACGGCATACACAGTTGAAAAGTATGAAAATCAAAAGGGCATCTTCGACGCAAGCTAACCTCCGATATTTCATAGATATATTAGCATCTTGCACGGACGCCCGATGTCAATCGCGCGATCTGAAATCAACGCTGACATGCCAAGAGACTGCTCTACGTTTGAGTCACCACGATTTGCAAACCTAATGGCGTTTCATAAATTGATTCCATATTTAGGGGAGGTCTCTGAAACACTGTAAGTGGCTCAGATTGGGCAATCTGTTTATCAACTATAGACTAATACTTCGGTAGTACGCAATTTAAAAAATGTCCCAAAAGACTCCTGTCTGATTATTTAGAGCGTCTTTTGCAGGTGAGGGCAAGTATCAAGCAGTGGTGGGATTCGCTCCCAGCCACTAGAGAATGTCGAGACCTGTGCTCGCAAGGCCCGAATTTCCGACAGAACGCGCATCTCAGATTGTGCTATCTGCTCATATATGTCTACATGGGTCGTGCGTTCATCTTTGTTGATGACAGAAAACAACCAGGTGAGGCTATCATTGGCGCAGATCATGATTCAGGACGTGCGTCTCGGTCGGCTTTGGTGGACGACTGCGTATCGAGCGCTTTGGATATTCTCAACACTTTACAATCATTATCGGACCATGTCGGTCTTTGTCGTGCTTCTTATAATGAATTTGGTGCTTGTCGTGCGGCTATTCTGGTCATTCTTGCAGAAAGCCTCAACTCGGGAAGGTCCCAGAGACTCCAAGATGGCCTGCACCGCGGAATGGGTCTGATACGTCAGATGGTTGGTGGAAGCTCTTCGAAATCGGAGATATCATACCTGGAGTCTATCGAAGCAGCTATCAGCCAGCTTCTAGCCGCACCTGAAGAAGACAACGTTTTCCAGTCGCAGAGTGATCAAGGTTCCATCTCTGCATATTCAAAGTTCAAAGACTGGACGCAGTCGCTAAAGAAGGACAAACCAGCAAGTGGAAATCTCGAGCTATCTTCGTTTAGTCCATTGGCACATCTTACTCCTGGCACGGAGCCTTTTGCACTTCCAGAACTGAACGAAATGACGACTCTTTTTGACCCTGACTGGTCAAATGGTGATTTTGAGTTTAATACGTATAATCTTTCATCGCTGTCAAAGTGAATTCATATTGAGAAACATAGAACTAAGATCTTTCACGACTGCTTCACCTATCCAAATATCATATACTGCGCACGCTTTCTCCAATTTTTCTGGTCGTTCTTCTCTGGATCTCGCTCCGTGTCTTCAGCTGCAATAGCATTGATGAGGTCCTGCTCATCAAACGCTTTGGCAGGACCGAAGTCCATGTCGATTGGCTTGACTATCTTTGTTTTGAAATACCACTGCCAAAGTCAGATATCCTTCATCAGTCATAGTTGAAGCACTCACCTTATATCCCAAGTAATCGAAGAAGAATAACGGAGCTGCGAGATAAGAAGAGAAGAAGCTCTTTACCGAACCCTTTTCTCCGAATGGCCAGCAAGCCAGGTAGAATTGACAACCGAAGATAAACACCACAATGGTGAGACTGATATATTGCGCCCATGGGGTGAGAAGACCTTTGAACGGAAGTGCGCTAAGATCCTTGCCTTGGGCTCGAAGACCCTGTCGGAAGCGAAGATGGGCTATATAAATACAGCCCCATTGGAAAAGCGTGGCTATTGCCACCTGTGTTGAACTGTCAATAATTCATCTCATAAAAGCCTTCCTCCGGGCTGGGTGTACTTTGGACTTACCAAGGCAGAGAACCAACTATACACCAAAGTTCCCACACTGTTGCAGTTAAGATAACCCAGTCCACCACCAAGGCCCAAGCTGATAGCCAAGGACACATAGGGCCGACCCTGTGAGTCCTTTCTTCCGAAGACCGGATGGATGATCTGTAAATCGGCGAGTGCTGTCAAACTTCGACTTGCGATATAAACACTGGTAATACCACAGCTGATGACACTAAGGAAGATAAAACCATTGATTGCGTGTGCTAACCCATAGACATCCGCTCGCTTGATTGCAATGACAAAGGGGCTTCCCAAAGTCCCGCTGGCGTTGATAAGATCGGTGTCGTTGGATGGTACACACATTCCAACGAGCCAGATATTGACCACGAAGAAGGTAAACATTCTCCAGAAAACGGGTCGAACTGTTTTCTTGATAGTGCGACGGGGATCAGCTACTTCACCAGCTATAACAGCGATATGCTCACCTAATTTCAATTAGTACATTCTTCTGGAATTTTGCTCGCATCTCGGATATCATACCACCACCAAAGCTGAAGGCTGCCTGTACGAAAGCTTTAGCGATGCCCTTTATTCCATTATTGAATGCCCCGGGGTTCTTCCAGTATCGAAACTCGATTGGCCCATCCGTTCCTGGTATTCCTCCAGATGTCATGATAAACATGAAGAATATCATCAGGATAACTGCGAGGCACTTCACGAACGACATATAATACTCAATATAACCATACACGCGGACGTGGAACATATTTGCAGCCGCGAAGACTACTAGAAATATGGTAATGAATGCCGCGAGTGGCATAACATCTGTCTCTGGCCAGAATTTCAGGACAGATATGGCTGCTGTAATCTCTGCTGGTATAATCATCACCCACTTTATCTACGTCAATACATGCGATGTTCATATTATAGGAGTTTGACGTACCGCAAACCAGAAATTGACACCAATCGCAAAGCCGAAAGCCGGATCTACATATTCAGCACACTGGCGGATAAAGCCACCATGAACCGGCTTGTATGTAGTCATCTCGCCGATTGAAGAGTATTGGGCGTACACGATCATCCTGGGCAGAAGGCGTTAGTCACGAGGACACAAGGGCAACGTGTCCTGGAGTACCCTACGCTGTGATCGTATAGGTAAGTGCCATACCAGCAGGACCGGCTATCCAATGTCAGTAATCGCATTCTTCAATCCCAGGGTGTATATTAGTGTTTCACTGCCTACCATAGTGCAATGCTTGTCCAGTCCCCACCCAAAGGCCAGTACCAATGCCGGCCCCAAAAGTCATCATCATGATTTGACGTCTCGTCAGGGAACGATGGTACCCAGCATCTTCTGCCGCAGATAGGACAATAGTACTACCATGACGCTCAGTTCCTGAACTCGCCGAGCGTTCAATGTCATGTGTCTCGCTTGTTTTGAGATCAATTGCGTCCTTCGCGATCGACATTGGAGGTTCGCTCATGCTGGTAACCCCTTAAGTCGTAGACGAGAGGCTTGCTGCAGCGAAAGCAAATCTTAAAGCTGCTATTGATTGATATATCTCATATTTAGTCAATGCTAGATGCATCCTTATCGTTATCTGGCATCGCCATGTCCCGAGGTCGCATTCCGGCGGGAGCGAATGCTGACTTCCCGGCGGCACTGTGCTGGACCGGCCAGTGTCTTTGGGGCTAGTAAGTAATCAGAACCATATTTTACCGTATGTACCAGTATGAACAGAATAATTTCCATTATAACGACAATTCAAGCCTACCCTACAAGGTAAGTTGAAGGTGTAAGTACCGAGATACTAAGCCAGAACAACGGCAGTAGGAAAATATGATTAGAAGTCGTTTGAGACAGCTAGAATATATTATCTGTTAAAAAAGAGATAAGAACGGTTTTGAAGATAAATGTCGTGCTCATATTTCATGCCGAATTCTCGACAGGCTCAAACCACGCCGTGCACTTGTGCGGTAGTCATGGTCTGAGGCGCTAGATGACTACAGCGGCTCTCAGCAAATATAATGAAGGCTTGAGGTGTGAAGTTATGTAGGTCATCCACTAAAATCCAGTAGGACTATCAGAGCTACACCGATAGCGACGCAGTCTTATATCTATCTTGGGAGATCGGTGGGTATATACCTTTACACCGGCAGCCAACACTCTCTTCCTCTGCTTTCTTTCAGCAGGGTATTATCTCGATGCTAAACACACTATCAGCGAGCGAAATTCTATTTCTTTTTCCGTGCATGTGGAAATTCCGAAACTGTCATTACAACAATGCTCTATTAAGAGAAATGTCTTGCTAGTTTCGTGGACCTGAAGGTCAAAGTCTGCGGAGATCAGAGCACTTACGCATGCATGTTCTAATCTTACTTGTAATTACTAGTAAGTGTATATGCAGTACTAGTATTTTTCTATTATCTGCGGTTAGCTACGAGTATCTAACATCATCTCCGATCTATACTGTCAACGATTGACAATCACATCCGGTGCGGGGTACTATATGATCCATAGTCTTAGGGGTCAAAGATACAACCAACAAAGCTGACCTGTTCCTGACTACTTATTTGATTTTTCTCACTATCCTTTTGATCTATAAGTCAACCTCCTCACTCTCAAAAAAGGTGCTTCAGGATAACGATATCATTCAATATAACCCTTCTCCAGATCGTCAATAAAAAAACTCCAACATCAACTACCATGTCCTCATCTAAGCACGTTGTCTTTGACATTGTTGGAACTCTCGTCGCCTACGATCATGTTTTCGACGCCATCGATGTCCGCCTGGGCAATAGATTGCGCGCAGAAGGAATCAAGCCTCGTCTTCTTGGGTTCACCTGGATGGAAGCAGCCGAGCGCGAGTACACCAATCTGAGTCTTGCACAAAGCTACGTCCCCTTTGGTGAGGTTTTTCGCGCACTGTTCTATCGCATGCTCTGGATGGCCGGCATCGCTGAGCCCCGGACCTGGGCTTCACCCGAAGATCTGGAGTACATCATGACGGAATACCAACTTCTCAAATTCCGTCCTGGTGCAGCAGAGTGTGTCCAAAAATTGCGCGATGCCGGTTTCACGGTGTGGGCTTTCACCGCAGCGGATATCAACCGTGTGAGTGGCTATTTCAATAATGCAGGTGTTGAGCTGCCTGCAGAGAACTTGCTCTCTTGTGATGACGGCGGTGTCGGTAAGCCTGACTTGGACGCTTATCGTCCTTTGTTGGAGAAGCTCAAGTCGGAGAATGATGGGAAGACACCCTGGTTTGCGGCGGCACATATGTGGGATGTCTCTGCGGCGAGGAAGGCTGGGTATGTGTTTCATCATTGAGTTGGAAGTTGCCAAAGCCAATTACTGACAGTTAATCATACAGATTCAAGGGGGCATACTGCTCTGTCTGGGAGAAGGAGTCCTTGTCAGAGCTTTTTGGAGAAATGGATGTTATGGATGATACTTTGCCAGGAATGGCGGACAAGATCATTGCCCACCAGGCGTCGACTTGAGTTTTCGTGTTTAATTTAGTATAGTTCAATTTGAATATGATGGCCCTTCGATTCAATATATCAACTCCTGCGCATTTGTAAATATTAGAAATTTTCCTACAATAACACTAGCCAAGGTCATATTCTACAACTGTTCGTATATTCTTGCTCTGACGGTAAACAATTTCCCAACTCGGCTGGTTCCATTCTATGTGAATTGGGTTTCATTATATTTTTGCCTCTCAGTCTCCAATTTTTCAACTCCGCCCCTCAAATCCTTAGAATAGAATGGAAAGGGTTATCGCCCTGTAGGCCTGAACGTCGTTAGCGAGGCGAGGACCGGGAAACTTACCGGTGGAAAAGCCGCCGGGAGAGATGACAGCCTCTCTAGCCCTTCACCCTCGATCTCAATAAATGTCAATAAATATCAAATGATATTCAATTCACTATTCTAACGCTAATTGTCTTGGACTCCCAATGGAATCGAAACATACTCCGGTCCCAAATGGGATGACGTCATTCTGGCGGACAGAGCCTCACTTCCTAGACAGCCATCGATCGACCGAGTCTCTACCCCATGAGTGCGATATTGTCGTCATAGGAGCTGGTTATGCAGGAGCATCTGTTGTGCATCATATTTTCGATCAAATCGCACCCAGGTCGAAGCCGCCCTCGATTGTGATCTTGGAGGCTCGGCAGGCTTGTTCTGGCGCAACCGGTCGAAATGGTAAGATTGGGATAGTCACGAATCAGAGTTGGTAGACTTGACTGAGGTGCCTTATTTTTTGCAGGAGGACACATGAAACCTGATTTATATAACGGGATCGCTGGCTTGGCCGCTGATCACGGCGTCGAGGCCGCCGCTGAGGTTGCAGCTTTCGAGGCTAAACATGTCTCAATTCTCAGGGAGTTCGTTAAAAGGGAAAACATAGACTGTGAATACACGGTCACAAAGGCTATTGATGTTCAGCTGTCTCGGGAATGTAGTGCAAGTCTCAAGGAGGGATATGAAGGATTGATCAAGAAGGGATGTGAGCCAACAGCCAAGGCGAGATATATCCCCATCAATGAGGCGGAGAAAGTGAGTGCATGTTTGAAACGTCTTACTCGGATGTCCTAACTAGTGATATTCCAGTTCTCCGGAGTCAAAGGTGCACAGGGCTGTTTCACATATGATGCCGGTCACATTTGGCCATACAAATTCGTGCTGCACCTGTTGGAAAAGGCAATCTCCCAAGGTGTAAATTTGCAAACGCACACACCGGTATCTGGAATGACACAGTCTACTTCCTCGACATCGGGTCATTCCTGGATCGTGAACACTGCCCGAGGTTCCATCGCCGCCAAGAAAGTGATTTTAGCGACAAATGCCTATACTTCGTCTCTGGTCCCTCAGTACAAGGGGAAGATTATTCCTGTCCGAGGAACATGCAGTCGAATCGTCGTTCCTCCGGGTACTACCGCGCCTCGTCTGACTAATACTTACACCCTGCGCTGGAACAATTGGAATTATGACTACCTTATCCCACGGGCTGATGGAAGTATAGTCGTCGGCGGTGCTCGTCCGGCTTTTATTGATGATCTAGACAGCTGGTACAATGTCAGTGATGATAGCTCGGTACTTGGGCCTGCTATCCGATACTGGGATCATTATATGCAGCGGAATTTTGTCGGTTGGGAGGATAGTCATGCATATACGGACAGAGTCTGGACAGGGAGTACGTTGTTCGATTTCTAATACACCAGTCTGCCAAGCTAACTCACACCCTCAATAGTCATGGGATATTCGACAGATGGACTGCCGCATGTTGGTCATGTCCCCGGACAAAAGGATCAGTATATCATCGCTGGTTTCACGGGACATGGAATGCCCCAAATTTTCCTCGCGGCAGAGGGTCTGGCAAAAATGATACTCGGTGATGTCGATTTTGTGCAAACTGGACTCCCACGTCTGTTTAAGTCTACTCAATCCCGACTTGAGAGTCACCAGAACAAGATATTTGCTAGCACTCCTGGGAAATCTCAAGCAAGATTGTGATTTGAATTTGTGACCAACTATGTATTTGAATGGCCTTGCATTATCACATCAATGATTGGAATCCTTCTCGGTTGCCAATTTGGGAAATGCAAGTAGACTTTATGCCATCCATGGATCACAGCCTCTTCCCTTCTCGGACATTCACATGACCTTCAGGGCTCTTCTTTGGCTGTCCTTCAACTCTTTCCCTAGAAAATTTCATCTCAACCCATTGAGTCAATTATACACAATTTCTTGCAATTCCACAATGAGCGATTCCTCTGTTCCGAAAGTATCGCTTCAAAGGCTCGACAGCTATGACCATGTGGAAGTCACCCACACATCCGTGCAAGAGATGGAAGTCTCAGCCACTGCCGAAAACCTCGACCAGGTACGTGTCACAATCCCCGAGGTGCGAGATGGAGCTGCGGACTATGTCTGCACCTCTGTCTATTGCATCTACTAAACAATATCTCTTAGCTGCTTCTCTGGACACAGGAAACAACAATCCAGTTGAATGCTGGCTTAGAGATTTTTGAAACCCTAGCGGATGACGGCAGCAGCGATAAAAGTGAGGAAGAAGTTTGGGAGCCATACAATGACTACATCGGGGAAGGTGATGAAAGTCCTGAGGTGTGCGAGGAAGAGGGTCATTTCGCATACGAAGATAACGCGCTCGATCTTGAAGAAGATCAGTTCAGCTACGAGGAAGACACGCTTGACGTCGAGGACAGTGCGTTTGACTACGAAGATGCCCTTGGCGACGAGGGAGATTCATTCGACTACTAGAGAACAGACGAATGCGAGAGCGAAAAGGAAAGTGAGAAGGGGAGAAATGAACTTGCAAAATAGTGCGAGCGGCATGGAGAGAGGCAGATGAAGGCGATTAACAGAATCGGATGGTCATGGAGTATTTACCATGGTGGAGAACGAAATTGTATCACTTACAGTCCTGTATCGTTATTCACCGCATTTTTCTACGATCTCAAGATTTTCCTATGTGTTTTGTATATCCTGGTGCCGACAATACAATATTCTCAATTTGACGGTAGAGATCTGTCCCTGTAGAGGTGCACGTTGTAGTCCGGGGACCGAGCACCTTGGAATTCCCCTTGTTCCTTCCCAAACCTCCGTCTCCTTCTCTTCCCTTTCGACTGTGTCTCCCTCACGTCTGGATGTTTCGGCGTCAAACTCTCCATAGTACCTAATCTTTAAACACCTGATTTATTAAGCGTTTGATTCCCTTTTACGGAGGCATACCAGAATCCTTCTATTTACATAACATCTTCAGAATATAGATTTTTTGATACATATGCTTAACTCGGTAGATTTAAGATATCTTATCAGTCACTCTGGGAGTAGATCTGAACGTGTGATGCCGTTTGAGGCGGTGGGCTTGTTTGTTTCATATTGATTGGGAGCGATCGAAGACATTGGAATGCAGCTCTAGGAAGAGAAGAGAATGTTATCAGATAGCTGCATCTCGGAGACTACAACGTTGTAGAGATACTACGGCAATACGTACAGACATCCAAGGATAATGCATCCAGCACAGAAGAGAATTGCTTTTCGCTTCCCGATAGATTCGTAGTATTCATCGAGATAAAGTGACAAGCCTGGAATACATTCTGTCGGGTGTGATCGTAGGGGATGGTCATCGAGAAGCCATGGATCGTATTCAATCCGCGACTGGCTGTTGGCTTCCAGATCCAAAGTCTCCTTGGAAAACTCCTTGGTAACAGTATCATCAGATGAAGGAATAGCTTCCATAGCGAGCTGCAGAGGTGAGACTTCTCTGCAGAGTCCCAATTGTGCAGCGATCTATGATGCGAGGAACGTGATATAACTATTGTTGACTTAAGATATGTAGGACGAGGGAACCTCACGCAGTGTACGGAGTAAGGAGGAAGGAGTTGTGCGAAGCACGCAATCAAGATTGGCGATTGCATTTTCGCGATCGTCGGGAACAGTTGAGGTTTGTTCAGCAAGCTCATTCCAGGCAAAGAGCTGTTAGATTTACAGTCATTGATGGGTCCAGCCGCACAAACAATATGTACAATATACGTACAGACTACATGAGAGGGCACATCCGTTGTCGCTCGACTGGATCGCCAAGATGCCAAGACGCCAGGGCAAAGGTAGATCGATCAAGCATGGCTAGTACGGAGTAGACCTCCACAACGCCCACAAACGGGCCTAGATCCCGGGGCCAAACCCCAACCAGCAGTGGGCGATGGGCCCAAAGTTTGAGGCACCCCGAGCACATCAATTAGAGCCTATCAGGCCCCTATCAGGCCCCTATCAAACCCCTTCATTAATCACCTGATTAGTACTTGTCTTGGTGATTTTAGCCTGGCAATTGCTGCAGTATCTAGGGATCGGTATCTGTTTCCTTTTCAAGATCATCACATGACCTACAATTCGGGGCCGAAATCAGATGACCCAAAATTACTACTCCGAACCCCGAAGTCCGCACGGAGTACGCGCACGGAGTACGGAGTAAAAAGCCCTGCATTACTTGTAGAATTGCGACCAATCGGCATGTTGACATTATTTGGTGCCTGTTGGGCCCTATTGAACCGCCATGAGGCGCCCAGTGGGCTTAACCCCCCCCCCCGGCCCGCGGCCCACCGGTGGGCCCTGACCTGGGTCTTGAAGCCCAGCCCATTTGCGGGTTGGGCTGGGCAGAGTTGTGGGCTTTGCGCGCTTTGCGGAGGTTTCCAACGGTGTTTTCTTTGGCTCCGCATAATTCCAACAGATAGTGGCAAAGGACGGTGCGCGACATACGAGCGGGAATGACGGCTTTGGATCTTCCAGGTTCGACCTAGGCCAAAACAACACAAACGTTTATGACCTATCAATATTGGACGTATTCGGCACTTCCTTAACGCGCCCGCGAACGATCTTCCGTCACACGCGCTGTTAACTGAACACACAGGACGGTCCACCTTCCAGAGATGGGAGAAAGATAAGTACACGAGGTAGGAATGTTGTCATTGTAAAAAGCACTACATAAATCTCTAAGCGGGTAGATAGAGATACGGCGTGTGCATCAAATGATCATTTTTCATACGCCCCAAACTAGAAACCGTATGGGGTTATCAAGTGACAGGACTTTTTTTTCCATTTATCGAACTGTTCGTTGATACCGACCACTGACAGAACAATACCCAGCAACCTCTTGTGATAATGGCAGCATATGATTCAAGTGCACACATCTAGGTCTTGATCCCAGATGCTAGATTCTCGTGTACCGTATTGATATTCTGGTCATACTATGCCCGCTTCCGACGCACCCTGAGTCCAGACGAGGGAATCACTGTTCCAAGGATTTAAATCCTTATCTTGTCATTTCGCCTCCCAATCCCTCTACTTTACGGGAAAGTCACTTCAGGTGAGACCCCTGGGCTTCAGAGTTACATCGTCTCGTAGACGAAACAAACATTCCTATGATTGGTGCTAGTCCCGTCCCAGATCTAATCCCTGTCACCGCCGAATCATTCGACTCGGAGCCCCGAATGCATTTAAGAAGGGCCTCCCCCCGACTCCGAGTGCCCATCCTTTTTATTTCAGACCATTTTTGCCCCCCAGCAAAAAGCCCATCCCCCTCCATTCCTCTCTCTTGCACGTATTCTTTTCTCAAAAGAAAAAGAAACACCTTAGAAAGCAAATCGAGCGTGTGCTCTATACCACAAAATCGATATTTCAATATGTCGGGTCCCATGCCCGATGTGCACGGCTCTGCGGATGTAACCGCAGAGCCTAACCCACAGCCACGGTTGGTTATACAAGCTCCTCAAGCTCGCAATTCGAGCGATGATACTGATGTCTGTGCCTCTCTTTCTTTGTCGAAAACAGAACAAGATTCACGTCTTTCTTCTGAGGTCAAAGACCATGCCAATGTCCATGTGAATCACGATATATCGACCCCGTCGAACAACGATGACGGTCGCGTTGCCACCGAGGATGAAGTGCGCGACCTCCTACATGTCGTTGACAACATTCCTGTTCGGCTCTGGGTAGCATGCCTGGCGGGTATCCTCGAACGATTCGTCTGGTACGGGGCAACCGCTCCTCTACGTGCGTGGTAGATTCTCCTTATTTATAACCTTATTTGGCTGACTTTGCTCTAGAGAATTACCTGCAAAATGCCCCTGGGGGGAGGTACCGGGTGCACTAGGGCTGCAGCAGGCCGCTGCATCCAATATTGTGAATGCAGTGATCATCGGGTCGTACATCGTGCCCGTGCCTGCTGCTGTTATTGCCGATAGCTGGTTGGGCCGCTACAAAACAATGATATACTCTGCTATGTACTGTAGTCTTGATTCTTTTCCCACAGCACTTTTGGCTTGTTTGATTTGATGGCTAACAATATTGCAGCATTGAGGCCATAGGGGCAACCATTCTGTTCGCGACGTCCCTGCCCGTCGCCATCGAAAAGGGGGCAGCTTTACCCGGAGTCATAACTGCCTGTGTACTGATGGCCATTGGATCGGGGGCATTCAAAACGACGGTGGTACCATTTATCGGTGAGTTTGTATCTCAAAGTCAGGTTCTTCGGCCTAGAGGCTGATATCAATTAGCCGACCAATACGATGAAGCCGAGTTTCGAATCAAGGTTGAGAAGAAGAAGGGAGAGCTGGTTGTCACTAGCCGGCAATTGACTATTACCTATATCTATAATGTCTTCTACTGGTGAGTATATTGATATTTTCCCTTTTCCATCACAGCTAACGTTCAAGTCAGGGCTATTAACGTTGTGGGTTTTGTTGCCGATGCCACGCCATTGTTGGAACGTTATGTTAGCTTTTGGCTGGCCTACCTCATTCCATGTTGTGCCATGTGGCTGGCCCTAATCCCGATACTCTTCGGTCGCAAATACTTCAGTGGGTGTTCTTACTATCATCACAATATGCAGCTTGGCTGACATATAAAAACAATAGTCCGCGAGTCGCCAACAAGCAACATTATGCCCCAGGTGTGCGCTGCGTTGCGGTGTGGTATCACCGGTGGCTTCAAAATGGACGCTGCAAAGCCAGACGCACAGCTTCAGCAACACGGTCGCCAGGTCCCTTGGGAAGACTCCTTTGTTGAAGATATTAAGAAAAGTCTTCTGACCTGCCGAGTATTGTAAGTTGATATCTATTCATGTTATCATATATCTAAGCCTAACATATATCTAGGATTCTGTTCCCTATTCACTGGCTCTGCTATAACCAGACGTTCAACAACTTGATCTCTCAAGCCGGTCAGATGGTTACGTACGGTATCCCGAACGATATGATGAAGATTGCTGGAGCTATCTCAGGCATTATTGTCGCGCCTATTATCCAAAAAGGAATCTACCCTTATCTAACAAAGAGACGCATCTCGTTCGAACCGATCGCACGGATGACAGTCGGATTCATCTTCTTGACCCTCTCAATGGCTTACACAACGGTGGTTCAGAAGCTTATCTACCAGAAGGGGCCATGCTATGATGCACCACTGATGTGCCCTGCTGCCAATCATCGCACTGTCCCCAATCAGATCTCCGTCTTTCTTCAAATTCCGACATACTTCGGTGGAGCATTAGCAGAGGTATTTTGTCTTACGACGGGAACTGAGTATGCCTATAACAATGCTCCGAAGAGTATGAAGACCCTAGTACAAGCTATCTGGCTTGCTATGGCTGGGATTGGAACTTGTCTTGCCCTGGCCTTCACTCCGCTCACCAAGGATCCACATCTGGTCACGATGTATGCTATCTTGACTGGACTGTTGGGTGGGGCGACTATTCTGCTATGGATTCTTTTCAGGCGCTTGGATAAGTTGAAGATCAAGGAGGACGCTGAGTGAGGCAAATGATCTCTTTTTTTTTTTGTACGGTGCAAAAATGGAATTTGCTGTTGGGCAACATGATCAGGAGGAAGGGCAAAAATTGAACATGAAAGAGGCGGAGGAATGGATTGATTTTTGGGTTTTGACATAGTGATTTAACCGCTAAAGAGAGTATGTTAATGTTTTACTTGGATGATTGCGTGGGCTTCTGGTAAATTTTGAGCTGGAGATCTCGATTACTCTTCCTCTAGTACCTCTAGCACAATGTATCACCAATATATCCAAGGGTTGATACGATGAAAGCATGCTATATTTCCACATTGTTTGGATCTTGATTTTCCAAGGTTAGCAAACTATCCATTCAATCTAAGCGTCAAGGAGAATACTATGCTTCTGAAATTCGATTGGGTCTTCGTAGGATTCAGTATGTAGGCTCGCTGAAATGACTGAATCAAGAGTGGCAATGAATGTTTCTTAAAGTGACCTCTTACTCGATGATAAAAAGCTTGGCTGGATTAGAACGCTACATGCACAGCCTCTTAAAGAATCCTAATTTCTTGCAACATTTCCGAGCGAGCCTATTTATTGCCATGATACAACTTCGACGTTGCACCCGTCTCTCATCAAACGAAACTCTCACCCAAGGTTGCTTCTAGTTCATGAATATGTCTCCACATAGCTGGCAGACCCATTCGTATGTTCACCGGTGGGCAAAGACACAGATTGTTCGAATAGTGGCTTGACGATTGTGCTCATGCGAGCTAAAACCGGATGATCAAAGATATCCTGGACTGTAAGGGCTAGACCATCATTCGTAGCCAGCGTGGCAAGTTGAATCGCGCTGAGAGAATCTCCGCCCAGCTGGAAGAAATGACTTTCTCGGTAGATTTCGGCGAGATCAAGACCCAGTGCCTTCGACCACATTCTTTGCAATCTTTGCTCCATAAAGGTGTGCGGAGCAGATCGCGATTGCGATGCTGTGATCGCCGTTTCTGCTCTCCCAGCTGCAGGGGCTCGTAAAGCAGCTAGTTCTTGACGTGAAAGCGCAGAGCCAGTTGCCTGGAGCTGCCTTCGATCAGTCTTGCCAGATGAATTCAGCGGGAATCGCCAGACGGGAATATACACAGAAGGAACCATGTACTGTGGGAGAGTTTTCAAAAGGGATTTGTTCAGATCTTTCGTTAGATTCCACATGGCCTGCCGCAGCTGCTCTTTGTTTTCAGGCTCCACGGACTCAACTTGACTCATTGCGAGGAAACCAACTAACATCGGGCGAGAGCCCTGATTCGCGCCAACTGTGATCAGCTCCACGATGGGATTGATACGTCTCCCCGTTCGGGAATAGAGTTGCTGCTGGATGTGGTGCTCCACCTCGCTAAGCTCGACTCTCTGTCCACGCACTTTGACCTGGGTGTCTTTACGACCCACGAAGTTCAGGGTTCCATCCGGGTTATAGTGGACGAGGTCACCAGTCTTGTACAGCCGACAAGATGGTCTTTCCGGACTCTGTCTCCCTCGAAGCCAGTCGGGGGCATCGATGAAGACAGATGCGGTCCGCTCGGGGTCATGCAGGTAACCCTTGGTGACAATGGGACCTTCGACCACAAGCTCCCCCACTGTTCCCACTGGTACCAGTTTGTTGTGATCATTGGGATCCACAATCCAAGTAACGGCCCCATGTCCTCGCCCGATGGTCCGAGGGTCGCCGTTCACGTTCAAGATATTAATAGCTACAAGCAAACACTCGGATGGTCCGTAAACATTGATTAACTTCGTCTTCGGGGCCCATCTTGCGATGTCGGTGACGCTGCTAAGCTCTCCACCAAGCTTGAGAACTTTGAGGCCTGGTACATGGTCTGGATCAATCAAACGCGCCACAGAAGGTGTAAGATCGGCCGAATTGACTCCTAGGCGGTTGATGGCACCGGCAATATCATTGTGACGTTCCCACTCCAATGGTACGCACACACATCCACCAATAATCAGCGTGGACAAGATAATGTCTGTACTGACATCGAAGCTGTACGAAGCAAAGTCGAATACGCGAGGAGATGGCAATTCCAGTATGGACCGTCGGTAATGAACGCCAGATACGAAGCTTCGGTGGGAGCTCATTACCCCTTTGGGTAGGCCTGTGCTTCCCGAAGTAAAGACGACGAATAGAGTGGACTCTGAGTCAATTGTAGGAGTAGAGTGTTTGATGGCGGGAAAAGAAAGAAGGATATCGTGTGATACCAGGAGGACCTCGGGCGATAGTTTCGATGTCAGATCTTGCTGCGCAGGCGAGGCAACCACAAACTCTGCCTTTGTGAGAGAAACAATGTCTCGAAGTCGCGCTTCAGGCTGCTTTGCGTCGAGAAGCACGAAAGCGCCTCCAGCTTTGATTGTGGCGAGCATGGCCACGATCGTCCATGCCGACTTCTCAAAGCACAATGGAACGATGACCTCGGGCCCTACTCCTCGACTCTGAAGCTCATTCGCCAAACGTGAGGACAGGTCATCAAGCTCTGCATAGCTTAGACTACCGTCCCAGGAGCACACAGCTGGGGCGTCAGGGTGGGCTTCCACTTGTTCGTGAATGAGATCTTGGACTGGACTGTTGATGGCAGCTGGAACAGTTTTGTTCCACTCCCAGATCCGATCTAAATCGCCAGTATCCGGAACCTGGGTCAAAGTATTACTCTCGGCTCCGATGGTGCTGTGTGCCATTGTGTTGCGACTGTCGTCAGGAGGTAAAGATGCAGGTCAAGGAGTCGTACTGGTCGCAGCGGCCACCCAAAAGGCTTCACAAATATGAAACCCTTCACTGGAATACTTCATATTCATTCATTTGCTTGATCTCTGTGTCAGCATGACTTCCGAATGAGCGGTCCGCTTTCGGGGCTAATAAAGTCGGACCCCCGAAATATTCGGGGATCGGCGCGGTGGAACTATGTCGTTAGTGGGACATGCCAAAAGAGGTCAGTCAGGACCTAAAGATAGACAGACGTCACTAGCAGAGGATACAATACAAACATTGACTTTTCATCCTTTGAATGCGTTCCAATAATCGCGCATCATGTCCAACATCGTAGACAAGGTCGATGTTCTCATCATTGGCGCAGGTCCGGCAGGGTAGGTTAAATTCAATATGCGAGAAATTGGATGATCCAGTCGAATCGTGTGTTTAAAGTGAGACTGATGTTCTTCTAGGCTGACGGCAGCAAATTGCTTCAATGGTAGCAATGGATTACGTGTGCGAGTCATCGATAAAAAGTCCAGTACGGTGCAGACTGGGAAGGCAGATGGATTGAAAAGCATATCTCTCGAAGTCCTCGATACGTTTGGAATCGGAGATGCTGTCCGCAATGAATCGCAACGAGTAGAAGAAGTTGTACTATGGGAGCCCGATGGTCAAGGGGGAGTCGCGCGATCCATGACTATACCAGACCGAGTTCCAGAATTAGGAAAGCCGAGAGAGATGACTTTGGACCAAGGTAATGAAGCTTGCTATTTGATATTCAGCGGGAATTAACAGTTGACGCAGGTCGAATCGAGCACCATATGGCCAGCAACCTCATCCGCAAAGGAAACGTACAAATTTCCTGGGAGACGCAGCCGGTCGACCTGCAGATCAACCATCAACTAATTGCAGACCCCCTTGCATATCCAGTCACTGTGCTGGTACGCAGCATGGCCAACGGCAACGCACATATCGAAACAATACACGCTCGCTATGTGGTTGCTTGTGATGGGGCCCGCAGCTGGACCAGAAAACATCTCAACATTCCCTTGACGGGGGATCTGACAGATTCGACATGGGGTCAGTTATACCTCAAAATTCATTGAATAATCGAGCTTTCACTAATGCAGATTTAGGGGTGATGGACGCCGTGCCGAAAACCAACTTCCCCGATATCCGCAAGGTCTGTGTGGTTCATTCAGCAAAGGGAACAGTCATGGCGGTTCCTCGCGAGAAAAAGATGGTACGGTTCTACATCGCAATGGATGGCCCTGATCTCGATGTTGCAGCTGCATTGAATGAGTCTACCCTCACCGTGGACCATGTCGTGGAAGCTGCGCGTTCCATTTTCCACCCATATACCTTTGAGGTGGGCGAGGTGGTATGGTGGTCCGCCTACCAGGTCGGCCAGCGCGTCGCAGATGAATTCTCCAAAGAAGACCGTGTCTTTCTCGCTGGCGACGCAGTCCGTAAGTTTCAAAATCGCACAGATCATATGAGTCGTTCCATGGCTTATCTAAGAATTCTTTATTTTAGATACACATTCCCCCAAAGCAGGCCAGGGAATGAATACTAGCATTCAAGATGGTACGACATCTTTCAAAATTGATTGAGACCAATCCTAACTAATAAAATAGCTTATAACATTGGATGGAAGCTTCGTTTCCATCTCGAGCAGCGCTGTTCACGTTCCCTTTTGACAACCTATGAACAAGAAAGAAGACCCATCGCACAACAGCTAATCAACTTCGACCGCGAATATCTCGAGCTGTTTGCCAATCCCAATCTGGAGTTCGAGGGCTTCTTGGCTGCGTATAAGACAGCAATGAAGTTTACCACCGGTATAGGAATTCAATATGGCCCTTCTTTGATCGTTGAGTCACCTGTGTTGGGGAAGACAGGCATCGTGGCTACAGCCCTCTCACCCGGGATGCGACTGCCCGATTTCCAGATGGTGAATCAAGCCGATGGTGTGCCGACTACACTCTATCATCGACTTTTCATGAACGGACAATTCCGAATCTTAATCTTTGCGGGAGATATCTCGAAGCAACAGCTATTCCGGCAATACTTGGAGTTCGGGGAGTGGTTGACACGGTTCTCACACAAGAATGAACAGATTGAGGCGATCACTATTCACTCCGCCAAACGGACCAGCATCGAATTGATGGATCTGCCTGAAGCTTTCCGTCCATGGAATGACGAGGATGGCTGGGATTATTGGAGGGTCTATACCGATGACGAAAGTTATCATGATGGCCATGGAAAAGCGTATCAGCGTTGTGGTATTGATAGGGATACAGGATGTGTTGTACTCATCCGCCCTGATGGCTACGCCAGCCTTATCTGTAAAATGGAGGAAACAAGTCGCATCACGAACTTCTTCGAAGGCCTTCGCTCTATTGATTCTGGGATGATAGCTCATACAGCCAGGCTTTGAGAAGAACTTTACTGTCAATGAATATGACATATCAGTCCAAATTGTTCCATTGATATTTCCGTTTAAATTGTTGAAGAATTCCCCGTCTTTTAGTCCCCTCTAATGCTCAAGCGGTGGCTTCTAGATGCTATCCTACGTGACTTGATTCGATGGCAGTGGACAAAGCAAGTCTGCGATTGAAAGCTTCCATCTTTGTCTTATTCTTTGACTCATTTCACGCAGACCTAAAGTTATATCAAGAGCCACGCATCAAATGTGCTGGTATGTCTAGGCAATTGAATTCATGGATAAAGTGAGGACCATATTTATTCCCCGGTCATGCAATCTCAATCTAGAAAGGATTCGACAAGTATCACACAAAGTAGTTTGGGCCAATTTCCCGCTGCGTCGTTTCTTCCCCTTCATATCCTGTTGCTTTCATAGCCTCTTGAGTAGATAAATCCCTACATATAGATAGCTCCAGTTAGCACAGAACATCATGCCCCTGAGAACAGGGGATCGTTATGGAGGCAACAAAGATTCTGGATTACCATATGATTTATCTAGATCACTCCAACTATCAGCGATCTTGGTCCCAGCCTGTTCACAGATACCTGCCACCTTGAAATGCGGCCACTTTCCGCTCCGAATAGCGTGGACTTGCTCGCCCGCTCTGATCTTGAACTGCTGCCCTTCAATGTCAAGATTGAGATCGCGCCGGGAAACGTAAAAGCTCTCATGCATCCACTGATCCGCGTTCCAGTGGCCTTGGAAATCCCAGTCAGCCGAGACAAATATTTCAGAGCCCAACAGCTCATTCGCGGAATCGAGCCCATTCAATATGAACTTCCGTGATCTATCACTCTCATACGATTCAGAGATTTCTTCGTGTTTTCTGCAGCCATCGATACCGACGACCATTTGAATCGGCGTAGAGGAAGATTGATCAGTCCGAAAAAGCCGTGAGATCAGGTCGGATGCCTCGCCAGGTGTGAAATTGGCAATACTATTCCCTAGCCATAGCAGAGTTACTGAGCTTCGCTGGTCGCTTTGACTATGTAGCCAGGAGGCGCAATCCTCATAAGTCCCAAGAAGGCCTTGGATCTTCGTCTTGTAGTTCCAAGGGAACAGGCCTAGAAGTTCACGGATACTGGATCGGAGTGAGGCCCGGCAGACATCCAGTGCAAAATATTCGACATTCTTATGTTGAACTTCCAATGTCCGAAGGAGGAGTGCAGTCTTACGCATATTTCTGAAATTTTATTGTCGTCAATTTACTTGGACCGAAAGAGACTCGAAAAGAAAGATTTACATACCCAGCCCCAAGCTCAATCACCCTTTCTCCCGATGAGATGCTATATGCTATCTTTTGTACACATTCGGACAGCAATTTTGGCTCTCTCGTCGCAGGGTAGTACTTTTGGGAGTCGAGAATTTCATCGAATAGTTCCAAGCCCCGTCCGTTCCATAGGAGTAGCGAAGGTAGCTCCTTTTCATCAGACTCAAGACCGGATAGTATCTGCGGGACGAGCCCTTCGTCATCTGTCTTATGACGAATGTCATGAAGCTGTATCCGCGGGATTGTAGGTGCTTCACCAATCGTGGGCCGATGAAGATCGACTCCAGACCATGGCGACAATACTTGCACGTCCCCGGAATGTACGGCAGCCATTGAGTAGCGAGGGAAAATCAAAGAGAAAATCTTGGGCTGTTTAGGTAAGTTCTGGAAGTGGGAGTATTGGGGATAGTAGGTAGATGTAGATTGGGGATTTGCCGGTGACACCATGAGTTGATCGACATGCGTGACTACAACCATACATCTCAAGAACACGACTATGGTGATCTCACTTGTTTTCAGCCGAAACATTCAATCCCCGAACTCCGAATTAACGAAGTGAGGCATGGGTGGGATGTTCGGCCCTATGCACCGATCCCGACTCCGAATTTGTGAAGAATGGCGCAAAGGACAACAGATATTCGGAGTGAGCCCAGGGCAAAAAACAACAATAAACTCACGTTGCTAGGTTTCATTCCCCGTGGTCACTTAGAGTCCGTGGGTGCATTAACAATTTTGATCTTCTGGGCCAATGCTTTTGGACATTTCGAGGTATGGCGTTTCCTCGGTCGATTATTATCGTTGGCTCGGGTGTCTTCGGACGTAAGTAGATGAAAAGCTATCAATTATATCGCAGAATGTTAAACTCTCCTGAACATTGACAGTGTCAACGGCCTATGCAATGGCCAGAGACAGCGCATTCGCCAACACATCCATCACATTGGTCGATAGTTGGGAATTTGAGCCGTCCGGGACACCGAGAGGCACCTCTGTGAGCAATCCAGGCGCTGCAAACCACGATACATCTCGGATCATTCGGAGTGAATACCCCCACGGACCGTATGCAATTCTTGCAAAGAAAGCCCATGTTCAATGGAGGGGGCCATGGGGTGAGAATGGCCGTTATGTGGAGCGGCGACTTTTGCTGTCTGCGCAGGGGAGCTCATTGAGGGGCCCAAAACTCCCTGGTGAAACTGTCAACTACGTGAAAAACGCGTATGAGCTTAGTTGTGAATTGTCCTCCGGGGGCAAAGATGGCCTTCCAGTTCTTGACTCCTTGGATCGAATACGTGCCGAGCTCGGAATTTGGGATTCTGGTGATACTCAGAACATGAAGAAAGATCTCCGTGGTTATATATCCCAAGACGCCGGATGGGCTGATAGCAGCGCTGCTATGGAATGGCTACGGCAGAGGCTTCTCGAGACTAGTCGCGTCCAGACTCGGACTGGAAAAGTCGAAAGTCTCATCTACATCGAGTCTGCCATTGCAGCGGGACAGGATGCTATAGTTGGAGGAGTTCGCCTAGACAATGGACAAGACCTGTTGGCAGATCTTACTATCGTCGCCGCAGGCAGTCATACTCCACGACTCCTCGGGATGGACAAGCTATGCGATGTCTACAGTGAGCTTGTTGCCTATATCCAGCTTTCTCCGGAAGAGTGCCTTCATCTCAAACAGTTGAATTTTCCCATCATCGTCAATGCTGATCGCTGTGTGTTCGCGATTGCGCCTGACCGTGAAGGATTCCTCAAATTGGGGAAATTCTCTCACAGTGGTCTGGTCGATGTTCGCCAGTGTGCAGGAATTACCGTCGGTCCTCGTCAGCATCGCCGAGCCCCTCGTGAACAGTGGAGTGATATCGAATTTGGCTGGGGAGGCGAAATTGACCCGTCCAAGGATATTGACGAGCAAGGCCAACAAACCCTGGCGGACTATCGGGGCTTCCTGGCTGAGCTGTTTTCCTCTTCGGTAATCCAAGGAGAAGCAACACCTTTTGCAGATCTTGCTCGGCGTCCATTCACCAAAATCCGCCGATGTTGGTATACAGATACACCCGCAACTGACTTTATTATCGATTACCACCCTGCATCTGCTGGTACCCTTTTTGTGGCTTCTGGAGGCTCAGATCATGCCTTCAAGTTCTTACCAGTGATTGGAGAAAGTATTGCGGGTATTGTCCTACAAGGTCGAGGCGTTCCATGCGATGCTGATGATGATGACAATTTGACCGTGCTGCGTGAAGCTTGGAGATTTCCACGTGTTCCTAGAAGCAATTTGTAACAGCGTATCTGTTACTTGAGAAGAGCTCCCTTATATACATGTGAAGTCCCTTCAAATAACCATCAAAAGTCCTCCCAGCGTTCATTCTTTGTCATTTTTCAAGGTTTTTTAAAGCAGCTTGGATTTTTCGTATAAGGGTAATGGCCCTTACTTCTCTATTGTCAGCCCCATCATCTGTTGAAACATCAACATGATCATAAAGCGACTCCAGACAGGCCATCATCTTGTAGCCCAAGAGTCCCTGGTTTGGGACCGCTGTTGTCCCCTGTGAAGAGCCAACTAGAATCGTTTCAATCTTTTCCAACATGTTTGAGCTGATATACAGAAGGAATTCCATCTGCAAAGTATTGTTTCCATCCAGTTTGAAGCCATCCAAACTAATCCCTATCAAGGTCGCCGGGATTTGGGGGACGGGCTGGATTACAGATTTCAGAATATAAGAGAAGAGGCGCTCGTATTCCTCCAGGATATAGGCATAGCATGAGAGAATGGAGAAAAGAATGGGAGTATCCAGTGTTGAAACGCGGGGTGGTGTCTGATGCAGTGGTGCTGGGCTAGGTGGAGTGGCGGACAGATCTATTGTGTCCTCTAACCTGGCAGGCGACCATGTATCGTGGCCAGCACGAGGGCTCACATGTCTTTGAAGATTCTGGAGCATATTTAGGAACTGTTGGCAGTGCGTCAAAGTCCATCCGATGGAGAGGGGGACAGAAGAACCAGTCCGTGTAGGAAGGGGCTGGGATTTGCCAAGATCACTGTGACCCGCTCCATGTCGATTCGCTCTGCTTTGAAGTAGCGTGCTATTGAGCTCTGCCAGCCCTTTCAGATATTGTGAGATCGATTCTGGGTCTCCGCCGGTGCCGGAAGGGTGTGAGCAGGCTGTCATGTCGGAATCCGTGGAGCAATCTCTTGACCGAGTGGATCGACCCTCCGACAAAAGGCCCTCAAGAACCCGGTCAAAACGATTATCTTGAGAGACGTTGGCTTTGAGTGTTGGCAGTGTACTAGAGCCTAGCCCACTGAAGGATGGAGTTTGGGGAAAGGGCATAGTAGATGGCATATCGAGGTCAATGTTGCCACACCACGCCTCGTCATCAGGACAGATTACTGGCCATTCCGGTGATTTGAAATCAGAGTATACGCCCAGAGAGTTGGAGGAATCGAGACAGGTCGCTGGCTCTGAAGAGATAGAGGGGCGGGGATGCTCAGTGGAGGGATAGGATCGTGCCGATGATTTCCCTTGATATCTCGGATGTCGGGCGTCCGTCCCTCTCCTGTGAGATGTTGATCTAGCAATATAGCATTCAACTTGGGCTTTTCTACAGCGATCACAGGGGGTCTTGTTGCGAAAATCTCCGCTTTGTCGATCGATGACGGTGTTTCCCAGTCCCACGCATCGAAGCTTTTGACCCCGGCATCGGTCACAGGCACTCCGTCTGTCTATATCCATGTCGTTTTCAATCCCTCAGATGCAGCCTCGGAATGCGAATGGATAAAATGTGGACTGTTTCTGCGTTGACTGTATCGAGCGCCAACCTTTAAGTCACGAGTCCATCCCCGCCGGAGATTAAGCCGGCCATTGGAGATAAGCAATTAGGCCCCCAAATGTATGATCGTGGCAATTTACATCCGTTGGGTGAATGCTTACAGCGATCAAGACAAAACAAGCGTCCTTCACCTTTAAGACAACCAATGAGCTTGTCCCCTAATTCGGGGCTGTTTGATGCCGAAAGCCGATTATGTGTCTGACAGGCGGGTGCATGAAGAAAAGCTTGGCTGCAGGAGGCGATGTAACTGTCTGCTGTGTGAAAGCCCTTCGCCTTCACGCCTTGAAAATCCCAGACCTCCACGCGGCCACGGCTCATGATCTGCAGCGCGTGATATGTCCAACAATCATTGCCCGATGGGAATTGATGCAGACACTCACAAATTGGTTGACCTGGGTATAGGTACTGATATTGATACGGTGATTTTGATATAGATTGATCTTCATGATAATTGAGTAAGGCCACGGATATGTTCCCGCACGGAGGAATCTACGTAAGGAACTCATATCAAGGACACCAAGGAAGACACCAGGGTCTGGGGTCCGGGGTCCGGGCGGGTTCGGCACTCGCTTACGTGATAGACATCTAGGTCTCACTGAGGCTTTTACCAGGCGGTTGAAGCGGGCGAGGTTTAAATGTACCTGAAAGATATGAAGTTGTCAGTGATCAGACCGGGCAAATTTCTGCGACCCAATAAAAGTAGTCATCATCCTGAAACAGGCATGGCTCTATTACCCCTGTTGAGCAATTTGTCACCAGGCTTACATCCAATATAAGTAATATGGGGGGTCGTAATTGACTAGACTTGGGGTCCGACGGTCTATCCTTTTAGGCGAATGATCGATGAGATGTGACGAATCGGAACAGCGAACTTTTCGGTCAAAATGCGGAAGTGTTGGAGCCTCTTCTTCGCCTAGGCACAGGTCAGAGGGAGTGCGGATATATCTCGTACTCCGTGTTCCGTTCTCCGTCAGATATATGCAGCAACGATTCACACTAACAGCCAACACGAAGCTAGCGTGTACAATATAGTGGCACGTCTTGGGCTCATTGGTACAAACTAATGCGTCCTATCGGAATTGAGTAAACCAGGTTACATGTGTTCCTTTACACTCTTGGTCCATTTGTACCGCAAAGATCACAACATGTCTCCAAGATCATGGCAAAAAAACCGAGTATTGGATAACAATAAGCAAAATATCACGGCCACGTGTAATGCTTGCATATTATTCTGAATAGAATTCCAGTACATTCCACAACCTATACGGGTGGATGGAGATGGTCTCTCATGTTGTCATTCTATGAGTGGTCGGCCCTGGACTAGGAAGAAGTGGTTTATACAACAAATTTCACCAGTAATATCCCATTTGACAGGCGGAATACGATATCAAATATTTCAGTCCCTCTTCCTGACCCTGTGAAAACCTCGGCTCTACGTTAAAAATGTCTAGGAATGATCATCTGAGTAAAAAAAAGCGATATAAATCACCATTTTTCCATTTTCTCAATTCATGAAGCCGTTGAATGATTTCTCGCCTAGTTATATCCGGGGCTATACTTTTACCCGGCTACATGGAAGATATCTTCCTTCGTAGTAGAGCGTCATATGCCAAGATCGAGTGCAGCAAGGCTTGCGCACCATCCTCACTGTGTAGAGATCAGTAAACCTGTGGATCAAAACTACGACAAGGGGGTTTTCATACCATTGTTCCTTGCTAGTGTACTCTTCTGGCGCATGGCTGATTCCACCCTGGCTAGGCACAAAGATCATGGCGGTTGGTACTTTCGTGGCCGACAAAGCGCTATCATGGCCAGCAAACGAGTCCATCCGCATCACGCCACTGGGGGCGGCCCGAGCCTCGGCCGCCGCTGCAACACATGCGACTGCAGCAGTATCAAAGCGGACAGCGGGGCTGTGCCATACTTCATCTAGCTCAAAGGTGATCTTAGGGTTCTCTTTCATTGCCACGTCCATGTTCGACTTGATTTCTGCCTCCATTTGACCCAGAGTCTTCGCCGACGGGTGCCGTAGATCAATGGTAAATTGAGCATGGCCAGGAACTGTGTTAGAAGAGCTTCGCTCTAGGGTAAGTACCCCAACTGTTGCAAAAGCACCATGTAGCCGAGCCGATGCCTCTAGACTTGCGATGATCTTTGCTGACGCCACCAATGCATCCGCTCGGGCTTTCATCGGCGTGGATCCGGCATGGGCTCTCTCACCTTTGCAAGTCACCTTATACCATTTTATTCCTTGGACTCCTTCAACTATTCCGATACGTTTTCCCTGGCGCTCTAGGCGTGTGTTCTGCTCGATATGCAGCTCGAAGTGACCGCTGAGGGGGTTGCTCCGAAAATCCGATGCAAGAGGGCCTAGATAGCCGATTCGTTGCAGTTCTTGTTTCATCGTAGTCGGGTAGGGACTTTCATCCCGCGTGAGCATCTGTAGAGCGGCCGTTGTACTCGAGTGACCGGACCATACGGCCGAGCCTGTGCACCCTGAGGTGAATCGAGCGCCTTCCCTATGGTGCAAAGAACGTCAATATCTTCCAGCAGCTCGAACTACACTATGGATTGCATACTCGTTGGTCCAATTCACTGCTGCTAAAGGGGCATATGTTTGGAATCCGGATTCTTGGATAGTGCGCAAGACTTCTAGTCCTGCAATCACGCCCAAAATGCCATCGAAACGTCCCCCTATTACTCAGTCACCATTAGTATTTTACCCTCAAAGTGGCACATCAGACTTCAGCCATGAAACTCACCTGCTGGCTGTGTGTCAAGATGACTTCCCATTGCAATTGGAGCAATATTCATGTTTTTGCCCGGCAATATGGCGAAGATATTCCCCACGGCATCGATATTTACCTGACAGCCTAGATCCAGCGCACTCTGGCAGAACCAGTCTCTTACCAGCTTATCCTCGTCAGAGAGTGAAAGTCTTGCCATGCCAGTGGTGTGACCAATCTGACCCCATCGCGAAGTTTTGAGGATGTCCTGGTAGAGTCTCGTGCCGTTGATACATAGCTCAGAGATATCACGTCCGTGGCCCGTGGCTTGTTTGGAGCAAGTCAGCTTACATTAATTCAGATGACTGGGCGGAGGCTTCAATTATGCTCATACCATGAGACACCGCGGCTGATGCTTTATGGGATAAATCACACAACGGGGCCGTAGCGGACCCATGGTCCACTTCTCTTTTAGAAGGTGGCCGATCACCAACGACTCGAAGATCTGTCAAGATTTAGTCGAAGAAGAAGAGTAGATCAGTGCTATTACACACAATCAATCAAAGTGGAATCTAATGCCCTCATTATGCTCGATGGCGACGGAGTATATTCAATGCATTCTCAACGCGAGCAGTAGTCTCAATCTAAATAAAACACATCGACCTCAACTTGTGCAAATACTGTGACAATGTTCAGGGTCATTGGTCAGGATGAGTGCTCAACAGTCTGGTCGGTTTCGGTGCCGATATGTTTGGATTCGGGGTCGGGGTCGGACAAGGTCGGACAGTCATATATTCGCCCCGAACCCGTATCCTAAGTCGTTGTGATACCAGCAAGTATACAACATAGTGTATAACGATATTAATATAGCAATAATTCCATACCGAAATCCTCAAGTCGTTCAGACTGAGTACTCGATCATGCCTTTGCTCATTGGATCCTTTCAAACGCCCACGGCTGTCAACACAGAATTTCTGTACGAAACGGAAGTATCTGGCCAGCCATTTCACTCAAGAAAGGAGCTCGGCAACAACGACCAGGAAGATGAGTCAGATATTGTATCTGTTCAAAGCCCAAAGTCTAATAAGAGTTGGAGATGCAACTTTCCTGTGTCAATGACTGATGGGTCACCGGAAACGTCATCATCCTCATTCCGTGTGTCATTTGCAGATGATGACTTCCTTGCAATATGTGATGGGTCCGGATATGCAGTCGCTGCTGTGATGAAGGCGGGTTGGTCGCTTGTCCTTCACGCATACACAGGAGTTGAGAGAGTCTGTTTTGGGGACACGTCTTCCAAAGAGAACCCATCCATATTTGGCGTTGACCTTTCTCTCATCAAAACGCCTGCAGAACTCTTGAATCAGATTGAAGGAGCTGAAAAGAGAGGTGATTCATTGGTATCGTTCAACAGATTGGAGAAAAGTGTTTTCAACACGGTCTTGGCGGTCAAGGATGGGGACGAGCCGATCACCACAGACGCGTCTGTTAACACACCCAACCAGGTAAGACCTCTAATTTCAAGTAGATTCACGAAGGGTATGATACTAATGAGAATTCCAAGGCCGTTATCTCAGCGAGGATTAATATACGGAGTTCTGAGGTCTTCTTAGATCTCAGTTACCACCCAGCTCTGGTGTCGGCCGATGTGGCCCGGGGTGTTTCCCGTACATTCCAAACAACAATTCGTTCAATCCTCACAAATCCAAACCAGCCACTTGCTGATGTTGAAAGGCTTAGTGAGCCGGACAAATTGCAAATCCTGCAATGGAATGAGAACGTGCCACCAGCTCTTCACCAGAAGCTTCACGATGCCTTCACCGAGAAAGCCTTAGATAATCCGGATGTACCAGCCATATCCTCCTGGGAGGGAGACTGGACATACCAAGAGCTTAATGATGCCTCCACCCGCTTGGGTAAATATATTGCAAGCTTGCGGGCTGGTCCCCAGGCTTCCCGAATGGTTCTATCGTGCTTTGAACGGTCGCGCACTGGCATTCTCGCAGTGCTTTCAATTTTGAAGGCAGGACTGACCTGTGTTCCGATAAATCCAACAAGCCACGATGAAGTATTCCTCCGCAAGGTGACTGGCGATGTCAACCCTCAGATTGTGTGCGTCTCTGCCACCCAAGCCCATCGGTTTGCCACGTTCAACGGGACTGTAGTGATCATCGATGCGGAATTGCTCGGCCGCCTGGAAAGCCTCGCGCAGACATCCAAGCCTGCTCCGCGACTCAATTCTGATATTGCTTTTATACAATATACTACTGGAGTGGCTGGATGGCCCAAGGGTGTGATCCAAGGACACACGGGCCTGTATACGGGGATCCTCGCGCAGGGCCAAGCGATGGGGTATGACATCGATTCAAGGGTTTTACATTCGGCTGCATACAGCACATCAGCAGGGATTGCCGAAATTTTTGCGACCTTTTTCTACGGCGGCTGTGTAGTTATTTTACCCGAACAGGCAAGCGCCGAGATGGTGGCTGACACAGTGAATGAACAAGAGGTCACCCACGCATGCTTCACGCCCACTGAAGTCCGAGAACTAGACCCAGCAGATCTTTGGCAACTCGACACTATTGTATTAGGGGGTGAGGCTTTGACTCAGGGAGATGTCGAGAAATGGGGGTTGGAAATGGCGCTGATCAAGGCATATGGGACTACGGAGACATCGGTCTACATCTCAACATCCAAAGCCCCCTCGGCCCACGTCTTTGATCCGTCGAATATCGGTGCCCCTTTTGTGGCCTCGATGTGGGTAGTTGATCAGGGTAATGTCCAGAAACTGGCGCCCATCGGGGCTGTGGGCGAGTTGGTCATTGGGGGCCCGACATTGGCCCTCGGCTACATCAAAAACCCAACACAGACGTCACAAAGCTTTATTTCAAACCCTGCATGGGCAAATACTGCAAGTGATAGTGCGGCACAACGCTTCTTTGTCACTGGTGACCTCGTAAGACATCTCGGGAACGGCGAGCTTGTCTTTTGCGGGCGGAAGAAGAGCTCGGAACACAATGAATCAGAAAAAGACGGCACCTTTAATAACAATATCCCTAACATTCATCCATTCAGTCTCCTCAGCGCTACTGAATCTACTGAAGAGGCTCTGGCAGCCGCTGCGGCCACATGCCACGTCAGCCCAGACATGATTGAGGACATCTACCCTAGCACTCCCATCCAAGAGAGTCTGTTTGCTTTGTCAAACAAGCAGTCGGGGGCTTTCTTGAAGCAACACATTTTCGAGTTACCCTCCAATCTAGATCTAGACCAGTTCCGCATAGCCTGGGAGCGTTCAATTCAGCAGTCTCCCATTTTGCGGACGAGGCTAATTATGACTGACTCATTTCGCCTTCTACAAGTGGTTGTTACAGAACAGCCAGTCTGTAAAGATGTCTCTGATCTAGAGATATACTTGAAAGAGGATCAAGCGATCCCTGTACTCTGGGGTTCACCTCTGTTTCGATACGCAATCGCCGCATTGCCCGGCCAGACAGCCCATTTGGTTGTAACCATGCACCATGCAATCTACGATGGCTGGACACTAGGTTTGCTTTTTGACCGCGTGAAGCAGAACTTTGACGGAAACCCTGTATCAAGTGGAATACCATTCAATTCGTTTGTCAAACATGTTCAGGGACTCGATCGCGAGCGGCTCGATCAGTTTTGGACAAAACAGCTGAGCGATGCCTCCGCCACCTTGTTTCCAGCTCTACCAGCTCCGACCTATCTCCCCACCCCCAACGATACCCATGTGGAGAATCTGACTTTCGAACGGGTTGTGGGCTCGTCGATTACGACTTCCACTCTTGTACGAGCTGCGTGGGCTTTGACGATCGCTAGGTATGCGGACTTGGATGATATCACTTTTGGGTCGACTGTCTCTGGCCGAGCAGCAGCAATCCCTGGTATCTCTACCATGATGGGTCCAACACTTGCCACCGTCCCGGTTCGTGTCCGCGTGCGCAAGGATTGCAAACTTCCGGATTTTCTTCGGCAGGTGCAAGAAGAGTCAGCAATGACCATCCCATTCGAACAAGCTGGAATGTACCACATCAAGCAGCTGACAGTCAACACACAAAATGCCTGCTCTTTTCAGACGGCTCTTGTGGTTCAGCCGCTTGTGACAGCCCCTGGGCTGGAAGCTCTCGGATGCCGTCGCGTGAACGAAATGTACGACTCATATCAGCCCTACGCCCTGACCATAGAAGTGGGTCTGCAAGAGAGTGGAGGCCTGGCCAGGGTTCTGTTTGACAATCAAGTGGTTGATCGGCCTCAAGTGCGGCGTATCATGGCTATGTTCAGCGAAACTTTGCAGAATATCAGCGGGGAAAGCCCGGATGTCGTCCTTGATGACCTTGCTACCGTCACTGCCAATGACGTCAAGGAACTACAATTATGGAACACAGTCCCCCTGGCCCTGTCGTTGAATGCGTGCATCATGCCTTCGAGAAACACGTCGCCCTGAATCCAGCCGCTCCGGCAATCGCATCCTGGGATGGAGATCTGACATATGGTGATCTGGATGTCTTGTCTAGCAGACTGGCAGACCACCTCATCGGTCTTGGCGTTACTCTGGAGATGATAGTGCCGTTGTGTTTTGATAAATCAAAGTGGGTGATTGTCTCCATGTTAGCAGTTCTCAAGGCTGGGGGTGCCTGTTTAACTCTTGATGTCTCTCACCCACCTGACCGTTTGCGTGGCATGGTCGAAGCTGTGGATGGCAAGATAATGCTCGTTGCAGAAGCACATCACTCCAAATTCAACGACACAGTTGATCAAATCATTGTTGTTGACGCCACGCTGTTTGAGATGCTTGACAACCAAACCAAAAAGCACTGTAATATTGTCCAGCCAAACAATCGCGCGTTCGTTGTGTTCACGTCGGGATCAACTGGAAAGCCCAAGGGGATCGAACTTGAACACCAATCCGTCTGCACGAGCTCCCGCGGCCATGCAGCAGTGTTTAATATCGGGCCCGGCTCGCGTTGTCTTCAATTTTCAGCGTTTGCCTTCGACGTCCATATATCGGATATATTTACCCCTTTGATGTATGGTGCATGTTGCTGCATTCCCTCTGAAGAGGACCGCATGGGCAATCTGCCACGAGCCATCAATAGTCTTAAAGCGGACAGCGTGTATATCACCCCCCACGGTTGCGACTCTATTCACGCCCGACCAGGTGCCTGGTCTGAAAAAGGTGGCTCTTGGCGGTGAACCGCTGACAACCGAGAACGCGCGTCTTTGGGGTGGTCGGGTCTTCCTGATCAACGTTTTTGGTCCGTCTGAGACCTCAAATTGGGTCACTTACCAGGTCGTGCGTCCAGACACGCAACAGCCATCCAATATTGGACCTGGTATCGATGTGAATACATGGCTTGTTGATCGACACAACGACTCTCGATTGGCGCCAATTGGCTGCGTCGGGGAGTTGTTCGTTGAAGGACCTATTCTAGCCCGTGGTTACTTGAATGATATGGAGAAAACAAATGCCTCATTTGTGATTGACCCCGCGTGGCTACCCGGCCCATTGTCTTCACCAAGGCGAATGTATCGGACCGGTGATCTGGTGCGATATAACAGCGATGGCACATTCGTGTATGTCGGTCGACAGGACACTCAGATTAAGATCCGCGGCCAGCGACTGGAGCTTGCGGAGGTGAACCATCGCCTGATGGAAATCCCGGAGGTGAAAACTTGTCTGGCTGTACTACCCAAAATTGGATTATGTCAAGGGCGATGTGTCGTTGCTCTCTCTCTTCGGGATTTTTGGAAGGACGGTTCCGCATCCATACGCATGATCGATCCATCTCTCCGCAGTGCAGTATCCACTCAACTTGCCGATATTCGAGATCGTCTCACGGAGACACTAGCTGTTTGGATGATTCCGACATTGTGGATTGTTGTGGAAGATATGCCGACGAATGCAAGCGGCAAGTTGGACCGCAACACGATACGCACATTTGTGGACAACATAGACGAGGAAAGCTATCAACTAGCATCGGACCTCCTTGTGGATAGTCACTTCCGGGAGCCTCAGACTCCAATGGAAGAATTGCTGCAAAGGGTCTGGAGCTCAGTCCTCAAACTTCCTATCAACCAGATCAGTGCCACAGCCTCCTTCTTACGTCTTGGAGGAGACTCGATCACGGCGATGCAAGTCATGTCTAAATGCCGGGTTGAGGGCATTTTTCTCTCGGTCCATGATATCCTCGTCAGTAAAACCATCACGGAGCTGGCAAGGCTAGCAACTACATCGCCGGAGGCAGCAAAGTCAGCCAACGAGGTTGAAAAGCAAACTGTCGCAGATCCCTCTCTCATCAACGAAAAACCTTCGCAAGATGGAACCGCGATGAAAGCTTTGTACGACACCATTCTCAGTCAAGCTTCGGTAAAACCATCAAACATCGAAAGGGCTGTGCTGGCTTCCGATTATCAAGTTTCGGCTTTGGAACAAATGCTACTTAACTTCCGTGGCGACCTCACATACCACACCTTTGATATCCAAAAGCCTGTGGACTTCAATCGTCTCGCCTTAGCGTGCACTGAGATTGTTGATGCTCACCCTTTGCTGCGCACTGTCTTTGTTTGCCATGAGCGCCAGGTCTATCAGGTCACCTTGAAGTCAAGCTTCGTGAACATAACGGACAGACATGACCAGCCGGATTTAACATCTTTGATCAACAAAGATCGGAGTAAACAGTTCTCACTTGGGCAGCCTATGGTCTGGTTCAAACTTCTTCGACAGAATCCTTCGCATGACTGTGACTCCTTTGTGATGCGACTTCCCCATTGCTTATACGACGCTTCTACTCGGGCATCCTTGATCGCAGACCTGCAGAACGCTTATTTTAGTTCCCATGCTCTTGAACCGCCACTTGATACTCGAAACTACTTTGATTTCCGAGACTACATTCGTCCCACAGCTTCGAAGTACTGGGAGCAGTATCTTCAAGGCAGTAGTGCCACACAGGTTGTGGCAAAGCCGTGGCCTCGGTTCCGACACGGCAGGCAACATACCCTATCTTCCAAGCTTCGCATGCAATCCTTGAAATCTTATGGAATTACGCCTGCAACGGTAGTCAAGGCTGCCTGGGGCCTTGTTTGGGCCGACCTATGTGGGCAAGATGATGTTGTGTTCGGTGAGCTTGTGGCGGGTCATGGCCTGCCCGTTGCAGCGGTCGATTCGCTCGATATCGTATGTGCCTCAACAGTCCCACTGCGTATACAGCTACATTCCTCATGGACTGTGCTTGATCTTCTCCAGGATGTTCAGGAGCGTCACCTGGCCAGCATGCCCTTCGAGTCCATGGGAGATGCCTCGATTGTCAGGGAATGCACTTCCTGGCCACCATGGATCCGCTTTGGCTCTGTGCTGAATTATTCCCCGCCACCAATGGCGGAGGACGTTGCAAGCAACACATTCCGTGCTACTGGCATTCATGGACATTTAAACCCGAGCTCTGATCTCAATATCCATTGCCAACCCCTACCTGTTAATATGGAATCGGACCCCAACCTGCTGGTCAACATCACGTTTGACATGGATTATATCGCTCCCACGTTTGTGGCCGATGCCATTCACCGACTCTGCCAGCGGATCCATGATTTCACCGCCAATGTGACAGCAAGTCTGAACGAATTAAAAGAAGGGCCGATCGGTGGCCGCACTTTACCACTTCCATTCAGTAATGGCCCCATTCAGATACCGGAGATGACCCCGTTAGATGCCCCGAAATACGATCAGGTATTGAGCAAGGTCCATTCTGTTTGGAACACGGTAATGGGTGAGAGCGACGGGATAGATATCCCTTTCTTCTCTCGCTGGGGAAGTCTCATGGCAGCGGCCCATTTTGTTGCGGCCTATCGGAAAATGGGTATTGAATTGACCATGGAGGAGGTATTGGAAGCCCCGACTATGCGGGCCCAAATTATTCTGTGCGCCGACCGATGATGCGATCACTTGTCTGTCCTGTTTATGATCCCTTAAATCAGAGTACGCGATCCCAGTATCCTAGGATTTTGCTTCGTCGTTTGAAGCCAAAAAGGAGCAATTGATGCTTATTTATCTCGCAACTTTGTAAGGTTCATCATGTCTATAAGAATACTACAATGTCTCTGTTGTGATTTCAGGCTGGTGTAGATCAGACATAAAGCTGCACCATCGTAATTCTTAGGTGACTTATCACTAGCCCCGTTCAGGCCTCAGCAAAGCCCATCAACGGGCTCGGGGTCCGGGCCCAAGGCCCAGCCCATTAGCGGGTTGGGGCGGGCTGGGCTTTGTGGCCTTTGCGGAGGTCGGGTCCCCTTATCTTCTGCGGGTGATATTTCAGTCCAATCATGGCTTACTCTGTAGACCTCCAACAGGGGGCTTCAAGGGTAATTTGACAAATATAGGAACTTACCCGGTGGGAATAGCTTCAATGATGATGTTACCTACCTACAATAAACGACATGGAGCGGTGGTGAACGCGGTCTAGGATCAGGCATAATTCAGGCAGAAAAGCAAAATCAGGCCGACATTCGGCTGCTCTTCGCAGATATGCTTGAAGGTATAATCAATGAACGGTGCAGGTTCCAAAGTCCCCGAATACCCGCACTTCCTGCATGGCGAAACTCGAACAGTTCTCTGATATTCTCATTTGGTATGGATTCCACGATCAGTCCACTTTACAGCAAAGTAACACGCTCTTCGTTGGCATGTTTGCCCTGCCGATCGCGTCATGTGAGGTGCGACGGTAAACAACCGTGCTGCAGCCGCTGCGCTGAGCTGAACCAGCCGTGTCAATATGCTCGATCGCGTCGCGGTGGGCTAAGTCGTGTGGCACTGGAGGAGCGGCGCAGAAAATCTTCTACCAAAAATACGGTTTCCATGACTCGGTCAAGCCCACAGCAATTGGCGGATGGTCAGATATGTCAGGATGTTGCCAGGGAGGAGCTTCCTGATAGGTTCTGCCAGCTTCCACTTTCTAACATACGCGACGGGACTTTGGGTGCGGCTTCATCGCCACAAACTCAAGTCAATATCGACGATATTCAGAATGATTTATTGATGAACGCTTACTATGACAACTTCCACAAACTTCACCCTTTTCTGCTGCCACGGAAACATTTCATACGACTACACCAAGCTCCAAGCAGAAAGCCCGCACTCAGATCCCTGATCGCAGTCATGCGACTTGTTGGGTATATCTATGACGCACGGGGATGGTCCATCGAGTTAGAAGATCAAGTAAACTCCAGTTTCTCACATATACCCTCAGGAGATCCTACTGTGGTCCAGTGCCGACTTTTATACTCCATAGCACTGTTCTGGTATGAAAAGCGAACCGAGGCCAAATTGCAAGTGGACGCTGCTATTTGGCTAGCCACTGAATGTAAGTTGTTTGAGCAAAACTCTGCATTGAAATATGGGGCCGGTGATCCCGTTTTGCAGGAATGCTGGAGGCGAACGTGGTGGATGCTCTACATTGTGGACGCATATTATGCGGGGACTTTGGGGACTATGAATTTGAAGGCCTTCGCTATTGAGTCTACGGTCGACTTGCCCTGCGAAGAGTCAGAATACGAGTCGGGGGTATGTGTGGACTGTATCTTTCTGAGGACGCAGTGACTTGCTGACCCGCCGCAGGATATTCCAGAGCCTAAAACCCAGGACGAGTTTGACAGCCGTGAATTTGCCCCCGATGATACCGCATTTTCATCGTTCGCATATTTAATCGGTGCCGTACGGTGTGCGGCTTTGGCAATATCCACAGTGCCAAAAGTTGCGAACAAAGACGACTCGATACAAACGATCCAGGCTGCGGACTCGGCCCTGGGTGGATGGTTACTCTTACTACCCAAGATAGATAAACAAGTTATGAACAAGACCGGAGAAATTGATGAGTTGATGTTTCAGGCGCACCTCGTCATACATGTGTGAGTCTGCTGCCGGTTTTTTCTGCTACTTACCGGAGGGACGTCGCTGACGACTAGCTTTTAGCGCCACCATTGGCTTACACCGGCCGTTTTCAGATCTTAAATTTAGTCGCGCAGAGGCTATCTCTAGCTGTGCCCGCGAGCCACCCCTCGACACTCTAACAACAGATCTCACGAATGTGCACACAATCCGAGTTCTCCGGTCCGCAGAGGCACAGATCAGACTTCTAGCATTACCAGCTTTGTATTTTCACCATACTCCATTTACGACCTGCATGGTTAGTGAAGGAACGTTGGCATTGCTTGCTGCATGTAGCTTCCGACTGGAGGGGAAAGACTTGGCGATCGCTAGAGGACAGATCCGAATGACCATTGGTTGTTTGAAGCAATTGGGACAGATTTGGCCAAGAACAGCGAGAAATGTTAGGGAGATTCAAACAATCGCCCACCATGTACTGGGACTTGGGTCTAAAGCTGCGAGTGGCAGCAGTGGAAGTTGCTCAAGTGATGTGCCAGACCTCTCTGGTTGCGAAAGACAGGAAAATATGAGATCGGAATTCGAAGTATCGAGCAGTATGGATATATTGCCCTCCTTGGGTTCGATTGATGATCTTTGCGGGTGGTACGACATTGGTGACCTTTATTCTGGTATTTCTTGAGGAACTGTTCCTCGCGAGATACTGTCCCGTCTTTGGCGACTGGGAATGTTCTCCGCGAGGTACTCGCCATGTTCAATGCAGAAGGACCCCTTTTACTCTATCCTCTTTACACAGTCTATGAGAATTCAATTCCGCTTTTTTGGGAAATCAGACATTCATCCTGAAGCCTCAGATTGACTCAATGCAATTGCAAATAAATACACATCATACTCAAGTATGTCCTCTGGCGTGACCACCTGGCCCGGTGCGCACACCTGTGGACGACTAAGCTGATGACTCACCTGCCACAAAATCAATCACTGCCTTGTGTGCCCTGTTCCTCTGTCTTGCATATGTCCAAGCCTCGATCGCTTCACTGAAAGGGAAAGCCTTGGTGGCCAGTGGTTCAAGACGGCCGCTATTGATCATGTCGCTTGCCTTGGTCATTCTCTCGGAGTTGGGGGACACGATAAAGTAGATATAGCGCACATGAGGGCGATTGACAGACTCTGTCGGTACAGCTCTTCCAAATGCCCAGGCGGGTGCAGGATCTCCGACAGTAACGATTGTTCCGTTTTCATTCAATGTCTCCCATGCCTGGGCCAGAATATCACCGCCAACTGTGTCTAGAACACAATCCACACCGGTTATCTGATGCTTCCAGTCTGGAGCATTGTAGTCAAGCACCTCTTGTGCGCCAAGACGCCTCAGTGTATCGTGATGTCGAGAAGAACTCAACGCGACCACGTGAGCACCGGTCAGCTGACGGGCAAGCTGGACAGCCATGATCCCAACTGCGCCAGAAGCCCCGGTGACAAGGACTCGCATACCTGGTTTGATTTTGGTGTGGGATTCAATTGCCTCCCACGCCGTGAGAAGTGGTATTGGAAGCGCTGCTGCCTTCTCCTGCGAAAGTGACTCTGGTTTCGGTGCAACTTCTTTGGGGAGGCATATCACGTAGTCGGCTTGGCCCTGGCCTCTGTCGGCTCTGAGTAGCGCAAAGACACTTTGACCGATTTTCAAGGGACCGTGATACTGAGGACCTGTCGCGCAGACCACGCCCGAGATTTCGTGTCCGGGTATATGAGAAGCACACGCGTATGGTTCGGGCCACAGTATTTCGTCGCCGGTGATTCCAGCAGCGTGAACTCTGATGAGTAGCTCGTCATTTTGAGGGGTAGGAGTCTCCATGTCAGGGTTTGTGAGAAGCTTCGGAGAAGAAACATGGCCATGTATTTGAACAGCTCTCATTGTCGGCCGTATTCAGAATTGTCTCTTGGTGTGCTGCAGAACCGTCTGACGCTTGAGGAAGTAGAGAAGACAAAGAGGAGTTGGCTTGATAGAGATATTATGGATGGCTCACGATCAGATCATATATCCTCAGTCGCAACTGGTGCACAACTAAGTTACGGTTTACTAGGGTTGCTAGTCAGATAGCCTAATTCCAGGTGGGTAGCCTAATGCTCCGGTCCCCGGTTACCCGGGGCCTCTAATTCCCGGCTCTACCCTAACTACGGGCGACTAAGTATGCCGTCTGTTCATAACCCTCTCGTTGGATAATATTACCAATGTTTTAGTAATCCAAAGGTCATACCTACCTAGGTACCTACCTAGGTACGTATTATAAAGGATAAAGGTCCTTCCACTTCTGATACTCTTTCACTTCTGATACTAGGTCATCCATCTACGTACGTTATCTATATTTCGGAGACAAAGCGGGCTTAATTCGTAATCGGCTCGGAACTTGGCTTAGGTATGTGTGGGGTACTAGTAGACTGCGACATCGCCCGTCCATGGGCACCTAGGAGGTGCCCATCGCCCATCCACAGTGGGCCTTTGGCTATTTAGATTTTCGAGTGCCCGTCTATAACGCCTAAGGCCCACGGGTATACCCACAGCGGGTATACCCACAATGCCCACTATTATATAAAGTCACTAAAATAGATACAGTATAACTCACTGACTTTGTATAATAAATAACTACTGTTTATATCTATTTTACTAACTCTATATCAAATAGTGGTTTTAATCTATAATACCTATAAATTTTACTAAAATATTTAGGTATATAAGAAACTAGTATATATATAATATAACTTAGAATAAAATTTTAATCGAAACATATTATATTATATAGTATTTTTATTAATTTATTAATTTATACTATAATAGCTCAAAGATATATATTTATAGTAGAGGGGAGTATATATATATATTATAGGATAACTATAAATATAAGTAGAAATATTTTATCCTTATTTAGTTTTATATATAATTGATATCATATTAAAGCTATATTTCTCTTCTCTTATATTTAACTTATTATATATACTCCGAATTATATTTTCTAACTATAGTTAGAAAATCACTTCTAGGAGGTAGGTATATAGATCATTATCTCTAACTATAGTTAGAAAAGCTCTTCTAGGAGGGTAAATAAAATATTTTTAAGGGATCTTCTAGGGGACTAGGTTATAAATAGGTCCTCTTAGGTTTTAATAGGTTATAAATAGATTCTCTTAGGTTTCGATAGTGTAAAGGATAAAGGTCCTTTCACTTCTGATACACGATCATCTATCTAAGTATATCATGCCCTAGGGTCTAAGCGGAGTTGATTTGTAATCGGCTTGGGACTTAGCTTAGGTATGTAAGCATAATAGTAATTGTAAGATATATACTATGGTGTGAGAGTATAAGATATATATTTTACCGGTAGTATCTAAGAGAACCTTAGATATATTATCTACGGTAAACTATATTATGACTCACAATATATCGCCATAAATCTAGGATATCATAATGAAGTCATTATATTATTAATGACTTTCTATGATATTCTATACTGCTAGAGCTTGCCTATATAAGGAATGGAGGATTCCTAGCTAGAAAACAATTAATTAATACAACTTTTCTTACCTCTCACCTATTATTATCTACTTAAGCTAAGTATAAACCTTTCTATATCTTATATAATATAATATTATATAAGATAAAGCTTACCTAATACACCTTCCCCTACAAAATATTATAACCTACTATTAGGCTATAATATTATTTCTGCTAAAGTGCTCATAGGTTATGAGCCCGGCTTACTACCTATTTCCTAAATAGGAAATACCGATATATCGCCGAGCCTTTCCCGAATAATTTCCGAATTACTATATTTAGTAAGATACTAAATATAGTACTATACTATATTACTAAATATAGTAATATACTATATACTAATAAGTATATAGTGATATATTCTCACAATTATATATAGTATATATTACTATATATAGTGAGCTATATATATAAGTATACTATTATATATAGTATACTATATATATATACCTAATCTCCGATATTTATTATATATCTTACTATAGCCTCCCTAGATAAGATATATCTCCCTAAACTTAGGGGCTCGGAGAACTATACTATATAGTCTATTAGGGTTAAAGTAGCCCTAATAAAGGATGACCTATATATACCTATAGAAACTCCTTCTATTAGTGTTAAAAACAATAAGGCTATATCTATTTTAAAGCTTTATTGTGATAATAGGCCCCTCCTATATCTAAAAGATATAGAGAGTGCTAATAAGGCCTAGCTTCGCTTAGAAGCCCTATATAACCCTAAGGGTTTTACTACTAAATATTTAACCCTAAAAGATTTCTTTAACACTGGATTAAACGATTTTAATTCAATAGAAGAATATCTTAATAAGGTTAAAACCTTAGTAGATAACCTTAAGGGTAAAGGTATTAATCTACCTAATTAGGTAGTAATAGCCTAGGTTCTTAATAGTCTAAATAATAACTATAAAGGGTTTATTCAAAATATAACCCAATTATTAAGAAATAACCCTAAATTATATATAGTGGAAACCTTATTTTCTAGCTTAATTAATAAAGCTAGGGGTAGGGAATCTTCTATATATAAAGGTAGTTATTATACGAATATTATGATACTTAAATATAAGTATTATAAATTGTATAAAAATAAGCCTTTTAAAGGAAAATACTACCAATACTATAAGGTTATTAGTTATAATACTAATACCTACTAGCTATTATTTCCTAATCTAGCTCCTAAGGGCTAGATTCTAAAAGGTAAAAGGGCTAAAAAGACTATTAAACCCCCTATTTCTACTACTAAGGAATCCTTTAGGGCTAAAACTATAAATTCAATAAGCCCTAGGACTCCTAAATAGCTAGAATCATAAGATCAGATTATATCTAATATAGTAGATACCCCTAAATCTACTAAAGATATAGATATACTATCTAATCTATCTAATTTACCTAAATTAGATAAAGAACTATATACTAGTATTAAAAATTAGCCTAATAATTAGCCTAATAATTAGCCTAATAATTAAACTAATAATTAAATACTAGATATAGATAATAATATAGAAGAGGTATATCCTCTATTATTATATAGTACTAAACTATTAACTAAAAAACCACTAGATAATATAGGATTAAATCCTATAAAAGAAAAAGTGGATTTTATTCTTAATAGTACTACCACTATTAGTACTATATATAAATTACAATATCTTTCTTCTGCTAAACCTACCACTACTATAGTAAAGTAGGGTAAAGCTAATACTATTAAAGTAACCTATAAGGGTGATATATATATAAAATCTAATACTAGATATATATACTTATTAAGAAATGTTTTCTATATACCTAATCTAGGTATTAATCTTATTAGTATATACTAGTTATCTAATTTAATAGCCCTATTTATAAAAAATAAGGTATACTTATATACACCTTTAAAGAAAATAGTTACTATAGCTAATAAGAAAGATAATCTATATTATATAAAAACCACTATATTATAAAGAACTATAAATACTATAGTAGCTACTAGGACTAATTAACCTAGTATACCTACTAATAGTAATAATAGCTATATTCCTAAAAGGACTATAGATAGTAATATAGTGGATAATATACAAAAGTGGTATATTAGACTAGGGTATATTAATATATAGCCCTTAAAAATTCTATTAAAGGCCCTAGGGATTAATATAACCCTAGAATATATTAAGGCTTTCCTTAATAAAAAATATAAAGTATATCTTTTATCTAAAGATAATAGATATATATATAGGAAGTTAAATAATCCTACTAAATTTAATATTTTAGATAGGATATATAGTGATTTAGGTGGTCTATTACTACCTACCTATAATAAATATAGGTATTATATCACCTTCCTAGATAAAAAATCTCGATATCTTTGGATTAGTCTATTATATTCTAAAGATAATACTTATAAAGTATTCAAAGATTTTAAGGTCTTTATAGAAAATCATACAAAAAGAAAGATTAAATAGTTCTTTACTAATAAAGGTAGAGAATATATTAATAAGTAATTTTAATTAGCCCTAAATAAATATAGTATTAGTTATATAACTATTCCTAGTTATACTAAGGAACCTAATAGGCTAATTGAAAGATTTAACCTTACTTTATTTAACAAAGTAAGGGTAGTGCTTATTTAGTCTAAAAGCCCTAATTATCTATAGGGAGAAGCACTCTAAGCTATAACCTATATATATAATAGGACCCTATATAGAACTTTAGGATTTTTAACCCCTTATAAATCATTAAATAGGGTAAAGCCTAATATAACTAATATTAGGACTTAGGGCTCTTTAGCCTATTATTATACAAATAAATATAAGACTAAGCTATCTCCTAGAAAGGAAGAAGCTATTTTAATAGGATATAGTGATTATAATCACTATAAAATATAGGACTATAAAAGGTAAAAATACCTATAGTCTAGGGATATTACTATATATAAAAATCAATTCCTAAAAGAAATATCTCGAAATATAGAACCCTATAGGACTAAGTTAATTAGTCCTAAAGACTTAAATTCTAGGGAAGTTAGTATAGATCCTAATAGTCCTATTAAGGACAATATAAGTAATAATAATAGAGTATTAACTAGAGGAGAAACCTCTAGAATTAATACTAATCCTAAATATAGGGTCGAAGTCTAAATACCTATATTATATACTATTAAGGATACTATACTAACTAATTATATTAGTTCTATTGAGACTAATATAGATAATAGGTTTCTATTAACCGCTTCACTATTAACTAAACCTAATAGCTTTAATAAAGCTATAAATAGTCCTAAAAAGGATAAATGGTTTAGGGCTTATTTAGCGGAAGTTAAAGAACTTAAAAAATAAGAAACCTATAAAATAATAGATATACTACCTAATATAAAACCTATTAAGGGTAGATAGGTTTTTAAGAAAAAACCTATTAATAGTCCTAATCTAGATAAGGACTATATAACTAATAGTAATAAAACTATTAGATATAAAGCTAGGTAGGTAATTCAAGGATTTTAGCAAAAACTAGGTGTTGATTTCCTAGAAACCTTTTCTACTATATATAGAACTAAGTCCTAGTATCTAATATTAATAATAGTAGTTAATAAAGGCTAGCACGTACTACAATATAATATTAAAAATACCTTTGTATATACTAATATAGATACTAAAATATATACTATCCTATCTATAGGAGTATATAATAACCCTAATAAGTGCTATTATCTAAAGAAAGCACTATATAGTCTAAAATAAAGCCCTAGGCTTTAGTATAAATATCTATCTAATATATTAGCTAAATTTGACTTTAAGGTCTTTATATACGATAAAGGTATATATATAAATCCTAAAGATCAATATATACTAATTTATTACGTTAATAATATATTAGTAATATATAAAGATTTAAGCTATATTTATAATATAGTAGCTAAAATAAAGCACTATATAAAGATAGAAGAAATTAGTATAGTATCTATATTCTTAGGTAATAGTATATCTATTAACTATAAAGATAAGATACTATATATAGACTAAAAGGGATATATAGAGAAACTATTAAATAAGTTCTCTATTTATAATAATCCTAGTTATAAGCCTATATAAACACTAGGTAAACTAGGTTTAAAGCTTAAAAAGAATACTATAAATATAAGCCTATAAGATATTAAAGAATATTAGAAACAAATAGGGTCTTTACTCTATTTAGCCCTAAAAACTAGGCCTAATATAACCTTTACTACTATATACTATACTAGATATATAAGTAATCCTAGTAAGGACTATTTTATAGCCCTAAATAGGATTTAGAAATATTTACTAGTATATCCTAATATAGGATTAGTATATAATTACTTAGGTAATAACCTATATATAAAGGGCTATTCTAATACTAATTAGGGTAATAATTTAGATTAACGAAAATCTATATTAGGCTATATATTTAGCCTAAGCCCTAATATAGGGATTAATAACCCTATTAGTTAGAATTCTTAACTATAAAAAACAATAGTAATTAGTAGCTATAAAGCTAAATATATAGTACTTAAAGAAGCTACTAAAGAAGCTATATATCTAGCTAATATATTTAATTTATTAAACACAGAGCTAGATCTAGGATATATATATAGTATACCTACTATCTTAGTTAATAGTGAATTAGCTAAGAAACTAGCTAAGAATCTAGAATTCTATAAACGCTCAAAGTATATTGAAATAATATATTATTTCACAAGGTAAGCTTTATTAGAAGGTAAAATCACTATTAATTAAATACCTTCTAAATATATACTAGTAGACCTTTTAACAAAGAATATTAATAATATCTTATATAAGGCTTTTATAGATCTAGCTAAGCTAGGTACTATATAAAGACCTATAATATATATATTTATACTATATACTTATACTTGTAATCCTTATAAAGATTATAAGGATTAAGGGGGTGTATAAGTATAATAGTAATTGTAAGATATATACTATGGTGTGAGAGTATAAGATATATATTTTACCGGTAGTATCTAAGAGAACCTTAGATATATTATCTACGGTAAACTATATTATGACTCACAATATATCGCCATAAATCTAGGATATCATAATGAAGTCATTATATTATTAATGACTTTCTATGATATTCTATACTGCTAGAGCTTGCCTATATAAGGAATGGAGGATTCCTAGCTAGAAAACAATTAATTAATACAACTTTTCTTACCTCTCACCTATTATTATCTACTTAAGCTAAGTATAAACCTTTCTATATCTTATATAATACAATATTATATAAGATAAAGCTTACCTAATACACCTTCCCCTACAAAATATTATAACCTACTATTAGGCTATAATATTATTTCTGCTAAAGTGCTCACAAGGTATATATAGGGTACTAGAGTATAAGAATCTAGGGATCCTTAGGATCCTATTTCTTCGGTAAGAGTTAGTCTTACACCTTAAGATAAATATGTTTTAGATCCCTTCTCCTAATCGATAAGCCTTTGTATCTTACCCAGTTAATAGGCCTTATACCTGATAATCGTATACTCTTATAGATAGTTACTACTAACTATTTATCTTCTAGTACCCCCTATATATTTCTAATTATCGCGAGATAGGTATTCTAGGTAGTCTACGCCTAGCTAATATTTATAGGGGTATCTTAGACTAGATCTAGTTATTAGCTAATTATATCTATAATAATATTTTTAGAGCCTTTCTAGTAGTAGATAGCTAGTTAATATTCTTAGAGTTCCACGATCTAATATATAAAGTACTTACTATACTCTCTATAGTGTTTAGGTACTATAGGCTTATATTATTAGTAATAATTATTATTTTAAAATAGTTACTATTAATATATTAGTCCTATATATAGATCGATTCTTTAATAGCTAAAAGCTCTTTTTTATATATAGGGTAGTTAAGTTCTACCCTATATAACTTCTAGCTATTATATATAACTAGATAGAGAACTCCTTTATTATCTTCTTATATAAGGACTATACCTAGTGCCTATTTAGAGGTATCTATCTTAATTATAAATAGTTTATTCTAATATAGTTATTTAAGGACTAGTATAGAGATTAATAGCTCTTTAATCTTCTAGAAGGCGCTCTTATAGGCCTCTATCTATATAATTAGATAGAATCGTTTCTTATATAGACTACTATCACTTTCCTTTAATAGCTTATATAGTAGAATATAGATTTTTATAAAGTCTTTAATAAACCTTTGATAGTATATAGCTAATCCTATAAACTATTAAATAAACTATCAAAGAGGATTTCCCCTCATATCTATTGGCATCTCTTTCCCAGAGCCGAGACGTTTTGAAATGCGCCGATCTATAGGACCGAAATTGGCCTCATAGATTCGACCAAAGTTATGACTATACCAGTCCACTACTTGTTTATCCGGACATATATCGAGGATATCGTTGTTAACCTCTAGGTACCCTATCATCAGAGATACCCAAGACCTTAGTGATTCGCCCCACTCAGAAAAACTAGTGTCTATTTCTTCTTCGATTATAGCCTTAACAAAGCTTTCTACTAGTGCCTGTTCCAGTAGATAGTACAGACTGCCATAACTTTAAAACCGCGTTGTCTGCGCTATATCTCCTATTCTAGTCGAAGAGTGGGGGGTATCTTCATAGAGAATATACGCAAAGGAGTTCGGAATCAGGTATACCTATAAGGCTTTTTCTACAGGATCACCCTATAGATAATCAAATACTACACAAGACTAGTCTAAGCGTTTATAGCCAGTATTTATATCCTCTAAAACCTACTATAGGTTTGGATGGTCCTCTATAATTTCGGGAGGAGGGGCGCGATTTAGAACACTTCGGTTAAATCCCGCGCTCTTAAGTTTTTTAATAGCGTCTATATAGTCATCGTCCCGTACCACAACTATAGGGGCCTATAGTGATAGGAATATCGTTAGTAGGAAAAAGGATAGTTAAAATTCTACTACTTAAGGTACAATTTACCCTAACGGCGATAGGTACTCCTAGATACCACATTGCGAGTGCCCCCTAAGGAATCACAGTGAGAGGTTAAAGTGTTTCGCGAAGTCTTATAGAGAGCCTATCAGGCTCGGTCTATCTCGGGCGCCTAAATATATCTATAGTAGGATAGTGGGAAACTGGATTCTGTCTAGTATCTCTCGAGCGGATGTGATGCTTTCCGCGAAATAAACAATATATGATGATTAAGGAGAGGAGGTAAAGAGGATGGTAGAATATAAGAGGTTGTGGCGTAGACTAGGTTGATCAGCCTACGTTCCGCTATTGGCTAGGTCAGGTGAGGCCAGGTGATTTCATTCACTGTCCCAGCTTATCATAATCGATGGCTATACGAAAACCGTCCCACTGCTTATGAGCGATAGGGGTGGTTACATAGTGATACCTATTTACATTTCTTATATCTGCCTAAATCGAGGGCTTGGCTCCACTTTGGGCATTCGCCCAGGGCTCCCCAAGTATTTTTGAACATTACTCAAATATGCGTACTTATTTTGGTTCACACGAAGTCTTTCTCTAAGTTGATCTTCATGTTTATACTATAACGTTTGCACGTACTTGTGGGAATTTGGTGACCATGGAGGTGTTGATAGGCCAACAGAGCTTTCCAATGTGGAATGTGATCCTCAGATTGAAATGGTCGTGGCATTAAGTTACCGCTCCCGTGCCGTGACCTGAAGGCCTACTCTACTACCTACGTAGGAGCCCCGTTTCAGATATTCACCCGCGAACTAAAATAGCACAGTTGCTTCTAGTTTTTCGCCACACTTTTGGCTCCAAAAACCGTGGCCTACTATATGTTGAAAACCGCTATTCTACTTTTACGCTTTCGCGCTTTCGCGCTTTACGCGGTTTCATAACGTTTGACGTTCTTTAAAAGCTACATACTCCCTAGTACCAACGAACCCCGGTCAATCTGACCTAATCGCCTTGTTTCTTCGGAGGTTCCGCGAGGCCACGAGCCCACTAACACGTGATCGAGGCGAGGGGAATTTTTCAAAGGCTTCATCTCCGGCGCTTCTTGATTGCAGAAAGACCAAGGAGGAGAAGAGCGTATGCACCCAGTAGTTTGGCAGCGATGGAACATCGCAGTCCCGCAGTCAAGTCTCCCGTGCGAACGGGCAAGGCAATTCAAAGCCCCCAGCTCAGTTGCGAGCTTTGTCGCAAGCGGAAGGTGAAGTGCGATAAGCTCAACCCATGCACCAACTGTACCACTTCTGGAACTCCTTGTGCTCCCATATTTCGAACGCGACTGCCTCGGGGCCGACATGTCACTCGTCCGCGCCGAATCTCAACGCCTCCGCCCACAGCGGTCCCGGGAGGTCTGGTGCCCATGGCCCAGCCGACCTTTCCAGCCAATGGGAATTTCCAGGAGCGAATCAATCGCCTAGAAACTCTGATTGAAAGTATGAGGTCGGGACTAACATCGGCGGGTTCACGGGAACAGGTATTGCAACTCCTCCAGTTTCATGTGAAAGATTTGTTGACGATGGGATTGACCAGTCGCTTCATTTATCCGATACTTCAACATTTCTCTCGGCTCCTGGAATGAGTCGTCCGAAAAAGGACAATTCGGTTGTTTCTAAACGTTTGACGCTGCAAGGGCCCGATCAGTTTTGGTTAGACTTGATAGAAGAAGTAAGACCTACAAAATAAAACACGGACGAGCGATAAGATCAACGCGAACTCGAATAGGTTCACGGTCTTCGTAACGTGATAAAATCGTCAATGGGCGAAGAACGCCCGATACCCACTTCCCTCCACAACTCCGACGACGACGGACTTCAGGTCCTTGGCCTGCTAGGGAGCAACCTTACTTCCCCCAAACCATTGCGGATCTCATTGGGAAATCTGGCAATTACCAGTAAGCTATGTGAGATCTATCTACAGCAGGTTGATCCGATAATCAAGATCTTGCATCGTCCGTCTTTGAGCAAATGGTTGATGCTCCAAGGGCAATATTTGGCCTATGCTAAGGGAAACCCGGCGACGGAGGCCCTGGGTGCGGCCGTCTGTTTTGCAGCCATTAGTAGTATGACTGAGAGTCAGTGCTCTATCGTGTTTCACGCCAAAAAGTCAGACTTAGTGATCGAGTCTCGCGCTACCTGTGAGATGGCCATCGGGCGGGCAGGATTACTTTCCACTCGCGATATAACCGTACTCCAGGCTTTTGTCCTATATCTGGTACAGATTTGTCCCCAAAACTTGCGACAGCAACGACTGACCTGCCTCAAGGTAGCAAGAAGAACGGTAGATCGCACTCAAGCTGTTTGGACCCTGGTTGCTGTAGCGGTGCGAATCAGCAAAGGTCTCGGTCTCCATCTAGACCCCGAAAATGAGACTTTCTTCAAACAGCAAATGCGAAGACGGCTCTGGTTTACCGTTTGCCTTCTGGACCTGCAGGCTTCATTTTTCCAAGCTTCCGAGCCCCTTATTGGAGTCGACGACTCCACGTCCACTGATCTCCCGCAACACATCAATGACCTGGATTTTGATCCTACTACCACGTCAAGCGAGCCAAGTCGGAAGGGTCTTACGGACACGACTTTTGCACTCGTAACTTATCATGCTCAACAGATGGGGCGTTTACTTAACTTCGCCAGACAGGATCGCAAGGCTGAAGCAGAAGACTCAATCACCACGTCCTCCAGATATCACCCCCGCCATGACGACTCGGAATTGCCACAGCAAATGGCGCGGTGTTTTGAAGAGGAAGCACTTCGCCTCCTTCATTTCTGCGACCCCGAGGCGTCAGCGTATGCGTGGTTTACCTGGCACGGCACACAAACTCTCATTATGACGGCACGACTGGCTGAGATGCGGCCTCTCCAAAGGTCCGGAAAATCGCCACCCCCTCGCCGAGAGGGCAATCCCGACTTGCTGCGTCTCTGCCTTCTTGTTCTGGAGAAAGCATATCAGATGCACACAAATTTCCGCGCAGAAGGGTTTCGCTGGTACGTAACCATACCATGGCATGCCCTGGCGATTGCTATGGCCGAGTGTTATGTGAGCAGTGACTCGAGCTTAGTGCAACAAGCTTGGCCGTTGGTTGAGAAATCATACCTGCACCACGAGGCAACTCAGGGCCAGTCCCCTGATACCCCTCTTGGACAATGGATGCGGCGAACGAGGGAGAAGCTAGCGATGGCAGGGCCAGTTTCATTGGGAAATCCCATGACACCTGGCCAGAACTCAATAAATCCTGTCCCATCAAGACGGGACCTATCCCAGAGCTTAAATGATAGTCGGATAGAATCAGATCGTACATGGCCACACACAGGGCCCACCATGCCAGCGGACCTAGATTCTTCATCACTCCTTCCGCTATCAAATTGGTGCTCTATATCGCCGGCTTTGGATAACTCGTCACCCTTTGCGGCGCCGCCAACGATGACGGGCGTTGTCGACGGAATAGACCCGGGAGCGGAAACCATGTGGGAAGAGCTGTTCTCGGGCATGCCATTCAACGAGATTGCCGGTCCGGATATGTTTTTCTTCGAATCGGGTCGCTAAATTTGAACTAGATGATGAATAGAGGGCGAGCCACCTGGGTATCCCAGAATGATTCGCGAAAGCTTTTAAAGACTTGAAGATTGGATTCATGTAATACTGAAGCTCTACGCTAAATATACTCGGAATAGGAATAAGCAGACATGCACTGGCCAGAAGTTCCATTCGATTCGATGTGTGCGATCTGTTATTTGTGATGTCGCAATAATGATCTGCACACCTATAGAGTGAAGATAACTCCCACAAATCGGCTGTAGTCCAGCACCAGCCACTAGTAAGCCGAATGACATGGACTAGTTGTTGATCGGCCGCGCGGCCCGAAAGATGAAGATCGATCCCACGACCCACGTCTCCACCTGAAGGAAATTCTCACGGAGTGCGCGTTCAAACTCAAACGCGTTATCCTCTTTATTATGGAAGACCCCATGATTCAAACCACCACGTCGGATAAATGCTGCGAACCAGCTGTCTTTCCTGACCCCGCGCCCTAGCACATAAACCCCGTGGATCACGCCGTCGGCGGTCATATTGTTCTTGAGATAGAAGAAGATCCGACATTTATTCGCCACCGGGGCAGGAAGGTAGTGAAGAAGATAGTACATAGACACCGAGTCGAACTTCTCTTCCACCGGTAGCGGCTGGAGGATATTGGCTAAGATGCCATGGGCATCCGGCCGGTTTGACCGAGCGATTGCCACGTTTAGGGTTGGCCTCTTCGTTGTCGATAATAGTCAGCTCTGTGGAAGCCGGAATTTGTGCGTTTCGAAGGTAGTAGCCTATTCCGGCCCCGATATCGAGGTGTTTTTTTGCCGATGTTTGATCGGAATGGTGGGATCAAATAACGGCTGATCTGGCAGCCCCAGGCCCAGGTGCTGACGATGCCTAGGACCCAAATTTCGTATATTGCTAGGCGCCACGGGGTGTAGATTTCTTTTGCAGCTTTCGCTTTGAGTGAGTGCTCGCTGGATGGAGTCAAAGTTGGTTCGAGTGCTGTCATGTCTGCTCGGTTCGTTGGCGATGGCTGAGAGTTTGAGAGAATGTATCGGTTTTAAAGACGGATGAGACATCTTAGATTGTTCGTACTAATGCAATAATATATTGATGATCTCAACGGCTTTGTAACTCACTGTGTCTGACATGCAGATTGTAGATCGTTAGAATCCGACCGAACTTCGGCTTTTAACAGCCTCACTGTCCGACTCATTCGGATCCGAAAGACTTGTTCCGAGCCTAGGGCTCGAGAAGTGGCATCATCCATTCAATAAATAATGTTGATTTCAAAAGGTGGCGGTAAATCTAAGCGCAGCCCAATCCTTCGTTTTACGCTTCAAAATTATTAAGGTTGACGAAATTACCGAAAAGAGAAAGATGAACGGCACTCGATCACACCCAATTCTCATCATCGGCGCTGGTATCTCTGGTATCACCACAGGGCGGTTGCTTACCAATGCTGGCATCCCTAACATTGTGTTTGATGCATCCACCCCGGATCGCAGCCATTTGCTATCAGTCTCCGCGAGTGGGGATACTCGTCCCTCCTCACAGCTCTTGGAGATCTACCGCTCTGCAGCTTGACTCGCGGTGCGGCTCCAGACAGACTTCTTGGTGGGACTGGCTGAATCGACCAAGCGCCACGAGACAATCATACAGGGAAGGTATTGGTGGCGCCTGAGCTGGAACAGAAACAGTCAATTGTAAGGGTGAACCGCACTGCTCTACGCACGTGGATTTCGGATAGTGGTGAAGAGGACATGGATATCAGATACGACCATCGTTTTCAAAGTGTCGAGGGGACTGTGGGTAGCCTTAGTGTGACTTTTGAGAACGGCGCTCGCTACCGAGGGTCGCTGCTAATCGCGGCAGATGGCGTCCATTCTACTTGTATGGTAATCTTGTTCTGCAGAATTTTGCTTTTTCACTGACATCAAAGTCCAGTGAGGTCCCAGATCCTGCCTCACATCTGCCCGGATATTGTTCCTGTCGTCGTCTATCACGGCGAGTTGCGACTCCCACGGTCTCAATTCGATCAGCTTATCCGTCCTCACTGTGGACCCTCGAACATCCTTGCTGGAGTTGGCGATGACTTCAACACCCCCATAACCATCTGCAATATCACTCCTAATCGCGTCCATCTGGATTGGTCGTATTCAAGACCAAGAGTGGGAGAAACCGACCCTCTCTATCGACCCAACATCACTCCAGCCGAAGCCAAGGAGGTTCCATCTGCCCTTCTGGAAGAGATCGACTCTCGTCAGTTGGCAGAGCCGTGGTCACAGCTGCTCAATGCCGAGGCTCTAGCACGACATCATGTTTTCAATTGGGTGAGTCGGAGCGTGTCTGTCAGCCGCGAGGATTTAAATGCCAGTGCACAGCAAGGAATAGTATTTGTAGGGGACTCATGGCATGCGATGCCCATTGTTGGAGGAGAGGGGGGAACGATGCGCATGTGGATGGAGTTGAATTAGCAGAAGCATTGACAGGTGAGCCTGGAGATCTGGTTCGCGCATCCACCATGTAATGTACTATGAGCGCTCTTGGAAGCGATGTCATGAGGCTGTGAGACGGTCCCAGCAACGGTTCTTCCAGCTTCATCGGCCCATGAAAGATTGGCAAGTAATTGCAGAAAAGAAGAGAAGGTTAACGGACCAGGTTGTGGCAGGAAAAGCTCTGGGATAGCCAAAACTGGAAGTGTCCGCGTTTGTTTGAGGTTTAGCTAGATCGCTATATTATACACCCTTGACTCTTCTGTCACCCGATCAAGCCCATATCCTTGCTGGAGACTGGAGTGGGTTGAGAACTGGACCCTCTCTTCAGATCTCGAGGCATATGTCTGATAGGCTACTGCGAGACATTATAGCTCACTTTGAAAAAAAAAAAAAAAAAAAATACTGTATACCCCGGTGGTATTCCATGGTTGACAATATTCTACACTCCAATGGCAATGAAAAGTGAGCTACAGAAAGAGGACAAAAGGAGATTGTTTATCATTAAAAGGAGAGCTACAGCGATATTGATATAAATGTACAATTGAGATCATAAAGGGGAGATCACCGAGGGAGGAGTCTAGAAAGTCGCTCATAATACCGAGCGAAGAGCAAAACATGAAACAGAGAGCATGAGCTTGACTTAACCGGAAGCATACTGGGATATCGTACAAAGTCTTGCTCCGTAGAACCAGAAGATAAATGGAGCAGGAACTCCAATGACAATACTTAGCAGCGCCAATAAAGTGTTCCCCCAGCCGTAATGTAGAGCGGAATACATGTAGGGCGCAAAGAGAGGAAACCCAAAGCCAGCAAGACTGCGCAGAACCACAGCTGCAGCCATTCCACTGGCAGCAACTTCGGCAAAACTGTCAATGAGATATGTCTGCATGCACTGCAAACAAATGATCGAACCGACGGAGAAGATGGCAATTCCTATATTTGGCATAATCCAGTGAATTTTTGCCTGCACGCTCCAGCCATACCAGAACAGTCCAACTGGAATGAATAGAGACCCGAAAAACATGGCAGGAATGCGAAATTCTGGAGCACCGGTGTTGTTTCGCTTCATCTTAAGCTGGCGGTAGATTCGGCCGCTCAGTCTAGCGTTTACCTGTGCGCCTATCACGAAGCCGACGCCCAGTGAAATATAGTTCAGGCTTGCAATGCCGACGCTTTCGTTGTAAACGCCTTCCCAGACTCCGGGGAATGTGGATAAGAGCAAATAGAACAATCCGAAGAGATAAGCCATGTACAGGGCAATCACTTGAACGATTGGCTGTGTGATCAGTAGCTTGAATGGTCGCACCAGGGCTGTTCTTAAAATTGCCAACAAGCTTTGATTCGAGTCAAACTCTGTGTGATATCGCAAACCATCAGACTCTTTGCTGAGTGATTTTGCTCGGCGTTTCAGAATCGTGGGTTTATGGGTTTCTGGGAGAAATGCCAGGCCGATGAGTTGAATCACCGCGCCGGCGGTGCTGCTTGCCCAGAAAATCCAGCGCCAGGTGACTGTTTCAGTAATGAAACCACCTGCGATGGGGCCAACAACAGGACCGAGGAGGGGCGCCAAGCTGTAAATCCCAACAGCTTTGCCTCGCTCGTCGGCATTCCAACAGTCGCTGGCAAGGTATGTTAGGTTTCATGAATAAGATTTGTAGAACTGGGGAGGCTTACCTCAAAACACCTCCTCCAATGGCCAACGGAGCACTTCCTGCAATTCCACTCATGAATCGAAAGGCGATTAACTGACCCGGAGTCTCTGCAAATCCACAGCCCAAGTTCCAACACACGTAACAAAGGTTGCTGAACTGCAAGACGTAGGCTCTTCCGAAAATCTCAGAGAGGGGACCAAAGCAAAACGGGCCCACTGCATAGGCCAAGACAAAGATGGAGAGGGCCATTTGACTCTCAATCTCTGTTTTGATCTTCAATTCCGCAGCCATCTTGGTCAACGCGGGGGCGACCATGGAAGAAGAGACTGGCGAAATAAAAGTAAATAAGGAGACGGTAATGGTGACCGCCCATTTCTTCTTTAGAGCCCAATTTTGCGGGTTCTCTTGTTCATCGAGTGAAGACCAGGAGACCTGTAACATAATCCTCCTTGAGCTGCTGGACTCAAATCCGTAATTAGAGTGATACTCACCAGGTGGGAGTTTTGCTCAGGACTTATTGTTCCGGAGTCCGGATGGTTTGAAGGTACTTGCTCTGAAAGAAATGCTATAGTTAGATATGGCCTCAAAAGAAGTTCATACCTGCAAAGGATACATAGGATCCTAATATACCTTTCTTAGCCACCATTCTCAGGCTGTGGACTTTGTGTGAAGATGATGTGGGACGAAAATGAGGACCGATGAATCACAAAATGCTCAAGGTCTCATAGTTCAATACTCTCTCGGCTTTTAACGAGACTTACAGGGGTCTTAAAATCCGAGACGCCAGAAATATCAGGCATCAACTCTATGTCGGAGCATACGAATTGGCATACCAGAGATTTAGTTCATCTAGTTTGTTCAGTAATTTTGAATGAGTAATCCGTAGCCTATATAAAGTGCTAGGAAAGCGGATACTATAATATAAAAATTTTAACACTATTGATATATTTTAGGATACAATTGTGTTTGATAACATATTGTGGCCTTGGGCAGTAAATACTCTCACGCTTCCTTTTCATTCCCTTTCGCCCAACAGATATCCACTATATTCACGGATTTATTAATCGCGAAGATGGATCCCTTCGCAAAATTCCCAACCGAAATTATTTGTCAAATTCTGGATTTTTGTTGCGACTTCACTAGCTTGGACGGTCTTCAACAAATATCTCCCATAGTGAAGGAAGCTTTCAACGGCTGGTTTAAAAACATCACCGAAAACGTCCTGAGGAATTGCTCCCTCGCCTCGCACGGGCTTCATTACTATTTCACGCTCCTAGCCTCTATTCTATCGACATCATTCACTCCGTAAGCCCTACTAGAAGAACTCGCTAGATCACCAGCGGATATTATACGACCTATTTCCCTTTCCACCACCCACTCACTAGCCGCGGTCTATCAGACTGTAAATATAGCAGCGAAAATATATCTCACTACCTGTGCTTATCTTCAGCGTTTCATTAGTCATCTCGAGTCCGCAGAGCCCCGCCGTCCTATAGCTTCCGATACCAAAGTTATCGATTGGGTGAAAAGAATACTTCCACCACCAGGTGGCGAGCTTATCCAATTCGATATTGATCTACCATCATGGATCGAGACTTATCGGACACATCGAGGAGAGATCTAAACCTTGGAGCCACCCTGCAGAAGTAGGATCCGGGGCCTCACAACACTTAGTAGATGCCGGACATCTTTTTTTGTGCAAATATTTTAGTGACCCGATAGTTAACTACATTATGTTCATAGTATAACCAGTTAATGTATTTGGGTTGCCCACATCAATAGACAGTGGTGAGGCCTTGAGATTTCAACTTCTAAGAAAAGTCAATTGGACCTGACATTATATCGTCAACTACCTTGGCTACACTGACGGCCGATACTCGCTATATAGCAATAATGGCGATTTTGCCTTGAAAATTGAATTTCATGACCCTGGACGGCAGATATTATGTGGTGTGCCGAGCTGCAGTGCCATTACCACAGATTTCAGGCGTGATAGCGTGGTTAGAATGCAAACACGTCAAATTACATTCATGAACACCGCAGCAGTTTGCGGGTATTGGATCTCAGCTCAGCCACTCAACCTGACGATCAGGTACTTACCACAAATCCACAGGCGCGGTCTGAGAGCAGCAGGTTTCCTCCGGGAAGCCGTATACTGACCGCTCCGAGTCCGAAGGCATTCTGCTTTTTCCCCCGAACGGGATTTTCGAGATTGCACACAACTACGTCATGAAGTATCCCGTCGAAGCCAGAGAGCTGCGCCTTTAGAAGAGCACACACCTTATCGGCTCTTGCCAGTTTGGTTCTATAATCAATCCCAGTCATCGATTTCTGTTCAGATCTTCGTTATTTTCTCACTACAATGTCTCCACCAACCAAGGTCATCTTTCCATCTTTTATGCTGCAGATCAGCGGCGAGCTCTATGCTCCTGTTGCTGGCTCCCCTGATCGCAAGGGCGCTGCAGTTGTGATCAGTCACCCTATGACCGGTGTCAAAGAGCAAACTTCTGCAGACCATGCTCTATTGCTTTCTAAAGCTGGTTCTTATGCCCTCACGTTCGACGCGGGGTACCAGGGCGAAAGCACCGGTCAGCCGCGTGGCCTTGAAGACCCTCACCAGAGAATAGAAGACAATAAGGCTGCTGTGAGCTACCTGACCACGCTTGAGGGCAAGGTTGATCCTAGCCGTATTGGCGTCCTTGGAATTTGCGCTTCGGGTGGTTATACGTCCGTCCTATGCCGCGCAGAGTGACTCGCGAATCAAGGCCCTGGCTACTGTTAGTGCCGCTTGCGTCGGTCGCATGACTCGCAATGGAGGTCTATACAAGGAGAATAACAAGGAACTCCCCGAGGCTATTGCTGGAGCTCTTCAAGCGGCCGGAGAATGGCGAACTCAGGAGGCTCGCGGACCTCATTCGGAAGCACCACCCATGTTCAGTACCGATCTCAAGCGGATTCCTCATGATGCCGACTCTTTCTTCAAGGATGCAGCCAGTTACTATGGATCCAAGCGTGGAAGTAATCCAAGGTCGGACCAGAAAGTCCCTCCTTCCAGCTACGACCTCATGGTCAGCTACGATTCATTCAATTTCCAACACCTGATCTCCCCACGACCATTGCTCATGGTCGCCGGAATCAACGCTCAGACTCTTCACTTCAGTGAAGACGCAATTGCTGCAGCCCGTGAGCCCAAGGAGCTCTTCATTGTCGAAGGAAGGAACCATTTCGATCTCTATGATGATCTTACGGTATCTGGCCCAAAACTTGTGCAATTTTTCGAAAAGAACCTTAGTTTCTAAAGCCCGTTAATTGTGTTCTAAGGGCTAGTCAACCTACTTTATATAAGGTAGTATACTCTTTCTTTAAACATCTAGTTCTCCTGAGTCTCTTTGACTTCCAATTTATTATTATCTACGAGCTTAGGTAGGGGTAATTATTCTAGTTTCCCTTCTTTCTATTACTATACTTATAGTAGCTAGATAAGAAACATATTATAAATCGCCTTATATTTATCTTGGAGTTTGTGTTAGTATACTTATTTTCCTATGAATTAAAGGATCTTAAATAGTCCTATGTATCTTAGGGATGGCTCCTTTATAGTTCCTTCTTTTAGTTACAGGTTCTTTATTCATAGTACTACTAGATTATTCTTTTTCAATAATTTTTCCTTCGCGGGTTGACTTAGGGATATCGGTATTCACGGTCATATGTTGAGCAAATCCTACAATTCCTTACAACACACCCTTCAGTGGTTTCTTCCACTTCTTAGCGGTTGCTTTTGCAGATTCGTACCAATTGTCATCATCGAATGAGACCATACCATCCTCCAATTTAACGGTTTTCTCCACAATCTCCAGCTTACGTTCGCGTTGTGCAATAAATACGCTCTTCTTTGCTGGAAGATTGTCCCTCTCGCGCTCCGCCTAAATATACACTAGCGCTCTCTTAGCTTATACAAGAAGATTTCCTCTAAGAATAGTAGGTGGTTGTCACACGTGTTGATTAGGATATTGGTTGCCTAAAGTAGAAGTTTAGTGTGCTGTATCTCGCTGTGCGCGACCAAATACTAGGGGATCTGTTATATCCCTAATCAGTCATCGCTTTGGCTAATTCTTGTAAATTTTGTGGCCTAGTGGTTACTCCAAGCACAGTGTGCTCGGGTAAGAAGGAAGTATTGTAAGCGCTCTCGATACTATAGATAAACTCTAAGAAGGTGCAGATAGTACCAGTCTCCGGGTTGCACCGACTACCCAGGGTGCGATGATCTCCATTGATAGCGACGTCGGCCAAATAACCGTGATCAACGCCACAGCCCCATTGATGACATTAAGGATTGTCATGCCCCATGTAATCCCAAAATCCCGAATAATTTTCTTGGGGTCCAAACCCACATGGGCGGATCGCCATCGGAAATTACACCTCTAATTCACTACTGAGGATAGTTGTCTACTCATATCGATCAGCCCGGTCTAGTCTAATTGTATTTTCATACAGTTTTGAACTATCACTAGGAGAACACTGTGGTCGTCGGAGGAATCAGGGTCATAGGGTGTACGGAGTACGCGTGTACGTCAATCATGATACTTCCGATGTCTCCTTTGCTTTACTACAAGGACAGTTTCTGATTGACTTTACGAAGAGTCACTGACATCTATCGCCAGTGCGTATAGTATGAGTTTGAGCTCCCTACCCGATTCAAGTCTTGTACTGCCAGAGTTTGACATTCCATCCCAACACCTCCAATATTCGACCTAATAGGGTAATTTTACCCGCAGATCTTGGAACGGGCCGGGAAGCCGAAATCGCACACATGCAAAGTGCATTTGATTAGTCATGTCCATTTTAGGTAAATTGATAATTGTCAATTTTGCGAGTTCCACCTCACCGTACAATACAACATACTCCGTACCTCCATACGCCGTACTCCGTACAGCCTGTCACTGCCGAGTGCTAAGCTTTGCACGTGATCCCCTAGTCGGCTCTAGCCGGGAATACCGGATAGACGGCCGCTTATGCGGCTTTTTGTGTCTTCAGGGCTCTTGGGTAGGCTATTCAGCGGTCCATGTGAGATTCTTCTCAAAATTTTTGAGTCCCTCTTCCCAATTTGAGGGACGACGACAGAAGACGGGAAAAAGACAAATACATTTTGTGAATCGAAATTTTTCCGACATATACGGAGTCACCGGGGATTACTCCATTTTATAGACCTCCCAATCAATATCAGAAATTCAAGATCATCCAAAAAAAGTAGGTATCCCGAGATTGGCCGAGGCGACAAATCAAGAAACCAACGCACGATGACAGAGCCAACGACTCGCCAGCGAATTTATATGTAACAGCAGGCCCCAACAAAGCCGTCGAAATTGATACACAGATTTGATAATCGTCAAGACACTGTAACGGTTCAATGGGATCTTTAGTTCCCATCAAAGACAAGAAACTGTCAAATGATGTCAACTGCTGAAATATCTCATCGGGCCTGATATGTCGAGAGCTGTGATATCAACCCGGCCGAGAACGTCACCCATTGCATGCACATATGCCCATACACGCCACCGCTTTCAAAATATATCAAATATAAAAAAAGGGGAATGTGTAAAAAACAATGAATACCAATGAATACCAATGAATACCAGTGATCAGTATTGACAATACTCCGAAGAAGCTTTGTGGCGTGCAGGTGCATTACCCTTCTCGGCCGGGCTTGCGTAAAGTAGGGTACGCTCCACCTTATACGCCAATTGAGTTCCTTGAAGATCCACGAGCCATTAGGAAATTGGATGGGGTTGGAAAAAAACCGGTAAAGTTCTCTCTCTCTTGTTTTCCTTGGTCCTTTGCTTGTTGTGCTGTTGTGTTTCTAAGGAACACTTACCCATTCACATAATCGGGTAAGCCATCTCAGATCAGAGTCACTATGGACAGGGAATCTGGTCGCCCAAGGGCGAGAGTGAGTCAAACCAAGCACACGGAGTAAATGATCATCTAATTTATACTCCTCTCAGTCAGATGTTCAACCGCGGTCACCTGCCCGGAACCGAGCTGCCAACGATGCAGATTATATCTCACCTTTGAGAGTTCGCACTGATGATGATAGCGGGATCCGAAGATATAGCTCGGTAGGCTCAAGACGCAGCAACGGAAGCGCAATACCCAGCTTGGCTCCCCGGACTACTCTGGCGCAACGCACCCAAGGAAAATTCACCTTGGCTGGACCGGATGCAACCCCCCAGCTGCGATTAGCCCAGGAACCCTTTGTCCAACCCGGATATGCAGACTTGAATCCCTCCTATGAACAGGCTTCCAATGCCAGACCGGTCTGGTCCCTGGCAAAGCCGCTGCCTCGTGTGGTGCGGCCGAGCATGGTGCCCACCAAGGAGGAGCTATTACAGAACCTGGCCAACGCCCAGCGTCCCGCAGAGAACTCGCAGAAACTTGGGCTTGAGGTTGACCCGAATGATCTTGAGCAGGGTCGTATCGATAAGTCTTCCGATCCGCGCAAAATGGCTGCTCAGGTTGAGGATGCGCGTCTGCAACGTGAGAATAATTTTATGAATAAGATTCTCACGGGTGATGGCACATCTGCGAGACAGACCTCACGCATTTCGCGTACTTCCTCAACCAGAGCAAGACGCCCTTCGGCTTGGGACCTGCCCCCAGATCAACTGTCCACTGTCCAGGAGGGAGATCATTCAAGCAGCCATGAACCAGAGGAGCGCTCTGAGCTCGGGGATGATCAGCCAGAAAATGAAGACCTGGGTGCGAGACTGGACGATATCTTAGAACTTCCCGAATTGGAGAAGGGAGGCTACCCTGAAGACCTACACCCGCTCGTGCAGGAACTGGTCGAGGATGAAGTGCATAATAATCACACCACCTGGTCCGTCATCCGTACACACCACCGTGAGGCTCTTGCCGAGGCCCTGGGTGTGTTTATCCAGCTGACTATGGGTTTCTGCGCCGACTTGTCCGTCACCGTCGCTAATCAGGGCAATCCCAACACCACCGCCTGGGCCTGGGGCTTGGCATCTATGATGGCCATCTACATTTCTGGTGGTGTTTCCGGAGCCCACCTCAACCCCGTCGTGACCCTGGTGCTATGGTTCTTCCGTGGTTTCCCCAAACGCAAGATACCCGAGTATTTCGCTGCCCAGTTCCTGGCCGCCTTTGTTTCGGGTTTTGTTGCGTATGGATTATATTACGAATCCATTCAGAACTACCTCCTGCTCAACCCAGACACCGCTATCATTAACAGCTTTGTGACGAATTCGCGTGAGTCATGGGTCGGTTCTGCCACAGCGTTCTTCAATGAGTTTTTCGCTACGGCCTGTTTGACCGTCACTGTCCTGGCGCTTGGTGATGACCAGAATGCTCCACCTGGTGCTGGTATGAACTCGCTGGTTATTGGGCTTGTCATTACCTGTCTGAACATGTGTTTTGCTTACCAGACCGGAGCGGCAATGAACCCGAGTCGCGACTTTGGCCCTCGGCTTGCGCTTCTCGCTGTCGGTTACCCTAGCACCATGTTTACTAATCCTTACTGGTTCTATGGGCCTTGGGCTGGGACTTTAACTGGTGGATTTTTAGGTGCTTTCCTATATGACTTCTTCATTTTCACTGGCGGTGAATCTCCCGTCAACTACCCACTTGAGCGCATCCAGCGCGCCGTGACCAAGAGTTGGATGAAGTGGAAGCGCCGACTGAAATTGGAGTAAGAGTGAGGTTCCACAGTCGAGTGTTGAATATTGTGTTTCCTATGACGTTTGAGGATCACTGATTGGTTCGTTTTATGTCTCCTACCATTTTGTATCTCGGTATTTCCAGACATGTCTGGTTGAAGCGGTTCAATATAGAGTATACCCAAAGCCTAGTACAATAGGACAGTTTTTCAAATTTCATGCCCAAGCAAAGTCATCCTAGCAGATTTCCTGCATATGCAAGTCTCCCAACAGGCCTAGCACGTACATCCTAGCAAGGAACAGGTAATACAAGACACAAACTCCAGGATTTAGAAAATAGGTATGGACCTAAATGCCTAAGAAAAAAAAAGAATACGTTTGAACTGCCACTTTTTTTTTCTCTCTTGCTATTTCTTTTCATATTTCTTTTGATATTGCTTTTTTTTAATATCGATGCATGTCAAATGTACACATCTATATCTGTCCAATGTACTCCGTACGCAATCCCCGCATGCAAGATAGACAGAGTCTTGGCCCTCACGCTAAAGACACCGTCATCGCCTCACCGTTTTTTTCTCCGTTTCCCCCCAACTTTGGAAGAAATTTCTCAAGAATTTATTTTGAATTGACTGTGGCCACATTATTCACATTACCCGCCTGAACGCCTTCTTTCTGCACGCTCCCATCGTCTCGTGCTATCAGGTCGCGCGCTCAACCGATCCTGCAGCGCTGGCCCATTTCGATTACCTCTTACATCTCAGTGTTCCACCGCCATTCTGTTCTTTTATTTCTTCCTATCGTCTATCTTACTCTAGTTACTGCCCAACGCATCTTCGGACATGGAATACCGACGACTACAGCACTCATACCCGCCACGGCCTTCACCGTTGGGGGCCTCGCAAGAACCACGCGATCCACGACAGTTCGCTGTGCCTTTTACCGAGTCTCATCAACTAGAGACCGACAAGCCCCGCCCGTACCCTTCTTCCTCTTCAAATGCTACGCCCTCTCCGTCACCGCTCTATCAGTCAGCCACTTCGCGAACGAATACTTCTCGCGGCGATACTTCCAGCGCATACTTGCCGAGGAACGGCTCAACACAAGCACACCGTCGGTATGGGAGTCTTGAAACGAGGAATCATGAACAAACACATCGAAGGAATAATTCGCAACCTCAGGTCCGATATCGTGAAGGTAGGTGATATCTCCAGTTTTGTGTTTACTTTCCAGAGAGTTTCCCCCCAGATTGAGAATTCCAAGGATCGGACTTCTGCCGTGGCCTCCACTTTTGTCGCAGTTCACTTTCTGAGAATGTGCGACCGAAGGAATGGGTCTTTGTTATCATTGGACTTAAGCCAGAAACCACGCGACATAACAAATCCCATTCCAAACATCCTCCCTATTCTCCCAAACACACTGGCCCCCTAATGGATTTTCCCCGGTGGCGCAGATCGACTGGACGACAGCTCGGGAGCGCTAGTCCAGGTCAGGTCTAGCGTGTCCAGAGGAGCCCCTGCCCTTTTGGGACTAGCGTGGGAGCTTCCGGAGTCACGGGTTCTCCTCGATCTGGCCCTTGCTTTCCCTTTTTGAACTGTTGCTCACTCGTCCACAGGGCTTTTAGGTGCTTCCGTTATGAATCATACGCCACCACAACCCGAAACAACGCGTCGTACTTCCCAGGGTAGCAGTAGGAGTCCCGGATTTCCTGGTGAGCACCCGACTTGGGCCCGAAAGCCCCGTGCTACCGTCCTTTGTCGCGAAACATTTTGATTTCGTCACTCATCCGATCGGGACATGCGCGGTCATCTTAGAATCTCCTTCTATCAACAAATATTTGCTAACGTGATCCCATCTCATAGCTTCGAACGAACAGTCCGCACCGGCATTTGGAAATCGCCAAATGCCGCCCCCATCTCCTCCACACTCATATTCGTCGCGAGCACAACCAACCCACGCGCCTGGCGGGTCTTTGATGTCGCGCGATATACCTAACGGTCAAGCGCACCGACCGGGCAGCAGCATGTCCATTTCCGCAATGTTAGGCTCGGACCCGGATCGACCTGCACGAGAACCTGCACGGGAATCTGCGCCGTTCTTTTCGCGACCACCCGCATCGTCAATATTCGGTAATGCACCCTCATCCTCATCTTCCGCCGCCATGTCTCCGCCCACTGCCACTGCAAGACCCTCACCGCTCGATAATTCTTTCTTCCGTCGTTCACATACACCGGAGAAGCCATTTTCCAAGCCCCAAGGCGCCCGTACATACCGGTCTGGGTCCGGTGGAGGCTCCAGTCTTCTTGGTGGAGAGCAGTCTGTATTCGGAGGCCTGACGCGCTCGTCACTCTCACAGTATCCAGAGAAGCCACACTCGACACACCCTTCGCCTCGGATGTCCACGGCAGAGCCACCGTACAACGAACCGCGTCGCATGAGTCTCAGCGGTCCGATCGCGCGGCCCAGTAGCCAGCCACCCCATGCAGATGCACCCACACGACCCCCTGGCTACAGTCCAATCTCCCAACCCGGAGGGGTCGCAGATCGCACCTTCGAGTCCGGCCCTCGGCCTGCATCTGGGTCGTACGGAACTCATGATCCACAACATGGTCGGTTTTCAAACATGTTTGGCGAGCGGCGCTCGGAGGATACTGCACAACGGGAACGAGAACGAGCTCCAACTCATGGATCCGATGCCAAGTTGACCCAGTCTGGATCATATCGGTATGGCTCCCACTACGGTGAACGCGACCCGCTCGATCGTCACCAAAGCGGTTCTACATGGGACCACGGTCGCTCCCACCCTCCATCGCCGGAGAGCAAACGCTTCCCTGCACCTGAGCATGGGTCGGGTTTCGGGTTCGGAGCCATTCAAAGCTACACAAAATCACTAGGGTCGCAACCGGGTGGGAATAGACAATCTCAGATCTCTCTTCAGTCTCGAAACAGTCAGCCAACTCCTCCGCCGTCTCATGATCCATATCTCAGACACCAAGGGCAGCCTCCACGGATAGGGTCTACTCCTACTATCTCCGCATCGACGGCTGCCGCATCATCGGGTCTAGCAGCCCTGGCCGATGAGGGACGACGCAAAGGAAGCGAGGAGCTGCTCCACCATCGCAGCCTGCTGGCTGTTGGTGCTGGTGGGAAACGCGGTGGTCGTGCGTCACCCCTTCCCCAAGCTGTGCAAGGCGCTCAAGCTCCATACATTGGTCCCGCTGGAGAGCCAGCAATTAAGAACGAACTGGGACGGGTTTTCTCTGGTATCGGCAGTGGGGTCGGTGGAGTCACCGCGGCCACTGGTGGCAGTGGACCATCGACCCCGTTGGGATCTAGCCCTTTCAAACGTGATAGCCTCACAGGTCGCTCGAATGGAGAAGGGATGGATGAGACGTCCAAGCTCGCTCGGCCATCCTCTGCAGCTGGTAGACGGTCGAGAAAGTCACGCGACGAGGAGCAGATGGATTTGGAGGCCAATGATGCTCGAGGCATACTATCGGCACGTAACGCCCGTCGCTCTCGGCATTCCCACCATCATCACCATCAGTATGTCCTACTCAACCAAGTACTATTCTTGTCGTTCACATGCTAACATTCTTCTAGCCACCACCATCATCGTCACAAGGCAGACGAAGAGGCGGCTACCTTGAGTTCCCTTCAACGTCCTACCTTCTTCCATCGAACATCTCCAGCGGATCCTTCTGCCCCACACCATCACCACCAACATCACCATCACCATCATCACCATGTTTCTCGACCAGCCGCGATTCCGGCTGCATCGCCTATCCGCGAGCCTCGTACTACCGTGAACCTGGAGCCGTTGCTTTCTAGTGTGGCCCATCTTCCCCGGCATCATCTTGGCTCAACGCTCTACACGCCTCGCATCAGTACGCCTACTGCCAAGTCCTCTTTGGATAGCTCCAAGTTTGGATACACAACAACCCCCCAGCCCCTTCCCCGCTTTGAGCAGCGAGAGAATTGCACATTTACTGTCCGAGTTCCCCGTTTCCGAATCGATCAATCCCACCGTGAGGAAATATGCGCCCGGCGCGCCCTCTGGGGCACCGGTGTTTATACAGACGACTCAGACCCGGTCGCCGCTGCCATCCACTCCGGCTTCATTCGCGGTGCGTGGGGTGAAGACGTGGATGAGTCAATGCTTGATCTCGAGATTAAAGATACCTATCACCACGCACCTCCGCCCGAAGCCACTGCTGACGGTTCCCCGACCAAGGGCCCACGCCTCCCCCCGGTCCCTCCACCGGACAGGGACTTGCACATCACCCTGCTTGTTCTTCCCCGCGTGGCCCAGTATGACAGCGCTCTTCTTTTTGGCCTGAAGTCCCGCAAATGGGACGGTCATCACGACGGCATGAGCTTCAAGGTCCATGCCGTGGACTGGGTTGACGAGGGCGTTGCGCGCGGCGAAGAGCGCAGTGGTGAGGCCCGTCGCAAACGTCTCCGCACGCTTATGCAGACTGGCCGCATCTGTACCGGACCTGCTATGGCTAAACTGGATGAGCTACGCCGCAGCGGGGTGCAGGTACCTCGCGCTATTGATAGCCAGGATCAAGCCGCACCCGTGCAACCAGTCTCCTAATGGTCTGGGTTTCACTTATGTTGGATCAAGTATTCCAGATGCCTACATGACTTTGTGTTTTCATTTTTGTATTTCCTTTTGCCCGTGTGCCCTAGTCGGTGTACATGATGTTAGGTGGCTTTTACTCTTCTTGTTATTTTTCGTTTTGATTTGATTGGCCGGGTCAACGGGATCGGATGAAAGGGAGATCTTGATTTTATCTTCCCATCTATACATAATCTGATATTTTTTTTCTATTTCGTTCAATTGAGTCCCCTATTTCACATTGTATGATGTCCGGAGGACGCTAGAAGCTCTCCCCGCATGAGTGATCGCCCGGAGAACCGGAGAATTCAAGTCAAGTTGATAGGATCAAGTTTATAGGGGCTCGTATTTGTGTGTCTTTTGAATACCTTCTCTTCGATCTTTTTGAAGACTATGATATCTACGGTACTTCGTGATATCCACCTTTCAATCTTCCCAGGGGGATCTTCTGTCCCTTGTGACTTGGTCGACTGGGAAATGGACCGAGGCTCATCGGTGGATCAGGTATTGGTATTTCCGTAATTTACGTTGATACATATAGTTAATAGGCCAACATGCAAGTCAACACATAAGTCAACAGACTCAATAATAATAGATATCACGACTGAGAAGAGTCAGATAGCCACGTACTATTGATAGCGCATTTACTTACCTTCTCATTATCTTGGAATAAGCAACTCGAAGAGGACTCAATACATAGATCGAAATGCATAGGCTGCAATACGCAGACCCATTGACCCCGTACCGGTTTTACCGGCTTCCCCGCCAGCCGAGGTCAGTTGTCTCCCTCTTATTCTCCCTTTCAGCTTCACGTTCACCTACTCCTTACACCAAACATCTTTTCATATAACCAAAGGGATGTTCACTGCTTCTGCTCGAAGCCGTCTGTCTACCCTACCAAGGCAACGCCTTCCTTCTCTCCTCGCCCGCTCCGTAAGTCCTGGTTACAAACACTGTTCCTGTGCAGTGAACTCCCCGGATCCAATTCGTTGACTCCCATATAGACTCTCACAATGGCTCCCCGACGAGCGGCATCTTCTGTCCCTGAGGGTAAGTAACATGTGCGCCCGGCGCAACGCGATTCCTCGCCCCATACAGAACTCAGAATGAGCCCCGCTGACAGATGAATAGGGTACAAGGAGGACCTCTCCAAGGGCAACATGCTTCGTTTTGAAGACTCTCTCCCCAGACTTCCCGTTCCCTCTTTAGAAGAGACCGGCCGTCGGTACCTCAAGTCCGTCCACGCCGTTGTCTCCGAGTCCGAGTATGAGCGCACCAAGAACGCCGTGGCGGAATTCGTCCGCCCCGGTGGTCAGGGTGAGACTCTGCAGAAGCGTCTCTTGGCTCGCGCCGCCGACCCTAAGATCAAAAACTGGCTCTCCGAGTGGTGGAACCAGGCCGCCTACCTCGCATACCGCGACCCCGTCATCCCTTACGTCTCCTACTTCTACTCCTACCGGGACGATCGCGAGCGTCGGAACCCAGCCAAGCGCGCTGCCGCCATCACCACTGCTGCGCTTGAATTCAAGGCCAAGGTCGATGATGGCTCTTTGGAGCCCGAGTACCTCCGCAAGGAGCCTCAGGCCATGAGCTCTTACCAGTACATGTTCAACTGCTGCCGTATCCCCGCCGAGGGCTCGGATTTCCCTCGCAAGTACCCCGCTGCTGAGAACCAACACATCGTGGTGGTGCGCAAGAACCAGTTCTTCAAGGTCCCGCTTGTTGTGGATGGTCAGCAACTCAATGTTTCCGAGTTGGAGAGGCAGTTCCAGCGCATCTACGAGACCGCACAGCCCGCGCCCCCTGTGGGTGTGCTGACTGTTGCGGACCGTGATCACTGGACTGCTGCTCGCAAGACCCTCGTTTCTCTCGACCCTGCCAACGAGCTGGCCTTGCAGGAGATTGAGTCTGCTGGTTTCGTGCTCTGCTTGGACGATGCCCGCCCTGTCACTCTGGCTGAGCGCTGCTCGCAGTACTGGCACGGTGATGGCTCTAACCGCTGGTTCGATAAGCCTCTGCAGTTCATTGTCAACGACAACGGTACTGCTGGTTTCACCGGTGAGCACAGTATGATGGACGGCACTCCCACCCACCGCCTGAACGATTACATCAACAACGTCATCTTCAACAAGAAAATCGACCTGTCCGCCCAGTCTGTGCGCTCCCAGCTTGCCGACCCCAAGCCCATCAACTTCAAGCTGAACGATGCCGCCAATGAGGCCATCGACTTCGCAGCTCAGTACCACCGCAAGCAGATTGGCTCCCATGAGCTGGTCGTCCAGGCCTACCAGGGCTACGGCAAGGGATTGATCAAGAAGTTCAAGTGCAGTCCCGATGCCTTTGTCCAGATGACCATCCAGCTCGCCTACTTCAAGATGTACGGTAAGAACCGTCCCACCTACGAGTCCGCCTCCACCCGCAAGTACGCCGAAGGCCGCACAGAGACAACCCGCACCGTCTCCGACGAGAGTGTCGCCTTCTGCAAGGCTCATGAGGACCATACCACCTCTCGTGAGGAGACCGTCAAGCTCTTCCGCGCTGCCCTCGCCCAGCACACCAAGTACACCCAGGAGGCCAGCTCCGGCCACGGTGTCGACCGTCACCTGTTCGGTCTGAAGAAGCTTCTCCAGCCCGGTGAGAAGCTCCCCGAGCTCTACCAGGATCCCGCATACACCTACTCTTCCTCTTGGTACCTCTCCACCTCCCAGCTGAGCTCCGAGTACTTCAATGGATACGGATGGAGCCAGGTTATTGACGATGGTTTCGGAATTGCCTACATGATCAACGAGAACAGGTAAGCACCATCCCCTCTATCTCTTTTCATTCGTACTCATAACTAACTCTTTCCAGCCTCAACTTCAACATTGTCTGCAAGCGTCTCGGTGCTGACCGCATGAGCCACTTCCTCAATGAGGCTGCCACCGACCTTCGTGACCTCCTCATGCCTGACCTGGTTGCCCAGGCCGAGAAGCCGAAGCTGTAGATGTTCCTTGCATATACCCGGTTTTTTTGTTACTTTTGGTGCTTCGGATTTTTGCTTCCTCACTCCAGCGCCTGATAGATGAATATATTGTTTTGGGACTTGGAATGTCTTGTATCTATACTTGTTTTACACAGCATGATTTGTCTCTAGTTTTGCTTTCTAGAATTGGATCGAAGAATGTGTTTGTTCATAGTTCCTGCATACATTTCCTATTCCAAAAACGGATACCTCTGCCATTCATCATACGAGCTATCCATTGTCTCTTGGAGTAACTAGAGTGACGTTTCCCAGTAGCCATCCACATTTCGTGTTGGCAGACCATAAGATATTTTAAGATACCAAGTCAACTGGGCAGCAATTCTCTTACATATGCCTTGACAATTTCTCACCCTTTCTCTCGCTGATGTTCTTACTTGCTACTTTCTTCACTTATATGCTTGACTCGCCGTGAACATCTCACGCGTAATCATCGTGCGTTCATTGTAGAATCGCTGGAAAGAATATCACTTTAGGTAGATTTGATTCTTCCACGTAACTAGCCCAATCCTGTTCTTCCTTGAGCTTTTCGTCCTTGGCTTACTCACGTGACGACAACTGGGAAACGATGCACGTGCAAGTAAGGACCTCCGGGGTCATGAAATCGGACGTCGCACCTGTATCAATATTGAAGTGATGTAAGTCGATATCAAGATGTCCGATCTTGTCGTAAGTGAGAAATTGGTACTCCATGTTCTCATCAAAAGGTGTACGACGAAGTTAACATGTATTGTCATGGATTTCTACACTAGTTTTGAGCTTTCCATATGGAGCCCTCGATACTTCCAATGGGAAGCCTTGCTAGTAACAGTAGAGTCTGCATAAGATAAACCACACTGCAACTTTGGAAAGCGCATATCACGTTGCGTATTCCAAAAAAATCGAAACACTGTCCTCGAAAGATGGGATATTGGATCTCAAAAGACCCATGACCCTTCATGAAAACCTTGACCCCAGGATCATAAAATCGCGCAACGTCCGTTACTTAGGGGCTGTGGGGTGTTCTGCGATCATTCTTCATCATGTATTGCATCGTAGAGTATTGAACAAGAGTAACCTCCGGAATATTATCGTCTGTATCATATCGCTTTGTGGGGGTCATTTCGACGGGCCGAGACACGTGCTGAATGCGCTTTTCAGTCTTTGCCGTCTCGCGTTGAGCCCATGGCAGGCGGGCCCGCGGTTTCGGTCCCCGCTTGCCCGGAGACACTGCCCGAAGTGGTTGTTGCAGGAGACGCACTCTGGGAAGTCGTCAAGTTGCTAATTTGTCTCTCTGTGGAGGAAATTAGTATATGCGCTTGGATCAAGATCCACTCTCGGGGTGGGGTTACTCCGTGGGAGTAGGCTAAAAACGCTAACCCAGGGTTTTCTTACCTAGTTCCCGAATCCGCTGCCGCAGAAGCACGTTTTCTCGGCTTAGCGAGCTCGCTTCGGCTTGGTAAAATGCACTCTCGTCCCGGCTGCCCCGCCGAGATGAACTATCCCGCAACCCCGGGAATGGCTCCACGCCTTCGGATCCACGCGAGTCTAGCGGCCGTAAGTTCGGTGACGTTGCTTGACTTGAAGGACGTGAGTTTCGGCGGTTCGAAAGTGAGGATGAGATTGATAATCTGTTACCGGCTGGAGGTGGTGCCGGACCGGGGGAAGAAAGCCGATCGTTCGGATGCCGGGGTTGTGTCATCGATTGCGGCAGATGATTGCGGGGTCTGTTGCTGCTGGTATTGTTGTAATTGGGCCTGCTGGCTGCGGATCATCTGAAGAAGACGGTTCTATATTCCATCAAGGTTACTTGGTTAGTTTACTACAAGATTTCCGGGGATGGGGATCAACTCACCACTTGTGCTTCCTGCTCCTGTTCCAGCTCTTGGTGTAGCTCTCCCAACGATGGTGCTCGCTGGTGATGGGGATCTGCAGTCGCGAAGACGGGGCTTCCACCATGGCTGGACGGGCTGGCTGTGCGGAATGCTTGCCCAATCGAGCTTCGATGGTGGTGGTCTGATGCGGGTGTATCGCTAGCTGCGTGGCCAGTACCCATCTCGTTTATGTTCAGATTCATGCCGGCATTGGATCGACGCCGCTCGGATACCGATAGTCGGCCTATGCTCGAGCCACGGGAGGGCCTTGGTGAGGCGTTGTTGGGGATCACGGGACCAGTTCCAGGGGCGGACATATTACGTAGAATGGAGGAGGAAGTCGAAGATGATCGGGATGGAGGAAGAGAATTCAGATCCGGGGGCATCTTCAGGCAATAAGTGCGTAGACGATGAGGACTATTGTAGCAGCTCTCATCTGTGACGTGAGGCATCCCGTGAGGATCTGATGACTCATCACTTTTTTTCGCGGGGTCAATCACATGATATCAAAGCCGTTTGGGGTGATGCCTGAGGCTGTCATGGAATGCTCTGGCTCACGGACTCACACCGAGTTTCTTTCTTGCTTTACGCGCCGAGCATGACTCTGTCGGGGTTCACACGATTCTTCCGGAACATGGGAACATGGGCCAGGCCAGGCGTAAGATCGAACCACAGCATCTTACAGCTTGGCCCCTGGTTGCGCACAGGGAGGGGAATACGCCGGTTTCTTCCAGTGGCGCCCAAAGTTACAAGTTCCAAGCGTCGTCTATTTTATGTATACAGAGTACTTTACATGTAAACAAATTCGGGCTATGGGATCGCCGCAACGATCACCACAGGATCGCGTGGCACGATACGATTTTGTCGATCCCAGCGATGTGATTTGCCACAGGAATGTACCAACGTCCGGGTTCGGGGGTCGGGGAACGTGTGGTGGCCGGATGTTGGAAGCCGAGGTGACTTTCCTTTTACCCCAGTGGGCAATGGCGGTGAGGATCTAGTAATCATGGGGAACAATGTAACAGCATGATGGGGAAATGTAACAGTCCGCAAAAGCAAAGGGCTAGGTGCCCTCCGGGGCTGCAAGGGCCGTGTGATTGACATGGAGTACGTAATTGACAACCTTCGACACAGCGTTCTGGAACGGAAGATCACCGAATGAGAAGTTTTCTCGCCAAAATTTGATCGGGCCGGCATTAAGGGGAAAAAAAAATATTAAGCAATGCAATGCCGATCACAGGTAAGCCACAGGGTAAGCGTAGTCCGAGCCCTGGCCCCAATGACGCTCAAAACGCCACGACCCTATAGACATGCAAATGACTCTGATTTAGCCGCACAGCTGTTGAACTGGGCATCCTGACGTCACTCGTAGCAAAGGCAAGTAATGAGCGACTTGGCAATATCTTGTTTGAACGGGAACGATTCTCAGAAGACTTAGTCCATTTGTTTCTTTTCTATCATTTGAAGTGCATATAACATAACGTTGTCCATCACACATGGAGACCCATGCGGGCACGGTCGGCAATATTCCTCCTTACTTCGCGGGGCACATGGGGTTTTGATATCCCGATCTCAAGTACGGAGTACCCCGTACGGAGTGATGTCGCAATTAAAAACTCGAAACGGACATAACTTCGGCCCATTGCGGCAACGGGGAAGTTCCAGACTGGAGAGAGAGAGAGAACATTGCTGTGTGGGTCTCATTACCCCAATGCGAGCTTCCTATTCCGGTGTACTTGAACAGAAAAAAAAAAAAAAAATAACAAATACTCTGTGTATTCGATTTTTATTTTACCTCAAGTTACCTAGGTAGATAGGTACATGGAGCACATCAGGAACATGTATACCATGTCCACCTCTACCTTGTATGTAGAAAGGGGAGAAAAGTCTGGAGAGAGAGAGAGTCTGGAGAAAAGTGGGGATTGGGGCATCTCGGCATCCCGTCTGGAGAACTGGTAATGTACCAGGTAAAGTCAGGTAAAGTCAGGTAAAATCAAGTGAAAAATCAGGTAAAAATCATGAAAATTCCAAGAATTTCACTGGCGGATCACAAATAAAGAGGGACATGCAAAAACATCGTAATAAACTGTAATGGAAATGTACTGACCAGAACCCTGGGAAACCTTGAGTTCTTTCCTGCATTGGGCTCTTGCCTTTTGGATTTCTTTTTGCTATTTAATTGATCGTCTTTTCCTCTTCCCTCGTTTCCTTCCTCTCTCTCTCCATTGATCTTCTCCATCCTGATCGTGTCCTCATTTTCTGGGGTTTCTTCTACAACTGGTCTTGGATACCAGTATATGCCCTATACTACCTCTACGTCACAGGAAATCAACAATGACGACTGACCCCGAGAAGACCGGGATCCCTCCACGGGACACCGTCCAAGCTGCAGAAGATGCCCACGCCCAAGCCGTCGTCAATGCCGCGACTGAAAAGTTGGAGGAAGATGATCAGCTCGAGGAGGCCTTGACCTCACCCTCGGTCGAGCTCGAGCTCACCGAGGATATGTGCTACGAACGACTAGGATACTCCTTCTCTGAAAGGAAGAAGTGGACGATCATCTCCGTCATCTTCCTCGTGCAGACATCCATGAACTTCAATACATCCCTCTATTCAAATGCCGCCACGGGAATCTCCGAGGAATACGGTGTCTCCATGCAGGCTGCACGCTGTGGTGCCATGATTTTCTTGGTGCTTTACGCTTTTGGTTGTGAACTGTGGGCACCATGGAGTGAGGAGTTGGGTCGGAAGCCCATTCTTCAGGCCTCTCTCTTCCTTGTCAACGTCTTTCAACTGCCCGTGGCTCTGGCCCCCAACTTCGCTTCCATCATGGTCGGTCGTGCCCTAGGTGGTCTCTCATCCGCTGGTGGTTCCGTTACACTGGGAATGATCGCCGATTTATGGGAACCAGATGCGCAACAATATGCCGTAGCCGCTGTCGTGTTCTCGTCGGTTGGTGGATCGGTGCTTGGTCCAGTGGTTGGTGGCTTCGTCGAGGCTTTCCTGCCATGGCGGTGGAATATCTGGATTCAGTTGATCTTCGGTGGTTTCGTGCAAGTGGCCCACTTCCTGTTCGTCCCTGAGACCAGAACTACCGTGATGATGAATCGGATTGCCAAAGATATGCGCAAGTCCGGCGAAAATCCCCACATCTACGGTCCTACTGAGGGCGTCTCGTTCCGCCAGCGCTTCCCGCCTCGTGAGCTGATGGCTACCTGGATTCGTCCCTTTAAGATGTTCCTGACTGAACCAATTGTACTGGTGCTTTCTCTGCTCAGTGGTTTCAGCGATGCTCTTATTTTCATGTTCATTCAGTCGCTCTCCCTGGTGTACGGCCAGTGGGGCTTCAACACCTGGGAGAAGGGTCTGGCCTTCATTCCAATCTTGGTTGGCTACTTCATTGCTTGGTTCTCCTTCTTTCCGGTCATCAGCCGCAACGTCAAGGAGCGCCGCGACAATCCGGACAGCGAGCGGGCACAGTATGAATCTCGTTTGTGGTGGTTGCTCTATACGGTTCCCTGCCTACCCATCGGTCTGATCGGATTTGCCTGGACCAGTTTGCCCCAGTGCCACTGGATTGGATCGATGATCTTTGCTGCCATCATTGGTATTGCCAATTATGCTATTTACATGGCGACGATTGACTACATGATCTGCGCCTACGGACCATATTCCGCATCTGCAACCGGTGGCAATGGATGGTCGCGAGACTTCCTCGCTGGTGTCCTCACTATTCCGGCCACGCCGTTCTTCACCAGTAAGTTGTCACATGCATCAAATTTCCGCAGTATTATACTAATGAACTTTCAACAGATATCGGTGGCAAGTACCATCTTGAATACGCCTCGACCATTCTTTGTATGTCTATCCCTTCCTTCTGCGTGAGCCATCATCTAACGTTGTTTTCTTGTTTTCTTTAGTCTGTATCTCCATTCCACTCGTCATTGCGGTCTATATCATTTACTGGAAGGGCCCAGCATTGCGCAAGCGTTCTCCATTTGCCCAGCAGCTCGAGGATGCTCGACAGCAAATACAGGCCGAGAGCCGACGAGGTTCCAAGATTGTTCCGGTCTCTCGCCTCAATTCCTATGTGCGCTCCCAGCAAGACCTCCGCATCCGTCCAATGATCGGCAGCCGAGGCAACTCTCGTGTCAACTCTCAAGCGAACTCCCGTGCCAACTCTCGCCGCAACAGCGTCAACATCGTCAACGTCAATGTTAACCATTGATCGCTGTTTGTTTTATTTTTGCTATGAATACCCAAATCCAGTGGGAGTAGTGATGGGACCGAAATCACTGTCATAGGAATCTATGGACATCTTCATATTACTTCTCCGAGCATGTTTCCATCCACATCAATTCTACGCCGTGCGTGGCTGGCTCTGATTCCTGCTCCCGGCGCTCGGTGGATATCCCTCTCCCCGATCTGTGGCTTTCTGTCGCTATGCACTTCGAGTATAAGGGAATGAAGTGAAAAGTGGAATCGGCGCGGGCTCTTAACACTAATTGTCTTTTGTTTTTTTTTGTGCTTGCTTTGACTTGAAAGGCAGGATTTATGATCTGGGGGGCGTCATGTATGCTAGGTTTTCGCGACAGAGCGATACCGGTTATGAATTATACCATTATTATTCGCTAAACTAATTGCTTCCTATTATGTGAATGTACACTGTAATCAAGTTGTAATTGTTTGATTTGTCTTCGACAAGCAAGTATTTCGAGACAAGATATTGCCTAATACGAGGATTGCGAGTATGAGCTCGATATAGCACATAGTACACCCATACATCCCTACATTATTAGGTCGTTCGGTCCCGATCCCAAAGACATGGTTGAGACGATGTGGCATTCTTGCCAAGAATCTAGGCCGATCCCTTTCCGGTTTCGGCCAGGACGGGATTATAGTCAATGAAGCCGATAGTCTTCGATTTGAACAAACCGCTTCTAGTATATCCGTGGAATCATTATCGGTCTCAACGCTTAGGTCACATCGGGGGATTGTGGCTTTGTCTCGGCTTCTCGGAAGTAACCCCCGTAACTCGGGACTGCTTGGGGTTAGTCCCGAATGCTAAATGTAGTTTAATATGACTCGATCACTTTGTGAAGTTGGATATCAGATATGTGTTTCCGTCGTGAGCCGGTTATAGATGCTCCTATCGTATGTTTGTAGGTAATTGAGGTCGTAGTAACACAGCTCGGAACCATATGGAATCCCCATTGTAATTGACATGGAGATAAGAATGCTCGGCAAGTCCCGGGGTTTCTATGGGGATGCCCATGTGCGGCATTGAAGTGCTCGTTTACCTGACATAAGCGTCTCCTGGACACCTGCAGTCCTCGTAACATCACTCGGGAAGTATTCCACATCCCCGGAAGTGACAAATCTTGGTAAGATTGACATTGTACATCCAAGTTTCAACTCAAAGATGGAGTGGGAAACACGTTTCTCTTATATAGAATCTGATTTTCAAATCTTCACGAGTCTGTTGTACAAAATGGGCTTAGAAAGATATAGAACAGAGCTACGAGTATCTTGGACCAGATCAAATCGGATTCTTAGAGACATATTGCATGTTCCCCGATATGAGAGGTAGTGTGAACTTTTAATTTGAATAATTGAAAATAAGTCAAGAGCAAAAGAAGGGTTTACCTGTATAATTGCAATGGAATGCGTCATAAAATTGCGCAAAATGGTAGCCCTAGATTGTAGACCAAAATGGGCATGAAATGAGTGAACCAAAGACTCACTCTCTCTGCTTCGGATCTTAGCACTGAACAGTTCTTGGCCAATTCTATGCTACACTTTCTATAAGAATTTGGTGCCCGCGTCGCTCTCGTCCCTTGCGCAGAGTGTGTAGATGTACATGTAGGAATGTATGTCTGTACAGGTCGTCAGTGCTGAAGGTTTCCTTATCGTACATGCTGCGAGGTGATCTGGACGAAAAAGTTACTTCAACAAAGGGTTATAATATCCTCAAAATCTGTGTTAATAGCCGAGAAACGCTTCAGTCTGCTCTGGTAAGATCTCGAAGTAAGGGAGCATAGTATATAAGGCATGCTTGCATTTCAATATTCCCACTTGGGCGAAATGCATAAATTTGGAATATTTTCCAGGCCGGGCAGTTCCATACCAAATATTCAAGAATATATAGAGATATATATAGAGATATAAGACATATGTATGAACAAGAATAGCATTGAAGTCTCAGCTTCCGATAAGATACTCCTTGGTCCGTGCGCCCTGTCAACATCTGAGCTCTCCTCTCCTCGCCATCACACCTTCGGAGGCCTCCGTACATAGAAATGAATTGTCTTACTTCCATGCGCCTCTGTGCGAGACGCATAAATACCCGACCTCTCACGCGACTTCCTAGTCTACACGCACCCGCGTTTCCGCTCACGCGCTCGTTCCCGAGGATGACATCCAGCGCGTTTCAGTTCGCCGAGGGCGAAGATACGCAGCAACTTGCCCGAGATGCCGATGCTTTATTGCAGCAGGGCTGGGCAAAGGATGGAGACGGGATGGGAATTACCAAGACGTTTCATTTTAAGAGTTATTTCAAGGCTGTGGTGAGTGAATATATTTTTTTTTCTGGTCTGGGACTGGGACCTGCTTCGGTGAGACTGGACTGACAATACGGAGGCATTTGTTAATATGATTGCGGCCGAGAGTGCGTCTAAGAAACATCATCCCACCATGACAATAGTAAGTGGGACGTTTTGAATCGGTGCCTGGAAAAGAAATTAAGGCTGACATCCTGTTAGCGGATTGGCTCAGTCGATGTGCACTGGACGACCCATCGCCCACGCGGATTCACACAGAAAGATGTTACAATGGCGCAGCATTGTGATCAGGGTGCTGATCTGATGGGTGCTGTTGATCCTGGTCAGGGACTCAAATGTGGTCCAACTGTCTAGGTCTCGAATTTGCGCTCGAATTCGCCAATTTATTCTTTTTATCCCTCCCCGGTCTGGCCCCCCCGACACACACTATCACCAGTAGATCCCCCCACTGGCGGTTGGAACTAGTCTGAATGTGAATTTCCCCTTGAAATCCTGACTGTTTTTTTTTTCTGGCTGTGTTCTTCTCTCCTAAACGGGTCGTTCCTCGATTTTGATTTTGATTTCAATTTCGATCGCGATTTCAATTCCGATATCAATTCCGATTCCCTACATTGATAGATAGATTTCGGCGATTTCTTGATGGACCTGCCATGACGTCGAATCAGTCCATGCCCACGTTCCTTTTCGATGATCATTGCCGTCTTGATTAAACCCTGTCGCTCCTTTTTCTCCAATGCGCTGAACGTCCTAGAGTCCCAAAATCCTGATTTGTTTTGAGCTGTCTTGAGCACGCTCGACAATGAATCCAGATCAGCCATCAATTGGCGAGCGCAGAGGTCATCAACTTGCGCCCTTACAAACCAATTTCAGTCGACCAGCGGCTCAAAAACGGTTACAACGCCCTCGGCCCACTGAGTACCCCAGCGTCAATGGATCTGAAGGTCCCATTCCGCTCCAGCCACAGGGCCCCGTTAAACGGCAATCATCCAAAACCAGTCTGCGCAATCTTTTTGGTCATAAGTCTTCGCGCGCCGACCCCACATTGGAGGAGATTATAGAGACACAGCCGGAACCTCCAACTGCCATTCTCTGGGATACCCCCATGTCACCCTCTATCACCAGCCCCCGCACCATAGACTCCAATCCCACCATTACCTCTCCGACAGAACCATCGCGCGCAAACTTAAAGACCTCCCGTCCGAAACCCGACCCCAAACACTCGAACCAGGAACAGTACGGCTGGAAGCCTCCTCCATTGTTCCAGGCCTATCCCCAATCCACCAAGCATGACTGCCTCTCGGCACCGGCTCTCTCTGCGGATTCCATCTTGCGTCTGCACGCAACGAGCGCAAGAAGTTCTACCGATGATAACCCGGTCAATCCGTTAGAGCAGGACGAGGCTGCCGATGCCGCTCGTAAAAAGCGGGAACAAAGGCAAAAGAAGCATCTCCGGACACTATCTGGTACCATCAACAAGGTGGAATGGACTCAAAAAATATATGTCCTGGCAACCACTGGTTACATCCTCCAATATGCAGGCGAAGGAAAGCACGACCGTCTTCCGGAGAGGATGCTGCTGCTAGGACCCAACTCTGTCGCATTCGCTAGTGACGCTATCCCCGGGAAACATTGGGTAGTCCAGGTCTCTCACAATCCGACTGATGATGATTCTGCCGTACCGGAACCCCCCAAGCCTCGATTCTCGCGCTTTGGCTTCCACAAACATAATACCCGGCGGTTTTCGCGCAACTTCCTTCTGGTGTTCGACAATCCCGATGCCATGATCGGCTGGTTGGCGGCCGTTAGAGCTGAGATTGAAAAACGGGGAGGCCGCAAATTCACGCAAGAGAAGCAGTTGGACGAAGACACGATGCCTCAGCTGCGGTCCAAATCAAACGTTCGCCAAACGGTAAAGAAAGATCCCAACCGCATTTCCAGTCTGTTCCTTCAACCCCAAGCCATTCAATCGCCCACAAAGGAGGAAGATGGTCAGCCTGTCGGTGGTACACCATGGCCATGTCGCCGCAGTTCATATGTGTCGATTAATCGTCGCTCATTAATTGAATCTCGATCTGGATCGGCGTCAACTGGCCGAACCGAGGCCACAAACCCTACCAACGGCTCTGCTTCTATCGGGTCGGACATCCGTTCTTCATCAATCACTTCTTCGAATGTACCCAACTCGCCGCCAATGGCCGCCGCCGCTTTCAAGTCTGATGAGCCTCTGCCGGAAGATCTTGACCGAATGTACACACGTAGCCCACCTCCTTCTAGTCATGGGCAACGACAATCCTTATATATGCCCCTGCCACATCAGCCTCCCCCCATTACCGATTTCACAGAGGAGCCACAACCGAATCACCCACCACCTGTTCCCGAAACTCACATCCGCTGTGCTTCACCACCGGCGCCTAATTTCAGTGTCCCCTCCTTCAGCAAGAAATTCGTTCCGAGGTCAGGGCCCCCCCCCGTCTCTCATGTATCTCCTCCATCGATCAACGGCTTTGTACACCGTGCTGAGACCGACCCAAATATTTCTGCCTTTACATCTCCTCCGCAATCGCCAACATTCAGCGTTGCTAGTTCTCGCTATACAGATTCATCGGAGCCTAGGCGCATATTACGACCCTCAAATTCAGAGGATGCCCTGACCAAAACCGTCCGTTCAGCACAGAATACCCAAAACTTCTCCCGGACGCCCAGAACAGCACCCCCCACAGGCCCTCTACCCGATCCCAGAGCATCTTCATCCCGACCACTCAGCCTGGTCGGTCGCCCTAGCGTGGGTCGTAAAAACATCAATTCAAACCAGGTCCAACCTGTTCCTCTGCCGGCAGAACCAATACCGCGCAAGAGAGTATCCACTGTGAACCCCGACAACCAAACTCCTCTGAGCATGTCGCGCCGCAAGAGCATGCCCGGTATCGGTTTAACAGTCGGGCCTCCATCTGCACCACCCCCCAATTGCCCGCTCCCTGAGCTCCCCTGGCCCGTCCCTCCTACCACTAATCCCACTCCCTCTGTTCCTTCCCCCGACACGACCGCGCAGATGCTATCCCCCTTCTCTGCAACGTCCCCAACACAACGATTCTACGGATCCGGACCAGTGCGGGATCATGTCGAAGATCGAAAGAGCGGTCTCGATTCCGTAAGCAATGAGCCGGCAACCAATGTCTCACGAAATCCTCGGCACTCGAAACTGTTCAAGTCTGCCATGGCCTGATTATTCCCCTGGTGTGACTCAACTTATACCTCGCTTTAACACCACTACTCCAATACTCCCTCACATCCTCGACGTTGCTTTTTCCTATAATCGATCTCTCATGACAATACCTCGAGATACAGTCCCTATACCCCCTTTTCTTTCTCGCATTTGTCATCACTATATCTGTCTTTTGGGCCACTCAGTGTCAGATATCCCTTTTGCAGCTATTGCATATCTGAGCCTATCCTATCCTTTCACTCATTGTGCGCATTGGCTATACCAACTCTTGCGGGCACACCTCAATTCCTCTTTTTCTATGTCTATGCATTAGATCTCTTCGTTTGGATTGTGTTTTTACTGGCATTTGTCTCTTGTATATACCCCGTTTTATCATATTTCCTTACTTTGCTTTGCAAGCCTCTCTCTACTCTCTGCTACTCGGTATTTTCTGTCTTCTATTTCCTATTGGGCATCTATGATCCAAGCGTGGGTTTGCAATGAGCATAAAGCATCGAACCAAGCGTGTACATTACTAGATTTCCTTGTTGTTTACTGGTTGCAATATGTGAACACAAAATATAACACAATAAGCCTACATTGACTTGATGTTCAGCAAACCTAGAAGCATAGGGTTCTTGGTTATGGTATCAACATTTGAATGCAACCTACAAAGAAGTCAGGCAATATAGTAAAGACAGAAACCAAGAGAAATAAAGAATTTCGCAATGATATCAATTCTTAGGAACGAGGCCCAAAAACGCCAGAATGAACATGGAATAAGAATCTTGAAAATACAAATCTCTTGGATGATTTGACATAAGCAACCATCTCAGACCGAGTGCGATCAATTCTGATCTATCGGCTTTTGATGTCGTTCAGAACTAGCAGCACTACTCCTCTACCTCTTCCACACTTGCGCTCAGACCTCGTCGCGCTGCGACTGTGGACGGGGTAGAAGTGGGCTCGGCGGAGCTTGTGGCTGCCGAGGAGGCGTTTGCTGAGGAAGCAGCTGCGGTGACCGGGGCGGGAGCAGAGGCTGAGGCCTTGGATTTGCTGGACTTTTTGCTCTTTTTTGTCTGTGCGGGTTGACTGTCAGGTTTACTATTCCTAATAATATGCGAATGGAGATGTGCATACCTCTTGCCAGCCCCATAGAGGCTTGAAGCTGTCGAAGAATCCAACATCCTCGAACAGATTCGGGAATAGCCAGAGACCCGGAGCCACGGTGAATACAGTGATGCAGAATAGGATCAAACGGAAGATAGCCATGGCGAAGAAGAGACCCAACAGTCCCATCATGCCAACACTCAGATACCACACTCCCTGGCGCATAATCATGGGCCACAACGGGAACAAAACAACGGCGAAAATACCCGCAACCACAGCGGCAGCCATGGCCTTTTGCTTCCACTGCGGACCGTCGTACAACCAAACATAATGCATCATCGGGTCAGTCTCCTGGTGCTGTTCGATCTTCACGGTCCATAGACCCTTGGTGCGGTTCTTGGGCTTGGCATGGTTGTGTCCTTCATGGGGATCAACCTTGCTTACTCGAAGAGCCAAAAGAGAAAGTGGAAGGAGCTTGAAGACATTCTCGGCGGACGCGCGGTCGGTCACTGGAGGGAGGAGAGAGTTCTTCTTTGAGGCAGCTTTGGCGTATGCGGGGGATTCAATGGCTCTGATTGCGCGCTTGACTGCATTGAAGAAAGAAACCCCTGTTAGCTGATGATTCCTTGTAGGTAGTTAGACCCCGATCGGTACTCACCCTTGAACATGTCCTTGCGCTGTCCGTCCATAATACATGTGCGTGGCTTGAGGTTTTGCGACCGCAGCCAGTTGGCCACTGCTATCGCCTTTGGGTCTGGGGGATTGTTGGGATTCACAGGCACCTGCTGTGTGGTTGTGTGTTGGTGCTGGTGCTGATGCTGCTGGGGTGCGGACGGAGCTTGTTGTCCTTCTGGTGCTGCTTGACCCTGTTGTTCAGCCTGGAGCTTCTGTTGCTGTTGGTGGGCTTGCATTGCTCGCATGCGCAACTGCGCAACATATTGCTCAGTAGTTAGACCAAGCTTTTCAGCATCAGCAGCCAGCTGCTCACGTTGCTTCGCGGCAAATTGCTGCGGCGTCATCCCTCGTTTGGCGGCTTCGGCGGCGAACTGTTGTTGCATTGCCGCCATTTGCTCAGGGCTGGGCTGGCCGGGGGTAGCCATTTTGAATTAAAATGAAATAAAAAGCAGAGAGAAAAGGAAGAGAGTGTAAGGGAGTTGTGAAAGGAAGAGAGAGAGAAGTGGCCAGATTGACTCAGCTGATTTGTCCGCCCTCCCGACTTCCCCAAGCTTAGTCTTCTTCCCTCTCCAACGTCATGAATATCCACTGAATCTACATCGAACATGCGCCTAAGAGCTATGCTCATGTCGATTCTCAATGTCTGCCAAATATGACCCTGCAGCTACTTTGACAAATGCTACTTGGGTCGCTGTCATACTGGTATGTGATTCGGCTCGCAATGAATGCCTCCCCACTCATGATTTCTTAGAGCGAACGAGATGTCGCTGGTCAAATTCCAATTAATTATGTGACAAACCCTGCTGTTTCAGTGTCAGCTGCGTGCTTTGGAAACCGCATATATGATCGAGAAGCCGCTGTAAAATGTTTCTCCAATCTCATAGCAATCGGGTACCGACGTCTTGTTGTCGATCTATATTGGTCGGTCAGCCGTAGGGCTTGGTCTTTCTGCCCGGTGTCTATTCCGGTCAGATCTGAAGCAGCTGCGTCCTCAGAGACCTCCACAACCAAGACAAGAGACTCTGCGACGACAAATGATGATCCACATGATCGCACTCTGTATGGGTTAGGCTCATACAAGTGCACTGATAATCTCGATCCCGGCACCTTGGCAGAAGTACTAGATGGTTATTTCCGAGACACAAACGAACAGTTGACCGTGTACACGACGTATCTCGTCCTCAATCTCCACGTTGCCGCAAGTGGCTCCACGCCAGATGAGCCTGCTTCGTCCATATCAGGTGGTCAATTACCATCAGAAACCGAGCGAGCAGGCACGATCCTCGGAAATGCCCTAAGCGACTTTATTTATACCCCAGCTCAGCTCGCCTCCGACCGAAGAAATCTAAACGATTCATGGTATCAAGTCGAGCAGAGTTATATGCCCATCACAGAGTATTTCACCGTTCATGAAAATGAAAAAGGCGAACAGAGCACCCCGGATGGCTGGCCATCGTCAAAATACATCCAGCTCGCGAAACGTGATCGGCTACTGATTGAATATGGCTCTATCGATGCCCAACTGGTGCATTACAATCTGTCTACCGAAGACAATTCAGTCTTTTCTCCCGGACTCCTGACTTCCGATGTGAAGATCTCTGCCACCACAAACGGCACTCTTATTTCAGGCTGTCTGTATGACCCTGAATTCACACGCGTGTCTCAAACTAAGTCATCATGGGCTCTATCCAATCAACTCCCTGTCCCTGATGGTTTTTCCACAGACGAGACAATGGATTCGCTAGCGAATGTTCTCTCTGACATCACCGCTTGTGGTCTCTCGCCTATGCTTAATACCACTCTCTTCGGCCAGACTGCAGACCAGCAAGTTGAATATTACCGTAATGTCTCCCTCTCCTCTTCCTGGGCTTGGGCAATTGGTGAGCCACACGATGCAAACTATGCCGGTGGCGATGGTGATCCCAAGTATGACCGCTGTGCGATCATGGATCTAACGCTCGACGGCCATTGGCGATCCACAAACTGCACCGAGCAGCGGCGTGGCGCTTGCCGAATCGGTCATTCGCCTTTCTCCTGGGTCCTGTCAAACAGGTCCGACTCTTTCTCCAACGTCCAAAATACATGTCCACCAGGTTCAAGCTTCGCTGTACCGCGTACCGGTCTCGAGAACACATATCTCTACCGATATCTGCTTTCTCTGCCAGAGACAAAAGTCGACTTGGGTTCCGCAGATCCCGCCCTTCGAGAGGTCTTTGTAAACTTCAACTCGATGGATGTTACTTCCTGCTGGGTATCCGGTGGCTATGATTCGACCTGTCCCTATGCCTCTGACCCGCAGCAACTCGAGCGCCAAACAGTGCTTGTCGCAGCAATTGCGGGTATCATCATTCTTATCATCGCAGCTTTGACCCTTTTTGTCAAATGCAACGCCAACCGCCGTAATTCCCGGCGCAGAAAGCGTCTTATTGCAGGATGGGAATATGAAGGTGTTCCCTCGTGAGGCATTTGCTGCACTTGAAATTATACTCAGTGATGGCTCGCTCAGCACCCCCTGTTATCTCAGCTTTTGGGGTGTCACTTTTGAATTTACATCATTGAGAATATGTGAATTACCTTGTGTTCTTACTTCACATGGTAATATCTACAATGTTTAATGTTAAATTATTGAATGGATAGGTCAATGTTCACTGAGGGCCAAAACTACATACAACAAAAATGATACCATAATACATCAAGATAATTCGAATCCATACATATCTCCATGAATATCAAACCAATTGAAAAGGGATATAGAAGTCCCAAACAAAACACAAGTCGCTACATGCCATTCATGAAGACAAACCGTAAACTCCCAAAGAAAAGCCATAGGTATCACATTCAAAGTCCAGCAAACCGAGCCCATCCTGCAGCCCGATTCGGCGAGGAGCTGGCAGTCTGCCCGCTCTGATCGTGGCTAGGCTTATCAAGCAGGACGTTATCGCTGCGCCCTTCTTCGGCAACCTTGCCGCTCACATCGCGGCGGCGTCCAACGCCCAAACCAGCGATGTAACTTCCGTATGACGATAATGGTGCACCAGCCCCGGCTGTTGCGCCAGCCCTGGTAGTGTCTGCACCGGTGTTGCTCACGACACGGCCCTTGCGGTCACTTTCGGTGGCGCGAGGCGAGGCAGGCTTCCTGGCTGAGAGATATGTATTTCTCTCGTCGCTGTCATTCTTCTTGAGGGACTCATAAGCGGAGAGCTTGTTCTTGCGTTTCTTCTGAAGCTTGGTGGGCTTACGGACCACCTGAAGACTTGATTCGCGAGATGCGGCCAATCCAGGCTTGCCATCTACATCAAGCTCGCCGTAGAATCGGGTCTTGGGCGAAGATTGTTTGGGGCTCTCGTGTGGAATAGACACTGGCTGTGCCAGTGGATTGTACGATAGATTGGGGCTATCGCCCAGGGCAACCCGCCGAACGGGGTCGGTGTTCTCGGGCTTTTCGGTCAAAATAGGTTGCGGGGTTGGTGGGTTAAGCATGAGCGGGTTAAACGGAATAGTGCCATTACGCTCGTCATCAATATCGTCTCTGTGGTCTTCTGGGTCTGGGAATATGTCCATGCGCTGATCACCAACATCTTGTTCACGGTGACCATCATCGAGCCCATAGAATTCATTCATAGTGAGCGACGCATATTCCCCACGTACATCTTCTGGGATGACACTGCCAATACTTGGCCCCGGCTTGGAACCATAAGCAAACCAGTCTCGAATGCCACTACCGTTGGACGTGGTGGTCTTGGTGGTTTGGCGGCTGTATACAGAGGAGGACTGACGGAGAGCGTTCTCGTCCCCGTTCTGCGCCTCGCTCATTGGCGATAGAGACTGTTCAGAGTATGCGACCCAGTTATCCGACACTGGGCTGACAGTTTCCGATCGATCAGCAGTACGTGATGACAGATGACGCATCTGAGCAGTAGCATCGACGATTTCAGGAGCATGCGAGGCAACTTTTCGATATTCCGGGGTAGGTGTCTGGGATGTAAAGTCATAGGGCTGATTAGCGGTTTGTTGGAATAAAGCCTCAGGGCTAGAGGGATCCATGTTGGGTTCCGTTGGGGACTCCAAGTGGGATAGGCGGTGCTGATAAAAAGAAGGATGTGACTGCCGCTGCTCGTCGAGCATACCCATCGATCCACGGTTGGAATCACCACCAGAAGACCGTTCACGTGTATGCATGAATGGCACGGTGCGAGGAGATCCAATGAGGGGATTCTCGAAGCCAGAATCCAGGGTGGATTGGCTGAGATGTTTCTCCTCCATTTGTGACTCCTTACGGCTCTTACGGGGACGTGCAGTCAGATTATCTTCCAGTGGATTCATGTCAGGTGGTAGGCGGGAAATCTTTCGGAAGGTGATGGCCAAGAAAATCGATATGGCAAGGGAAATGAGGTGCAAGCTGCCATTTGCGATAGCTAGGATAAAGGTGGTCTCAGAAATTTTTACAGTCATGTCGCTGTTGTTGAAGAGAGTTTTCCAGTGGTATGCATTAGAGTTCCATTCTCCATACGCCATATATGCAGTGAACACGTAGAAGGGGATGAGTCCAAAGTCGAGAGTGGAAGCAAATAACCCATAGCTGGCTTGAGAGCCTGCGGGCCGGGTAAGGGCAGATCGAGAATTATGGTAGATTCCATATATCGTGTGAAGAATTGCGACTATGGGCTACAATAGAGGTCAGCAAGAGCATGTTTTTCTGGGTGCAGTGTACTCACGCCAGCGCGAATGATCCAGATGACGGTCGTTGCAGCTCCCTTAATAACGATTGAGCAGAACAGGGACCCAAGAGCCCCAAGAAGAGTGAGCACTCTGAGTGCGAGTTGACTTGATCGTGCATACTTGACCCGATCCTTTGTTTTGTAGCTCATCGGTGTGAATGAGCTGGCCGTATTAAAAAAACCCCACTACACCTACCATTAGCAGAATCCACAAAAGTTCCCGAAATCTGGTACGTACCGTGTCAGGGTGCCGGTTCAACTCCACCAGCGGTCCTTTTTGCTTGGGTTTGTCTGCTGGGCGAGTCCAGCTCGCTTCCGTCGCGGCCCTTGGGTTGAACCCGCGGTCGGTGGGACCTCTAAAACTGTAGGCGGCCGGACTCTCATAAAGGAATGGAGGTGACGATCTACCCATGGTAGCGACTGAAGGCCACTCGTGGCGCCCACGCGAAACAAAGGAGAGGAATGTTGACGGACAACCTTGGAATGTGGAATTGCGCAACTTGTCTTCTGGGGTGTGCTCAGCTGGGTATGTTGTATGGACATGTCCAAGGCAAACATGTGATAGTAACCAGGGGCAACCGATGATGTCACGTGCACTATCTCATTATCTCCGATCACCTCCGGGGGTTCTTGACTTCATGCACCATGCGCTTAAAACAGGCCTTCGTATGTGGTCAATGCACTGTGCGCCTTAATCGGCCTCTTCTACATTATCAGGGCTTGATCTCTCCATTGACATCCAAACGCTTCAACAGTCATGTTGCCCAAACCGGTCGACCTGTCCGTGTGGCCGTCGTGGGTTCCGGCCCAGCGGGATTCTATGCTGCCTATCGTCTTTTGGCTAAACAAAAAGATGCGATAGTTGATATGTATGAGAAGTTACCTGTCCCATTTGGTTTGGCTAGATATGGTGTTGCCCCAGACCATCCCGAAGTCAAGGTGAGTCCCGGTAAACCGCGATTCAGTGATGAGTCGACGGTTGAACATTATCTGTAGAAAATAAAGCTCATGGTTGTATCAAAACTAGAATTGTGAAGAAAAATTCACAGAGGTGGCTGAGTCCGCACGCTTCAATTTTGTCGGTAATATCGACCTCGGACATGATCTGCCGCTCGCTGCCCTCAAACCACACTACGATGCCATCATATTCGCCTACGGAGCTACAAAAGACAAGGAGCTGGGGATTCCTGGAGAAGAAGCTCTACATAGCGTGCACTCAGCCCGTGCCTTTGTGGGGTGGTACAACGGTCTTCCAGAGCACAGAGATCTCGATCCAGACCTAAGCGGAGAGAACGCCGTTATTGTCGGACAAGGCAATGTTGCATTAGACGTTGCCCGGATTCTTCTTTCGGACGTCGATGCTCTCAGAAAGACCGATATAGCAGATTATGCGGTAGAAAAACTCGCCACAAGTCGCATTAAGCGAGTGCGAGTTGTTGGACGCCGCGGACCCCTACAGGTGACTTATAAGGAATCGACTGTTGATACCTAGGTTGCTAATCACTTGACTCAGGCTTCCTTCACTATCAAAGAGCTCCGGGAATTGCTCCAGCTTCCAGGTGTATCATTCGATTCCATTCCAAAAGATATCTTTCCGCCAGAAGATGTGGTAGCAGCACTCCCCCGGGCGCAGAAGCGTTTAATGCAGCTTTTAGCTAAAGGATCTACCAATGACCCTTCAACAGCCCCAAAGTCTTGGTCTTTGGATTTCTTACTTGCGCCGGATTCTCTTCACTGGTCGCCTGATTACCCATACCATCTGTCCCATGTAAAGTTCTCTCGCAATGAACTCGACCCATCCGATCCCCACAGCCCCAGCGCCAAGGTATTTCCAAAGCACTTGTCGAGTGGAAAACGTGCACAGGTCAACCTACCAGCTAGCGTCTTCTTCCGAAGCGTGGGCTACAAATCTCTCCCTCTTCCAGGACTGGAGGATCTTGGTATCGACTTTGATGCGCAGCGTGGTATCATCCCTAATGATGGGTTTGGCCGCGTAACGAGCTTGTCGAACAAGGGCGAGCCTGAAAGCCTACCTGACGGATCTCTCATATCCCACCTACCTGGCCTATATTGTGCTGGCTGGGTGAAGCGAGGTCCAACGGGTGTGATTGCCTCGACAATGACCGATGCATTCACTACTGCAGACACCGTTGTGCAAGATCTGGCAGAGAGTGCCGACTCAACGTCCTTGCTCCATGCGCCCCATCACAGCAGCGGTCTAGGTTGGGACGGAGTGAAACTCGAGGCCCAGCGCCTTGGTCTACGCCCCACGTCTTGGGAGGACTGGCAACGAATCGATGCGGCAGAGCGTGAGAGTGGTCAACTAAAGGGCAAGCCGCGGGATAAGATTGGGCGTGTAGAAGAAATGCTGAGGGTACTTGATTGAACCTTCATGTATATTATGAAATATCTGTGTACATCATGTAGTCTGACAAATCTAATTCCATACTAGGCGCTCCCATCTGTGCCCTCGTATTATTCAGCACTTTTGTGTACCATTCTCCCTCTTTGCTCTTGCGTCTTATATAGATATTATCCAACCTTCACAGCCCGCAAACGCTGTCTTCCACTTCAACATAAGTAGCGTCAACACGACCGAGCTGCTCTGCCAGGCCGTTGGTCAAGTTGTTCATAGCTTGCAGGCCAATGTTGAAGCCGCCTGGAGCGGCGTCGACGGCAAGGACGTTGATGCTGTTGTCGATCTTGCCGTTCGAGTAGTGCAGCTCGTAGCACTTGCCGCAGTTAGGGCTGTTCCAGCCTGGGATGGTGATCGCACCGCCAATGTTTGGGAAGCTTGGCAGCGATGCGAAGTCGGTATAGCCTTGAGTGATCAGGCCGTTGATACCATTGGAGCAGGATACGGTGGTCAACGAAGACGTTCCGACATCATATTTAGGGTCGAAGGAGACAGATACTGTTGCGGCTACTGCGGGAGCCTGAGCAGCAGCAACAAGGTTAAGGGTTGCCAAGAAGCCGGAGGTGAAGATAATGGTAGACTTCATGCTTGAAATGAATTCGATGATGTTTTATTTTGAGGAAGAATAAAACGTTTTGATTGCTTGTTGTGGACATTTTGCTTCCTCTCCGATGAGGTTTATATATCTTCCTCCATCAGGCATCCCTCCATCTATCGAAGATTGTTGTGATTCCTGTTTGCTGGCCGGCTGCATCGAGCGCAGGTCTTAGCTGAAGGTCTTAGGGCTACTGGTGACACAGCCCAAATAGGACACCTTCATCTTGGGTCCATGGTCAGCCGACACCCCCATAACCGATGGTCCTCAGAAACAGGTGCAATCAGGCCGAGGACTATTATGGGGCTCATCAGGAGATATGCAGGCAGCCTGAGACTTGTGATATGTTGGATGCTAATTTTGTGGGATCTGCAGCGCCAGTATGGAGTACGGAGTATAGTCGATCCACATATAGCTCACGCGAGACTCTCTATGCTACGGTATAGGGTGACCGCATTCAAGGTTGCATCGCAATAGGGACGGAATGAATCACCATAGCCACATTTTATTTTGATGGTAGCTTGAATCAAAATGTAATCTTAGTTACTAGCGAACTTCATTAGACGAAAAAAGAAGAAAGAAAAGGAAAGGCGGAGAAAGCGAATGCAGCAGATGAAGATGAACAAAAAAAAAAAAAAAAACGTCCCCGGGAAGGCTTGAACTTCCAACCTCCCGATTAACAGTCGGACGCGCTAACCAATTGCGCCACGGAGACGTGCTGTGGCAGAACGAGCAGAAATAATCTTTATGACCAAAGAGTGTTTCAAGTGTTTCATCTCGGTATGTTACGCAGTACTCCGTACTCTATATATGATCTATCTAACTGTAGGATTGTATATTATGAGTAGACCGCCACTTATGTAGCTTACAGGATTCGTGAATAGGCTTTTCAGCGGTTCTTATTCTGGGCTTCTCAGATATCCTGATTCCCAGTCTTATAGGTAGAAAAAGGCGGTAAAAACTTATTATGTGTAAAGAGACATTTTCAATGTTCAACTTCTACCTCAGAGTATTTTTTGGTAGACTAAGAAACAATATAATGTTGGGGTCTTCAACAAGCACGTCTCCGTGGCGCAATTGGTTAGCGCGTCCGACTGTTAATCGGGAGGTTGGAAGTTCAAGCCTTCCCGGGGACGTTTCTTTTTTGTTTTTATCTCCATAACCAACTACATATAAAGGCACCCCTTCTCCTTTTCCTTTGGTTTTTTTGGGGGTTTCTCGTCTCCGCCTGGTTGATATAAATTGGAAGGATGAATAAACATTGGTATGTTATATCCCTGATGATCTGACCTTGTGAGTAGGGGGTCCTTGTCTCATCTAGAGGTCATGTACTCCGTACACACAAGTACATAAAGATATATTTACATAAAGGTATATTTTGATTTATTTCTTGGTATGATTATTTCTACTGAACCAAACTTGGGTTCATAATGCTGGCTGGTATATATGTCTAAACCAGGTGTGCCTGGGGCTATCACTTCTATATTCTCATCCTTGCGCGGTACTTGGCATTTCCATGGTCAGCTATCCTCGACGATATGTAGCAAGCAAATACGGCACGCTGCGGCCAACAAGAAAATCTGAAATTTCATCAAGTATCAAATCAAGGCAATCGGTCTGTTCGAGTGCTTAATCAACGGCATCATATGTGTCAAAAATCCATGAGATTTCAATTTCCGCATGAGCCTGTCTACGCCAGCATCAAGACTACCGAGGTGTTTTAGGTCCTGTGGGTGATAATATGTGGTTATTGTTTAGATCAATATTTATCTTGTCACGGTTTCATATACATTGAAATCCCTACTCTCTATACTTTTCCTCTAACTAAAGTAATCTTATATCACACAGCCAGTTCATCTCTCTGGTATATGACTTTATACCGAATAAGGATATTGAGATGCTTGCGCGGCTCTGGATTCTAGTAAATATATTCTGATGTATTTTGATTACGGATAGCTACCACCCCTACTTTTCCATAGCAAATCCCAATCAAATTGATCAATTCTAATGCTAGTTATCCGTATCTCAGGGCCAAGTGACAGACAGTTCAGCTTGATACTTTGTGCTAGTCTAGTCCTTCATTTCAGCGCGATCCACTTCCGGAGATTGCCTCCAGCTTAAGTTGTACAATATTCACAAACTATGCAAAGCAAAAATTGAAAAAAAAAAAAGAAGGGCCCGAACCGCGATTTGAACGCGGGACCTCGCACATAAGTTTCACCCGAAGCACGAATCATACCTAATTGTTCATTAGTTGAGATTCGCAGGACAGTATATATAAGTGGAACGTACCACTAGACCATCCGGGCGGTTGTGTATCCACTCTTTGATGGCAATGCGTTATCATCATTTTGTGTGTCTTAGTATGGTGTATACATTATCCCTTCATCTTATATATTTCAAGTGTATCATTTGTGTTTCGGGTGGACAGAAAATAGTCAGTATATATGTATAATATGATGCTTATGCACAGATGATAAAACATGGGTGGATGTGTATACATAGGTATGTGTCAATATATGTATAACTATATATATTTACTTTCAGTCATCAGACTACGTATAATAATTGGGGTACATTAAATACCCCAAAGTGAAAAAGGCGTGCTAGTAGTCTTATCATCGGAGAATTATTATCGAGGGATTGGTTACCTTCGCTCATCCAGGTGGAGTATTGCGCAGGACCCTGTGGGCTATGAAGCTCTTGGCTTGATTGCGGGGACCTCCATTCCTCCTACATTGACCCCAGACACCACCTTACACCTGAAGACGAGTCAACTATGACAGATCCAAAGTCAGTCGCCATTATTGGAGGTAAGAGAGATACTCAGATGTATGAGTCTGTGGAGAATGCTAAACCAGTCAAGCGGGCATATTTGGTCTTTCACTGGCGATTGCTCTGCGAGATCGAAGTAAGCAAAGCACGTCCTTCGATGCAGATTACAAATAACTTATAATTTGCAGACTATGAAGTGACTGTCTTTGATCGAAGCCAATACGATGCAAATGGATATGACCCCACAGCCGAGGATGTACAAGCTGCATCCGCCGATCATAACAAGATCGTGAGCTACTTGAACTGGAATAGATCAAAGTTTGTGCTGATTAACCGTACTAGTTCCGCGCGTCCTATGGAAAAGAGATCCACTACCAACGTCTCGCCCTGGAAAGCCGAAGAGCGTGGGTTCTTGAGGACGAGAAGCGTGAACTAACGGAACAAGACGACAGTGGAAACATACAACTTTTTGTTAACAGCGGAATGCTCCGTATACAGCCTTCCGACCACTTGGCCACACTAGAAAAGGAGACGTTAGCCAATATGCAGCGTGATGGTCTACGAGACACGCAGTTCGTTAAGAGTGACCCCGCAGACTGCGAACGGGCCGATAAGCTGGGCTGGAAAGACAAGATACTCAATTTCCACATCCCAGACTCTGCTGAAAGCACATATGAAGCAGTCCTTGACTCTCTGGCCGGATTTGTGAGGTGCAGCAATGCCTGCGCCCATTACCAAAGATTGGCTGCCGACAAGGGGGTGAAATTTTGTTTCGGGCCAAAGGGGGCTGTTGATCACTTGGTCAAAGTGAAGAGCAATCTCGAGCCAGGCAAAGATAAAGCTACCGGGTTGAAGACGAAGGATGGTATCATTCATGATGCGGATGTCGTTGTTGTGGCTGGTAAGTCGCGAGAATCCCCAATTCCCATCTCCTCTTACTGAGGTTTTCGAAGCCGGATCGTTTTCAACGCAGATCCTTCCTGAATTGAGCTACCACCTAGAGTCCTCAGCTGGTAGCCTTGCTACTTTTAAGATAGACAAGAGCAACACTGAGCTATGGAACAAGTATTCACCAGAACGCTTCCCCGTCATGACCTGGAAGAGCACACCCCGAGACATTTCTGGAAATGACACAGGAAGTATCTATGTTCTACCAAGGACCCCGGAAGGCATTGTCAAGATTGGCTACCGTGGAATCAAGGTATACAATGCTGATCTAGTTATCTTTCTCTCGATATCTGCTGATTGTGTTTCAGTGGACCAATTTCCAGCCAGCGCCGCAAGATACTCCGTTCACCCAAGACGGTCAATGGTCAGTGCCTCTTCCAGTAGATGAGTGTTCAATACTCCCAGAGCCAGCCTTGTATGCCATCAAGCAGTTTGTATCTGTCTTCCTGCCTGAGTTTGAGAATACACCTTTTTTCTCTACAAAGCTTTGTTGGTACACTGACTCGCTAGATAATTCATTTTTGGTGAGCATATAGTTCTTCTCTACCCTATATAACTCTGCTAATATAGTTCTCAATTAGGTCGACCATGTTCCAACTTACGCAGAGAAATCCGTATTTGTTTGCACCGGTGGTAGTGGCCATGGTGCAAAGTTCCTACCGGTGCTAGGAAAGGCAAGAAAATCGACGCCATTGATAAGACGAGGACTAACAACTCATAGCATGCCGCGGATATATTTGAGAATGGGGATCAAAGCACATCTTTCATGCGCCCATTCTGGCACTGGCGCCCCGGCACACCTAGGAGAAACGGATTGGAAGAGGGTCCCGGCGGACCACGAGATATTTCGCTCAACAAATAATTTGACATTGGATTTCTACGTAGAAAATTCCCTGACTAGTGAAACTAAATTCGTTTGGACTCACGCAGGATACATCATTGACCCTGTTCTCACGGGCTTCAAGATACCCGCCTGTTCCAAATCCTCAATGAGGTTGACCAGCATCAAATCACAGCCTCGTGCTGCGACAAAACTCATGGTAACGGGCATAAACTCTGTTTGGAGCGAGATGGTAGAGTAATAGGGGATTTCTCCCACAGGGACTACCAGATCAGGGGTACCGGCCAAGACGGCCATTCGACCATCCGAAAAGCCCATCGGAGGTCCAGAAGGTGCACTGTATATGTAAGCAATTAATGCCGTCTAAAAGAGGTGTTTTCACTCACTCAAAATAGGTGTTCCGATACTGTGTCTGACCCTTGCTGTAAGGATAGATATAGATACCCTCAGAGCAAGTCTTTTCGTCTGCCTTTCCATATCCATCTGATTCCCACCAGTCCTTAAAGATTGTTTTGTTCTTGAAAGCTTCATCATATATGGCATCGCCGCCATTATTCTGGCCCCATGCCCATCGCGACAAGGGGCCTGGGTTCACAAAGGGTCGGCGACCATCATGCTTTGCTGCGTAGTCGGCATAAAACGGCAAAGAAAGAGAGCGATATTGATCGACAGATACCAACGCGGCATAGGTCTACAGGATGTTAGTGTCAAAGTATGTATCTCATGCTGAGTTAGATCTCACAGTATTTAGCAGGTCATTGATCTTCGGGGGTGTGTCAGAAGGGCGACTGTTCTCCCAATGCGAAGCGATATCAATAAACTCCCTCTTTGTACCCAGGAAGTTTTCGACTTTTATAACTAGTTCCTCGAGCAAAGCACCGGCTGCTGTGTTGGACTTGGGGAAAGAAGAGTTCTGATAAAATAGCTTTTTTGGGTACTCTCTATAGTCAGTGAAGTTCTGATACCACGCGTGCATAACCTTGGACCAGGTGACGGCATCGCGAGCAAAAACACCAGCTGTATCGAGTACGTGACAAAGTGGAATCACATTGTCAAGGGATACAGCTCCGGTAGAAGGCCGGTTGGCAAAGAGTCCCTGCATTCCTCCTGGGCTGCGCATAGAGCCACCCGTGTCACTTCCAATGGCAATATCAAGCCAGTCATAAGCCGCGATACCAGCACCAGGCCCTGAAGATGATCCGCCGGGAGCTTGGTAGCCATCACCCTGAGGCAACGTTTAGTGGAACTCTGTCGATTTCGATGGTTGGACTTACCCGAGGATTGAAAGGGCAGTGGAAGTCGACCCAGTCAGCTGTGGGATTATCTCCATTCGCAAATTGCACGGTGCCCATTTTTCCTACAATAATGGCTCCCGCATCTATGAGTCTTTGGAGTGCGGGCCCGGTGGTGTTTCGGGGAGGATATAAATCGTAAAAGGCCCGATTACCACCGCTAGTCCGCAGACCTTTCATATCAAAGATATCTTTTACTCCTACACGTAACTTCATATTTTTAGCCAAATTTCAAAACAAGGTAAGTTTCATTGATAAACGTACCCCAGCAAGTGGCTTTGCTGATGTTGGCGTATAGTAAAGCCTAGATGGTACAGCAACACTTTTCGTCATTGCGCCCTGGAATTGATCAGAAAAGCTTGAAGATAGGTCAAAATTTTACTCACCGACGAGGTTGCTGGCAAGGGTTTAAACCCTCCGGTCCCATCGCTAAGGGCAGCTTCAGTGAATGCTAGTTGATGGTCTGAATAGAGACGGAAGGCCTGATAGATCTCTCCAGTGCGCGGCGAGTAAAAGTAGGGCCCATTTGGTATATCATGACGCAGTTTGGCAGAACTGATATGCTTTCCAGATTTATAGCTAGAAGAAGCCATCACAAGTTTATTTCCAAGTCCCTTCAGAGCCTCCTGAACAGCGGGCTCGACTTGGCCCCGACCATGTCCATCATAGACCAGGAAAACCGCTATATTCAACATGAGGTATTCGGTAGAAACATTGTCTTGAATTACACCTACCTTCGAGAAATCCCGCCTGAAAAACATCATCTGCGGCTGAATAGTTCGAAATGGTTTCTTTTATGATGTCCGTGGTGAGCAGAGCTTCATCTGTCCGAATAACTGTCAGGGGAACGATTTCGTCCAATCGAGTCGAATCAGAACCCGAAATAACTATCTTCGAGACTGCATCACCGCTATAGTAGTTGATGTCATTGACCGTAAAAAGTCTGCCATTATCAACACTTGAAGTGGCAGAGATAGTCGAGGCAGCCAGGAAGAGAAGAAGAGAAGTAGAAACACGCCAAAGGCCGGAATCAAGACCGCTAGGAGCCATGATATGTTTTTCCCGCAGTCATCTTTGAGCTGATCGGAGCTTTAAATATGTCGGCCCAACTCACAATCGGACGCTTTCCCACGTACATCCGGTTCAACCTTCCGAGTGCACCGGAATTATAGGACCTCCCTATTAGTCCTGTGAACTTCAAACAACAAGATAACGGGCATAGCTTACAGCCATTGGCCCTTCTGTGAGTGTTTCATAATAGATAAGATATGAAGATATCTCCGGCTCTCCACCTCCTTGGCAATGATTTCGATGTCTTGGCGATGATTTCGGTGATTGCGGGATTTCTCGGTATAATTCTCAGGGGTTGGCGGTTGAATGCCTGATAGGCTAAATGACTCGAAAGTACTCCGTAGTGATCAACGAGTTGACTATTCCATATTTGGTTAGATGTGAGGGCTTGATAGATGATATGACCAAAGTATCATAAGCAACAGTATGGTCTTGAATTAAATATAGCAATGACAAGGTGTGTTGAGTACGGCTGAGATGAGTTCAGCGCTGATTGGCCCTTGGGGCCCACGGGCCCTTTTCACATGAGCCCTAAGTCAAGTATAAAAGGAGGGGGGCCTTGCTTTCTTTCTTCTTTCCTTCTCTTTTTCTTTTCAAATAAAAGAAATACATCTATCAAGACCATTCACGAAAATGACCTCCACTGCAAACACAGTATATGTCGTGACAGGTGCAAACAGAGGCCTCGGTCTCGGACTGACCAAACGGCTATTAGAACGCCCTGCCACCACCGTCGTGGCCTCTGTCCGCAGCCACAACGCAGCCACAAACCTTAGGTCAGACTTTGAAGGTGTTGAAATCGGCAAAAATAGTGCCCTCCATATCATCGAATTGGACTTTTCAACTGCAATACCCCCCGAAGAGATTGTACAGTCGTTCTCCGCAGCAGTTAGCACAGTGACGCATATCGATGTGCTCATCTGCAATGCTGGATTCGCGACACACATGGCTCCAGCCCTTCTAACATCGGCGGAAGATCTTCGCGAATCGTTCGAAGTCAACACCATCGCCCCGCTCCTCGTGTTTCAAGCCTTCTGGCCACTTATGCAGAGATCGGATTCTGCGCCTAAGCTCGCGGTCATCTCCTCCTCCGTCGGTTCGATTTCTAAGCAAGAGCCTGTTCCCGGTGGTGCATATGGTCCCAGTAAAGCAGCCTTGAACTGGCTCACCAAGGCTCTTCATCTTGAAAATGAGAAAGATGGCTTGGTTGCGTTTGCTTTGCAACCTGGCTGGGCGCAGACGCGGATGGGGAAGTCTGCTGCCACAGACTGGGGATATTCCGAAGACCCACCGGTGACTATTGAGGAAAGTGTGAATGGGATGCTTGATATTATTGACAATGCTACAAGGGAAGATGTGTCGGGAAAGTTCATATCGTTCAATGGAGATATTTTGTCGTGGTAGACGTATTTGAATGACCATGTAGGAGTGAGATACTATACAACATATATTTTAAAATTTCCACTACACCAAGCGCTAATCGTTACAGAACTAAGAATGAATGCATCGGTTCAAGATATTCCTAACGACATAATCTACTTCATTATCGGAAGAGAAGAGAGGGCGCGAGATAAAGGTAGCCGTGTGGTTGAATTTCCTTCAATTGGCTCCTGAAGCTAGAGGAAGTCAAGTCAAGGGGCTGGATGCTTGGGATTAAATCAGCTTACTAGGTCGCGTCGCCCTGAGTCGGGAGGGTTGCATCTGTCTCGACTCGGATCGATAGCTATGCGCAAATTTCTTTTATAATGCTTGACTGTTACTGCGGCAATACTATTCACATCCCTCTCCTCGCAGATTTGGAGGGTTGCCTAATTTGGGACTCTAAAGTGAGCCAGAGTAGCAAACCTCGAGCAGTTTATTGAAAACTACAGGAAAAATCCTGGCCAACCTGGTTTTTATACAACGAAGAGAGAGCTTTCACAAGAGAGAAAAGAGAGGGAGAAAAGAAGATAGACAGGGAATGGTAGGGCCACAAAATTTATAGAGAACGGCAATGTCGGATTGCTGCTTGATTTCCATAATCTGTAGATAGATCAATCAAGTATTGGCTTAGGTACATTATTTTCAAGGATTGCACCCTCTCCTTGGGCAATACCTGTCTGGTCACTAGGTTTAGGCACACTATCATTGTACTTTGCATCATCTCCACTGGCGATTCCTTTCTCTCCCACAGGAGGTACAGAATCCTCAAGTACCGAATCCTTACCATTAGCAATACCATTTTGGACAGTGGGGATGGGCAAATTTTGATTGAAATTTGCGCCATTCCCATCGGCGATTCCGTTCCCGCTCGCAGGAGGTACAGTCTCTTGAAAATTTGCACCGTTTCCTTTGGCAATTCCTCCAGGATGTGGGCCTTGATCTTCCCCTTCCCCTGTTCCCGAATTTGGCTTTGCACACCCTGAAGTACAAGGAAGTCCATTAGGGCCTTGTTTTCCATCAGCACCAGAGGGACCCCTAGCACCCTGATCACCTTGCTTTCCCGGAGGCCCTTGCAGCCCCTGAGTACCCATTTGTCCCCGAGGACCTGGAGACCCCTGAGGCCCCTGAGGCCCTGCAGGCCCCTGTGGTCCTTGCGGACCAACAGGTCCCTGAGGGCAAATAGTACAAGCCTGTGGCTGTACAGGCTGAGGCTGGATGACGGGCTGTACAGGCTGAGGCTGGATGACTGGCTGTACAGGTTGAGGCTGAATGACTGGCTGTACGGGCTGAGGCTGGATGACGGGCTGTACAGGTTGAGGCTGAGTGACGGGCTGTAAAGGTTGAGGCTGAGTGACGGGCTGTAAAGGTTGAGGCTGAATGATGGGCTGTACGGGTTGAGGCTGAGTGACCGGATGTAAAGGTTGAGGCTGAATGATGGGCTGTACGGGTTGAGGCTGAGTGACCGGATGTATAGGTTGAGGCTGAATAAATTGACCACCAGGAGCGAGTGGGTACGGCATATGCTGCTGTCCAAATCCAAATAGCGGACCTTGACCGCCCATATTTGGCATACTGATGAATGAAGGTTGCTGAGGTGGGAGGAAATTTGGCAGGCTAGGACCGCCGTGTGAACACATGCAGGGCCCACCTTGGTTATGCCCAGTTCCACCGTGGCCATATCCAAATTGAGAGAAGGGATACTGTATGCCGCCCATCTGTGGCTGCATCGAGTTGAGGCATGGTTGTTGGCCTGGTTGAGATAGCGAGACGGGCGTGCATAGTGTGTTAGAGGTGCAGATGTAGGCGACTTGAGCGAAGGAAAAATCAATGAATATGAAGAGTGCGATTGAAGCCGTCGAAGTTTCTATAATCTTCATTTCTCGTTGATATGAGGACTTAGATAAAGGGCGGAAGTATGCTGGATTAGGGCTTGGCGAGGTTGTAATGACAGGAATGCGAAGCTCAATAATTGCAGGTAATATGGATCTATCTACGAAGTAAAGCATGCAGCAGATAAGTAAAAAGAATTATAACCATATAAGATCAACGGATGGTTACAAGCCGGAAACGGGCATAGGAAGGTTATAGGGCCTGTTGTTGATGCGACAAGACGGTGATTTCCATGTCCGGGAAGGCTACATACCACGTTGTATGCACTTCGCACAGAGAATCGAAGGGAGTATCGAGGAACTACAACGCTACAGGACGATGAAGACGGATTTAGTGAAAAATACCCAGACAAAGTATTCATCATGATATTCGTGAATGTAAGATACTGCGTAGTAAAAGTCCAATAGCACGGTTCTTGCTCAGTCCCGGTCGAGACCTTCCTCAAGAAAGCCATCCTAACTAGCGCCATGTAGGACATAACCATACTTGTCCTGCACAGGAATGACAGGCAGCTGCATGGTCTTCTCATCAACCAGGTTGAAAAAAAACTTGTTGGCGTAGTCCTTGTATTTACTGACTCCCTCCAACTCTCCAGGCCCGACACCATGGGGGAAAATGAAGATCTGTGGATGGGGACCTGTTTCAAGTTAGATAGAGCGATTGTATAGTATGGAAAGGTAAGTCCTGCATACGTGGATCCTTTGAGTTCTCTCTGCTCTTTTTGTAGTACTCCTGATAATCTTGCATCACCTGGCCGAAGTATGCATGGGCAGTGAATGCATTCTCGAAGACCAGAACCCATTTGGGACGAACCTTCTGCCCGACACTCTGCATGCCATATGCATAGAATACATTGAGGCGACCTGCTATCAGGTCTTCTTCCGCCTTTTGCTTTGTATTCTTGTCCTTCTTTTGATTATCCTTGATCTTTTGCTTCTCCTCTTCAACTGTACTATCGTTCTCTCGGGCACGCCTTGCGGCCAGAACGTCGATCTTTGCCTCACCCTGCTGGCCTCCTACACCAACGAGTTTCTGTCCGTGGTCATTTAATGAGCATTCTTTTATTGAGACTTTTGAGTCATATAGTCCCTGCATCTCTCAGTATAGCGTACCTTTTGATTGTCTAGGTCAAGATTGAGAATTTGATCAATACCGAGACCCTGAACTGTCTCTCCCAGGCCCCCTGCCGAGAGATTAATGCTTTTTCTATACATTCACCAGTATAGGGATGGGTTCTCACCTTTTCCACCAACTGGAGGTACCTTACTACCAAGCCCTCCACCTCCTGCGCCGCCCGTTACACCGTCCGTTACACCGTCTGTTGCCGGTAATTCCACGCTTCTCACCACTCCAAATAAATGTGCCATGAGAAGGCCAAGGGCCGCAAGCTTCAGGTTGGAAAGAACAGGCATTTTTGCCTATTGCTAGCTCCTTCTTTTGTTTTATCAACGGTAAAATCCGAGGGGCGAGCTCGAGGTATCAGCTGTTCGACAGCCTTAGAATAGTAAGTGGCTTATAATGAGAAGAGAACAGCAACATGATAAATGCTAAAAATAGGCGAAAACCTACTTGCCTATCCACAGGCTCACACATTAGATCGTCATAGATCATAGAATATAAACAGGTGTGTCATGTCATGCAACTCTGTGAACCTTGGGATCCGACAAGACGATGAATTCACTAGATGTCATATTGCCAGACCAGATTACTCACATTCTACCGAAGATGAGTGAGCCGGTAGGTCCTATAGGAATAGTAAAGAGGTGGTAGCTGGGTGGGTTTGGAGTCCTAAAACGTCCTTCTCACTTCCACACCACCTTGCATCTGTCTTGCTTGGTCTGCTTTCAGCAGGGCTGAGCGCCTTTTATGAAAGAGTCATAGACTTGTGTGAATAGATGTTGAAGGTCTTGAACCGAGCCGAAGGTCATACTTGATCCTGGGTCCGTGCGCAGCCCTTGATCATAGAGATGGAATGCAAAGGTAGAACGTAGGGAATGAATCCGGCTTTGACAGGTTGTGACAGGCCGTAAAGGATCATCTAGCTTTGATCAGTTCCACTTTGACGGAACTGTCGCAGATTTACGTGGGTTCAAGTGAGGTAAAATATAGACCAGCGCATTTATGTTAATAGACAACAAGTCTTTCCTCAGCCACAGGGGTGTTCCTGTCACTTTGTTTGCCCATCTATTCCAGTGCAAAAATGCAGTCCAGTCTCCTTTTACTATGGGCTTTTATCTCTAATATGCATAGTGCCACTGCGCAACTCTATACTGGATGTATTGCTCCCCCATGCTATCCACCAGGGTACGCGTCTTATTGCAGTTTTGTCCCAAACACACCATTATGTTTTAGTCCGGGAAATCTGGGGGGATATCCTCCACCTCTTGGATGGAATGGGAATGGAATGGGCCACGAACATCATAATCAGCATCTGTATCCTCATCCAACACGGCCACCGCCACCGCCTGGATACCAACCTCCTTATCCTGTGCAGCAGCCCTATCCACCACCACCACCACCACCACCACCACCACCACCGCCGCCGCCGCCGCCGCCGCCGCCTGGATACCCATATCCTTATCCTCTACCTCCTCATTATCCTCATTATCCACATTATCCACAGCCACCCCAAGAGCCAAATCGTCCAGCTCCTAAACCTGATCCATGCCCCGTGAGCTCTGATTGCAAGAGGGGGGATAAGGGCGAGAAAGGAGATGAAGGAGAAAAAGGAGAAAAGGGAGAAAAGGGGGATCGAGGCGAGAAAGGGGAATGTGACTGTAAAATAAACAAATGAGGGATCATGGTAGTTGAAGCTACATATAAATCTCCCACAATCACATTTTATCATACAATCACATGTTTACTCTTTTGACCGGAAGGACGCCAAGTGCTCAATGGGCTGTTGAAAAGACAAACGAAGAATTCCCGTGGGATATTAGGTATTTGTTCTAACAAAACAGTCTTGATTTCTTTACACTAGTATGGTGACATCGATATGAGTTGTGCAATGCATAATTTTACTTCCAACTATGCTATGGTCTGTGAGCGAGATCATGCACTCCGTTTGCAGATTGAGCCATGAAGACTGCTCGTTCAGCTGCTATAATGCTGGTATCACTATAATGTGCGGATGATTTCATAGAAATCTTTGGTAGCAGTAGGGTCTGGCCCATCTATACAACCCTACCTGTATGGTCAGTCGACGTAGCTTCCTAGCTATGGTAGTGAATTTATTTCCTCACTATGTCATAAATGGATATTGGGACGAAGAACAAAATGTCTTGATCAGTGTCTCTATAGTACAATGAAACATTTGGATACGAGTTCCACATTATACTGTGCTGTGCACACGTCAAAATCAAAAACAAGCCTTCCCGACTATGGGTTGCGAGACAAATGGCAATCAGAATGAGATGCGAGAAAATGCTGATTGTCCTAATCCAAACATTGAATTATATTAAGATTTTCTCGAACCGGCAGCTCAGCTGCCACAACATTCCCCGATATGAGTTCGTCCGGGCTGGGCTATGCTGATTCGCAGCCCGCTCACTGGGAATGTTTCTGGCAACCCACCCCCGACTATCAACCACGGGCCATCGAAAATAAATGTCAGATTCAGTTGAAGCTTGAAACGTTTACAAGAGGGACCCCATGGGTAGACTGAGCTGCATGCATCATTGGTAGTAACCGTCATTGAAATTCGCCGGGGATGAGGAAGTAAGTTCTAAGCAGAAATTTACTAACTTTTGATTCAGGCTACAATATAGTATTCTCGGGTGTTTATACACAGCCCTGGCGAAATGCAAAGGTAGCACAAGTCTTCAGTAACTGAAGAATTTTCTAGCTGAATGACTGCATGAGTATCCATGTTGTTGAACCAGGTGTATTACGAACATGTATTGCTTGGTGGGTATATGATACACTCTAAAAGCAAGGCCTCAGCCCCTTGTAGCATTGCATTCTGAAACTGCCTACTTGGGTTGATAGTTTAGACGAAGTGCATTCTCAATCTTCTTTGTTCTTTGTAGGACAAGCGACACAGAAGGACTATATGATAGAGAGACTGTGATATATATGGCCTATACCATTTACTAATATAGCATTTGCAAAGCCAATCAACTCCTATCGATGGCACGAGCAACCCAATAGATCCTACTCTCTCCTTTATCGTTTTCAAACCCTGATTCCTGCCTGTCAGAAATTGAACACTTCAGCGTAGGGCCCGTTGGCGCAATAAATCTGCAACTGGACTCTGAAGAGCATAATGCGAGACATTCGAAAAGATTTTTCTCCGCACTCATTGTCTTCACAGGGTCCTTGATCGTGTTCCTCTTGCTTGTGCAAAAGATCTCATATTTGACACCACCCACATCCAATGTTGATCCATGGATATCTGGGCATTCGCTCTTTCGCGCCTTCTGGATATTTTGAGGAATCTCTTTCGATGGCCGAGCTTGCATTGCGACAGCAACTATTCCTTCGGGCGATGGAGCTGTTTCGACATCTCGATTGGGATTCCATGTGACGATGGAGCTGCCGCTAGCACCAACTGCTTCACAGCCGGGCAGGGTTGAACAAATGACCATAGCTTCTTCGAGACGATGCGTGTTGAAGACACTGTACTTTTCTCCGGCAATGACTCGCCGACAGGTTATCTTGTATGTCACGTCACCAACCTTGACTTCTTTGCCATCGGTATTTGACTTGGGCTGGCAAAGCCGAAGCGCTTCGAGCTCCGAGAGGGACAAGCCTTGTTGAGTTGTGGTATCGTTAGGACGTTGGGTTTCACCTTTTTCGTCTTTGCCATTTTTATCACCTTTGTCACCCTTGTCACCCTTGTCACCTTTATCGCCCTTCTCACCACTGTCACCTTTTTCACCCTTCTCACCACTGTCGCCCTTCTCACCCTTCTCACCACTGTCACCTTTTTCACCCTTCTCACCACCGTCACCCTTCTCACCCCTATCGCCCTTGTCGCCTTTGGCGCCATCATTTCCCTTTGGCCCATCTTCGCCTTGTTTCCCCTCTGGGCCCGGCTCACCTCTCGGTCCCAAATCACCTTTGTCCCCTTTAGGCCCAGGGGGACATTTCTTGCAATTGTCATTTGGTGGTCGGGGCCAACTAGGATTTGGCTGGGGATACCCCGGTCCTTGATTTGGCGGGAAATGAAGCCACGGATTATAGTGACTTCCACCAGGATATCCCGATCCTAGATAAGTGTGTTAACTCTGCATCTGGCGGATGGAGAAGGTCTCGCAATACCGAAGGGATTTTCAAACCCGGGAGGGTAAAAGGGAGGCCTTAAGCCAGAAGGGCCAAATCCGTTCCCAGGCCCTGGTGGATAGGGATGGTAGCCAGGTTGAAGTGGGTTTTGATAGCCGGGTGGATAGGGGTAGAAAGGTTTCTCTGGCCTAGGATAGTCGGGATACATCTGATTCCCGCATGGCTGGTATCCAGTGCCACCGTAAGAATTAGGTGGACAGTATCCAGCGCCATCATTATTTGGATGGCAAAAGTTACCTGCACCCAAATGTACATGGACATAAAAAAAGGATGCTAAGATCAAGGGGGATCTCATGGCTTAATAAATTTTGGAACCAAGGAGAAATATAGAAGACCAGCCATATATTAACGATGGGGGAAGTACAATTGTTAAGGGATCTTTTTGTTCAAAGCACAATGGGACTCTAAAACAGCCACTAGGAATAAGTCCTGAAAGGATAACTTCCCATTTCAAGAGAATGAGACAATTCATGATTCATCGAGTGCTGTGCAAAGTTCTCAATAACCTCATCTTTCAGCTCTGAATCCTTTCAATCCTACCTGAGAATGAAACCATGATTTTACCCCAGAAGGCTTAGCTGAACATGTTATGACAATGACACTTTGTATTGTAACTACTGTGATTCTGCAGTACCATGGGTATATATTTAGTCCTTGAGTTCATGATGCCACTATAGAAACCCGCCAATTTCTTGAATCTTTCTAATGCGTGGATATTTATACCTTTCGTTTTCCCACACAGGCAGATACTCCAGATCACAGTGCCAACTCCAAGCCCTGAAACCTATCAAGTGTCCATCACCTCAATATGCCTCAAATATCTTTATATCTCAACTTCCTCCTAGCCTTTTCCCTCATTCATCCTATCCAAAGTGCCCCGTCAACCCCAATGCTACCCTTCCCGGGCCTCCACAACCTCTTCACCCCAGTTCCTGATTATCCCATGCCACCGATTCAACCACAGAAGGACGAGCTAGGTCTCTTTTATGGCAAATGCTATCGCCTTCAAAACAACCAAAAGCAAAAGCTAGGCTACCAACAAGGCGCATACTACCGGTATGACGCAGACGATAACCGGCGCCCATTCCGCATCTGCCGCTCCACTCGGGGTTCCTGCAAGCGTGAGCAAGACGACCAAAACGTGTACAAGAATGACCGGTTTTATCTCTGGGATGGGCATGGCTCGGCTTGGTCCAAGGGTCCGACCTGGATTGGTTTCACTGGAGTGTTTTTGTATCCGAATATTTACCGCGATGTCGAGAATTACATTGCGCCGTTCAAGGCGCATCAGAGTTGTGATCGTGACTCTATTCAGGGGGATGATCTGGATGAGCAGAAGAACAAGTGTTTGCTTTGTGTGAATTTGAAAAACAGCTACAACAACTACAATGGGTTGGCAACATACCCCACAGGATATGTTTACCAGACCGCGAATCCGAGTGATTGTGTTTATTGGGTGTTCAAAGAGGTGGATTGCCCGGATGATGATTATATGGAGGATGAGGAACTGTGAGGAGCTTTGGTCCTGTCACATTTTGCTGGTTAGAAGAATTTGTTAGGCTCGTTGGCAGCGCTTTCAATCCTAAACCCACCTCTAGACCATCCTGAATTTTGATAGATATGAAGGTGGACCTGTGTCAAACCTCAAAAGTCGGATTATAGAAAGTCAGATATAGCAAGATGTCAACTACAGAGCCATTTGCCTGTGTACATATCGTGATGATGATTGGTCTGATCTACTATGAGAAACTAAGCTTACATGCCAAGGGCCATCGTAAAAGTAGTAACTAGTCATTGAGTATTTTCATTTCTAAGACAATGTACCCATTCCCAAGGGAAATCAAGACACATTATAGCCTGATCCATCTCCCCATCCACCGCTGATTCAGTTCCTTCGCCTCATCCACCAAGCCCAACTCCAATAACAACTGAACCGACCCACGAACAGAAGAATGCAATGAAGAGCTAACCCAAGCCTGTGTTGGTGCAGTGTGCTCTCCAATAAAAATAGTGTTATGCTCCGTCTGGTGATAAGCCGGGATGTATAGTTCATGCTGTGCAACATCCGGCCGACACCAAGAAGTCGCGGTATGCTCATCCTGAAGCCAGCAGAGACGTTCATAATCTCCCGTGTAGAGGTCACGCGCTTGCTCACCGTGTAGGCTGACAATCGAATCCAGTACCGTCTGGACATGTTCTTCGTCAGAGAAACTCACAAATCGGTCACTCCAATCGCCGCCTCGGTAGTGCATGATTAGACCCGGACGGGATTCGTTGAGACCATATACTGGGTAGTAAAGTGCACCAACCGAGTCACTCGATGGCTTGGAGTAACCACCGAAAATTGGTCGGTCGCCCTTTTCCCAGAATCGTTCGGAGAATAGTAGGGCTACTTTGCATGCGGACTTGAATCGTAGACCGGCTTCACCGATTGCGCGGTTTAGGACCGACGAAAACTTGGGTAGATCCATGAAGCGGGTCATAGTGAATGGCGCGGTCATGATTGTGTAGTCGTACTCTTTAGACTCGGAGGTGCGATTTGAGACATTAGGGTACCATGACAGTCGAGTGCGAGTATGACCATCACTTCCCTTGACTGGCTCGAGTTTTCTGATTTTCCGATTAAGAGTAAGCCTGTCGCGGACGTGAGGAATAAAAGCATCAGAAAGGCGGTTGAATCCTCCATCGATACAGAGCCATTCTGTTTTGCCTATACTGTCTCTGCTTCCATCCAACCCGAGGTTGGAGTTATGATGCAGCTCATCCCAGAACACATCGTAGTCGGACGACGTCCAGATCTCGTCTGTGATGTTCTGACTAGCTTTGAAAACATGCCGCATCATCGCCTGTTCGCTCCAGTCATCTAGCCCTTGGTCCATTGCGGTCTTGTGAGCCCTCCAGATATCCTTCTGAAGCGACTTGAGAGTCTTTTCGTCTTTCAGGATTTTATTCATCTGGTCCTCGGTGTTGTGGTACTCGGCGTTTGTCATTTCTGAGGGGGTTTCCAGGCTTGGATCTGCCTCGATCTCAGCGCGCGTTGGAATTCTTCCATCTGGATGGCGCCGAGTCCCTTGAGCATACAACTCATTGGGACTGTGTTGGATCCAGGGAATAAAATCAATTTTCCATTGCGAATCATTCCCATTCATGTTGTTCAAGATCTCGGCCATTTGAAAAGTCAACTGATGATCGGAGTACAGGAGTGTCTCATTATCGTCTTTGTAAGTGACAGAGTATGGAAGTCGCATTGGTCCCATCTCAGCCCATTCTTCAGTATCTGCGACATATTTGGTGCGAAATCTGCCACCAATGCGGTCGCTGGCTTCAATGATCTCCCAGTTGTATACACCGACGCTGTCCAGCATCAACCCCGTTGCAAGTCCAGAGATCCCACCTCCGACAATTGCGATCGAAGTGTTCTTGAGTGAGATTTTTGACGCCACTCCTCCGTCACTTTCCACCTTGTCTTTGATTTTGGCCACTCCGTCGAACCACGCTCCCTGCGCATCAAAGTCCTTCAGCAATGGGCTATCGATATCTGCCGTGGACCGCTTCTTGCGCTTATTCTGCAAGGAGACAGGGCTGCTTTTGCCCAAGACCTTTTGCGTCGTATTTGGGCTGTCAGACCCATATATGTGAACACAATGGTGCGTTGGAGCGTCCTCTCGAACCGCCCAAGCCAGCCTTTGCGGAGGGTGATCGTGGATTGAAAATTGTCCGATGATTTGCCCTTTTGTCGAAGAACTCTCGCTATCACAGGGCGCATAGACTGATTTGATCAAACTTGGTGGTTGGTTGACCCAAGTCAAATAAATATTGGCTAGTTCACCACCTCGAACTGTCTGGGAGGTTGTCACTTTTACCAATTCTGGCTCAATGATCGCTCCAAGCCCGGGCAAAGCCCGGGCAACCAGCATCACCACTACAAGAGAGAATTTTCCGAGCATGGTGAGTGTGACTGAACTCAGCATGTGGCATGGTCTGTAGCCTTTATATTTGCCCACTCACTAGGCCATCCGCTTCGAAGCTGGGGACCTTCTGCGGCGCCAAGAAGGCACCAAAATGCGATCGACCATATCCACCACAATGATTGGAATCTGTGCTGCTTAGTTCGCCTGAAAGGTGGGCATATTCTCCATGTCTCATTTCTGAGTACCGCGCGGAAGCCTGTGCGGACCTTGGGGCTAAATAGCAATTTCGTGATCCGTTTTTACAAGGCCTTGCCCGATGACTTGAGTATCTTTCTTTACGAACAAGACCTTTGATGATAGCGAGCAGTGTGGTGAAAGTGGTTGTTGTTTGAAGTCACTAAGAGCCAAAGATAAAAGAAATACCTGAACAGCACTCGGGTCTATTGTTCTCCGCAGACTCTGCGTGACAGATCTTCCAGATAACCGGGATCTGTAAATCATGCATGCTCCGAGACTGATGGGCGAAAGGACAAGTCATCAACTTGGATAGTCAAGGGTGTCGCTGGGTTGCTTCCACCACGACAATTGGCCATTCTCGTAAGGGTCTCTTCAACCCGTCAGGATCCAGCGAGCAAGCATTATCTATAATGACCGATGCTGATAAAATGAGATCGACAGTATTCCTGATCTATCAGGTCATCTACCTCATAGGTAGGATGAGGCAATACACTCGATAGATTCACACTGAAGTTGTGACGGAGCTCCAAATAACAGAAAAGAAAGAAAAGAGAGAAAGAGCAAATTAACAAAATGCAGAAGCAGTAGAGAACTTGAGATGTTTTGCCTTTGTTGCCTTTTCGTCCTTATGGATATTTATAGGTGTCTATAGACAATAGCGCTAGACCAAATGCATAGATGATCCTAACTTATCATTCTTGAATGCATCATGCTATGAGCTGTCATTCTCTTCTGATGTCAATGAATTTTCCCACCCTTCTACCGACATAGACTTTGCATTGTGGCCACGGCGTATTCAAAAACATCTCTCTCTGTGTCCGTTTGGATATTTCTTGCTCAGGCTAAGCTATCATACAGAAACACGTGGGCATTGTGAAAAACCCCCTGCTGGGGCGTTCTGATTTAAACAGATGGCTAGATTTATAGCACCAGCACTAATAACCCTACGCCATCGACAGAGAGATAAAGGCATACCTATACACCTGACCATAGTCATCGCACTAGCTGAGTTTGCTGGACTTGAAATGGAGCTAGACGGGTAGCTCGCCGATTTGCTGGGTATGCTGCTCGGCGACTGATCCTAATATCTCCCGAGTGAGTCTGAACCATTGCAGGTAAGGCGCTGACTTTTGCATTTGCTATATTCTGCTTGAAAGAGACCAGGGGTTCCCTGCAACATGAGCTGACAAAAAATGAATAATCGAAGCCTGCCCTGCTTACGTCGGATTGATAATACCACGCATGCCCGCGTGGCAATGATCAATCTGATGACAGTAGTACAGAATGGGGTTCTGTCATTGACGAGAGTAACCAAGTCGTTGTGATACTCACTGGCTTGTCTGCAGTTGGGACAACCCACTCACTAGAAAAGAGCCATTTATAGGATAACAGGTGTTACAAAGAGAGTCTTGAGACACTGAGTGACTGCAGGTTGAAATGAAGCTCGAGCTTTTCTCCCGGGGAGACACAAAGGTGACGCTACCTTCACCGATAGCTGAGTTGTCACCGTCTGTGATTCTATACTAGGCATTGATGAAGATGAGTCCCAAGAGCGAAAGAACAACTTTTTCATTGGGGCTGAGAAAGTCTGTCTTCAACATATTGAGTCAATGAAATTTTGGAGAACTGTCTTTCTTTCCATATGATATTCTTGACCTCATATATACAGACGTACATTTGAAACTACGCATAACCTATTCCCCAATTATCGGCATCAGTTTACGCCAAAAGCCTAGGTAGCACATAGAGCACCACATTTCTATAGACTTTGGCCTCGAGAGGACTTCTAGTCGCGAAGTTGGGATTGACCATTCATATTTCGCCCCAAAGAACCCGTTGGGAACTGCGGTAGCCTTGATATTTGATCCGATCGGCAATTCCAGATGCTGACATAGGTCTGACATGGTGAGCCCTGGAGGCGCAGCAAGCTTGTATGACCGTTCTACTTGGGATAGCTCGAGGTATAGAACGAGATAGTCAGTTTAAGCTCTTCGAATAGACATCCTGTAAGGTGACATACAACTCTCTGACAGGTAATCCAAACATCTGTGGACAAAGTTCATGGCCACAAAGACTCTTGGATCGGACGTAGGCCAATTGGGATGTCAACTGTGCAACAAAGAACTGGAGGGTATTTATTGAAATGAGTCCCTATCTGAGGCTAGAGTACTCTGTAGTCGATCTCGATTTTTGCAATGGTTCGGCATATCTTTTCTTGGCTTTGGGCTATTCCTGCCTTGGCCCAAGTTCAAAGCTTTCATCCCCAAAAGCATGATGAGATTACTTATAGCTTCAATGTCCCCAATAATACTGCCAAATCCAACTCGGGTCCCATTTACTTCCAGATGAATGCCACGCGCCAAGTGCAGTGGTTTGCCTTGGGCCAAGGAAGGCAAATGGCAGGCGCCAATATGTTTGTGGTGTACACATCTGGCAACAATGTGACGGTTTCTCCACGGTCGGGGGTTGGAGAAATTCAACCGCTGTATAACAAGGACGCCCAGATTACAATCTTGAGTGGCAGCGGTGTGCACGGCGAAGTCATCACTGCCAACATCCGATGCGATACTTGCCTAAAATGGAATGGGGGAACAGAAAATGTAAACAGCTCCTCGAGTCCGTGGATTTGGGCGATTAAATACGGAGAGTCCCTGCATTCGCGCAATTTGTCTGAGGATATCACGCATCATGATGATCACGGTGTCATGATCATCAACCTGCAAAGAGCGACGGGGGTAGCTCATCAAACCCCTTCGCCCAACTGGACCGAGTGTCCATCTCCCCCAGTGAAGAAGATCCGCAATATGTGGCCTTCCGAAACACAATCAGAAAGAAAAAGACCGCTCATGCTGTGCTTATGATTTTAGCTTTTGTGGTCATGTTCCCTTTCTTCGCACTCGGACTTCATATTTTCCCATCGAGATGGACTGTGAAGATTCACGGAACATTTCAACTTCTCACTTTGGCTGTGGCAATTGCAGGCCTTGGAGTTGGAGTTTCCATGGCACGGCAGATTGAACTGATCGATTCTTACCATACCATCCTCGGGATGATCATTGTCGCATCCCTTGCTCTTTTCCAACCTGCCATGGGCATGTTGCAGCACATGTTTTTCCGAAAGACGGGTAGGAAAGGGCCTTTTGCCTTTATGCACCGCTGGTTTGGACGATTCATGATGATATTAGGTATTATCAATGTTGGGCTTGGGTTCAAGCTTGCGCATGGACCTCGTGGGGCGGTCATCACCACTTGTGTTGTTGCTAGTATTATTGCGATAGTTTATATTGTGATAGTCAGTTGGATTGGACGGCCCAGAGGCAATTAAAAGCAAGACCAAGGAGATCAATCAGGAAGAGATCGGGGGGGTGTTCAGAGATCGAAGAATTATCCACCGCAGATCCGAGCTCTTATTTCCCCAATGACATCATCCCCCCTGGTCCTCTCAATCAATTGGATCTTCTTCTGCCCTTTCCCTCTCCTTAAATGACGTCGGGCTATTTGGTCAAATCCTCCATTCTGTCTTTCATTTAAATCTCATTCTTGGCTTCCGTTCCTTGCATTTACTTGAATTTCCTTTTCTTTGGTTTACTTGGGTTTTGCGCCAACTGGCATATCCCCAAATCATGCCTTTACATACAGCCGCACTAGGTGTGGCATTGACTCCAACTGTCCTTCATACTCTCATCAGTCACGTAAGTCCTCGTGACGCTGATATGCTTAGGGCTGTTGAACTCATGGCGCAACTATAGTACCTGAATCGCAAATCGCTACATAAGAAACCAACCGTTCATATTACCTATGATGAGGGTATCCAAATCGTTCGTCAATTCCTATTCTATGCATCCAAACACCCCGTCGAAGACATTCAGGCGTTCACTCGCCAATGGGTTCCAAGTCCGCATTGGGTGAGAACCGAGACTATCACAATCCCCGAGGAGTTCTTGTCCTCTGCGGCGCACGCTGTCACAAAGCAGCTGGGCCCCAAAGGTGTGATGCGAGTGGGAGGAGAGAAATGGTGGCAATGGCGTGGCCCATCCGAAGAGCTGAGGGGGGAGTGGATTGAGATGCGAAACCACTACAATCAAACGGAGGGCGCTGGTAGACATTGTAATCGTGTGATGCTATATATTCATGGCGGGGCCTATTTCTTCGGAAGTGTGGACACCCATCGGTACATGATGCAGCGCCATGCGCGCAAGCTGAAGGGGCGTGTTTTTGCACCGGAGTATCGACTAGCGCCGCAGTTTCCTTTCCCATGTGGCCTGTATGATTGCATGGCGGCATACCTCTGGCTGCTCAAGTCCCATAGCCCGAAGGAAATCATTCTTGCCGGTGACTCTGCCGGCGGAGGAATGGCTTTATCGATGCTGGTCATCATGAGAGATCAAGGTATTCCCTTGCCCGCGGGCGCCATTTTGATCTCACCTTGGGTTGATTTGACACACTCTTTCCCGAGTATTGTTGAGGATAACCCAGGTGATTATATCCCTGCTTATGGCTTTCGATATAAACCTTCGGCCGCTTGGCCTCCTCCCAACGCTGATGATATTTTGGAAATAAAAAGAATGTCGCGCAAACCAGTAGTGACTGCTGAGGACGTTCAACAAGCTATCCCCCAACGGAACAGCTCTGCCGAAGAGACTGCCATCCGCGGTTATACTGTCCACGAGAACAGCCCATCCCCAGCCGAGCCTGCCTACCCTGGCCTACAGCAAGCTCCAAATCCTACGGGCTTGGATGCCGAACCCGATAACATTCACGTTGTCTTGGACGGAAAGACCGTCGAACTCAAAGACCAAATTCAGTTGTACACCACAAACCAACTCATGTCCCACCCTCTGGTTTCGCCAGTCCTCCAACCTTCCCTTGGTGGTCTGCCCCCTCTACATATATTGAGTGGCGGTGGTGAGACGCTTCGTGACGAGCAATTCTACGTGGCCCACAAAGCAGCGAATCCGACAGCATACCCACCCGGTGACGCATATCTCGATGAGGACGATCCCAACCGGGAAATCTTGAACAAGTACAAACCGACTTATGTACAACTTCAGGTCTGGGACGACCTATGCCATGTCGCTCCTACTCTGAGCTTCACGCGGCCAGCCAAGTACATGTTCCGTTCGATTGCTCAATTTGGCTCTTGGGCATTGGCTCGGGCACAGAATGGCGAGGTCGAAATTGCGGATGATAGTGCTCTTTCGGCCGTCTCCTCCAGCAGCTCAGAAGAGGAGGATGTCCCGGGCCCTCAAGCCGCACTAAGCAAGCCACCTGATGGGCATGGGCCGTCATCTGTGGGCAAGGCCGGGGATCCTCTTCCAGCCTTCCATCAGCACATGATACGCCAAAGAATAGATAAACGAGGACATGTGTTCCCGCTAGATCCTCCCTCTTCTTACCCAGTGCTAGATATCCCTCCTGCCAAAATTGGGGCAGTGAATCCCGTACTCATCCAAATGTGGTTGGATGCAAAACAGGAATGGGATATCAAATTTGCGAAGGAGAAGCTTCGAGTTCAGAGCCGACGCCTGAAAGAGCTGGCGCATGGATTCCAAGACTTTGATGGCGAATGTCCTCCTCCGAGCTCTTTGGCGGCTCGACGAGCTGCTCCTGGAGTACTACCAAAACGACATGCCAAGAAGAACTACGGGATGATGATGTGGAGCGGCTGGGGCAGCAAGCACGACGAGCGCAGAATAGAAATGGAGAAGCAGGCCGAGCAAACGGGCAAACGTTCCACTCGCGTCAGCACTGATGCTGGGCAGGCTGGAGCATGGTCAAGCACTCCGGCGACGAATACACAAACCGAAAAAGACTTAGACACTGACCTTACCGATAATAAGTCGCAGTCTAACGGTGACATGTCAGTCAGCTGGGATGAAAAAGAACACCCCACTAACGGTGATTCTTCCACTGCACGCATATCCACAGATCCTGGAACCGTCTCTCGACCTATCTCGGAAACGAGTGCTCCCCCGATCCTTATATTGCCAGGGGTGAACAACAACATATTTACCGAGGAGAACGCCAGCACAAGGGGTATCTTTCATGCCGCAGGAACTCTCCCCATGAAATCCGATATCTCCTTGGCTCATAGTAGGTACCGGCCAACATCCGCTGCAGGATCTGGCACTGGCCGAAGCGAGATGATGTCGGACGCTGCCAGTACCATCAGCGGCGACAAGGACTCTGTCACCTACATGAACATGGCATCTGATGCGGCTAGCAGCCGCGCTGTGATAGGTGCTCGGGGTGTTATTCCTCCAATGATGGCTGGCGAAAAAGGCCGTCGTTCTACAGATACTCTATCTGTATTCTCTGCGACTGGTCGGGACTCCATGTCGCACCGCCCTGAAATGCCGGACAGGGAGACTTACAGAACCGCCGAATAAGCCCTGAAGAATTGCCATCTATGAACATATCCCACTATCTGCGTCATTTTGAACTGTCCTTTTGATTATTTGTTCAGAATCTGGCTTTTTGTGGAAGCTCTGTCCAGCGCCTTTCCGTTTTCCTTTGTTATTTTTGTGTTTCTTGTTGGATATACCCGATTTTGGCAGTCAACTTCTAGGCTATTAACAGTCGACTATCATTTGTAGTTGCATGAGAGTAAATACAATATATACCCCATTTTTGCTTTGACACCAATCCCGTGAGCCGATTGTGAGTGCAGGTATCCATGCAGACATATTGATAGCTGAAATTAAAGCTCAACGCAGAAGCGGATCAGCCACTAGCCAGCCACCGGATGATGCAAGTCTAATATAATACATAATATTGATAACTCTACGTCTAGACAAGATGAACTCAACCATTAGCGCCAATCAAGACCAATCTTCCGAGCCACCTGCTCAGCAACACCAAGGAAAGCCTCCCGTCTCGCGCTGCGCTCATCACTCTCCTCCGCAACAACAGTTGGCATCCCACGGTCAGCATCCTCACACACCCGAGCATCAAGAGGGATATCACCAAGGAAGTCGACCCCGAGCCGCTTACACTCAGCTACTACACCGTGGTTTTCACCATGCGCGTGGTGGTGGTTATCTCCATGCGAGAAAATGCGAGTCTGAGTCCCGCACTGCGGACACGCGAAATATGCCATGTTGCGCACCATTCCAAGAACGGGGACTTCCATTCGCTGGAACATCCCGATGCCGCGCACCGCGTCGCGGAGTGCGATGTCTTGGGGTGTGGATACGATCACGGCGCCATCGATGATGACTTCTTGGTTGATTGTTAGTTGGACGTCGCCAGTTCCGGGGGGGTAGGTCAAGGATGAGAACGTCCAGTGGACCCCATGATACTGAGTGAAGAAGTTGGTGCATGGCTTTGGTTACCATTAGTCCGCGCCATGAGATTGGGGTAGTGTCCATGGGTAGTTCGCCGGTTGTGCTATCGGCTTGTGTTTGAGGAAGGAGGTAGCCCATTGACATCGATTTGAGGCCATAGTTTGTTAGAGGGACAAGACAGTTGTCTGGTCATGTTATAAGCATATTGATTATCGCTGCAATGGCGTCGAGCCTAGAACGGAGACTCACTTTCGTCGAGACGAGGCTCGCCGGAGAGATTTAGTAGGGTGGGGACAGAAGGGCCGAATATATCAGTGTCCAGAATGCCTGTCTTGATCCCACGGCGCGCAAATGATAGCGCGAGATTGACTGGTAAGATCTCTTTAGCAATTGTTCGTTCCACTTGGGCTGACAGTTCTTGCGCTGTGGTCACCCTGTTCGAGACGTAGATAGGTACGGGGAATATCAACATACCTGCTATTGTAGACTTTCCAACTCCTCCCTTTGCCGAGGATACTGCAACAACTTTCTTGACATCTCGAATCTTGCGCTTTTCGGGCATCCCTCGTCGCGAACGGAAAGTTGGTGGGGTACCAGAGCGTGGAAGCCCCTTCTGGTAGTCAGCAAATGTAGGTAAAAATAGCTATTCGTGCAATGAAGATCATTGAGCCAGGAGGAGCTCCAGAATATAGAGTAACAACTAACCAAAGGATTGTCATGCTGAAGAGCTCGACAAGTGGAGAAAAGCCTTGTGCCCCTGGCAATGGCACCAGATGGAGAAGCCAACATACTCACAGGCCAAATGAGGCAGATGAGAAGGGAAAACTGCAAGACTCAATAATCTGTGGGCAACAGAAGTAGTTCAAGAAGATGCAGTCAGGATATCTCCACAGCGATACTGCCGATAAAATGGCCGACCGCCTGTTTAATTGAACCACACACACTATATACCGCCCACGTGAATCTATACCGCCCACGGACGCTAACCCTAAATAGGAGTAATAATCCGTTATCCGGAAAAACCAAAAAAAAAGTTGCTCGTCAACCTCTTCTCTCCCCATACCAAACACTATGGGCAAACCACGCGCAGCTCGTTCCTTGGCTGATCAGCTGGCTGATTTTGAAGACCCAACCCCTAAAGGTATGCATGAATGATTCATCTACAGATTCTCTTGGGTACCAAACACTCAATGCTTACTTGGCGCATAGACTTTGACCCCGAGGATATCGATAATGGCCAACAATCAAGTGATGATGAAGGTGAAGATAAAGAGGAAGTGAATACAGGCCGAGAGCATTACCAGACTGTTGGGTATGTAAAAATAGGCGTATTTGGTTGCAAGTACTCACTAATAATCAAACAGGAAAGCAAAGCTCCGCAAAGACGATCCCCTCCCGCTGGGGAAACAATATGATGGCGCCCGAGTCAGCCGGGCGGCACTAGGCGCCGAAAGTGAAGATGACGAGGACTCAGACGCCTTGTCCATGTCGGACGAATCTGATGATGTCCTGGCCCTGGAGGGCTCTGATGAAGACACCGATGCAGACGAGGATGATAGCGATGAAGATAGGGAAGAGGACCAGGAAGATGACAGTGAATATGAGGAGGAGGCAGTCGAGAAGAAATCCAAGAGGAGTCGCCCGGAAGTCCGACATGGCGACACAAGCGGACCGTCTGGTGACCGTGACGAGATTCGGAAACTAATGGCGACGGATCAGAAAACTATTGCCGCAACAATCTCTTCCGCAGCCAAGGCCGATGCTACGAAGGGAAAGGCTGTCAAGCAACAACGTACCACTTTTGACGCGCTCCTTAACGCGCGAATTAAGCTTCAGGGTGGATTGACGTCAATCAACGGTATTGCTGCTGTTTTGGGTTCAAAGAACGAAGCCGACGGAGAGAATACGATGAATGACGAGGAGGAAGTTGTCGATGAGGAAGCAATCAAGTCGGCGGAGTCAGCTGCACTTGCATTATGGTCGACTCTCGAAGGTTTACGTACCGCCCTGGCCGATGCTACCGCCAAAGAAGACAGCAAAAAGCGCAAGAGACCCTCCCCCGCCTCGCCCAGTACTCCCTCTGCCTCGCTATGGGAACGTATGGCCGAATTGGAATCTGAGTCCATCTCCCACCGTCGTTCCATTCTTGACAAGTGGTCCTCGAAAGTTCGTGGCACTTCTGCATCTCTCCCCAACGCCAGAGGCAAATTGCTCGGTTCATCCTCCGGTCGCCAACAGACCATCACAGCCGTCCTCGATGCCCAAGTCGCCACAGAGATTGGAGAACGATCCTCCAAGCGCTCGCGCACCTCTGAGCAAGAACCTATCTATGACGATGGAGCTTTCTACCAGTCCCTCTTGCGTGATCTCGTTGAGCAGCGCATGTCCTCATCTGAGTCCATGACCAGTGGCTTTGACAACCTACACCAGCTACCTTCTCGCCTGCCGATTCACCCCATCACTGGTATGCGCAACGATAAGGTCAAGCGAGACATTGATACCCGTGCTTCTAAGGGCCGCAAGATGAAGTACAACGTGCATGAGAAGCTTCAGAACTTCATGGCCCCTGATGACCGTGGTTCCTGGTCTACGCGCGCACGGGATGAGTTCTTTGCTTCTCTGCTTGGCAGATCGGCCAGTGGTCTGCTGGGTGAAGGTGACGAGGGTGATAGCGACGAAGAGGATGACATTGATCGGGAGGAAGGTGGCTTGAAACTGTTCCGCAACTAAGTCTCGCATACGTCTACAAAAAAATCTTGTACAAATAGTGGATACGGCCATAAACTCGCAAGGCGAACCCTCGGTGCATTATTATTATACAAAGCTCCCCGCAGACTATATAAAGTGTGCTGCGGTTGTGGACTCTCACATGTGCAAGCTCATGAAGGAAACCCAAGGCTCTGTCAAAACTGCGTATCCAACCTGCACTTGGCATGACATCATTTCTTTTCTCGAGGTGTATACGGCGGTAGTTGTAATTCATCCACCGATCCTGTAGTTCCTGTGATTCCTGTTGATGCTGATGTCCCTGATGTTCCTTGGTGCCATTCGAACTGTGTCGTTCGTGGTAAGCCTAACATCTTCTCGCGCACCGCTTGCTGTAGTCGAAGTTGTCGCTCCACCTCTTCCTCTGGTGATAGAAATTGAGGCTTGCCATCTTGGCCTATGATCACGGCGCCGCTCACGTCATTGTAGGAAGGCGGGGGTGCGCAATATGTAGATGAAGATATGCTCTCTTTTGTGTTGGCCCATGAGGAATGTGCGCTGTGCATGGGTGTATAATAGAACTTGGTGACAATTGAGAAATCGGATTTCCATAGACTTCTGGGGACCAGCCCGAGGATTGTATTCATCTTTGCTGCAAGAATTGAGGCGCCAATGTGAATGTCACGGGCGATCAGGGCCGAGACAAGATCCGCTTTGACTAGCGTGAGGTTAAATTTGCGGGGGTAAGACGCAGCGTTGAAGTAGATTGCGCTTGCTCTGTGAAGATATTTCAGCGAATTTACCAGAAAAAAAGGAAAGTGCGCTGATTTTAAATCAAAAAAGGAGTGGAGTGCGACTACGTACGACGTAGATCCCCTGAGATTGTGATCTTCCCCATCCCTTCGGTTTACACATCCCGGGACCAGGGCATGTCTTGACGCCAATGTTCATCACTCGGCTATTTGACCTGCTTTTCCTCTTCTTTCAGCCTTATTGATACTCTCTTTACGTGATAATACATACTCAATCTTCATTCTCAACCTCTTGCCACTGCGCGCGCAATGTCTGGATTAGGGGATTCATATTCCAACCAGTCCTTGCATGCATGGCTTGCAATAATGATTCGGCAGCCCTTTGATCGAGGGGATTTCGTAGGACCCAGCCCCCTGTCAAGTCAGTGAAATCCTCAACAAGATTAACCTTTTGGCAACTGACAGGCAACTAGACTATGACGTGCAGTAAACAACGTGTTCTCCGCTTTCGTGTTGGACTGTGCCAATCCCATGACCATAAGCAGATGGTGGCGTACATTCTTCTAAATTTCATGGTGAGTGCCGTCCAAAAAAAGTCAAGGGTGCAACGAACCTCCACTGTTCGGGAATGTCGCAAACTCTCATAGGTGGAGGATGTCCTTGAAGGATCGGAGAGCGCCAAAATAATCTTGGCAATGTGGTAGTATTGAATACCAATCACTGAGCAGGCATTGGAGCCAGGATTAGTCTTCAGTCTCACTATACACACCTGTTATGGGGTCATTCACCATGCACGGGTAGCAGCATCCATATGGTAGGGAGTCGTTGATCTGGCCCGGGGGCTTGTGGGACTGACCTCACCGGGTCGAAGGTATGTGGCTTGGTAGAATACCAATCCTCGATCCTCTGCTCTAGGCCATGTATCATGGTGGACTTTGTGAAAGCACCCTGGAGAAGATTAGCAAGTAGGAAGACCATTCTGCTTGACCATGCAAAATCATCGTCTCTTTGAAACACATCTGAGCGATAAAAGCTTTGTAGGCTAGTTCGCAAAGGCTGTTGGCTGGTCAGCGAGATATAGATATCCTGCCGCAAACAAAGCCAAGCAGCAGCTTCACCCACGCCACCCGAAGACCCAAAGGTTGTCACTGTATTCAGAATGTGAGTCGTGCCAGTGAGATGGAATTGGTTGTCCTCTCCTGGAATGTGTGAGTATCAATTTGACGCAAACTACTTGGCCTCATCGACGACTGACCATCCATTTCCTCATGCTGGCGGAGTATAGCAACCGCAGCTAGTATATTTTCGGTGATGTGCTCGTGAGACCCAGAAAGTGCTGGAATGAGTAGTTGAACACAGCAGTTATGGTACTGCAATGCCTCTGTTACATCGCTGTTGCCCTGTCGGTCAAGATGGCGCGAAGAAAATGCAAAAATTGCGTAGCGCAAGACAGGCTCCTTGAGTGCCCGAGCTGAAACCTCCGTTTCAAAATGCCGTTGGGGGTCCGTGATATCAGCCTGTTATAATCAGTGGCTGCAGATGGATATATTGTCGGGCATGCACGCACCCAGAGCGCCATATTCTCAACAAAATTCCTCAACAGTATGGCCTCCCTTTTGCTTAGCGGCTGCGAAGGCTTGAATGATGTTCGAGATTTGATTGATCCCGGAGAAGACAATAATGGAGCAAATGGTGACCCATTTTCTGTTGTAGAAGGCGGGAATCTGGTCGAGGCATCTGCCTCATCGGCTCCATTAGCTGCGCATGGTTGTTGTGCTAGTAGGCCATTGAGGATATAGGGCTCCTCTCTCCGCCCGACTGCAAAGATACAATCACCGTCGTTGGTATGAGCTGGTTGATCATTCTGAATTGTCGAGTATAGGCTAGCGATTTCGGGTGTCTCATCATGGAAGCGCACTAGAACCCGTACTTAAATTTAGATCATAGAAATCATAGAAACTCATTAGCTCCCGCTTACCTTTGCCACGCAGCTGGGGCCAGCAGCTCTCATCTGAGAAGGCAATCTCGGCCTCTTTTGACAACGAAAAACCACTACGAAACCGGACATTGGTTCGGTCACAATCCACCCCAGCTTGTTGACAGTGCTCGCAACCCAGGTCATTGAGATTGCCTACAATGCTTGATTAGTATACCTCATTGCTTCTGAATTGATAATTCTTACATTTTAGGTGTCGGACTGTGCAATTGTCTGCGTTTCAGAAATTCTGTACATCGATTTCCCCCACATAGGGACTTACCGCGACACCGTTGGCTGCGTAGGTCCAATTAACACGAAGCCTTATCGGTGGACATAGGCCAACTCACCAGCCAGCTACCAAGCGACCTTTTTTCGGAGACATTGCAGTTCTTGAGTTGCTGGGAGATTTGCAAAGAGGAAATTCTTTCCGTCTGCCCCCACGGTGCTGTATGCATGACCCACTATCATTTGAATGAGATATTGAGTAGGTAGATTAACTTGGCATTACGTCACTCAGCAAATACCTGCTCTTTTCGATCGGGAAAGACAGGATATCGTGTACCTGGGGCCTGAATGCGGGGAAAACCAAGCCAACCTTCCCCTTTCGTCACATCCAGCAATTCTTTCCGTTCATCTTTCAACGACTGTCTACTTCACGGTGCAAGATATTACCCTGAGATAAAACTAACGGGACTACATTAATCAAGATGCAGATGATCCAGCTTCTTTCTCAACTATTTAAGTCCCCTCGAAGACCCGGGAAATGAAGGGTTGATAAGAACATCAATCATTCTCAACTTTCCTCTTCATTACAGCACCATGACAGTTCAAAACCTACAAGTTGGTATGGCCGGCCTTGGTCGAGTTGGCAAGCTTCATGCAATCAACTTCCTGCAAAAGACACCCCGCGCAGAGCTTGTTGCGGCATTCACCCCAGACCCTGCCGAGATTACATGGGGGAGAGTAAACTTGGAGCCCCATGGTGTGACTCTGTACACCAATTACGATGAAATGCTCAGGCATCCCGGTCTGCAGGCTGTTGCCATCGGGACGGCTACCTCCGTGCACGCGGAGGAGACAATTAAAGCCATCGAGCAAGACTTGCATGTTCTCTGCGAGAAGCCCTTGTCTACCAATGTCGAAGTGGTATGACCTCCTCCATGTTTTGAGTTAGGACGAATACTCATGGATATATTTTTCAAGTGCAGAGCAGTGGTTCAGGCTGCTAAGAAAAAGCCGCATCTGAAGGTGATGTGCGGTTTCTCTAGACGCTTTGACGACTCCTACCGTGACGCCCACGCCAAGATGGAGCAAGGTCTCATCGGACGGCCTGCCATTATTCGCAGCCAGACTTGTGACAAGTTTGATCCCTCAGGCTTCTACGTCGAATATGCAGCCTGGTCCGGCGGCGTGTTTGTCGACATGTCTGTGCACGACATTGATCTCAGTCTGTGGTTCTTTGGGGATGAAATCATGCCAAAGAGCATTTCTGCCCACGGTATCACTGCGGTCCAGCCGGAGTTGAAGAAGTACAATGACTATGACAACGCCGTGGGAATTGTGGAATTCTGGAATGGCAAGATTGCTTACTATTACTGCTCGCGCATGATGGCTGCCGGTCAGGAGGACACTACTGAGATCATTGGCACCGAGGGCAAATTGACTGTGAATGGCAACCCCCAGCAAAACTTTGTCAACTTATTCCACAACGGTGGGATTACTCGCGAAATCCCTCCCAATTTTATGGGTCGCTTCAGTCCTGCCTTCGTCCAGGAGGCTAATGACTTCACTGCCGCCTGCTTGGACAAAACTCCGCTTCCCATGAAGCTGAGCAACGCCGTCAAGGCCGTGGAAATTGGTTCTTACCTCCAGGAGGCATTGGTATCTGGGAAGCAGATTCACTTCGATGAGATCGGGCGGCGAATCCAGAAGGCCCAGCTATAGATAGTTACATGAATGGAGATGAACTTTATGAAGATTTAATCGGGTGCAAGAGACTCCTATTGTTCTGGCAAGCCTCGGTTTCAGTACTCCGTACAGACTCTGCTATTATACGGAATACGTGACATCGCCTATCTCCAAGATCGCAGAACTGTCCAGATTATGCAAGTTATGCGGGTAATCACTCGAATCAGTACTGACATCCATGATGCCATTAGCCGTGGAATTTCCACATCTGAATTGTATGATATAAAACTTCTCCCTATTTCATAGTTCAATTAAGTTACGATAGAAAAAGAAATGTATCTTGTCTACTATACTCCTGTTTCTCATTGGCGAAAGTCCTCTACATTAAGCCATATAGGGTTCTCGCTTCCCAGATACCCAAATGTGCCGGCTCAAGATATCCAATGTGTGATCTTGTTCTACATCATATCTCAAGAGATAGAATATACTCCTAAAACTGCCCTTATAAAAGCGGTGCTACACAGCAAGACCCCGTCGACATAGGTACTATGGGGTTCCCCACGATATGACGCAGGGAGATCGGCAAGGGATCATTTTATATCTTCAGCTTTTGGGTTCTGCCGCAGCAGATGTTCAAGCCATCCGCAATCCCGACTGGAATTTGAAGTACACGGAGGTTTTTAGTAGTCAACAGTCTTGATAACGCCAATCAACTATCGTCGAATGATGCAGCTGGACCTCTCGCCACGAGACAAATCTGGCAGCTAAGGCTGCATTTGACTTCAAGGCGTTTGGGGATATTAGGGGGGATAGGATCTGCTCCCGTGTTGATGAGCAGTTCGCAAATATCTTCTTCCATCAGGGCCTAGGAACAGACAAAGATCAGACATGGTTCATCCTGGGATATCCTGACTGGTCAGATGCTTGGAAGACCCCGTACAACCTCTTCCCCTAATGTATTGCTGCGTCGGGGAAAATTTCCTGACGCTGCACGTCAGATGGGAAATAGCTCTCTCACATCTATTTGTGGCAAATATGGTGTCCCACTCGATGATCACCAGGGTTGGGCTAAATCAGATTAGAATATGTGGCTGGCTGGCTCCTTGGAGACCAGAGACGAGTTTGTCGATGACCTGTGAAAAGCATAACTGGCCTTTTCATGATCGGTATGTTGTGACTTTTGCGCATGGAGATGAGCTGGGGGTTCCTATCTTGTGTTGGGCCCGTCCAATTGTTGGTAGACATTTTCCGTTGTTGACACTGAAAGGCCCTCGATTCATTCAGTCCACATGATGTTGAATTCGAGCAGTGTCAGAGCCTGTCAAAAAAGTTTGATGGGCAGCAATAGCTGGTTGGAGTCATGTCGAAAAACTTTGATATACGTTGTCGTTGGTCTGACAATGGGCGTACCAAATCATCATCTACGCTATAGAGTCGGATAGCTGCCTATCTGATAGCTGAGGTATCATGAGAGGTATTGTTGAAGCGTCATATGAAGATTTCCACTCCAGATAATCGGACAAGAGTGTCTATCTCACCTGCAATGCCAGACTACAATGACCTAAATTTCGGGTTGGTGCGAGGCAAAAATCAACAATATTATCTCTGGGCAGCATCTGAGAGCAATAAGATGTAGTCAAACCAGTTCAATGAGTCAATTTTCATAACTTCATTGAGCTCACCCTATGAATGAATAGTAAGTGGAAGTGTTGTTTGTACTGCCGGTGGGTGCCCAGGTGCCCAGGTGCAGGTGCCAGGGGCGGCTTACCTAATCTCCATGTCACGGCTGCTGCTTCATCGATGAGAAAGTGAATCTTCGACATCTTTTTCCCCTCGACACACCTTCATCCTTCTCCTTCATTCCTTTCTCTTCTTTCTCTCCACCTTCATCTCCACACATACCTCTATATTCTCCCACCACCATTTAAATTCGACAACTCCATGGCTTCTGTAGGTGGCTCCCTAAACCTTACCTCCCCTCGCATTTGCGCATCTGCCCCCAGCTTCTGTCGGGCTGAATGCCATATTGTTGAGATATTGAAGAGCTTAGCTAATATCACCTTTTCCTTCTCATTTATAGCCTCGTCCCAACTTCGGTGCTCAAGGCTACCCTATTTCAAATGGTGCGGCTGCGGGCCCTGTCCCCGGTGCCACGCCGCTGCTCCCCAACAATGGCCGTGTGATTCAGAGTGGCCCGACACGAATTTTGTGCATTGCAGATGTCCGAGGTATGTACATTCTGGCGATACTTTTCTTGGCGAAGTGACAACGTCTTAATTGGACCCGTAAAACAGGCAACTTGAAGTCTCTTAACGAGCTTGCGAAGCAGGCCCGCGCCGACCACATCATCCACACAGGTGACTTTGGTTTCTACGATGATACTTCCCTCGAGCGAATTGCAGACAAGTCAGTATTCTCCTCAAGCTTTTCGGCGCGTGTTTGCTGCCCAACACATTCGTCTTACCAGGCACCAAAACATACTAAAAAGCATCAGCTAACCCCATATCTACGTATAGGACATTGAAGCATGTCGCACAATATTCCCCCCTCCTCCCCGAGAACGTGAAACGGTCCATCGCACAGGTATCTCCCCAGCAGTCAATTAAACAGCGCTTCCCGCCCGACCAACTCCCCCTCTCCGAGCTCTCCATGCTTCTCGACAAGCGCATTACCCTTGACGTCCCAGTCTACACAGTCTGGGGTGCTTGCGAAGATGTGCGCGTGTTGGAGAAGTTCCGGTCAGGTGAATACAAGGTAGACAAGCTTCACATTATCGACGAGGCCAACTCACGCCTTCTTGATATCGGCGGTGTGAAGCTCCGTCTCCTGGGGCTGGGAGGCGCCGTCGTGATGCATAAACTTTTCGACAATGGCGAGGGAAAGACGACTATTGCCGGCGGTCAAGGCACCATGTGGACAACACTCTTGCAGATGGGTGAACTTATTGACACCGCCAACCGTGTCTACGACCCCTCCGAGACTCGTGTATTTGTCACCCACGCTTCTCCTGCCCGCGAGGGCATGCTGAACCAGCTATCCGTTACACTGAAGGCCGACTTTTCTATTTCGGCTGGTCTCCATTTCCGCTACGGCTCCTCGTACAACGAGTTCTCAGTGAACCCGTCTTTGGATCACTATCGCGGCAAGCTTGCTGCCTCTAAGGCATCATTCAACGATGTCTGGGAGACTGTCAAAACCGAGGTCGAGGCAGCCATCTCCTCCAATGATGGCCAGAAGACTCTCCTAGAGAATGCTCTGGATGTTGTTCACAAGATGCCTTCTATTGCCAATGGCGGCAATCCATTCGGTGGCCCAGTTGCCGCTGGCAATGCTGCTGGACAGGTCGATGAGAGTGCCTTCAAAAATATGTGGAATTTCAACTTGGCGGACGCCGCATTTGGATACCTCGTTCTGGAAGTTGAAGCTGGACGCATCGCGACGGAGATGCGGGCTCAAGGATTCAACTTCGCCCATCGCACCGGCAAACCCCAGACCGGTGGTGCTCCTCAATCTGTCTCCAGCGGTCTCCCGGCGACCACTGCCTCACCTGCTCCGACTGGCGCTGCCCGAACCCCCGTCGTGGCACCCCAGTTCGGCCAAGCCCCTCCCGCGCGTGCACCCATTCCTCAGGGCCAGAAGGGACCGAGAGCCTCCCCTGTGCCCGTGATTCCCAAGTCTATGAGTCCGCAGCCAGCTGCTGCCGCCTCTGCTCAGCCCGCCGTGGAAGAAAAGGCCACGGTTGCCGACACTAACGGCACCGCCCCGCACGAAAAGCCAAGTGAATCACCTGCACCCCGGGGTGAAAAGAAGCCTGCCAATGCTCTTTTCGTCACAAGCGCCGAAAGCGAACAGGCTGTCCGTGACCTCATCTCTGAGGAGGACAGGTCAAAGATTACTAAGATTGACAAGCTTGGCAAGTACAACCACGTCGTGACATTCTCGACTGTTGAAGAGGCCAAGGCGGCTATGGACCACCTGCCCATTGAGCTGAAGAAGTCCGGCCCTACTCCCCATGGTCAGCAACGTAAGCCCAACTTCAAGTTCTTCGAGGACCGCGGCCCGCGTGCTGCTGTCGGTAATGCCGGAACTTGGCAGTCCAGCAGCCGGGGTGGCATCACTACCACCCCGCGTGGCTACCAGAGCGCCAGTGACAGCGATGGCAGCCGCCGTGGTGGATTTGGTGGTCGTGGCCGCGGCGGGCGCGGCAGTGGCGAGCGTGGTCGCGGTGGCCGTGGAGGAGGTCGGGGTGGCTTCAAGAGCGGCCCAAATGACACTCCTGCCCCCTCGGGTGACAAGCCCGTCGCATCTGGTGACGCCTAATCGGTGACATTGAATTTTTCTATGTCTCATATTTTCCTCTGGCCATCGACATTGCCTCGATCTTACCCCCTGATACTCTAATTCTTCTGTGTCTCTTGAACTCATCCCATTTGCGAATCTTTTGCCTTTTTTGATTTTTCTAGCGCTCAATCTTTAGGTTCTTTGTTCTCAAGTCTAGTCAGAAAGACAGGGCATGAACGCGAATTGCAGCGTTGATCTGGACTTTGAAGTTGAGTCCTTGAGGTCCAGACAGTGTTTCTTTTTTTTTTTTGCAGAGGGAAGAGTGGGATGCAGAAAACATCTGAAGAAAAACCAAAGGACAAAAAAAAAACAACAAAATACATCCTTTCACCTCATTTCTTTTTGTACTTTAGTTTTATGTCCGTGGACCACATCGATACCCTTACAGCTTTGCTTTGGAATCTGTAGATATATGTTACTCCGTACCCTCTCGTCTACAACCCTTCGTGTATGTTCCCATGTTGCACTGTTTGGATTTGACCTTTGTAGTGAGAAATGTATTTTTCTCATAAGAGACAAGGGAACGAAGGTGAATTTACACGTCTGGGCCGATGACCCTACTCGTCAATATAAACTCTGATAGGATAGCCAGAAAGGAGTCGACAGAGTAGAGATCCATTGACAGATTGTGTACAAAAAGAAAAAGTACGCAACGCAGAGCTAAAATGTCCCGAGTTCAAGGAAAGTAGTATATCAAGTTCGCCGTATTTCCTTTCCGTACAATAGGCACTGAGCCATCCACCTCGTATTTCCTAGAATTTCATGGCCAGTGTGAGACGATCTCCATTCGCCAAGCTCAACGGTGCCAATCAAAACAAGCATGAAATAACCAAACGGCAATTACTGTTGAGCAGAAAAAAAAAGGATGAAAAGAAGAGAAACAGAAAGGAAGGTGTAGGTCCCCTAAGATTGGAGAGACAGATATATTGCCAACTGTGGGCATTGACGAAAAGATCTGTTTTCAAAATCAAATAGCCACTGAATTGGATGTTATTTCTCCTCCATGAGCTTCCTTGTTTTTATCCTGTGTTGTGTTCATGACGCCGAGCAGGATTCCTCCCATAAATGACAATCGATGATGGGTATGCGTAGAAATCAAAAGAGCGCGAGTATCAGGTGTTGGTCCGTGAATCGTGAATTAGGCCCGAGTATGAGTTGGAGGGCGGTGGGCATACTGGAAGTAAGCTACTTGGCTCGTCCCATAATGTCGTCAACGTCATTCTGGTTCACGACTACACCACTCTCAGAACATCGTGCCTTGGTGCGAAGCTCGGAGCATAGATTGTCAACGTCGATCTCGCCGTTGCGGAATCTTTCCATAGATTGAAGACGATCCCTAGAGAGGAAAAAAGAGCCGAGGTCAGTAATGTGGAATGTAGATTGATCAAGACTTATATGAGCCGGGACGTACCAGATTTTCGTACACGACAGCATCTGTGAGTGGTTTTCGCCTGGGACAACCTCATCTTCATCGAGCTTGCTATCAATCTGAGCAACTAGGTTCTTCTTGGATGGGGCCACACCAGTGGCCACCTCGGATAAGTTATGGGATGGACTACCCAGGTCCGGCAGAGGAAATGCTTCATTGAAGAAAGACCCGAAATCCTGAGATAAGACAGCATCCTGGGGCTCTCGCCAGTCACCAAAGAGCACCGGGTCGAACTGGCCACCATTCTGATGAGCCATCCAATCAATTCCAAGATCTTGATAACCTTCACCCTCGGCTTGGCCATCAATTGGGGTTGGCTGGGTGCTTGAAACACTGATGGACTTGGATCTGTTATCCCGGACCGCTGGGATGGGATTTTTGATGTTGCCGCATGCCATACCAAGCTGTGCACAGAAGGATTTCTCGCCATCAGTGGTGACATGTCCGCCACACGAGTCACCTGGCCCCAGCTCGCGGTGTTGCCCATCTGGGGAGTTCAGACTTGGTTCTGGCGAGGTTCCATTTGACGAGGGCATCTGGCTCTGATGCGAGTCACACGAAGACGACGGGGAATTCTCCGAGGTAGAGTTATCATTTATGGAAGACTTGAAGCCAGAGTAGGGTGCTTTAGTGGAAGTAGCACTGTGAGGAGTTCCGTCATACTTCGATTTGTTCGAATGTGCGAGAGAGTTTGACCGAGACGAAGGACTGGTCAGACTGTCGCGACCCAAGACACCAGGGGCCTGAGGTATGTCATTGGACTTGGATTGGCTATTCTTGTTAGATTTTCCGTTGAAGAGATGACCACCAGGCAGATCGCCAAACTTGGGAAAATCGAAGAGGAAATCATTGTTTTGGAGGCCATATGCTCCCTTGGAATGGGCATTTGGAATGGAATTCGAGCTCATAGCCGATATGCCGTTTCCTGATCCGGAGGCCATCCAGGAAAGGCGCTTTCGGTACTCACGGAGCTCCACCTGCAACCGCTCTACCTGGGCACGCAGCAAGCCATTCTCCTGGTTTGTCATGTCGGACGTCTTCTGCAGCCTTTCCACCGAATCCTCCAGGTCTTTCAAGTGCTTCTCCTTGCGTTCGCGGAAGGCTCGCTGGGCAGCCCGGTTTTGAGCCTTGCGCTTCTGCTCAATATGTCAGTTCACGACTCTAGTTTCAGCCAAACTTTCGCATGAACCAAGAGTGGCATACCGTAGTAGGCTCTGAAGTCAGTGGCTTCCTGCCAGGCTTCTTGGCCTCGCTTTCCCTACGCTTCTTTCCGCTCTCCTCTCCGTCAATTTCCGACTTTCCATCAAGGGACTTTCGTTTGGCGCCGGTATCATATTCATAATCCACCGACCCCGGTAGGTCACCGATCAAGTCAGCGGAACCGGGGAAATCGAAGTCAACCTCGGTGGGAAAATCCAAGAAGGGGCTTTCGTCATCCCCAAACCCGAAATTGTTGGCATGGGAATTGTCAAACCCACCCGACGGAGGGCCGCTGAGGCCGTTTGAGGAGATTTCGTCGGGGCTCTGAGAAGGCTTGACTTGCGGAGATCCACTTTGAAGCTTCCGGCTGGGGTTGTTGGAAGAAAGAGCAGCGAGCAGGAGATCTTGTTGGTTGGGAGAAAGGTAAAGGCCTTGCTGGTATCGTTGATCGTAATCACCCATTGTGGCGAGTTACCTCCAATGTAAAGAAGGGCTGCTGAGGGAGAGAAAAGTGATAATGGAAATTGAATGGATTTTAGTATAAGTCCCGCCGGGCTCCCGCCCGTAACAGATTCGATGGATACCGTAAAACGAGGAGGATTGCAAGATGATTCCTCACAAGAAAGCTTCACAGCTTCGACTTTGTGAGTACACAAATATCGGATTGGTAAATCAGATATTAGTCGCAAGTAAAAGCCGATAGTAGACTTCCAAAAATTTGGAGGGGCGATATGGGGCGATATGGGGGGAGTGTCGGATAGTATGGAGGGGAAAGAGGAAGAAGAGTTTCTAGTTTCGAAGGGGCCTGAGGCGAAAACGAATTCCCCGCTAGTCAATTTGCGGCGGAGATGTGGCTCAGGCCAATACGAGGCTGATATGGTAACTGAAAGCAAATCAAATATAATTCTAAATTGCAGAATCCCTGAGAAATGATGAAAGACGAGTATGAGTGGACTGGATGACTGGAGGGGGGGAAAGGAATGGGCGATAGGATAGGCGGTCAATGATGTATGGGATATGATTGGCTGTCTGGATCTTTGCTTTGAAATCAATTTTCTTTTTTTTTTTTTTTTTTTTCCACTTCGAGCATCTTCTCTCGAAAGCCCTAAATATCGTCCTTTAGGACTGTAGCCGGAATTCCGACCTACATACCCCGTACTTCGGACATTCTGTCTGACTCATATATCTAATTTTGGATGGTATATAACATTAGAAGAAGTCTGGAATTGTCTCCGAGTCCCGGGGTCTGGGTCTCCAAACCCCGACTGAAGTATCAGGCCACTGGAGGACTTTGCCACTTCCCTACGAAAAGGAATCTATTGGACATCTTGGACGGAGTAGAGTACATAGCTCTAAAAGCACGGGGCACGGAGTAAAGGCAGTGCCGACCTTAACGTGCACAAGGGTGCATATGTACCTAGGTATCCCCATATCGATCAGCGAAAAGTGGATTATCGGATTGCTTATCACAACCTTGTTTGAGGTACTCGGGATGTATGCGATCCGATCCGATCGAGCTATGGCCTATTCACCTAAGAGACTAGATTTACACTATCTGAATACATCCCACCAGTTTAGCCAGAAAACCAGCTTCATTCACCCTGTCAAGTCAATCGGGCACATTTATTCCGCACTAGGTATGTTGGTTTACTCGATTGTGGCGTACCTCCAGCAAGGCGGTCCAAAAGGCGGTCCAAAAGGCGGAAGAGTGGATGCACGTGATCGGGGCGAATTTGCCATCAGATGCCTAAGTCTCCGCAATTCACCTGGTCATTCACTTCCAAGCTTCACTTCCAAGCTTCATCGATACGTATCAAACTGCTGAAAGTGCTACTCTCACTCTTTAACTTGCACATCTGAATCAAAATTCACCATGGCTGATCTCTCTGCTTTGGAGACAGACTTGTCGGAATGCAATTCTCAGGTTAGTTGCAAATTACCCCAAAAAGGTCACGCGCCATGACTACTAACTCAGAACTAATAGGTTGAAACCGTCTTGCTGGGTTTGGAGGTAGACCCTGACAATGTGGAACTAAACAGCCTGAAAGCCGAGCTAGAAGAATACATGGCCGCTCTCAAAACTCAAATCACCGAACTCAAGTCAATTGCGCCCAAGCCAACTCCCAAGGGTGCCCGATCCAAGGATAATGCTTTCAAGCCCACTGAGCACCCAGAGGAAGCATCTGCTGGAGCTCCTACTCCCGAACTGTTCTCGGTGAACGACAACGTTCTTGCGCGCTGGGTCTCTGGCGACAAGGCTTTTTACCCAGCCAAAATTAACTCGATCACTGGCTCATCCACCAACCCAGTGTACCTGGTCACATTCAAGTCATATGCAACTGTGGAAACTTTGACAGCCAAGGATATCCGACCCATCTCTGGCACTGATTCGCGAAAGCGCAAGGCTGATGGAACACCAGGCAGTTCGGCATTTCCCTCGCCCGCTCCCCCTCACCCCAGTGTGATCTCCGCCGCAGCAGATATCAACCCCGCATTGGCTACCCAGGCTCGTAACGAACCCCACAAGGACGGTGATGGACCAGCTCGTCCTGCCAAGGTGTCCCGTAAGTTCAAGGCGGACAAGGAGCTGGAAGAAGGAAAGAATAAATGGAAAGATTTTGCTGCAAAGACCAAGGGCAAGGGCAAGCGTGCATTCGGCAAAAAGGAGAGCATGTTCCGCACGGGTGAAGGCGTCAACGCACGAGGTATGGATTCTTTATCATTGATTCATCTTGACTTCGTCGATACTAATTGATCTCATCTCTTAGTGGGTTTTACAGGTTCTGGACAAACCATGCGCAAGGATCCGACTCGTACCCGCCACGTTTACCAAAAGACCGACGATGACGGCTATTAGGTTGCATAGCTTATGTTGCCAGCTCTGCCTTGTGATGATACCCCTGGCTTTGCCAATTTTTCACATGTGACATCTCATGATCTCTCTTTCTCTCTTTCTGGGCTCTACTCATTGTTCTCATCGCTAACTGAATCACTGGCGATGCAGACGCAGTCATACTTGTCTCTGCTGTTCCGAGACTCGGAGTTCCTGTTCATAGAATGCGGCTCAGCTTGGAGTCAGTCATTTCTATGTATTATTTTCTGAATGAAATCATGATCTAAAAGGAAAATTACTAGGGCTATCGAGACTTGTAGATGTGAAGAATGCCTTTATATCTCTCAAGAATACCCTAAAACCCAGGTAAACCAGATCTATGAGTGTTGGAGATGCCGAGATGATTCGAGCCACGAGCCGAACTGTGCCTGACGTTAAGCGCCAATCGTGTGGGGGAACGGAGCCGGAAGCGAAAGCCTCTCTCATTCTATCTTGCATCTATAGCTTTGCTATTATTGGTATTCTTAGTGTCCCTACATACCACTACGTTGGCCGTTGTAATTCTAATAATCCAATGACTAGTGCTTTAGTTCAAACAATCATCGAGTTCACCTAACCCTTTCTCTCTATAGGCTATCGCCGATGAATTCTCTGGTATAACTTGAACCGTCTTTTGGGCTCACATCTCCTTTATAGTTATAGTTATCTAGCCTATTTAAACCAGTTTCTTGGATATCTACAGCTATAAGACTCCTTTTTACATAGCTTTTACCCTCCTTAGTACTAGAATTATCTTTACTATCGTGAAAAAATATTGTGGTCCTGAGAAGGATATATATTTTATAAGGACTAGGTAGAGGTAGACTTGATATCGTAAACGAGGTTATTATCGCTAATATCACTACTCTATAAGAGGGGACTATAATATAAATCTGATTACTTTCGCTTCCTATAGGATAACTTAGTGGGGAATATAGTCGCTTGCAAGAACCATCTTATGTTTTCTTCACCTTTTCAGAGGGGACTGTTAGGGTTTTCTCGTCATCCATGCATATGTTGTGTCGCAAAATCCCATTTAGCCAAGTAAAATACATGTATTGGCTGAGCTTTACAGAAGAGATGGGTACTGGATTTCGCAAGGGCATTTCCCCGGCGACCAAAACGCGGCTTCAAATCCATATGTTCTCGTAACCAGATACTATCATATACAATTCCAATTGTCAAAATAGCCAAGAAATCGAGAGAACTGAACTGAAGTCAAGAGCCATTTTTTCTTTTTTTTTTTGTCCCTGGAAGATTCCCGCAAAGTTCCCCCTGCAATTCATCTGGTCTCCAGGTGGGCCTCAATTTATTCTTCAGAAAAAACATGCCCATATTTTGATAAAGCCTCCTGGAATGAAACAGGTTTCCGTCCTGTGAGCAACTCGACAGCGTTGCTAGTGTTGGTCATATAGCCTCGTGCTAGCATCTCGCCACAGCTCAAAAGATCATCCACACAGAGCTTCATGGGAAGCAATGATGGCTCCGTAACAGAAATAGGAAGCCCACGGCTGATCCACCAATTCCGTAACTCGTCGTCCGGCATATCGACTAGCTGTCCCTTTGCCCCCAATGTGTTGCAGATCCAGTCGAATACCTCCCTATCTGTCACAGCCCTCGGGCCCGTCACAGTATACACGGTGTTAGGCTCACCACGACCCAGGAGGAGAGCAGCAAGTACTCTGCCACAATCTTCACGAGAAACGTAGGCACCACGGCCACCGTGTGAGTTTGAAAGCCACCGACCCCCGCAGAAGCTCCAAGAGGAAGAGAAAAAGTCGGGAATGTTGTCTATGTAGAGATAATTGCGTTGAATATTATATTCCAGCCCAGAAGCAATGATCAGAGCCTCGGTTTGTTTGTGGTCTCGCGGAAGGAAAGGCATGTCGCTTATATGAGCGGGATCATCAGCGCCTACAAAGGACGTATAGCAGATTCGTCGAACGCCGCATGACCTGGCAGCGTTGATCACGTTTCGGGCTTGCTCATGACGACGGCCAAAGGCCCAGGTCGATATCATATTCACGGCTTCTGCGCCTGCAAAAACCTGCTCAAGGCTGCTCATATCGTCGTATGTCACTTGCGCCACCTCAACCCCTCTGGCTCTCCATGATTCAAGCACATGGCAGGGGAGCTTTTTGAGATCGGAAGTAGTGAAGACTAAAGTGCTGTCTGGTGAGGCAACTTCCAGTGCGTATGATGCTGCAACCCTACCAAGATTTCCCCCGACACCGGTCAGGACATACTTAGACATGTTTTTTTAAAAAGACCCCCTGAAGAAGAAGATGAGAGAGAGAGTAAAGGCACGCTGGCTTTAGCTATCAGGCTAGTTGACTAGGTAAGATATAAGATCTGAGCGAGGAATACACTGTACTGTCTGAAGTATACGAACATTAAGTCTTCAAGGGTATTTGTAGGGGATCGGAGACTATACCCAGACTTCATGTTCAATTGTCGTACCACTATTGACACTGCGCAGTAGTGTAACAGTTGTGAGAGGGTACTCCGTACTCTTAATCCAGTCATCATCAATAGATCCATTAAAGTTCGATCAACCTATTGCAGTGAAACTGGTAGGGAATATAGAACATGTAAAACCACCTACTCTGGTATTTCGATACCTAAATCTATAACTATAGATATTAGTCAACTTGAGCTGTACCTAACCTGTTTAGAAGGTGCTGTCATGTACGTGGACGACTCCGTACTCCGTACGGAGTAGACCCTTGACAATTTGCGACCCTTGAGGGATTTAGCAAAATGTGGCTAGGGAGGCTGGGGGTATAAGCTGTACGATTGAAGAGTTAGATGGGAAGAAGATGAATTGGCAAAATAGAGCGATGGTCCAAAGGAGGAAAAAAAACCAATGGAAAGCAAAATCACCAAAAGTTGGTCCCTTGGAAGGTTGGCTATTCCCCTGATGCTCGGAAAAGAATGTTCCGGATAATCTGAAGGTACTCCGCCTTCACGTCACTCCCTTCCAAGCTTGCTTTGCTCTCTTCCTAATCAGACAATAGCCATTTGGTATCGATTTTAATCCCATCTTCTCGAAATATATCTGATTGTCCCTTAAATTCGCATCTCCTTATCCTTCTGAGCCTTTTAACCTTCCACAGACCGACAAGTGCATGGCCAACCTCCATTACTGAAAGTGTCGCTCTCCCATACATATATCAATTGGACATTGGTATAAATGGTCCTTTCTCTCGGCACACCTACCCTTTTCGCAGGATGCGGTTCCTCAAGACCATCGCTGTGATTGTTGGGCTGGGCTCTTTGACGCCTACTTTGGTCGATGCGCAGGGTGAAACCAAAATCCACGAAGAGGGCCGTTGTGCTATCCGTGGTCATTGTGGGAAGCAATCTATCTTCGGTGGAGAATTGCCCTGTCCTGATAATGACTTGGCACAACAACCAGAAGACGCAGTGCGCCAGAAACTAGTAAATCTGTGTGGCAGTAAATGGAGCGAAGGCCCAGTCTGCTGTAGAGAAGAACAGGTGAGAGATACCTTTGGTTCCAACAATGTTGCCAGGGCTGATTTTAGTATCATATCATGCTGATAAACCATAGATTGATGCGCTTTCAAGTAACCTCAAGCTAGCCGAGGGAATTATCGCCTCCTGCCCCGCCTGCCGAGACAATTTCTTCAATACATTCTGCACCTTTACATGCTCTCCCGACCAGTCGCTTTTTATCAATATCACCAAAACTGAGGAGCACAGCTCTGGCAAAAGACTTGTGACCGAGCTGGATAATGTTTGGTCCGAAGAATACCAGAGCGGCTTCTTCGATAGTTGCAAGAATGTAAAGAATGGTGCCTCGGGTGGAAAAGCCATGGACTTCATTGGCGGTGGCGCTCAGGACTATACCCATTTCATGAAGTTTCTAGGTGATAAGAAGTTTCTTGGAAGCCCCTTTCAGATTAATTATCACACAGAGCCCAGTGGATCTGACCCGCAGGGAATGAAGGCGCTTTCAATCAAGCCAAAGGCCTGCAATGACGAAGACAAATCATTCCGATGCTCTTGTGTCGACTGCCCGGAAGTGTGTCCGGAGTTGCCCGCCATCTCTCCTCACAAGATATGTCATGTAGGACTTCTACCGTGTCTGTCCTTTGCCGTTATCCTCGTTTATTCCATCTTTCTGCTGTTTGTTATGGCTCTCGCGAGCTACGTCACATACAAAGAACGTCGGTTCCGCAAGCCAGAGCGGGTGCGCTTATTGCAAGATCCCACGCCCAGCGATGACGAAGACGAAGGGGAAATCATGCACCGTGGAGGATACATGGAACGGCCACAGGGAGTGTATAAACTCAATTCTGTGCTGTCAGCCTTGTTTCATCGCATCGGTGGTACTTGTGCGCGGTTCCCAGCAATCACAATATCTTCCAGCATCATCGGGGTGGCGCTACTGAGCCTAGGGTGGTTGAGCTTTACAGTTGAAACGGATCCGGTACGACTCTGGGTGAGCCCGTCATCTGCAGCCGCGCAGGAGAAGGATTTCTTTGATCGGAATTTTGGTCCATTCTACCGAGCCGAGCAGGTATTTTTAGTAAATGACCGCCCAGAGAACGACTCACGTCCCCTCTTGGACTATGAAACCCTCACTTGGTGGTTTGATGTTGAGTCTCGTGTCCAACGCGTGATCTCGTTGGACCAGGGTCTCAACCTCGATGACGTTTGTTTCAAGCCGACTGGAGAAGCCTGTGTCGTGCAATCGGTTACTGGGTATTTTGGCAGCTCAGTCTCAAATCTTGATCCAGATACATGGGAAGACCGGCTCAGCCACTGTACAGAGTCGCCTGGAGACCCTAGCTGCCTTCCTGGTTTCTCGCAGCCCCTGAGGCCCGAAATGATTCTTGGTGGATATGAAGAGACAGGGAATGTGATGGATGCCAAGGCACTCATTGTGACGTGGGTGGTGAATAATTACGCACAGGGTACAGAAGAAGAAGCAAAAGCCATCGATTGGGAAAACACTTTCCAGGCCGTTCTCGGGGTAGTCCAAGAAGAAGCTGCCGAGCGAGGCCTTCGCGTGTCTTTCAATTCCGAGGTCAGTTTGGAACAGGAACTAAACAAGTCTACCAACACCGATGCGAAGATTGTTGTTATCAGCTATCTGATCATGTTTTTCTATGCCTCGATGGCCCTGGGCTCGGTCACAGTTACCTGGAGGTCTCTGCTGACCAACCCTTCCAATGCTCTTGTGCAATCTAAATTTACGCTGGGGATTGTCGGAATCGTCATTGTTTTGATGTCTGTCTCCGCATCAGTCGGCCTGTTCTCGGCAGCAGGCGTCAAGGTAACCTTGATCATTGCTGAAGTTATTCCATTCTTGGTCCTGGCAGTGGGAGTAGACAACATTTTCTTGATCGTCCACGAATTCGAGCGAGTCAACATCAGCCATCCTGACGAAGAGATCGACGAGCGAGTTGCCCGGGCAGTCAGTCGAATTGGACCTAGCATCTTCCTGTCTGCTTTGACGGAAACAGTGGCCTTTGCCCTGGGTGTCTTTGTCGGCATGCCTGCTGTCAAGAATTTTGCCGCTTATGCCGCCGGTGCAGTCTTCATCAACGCGATTCTGCAAATTACCATGTTCATCTCCGTCTTGGCTCTGAACCAGAGACGCGTCCAGAGTCTCCGTGCAGATTGTGTCCCTTGTCTAACCGTCCGGAAAGCAAACTCGTTCGGCTTTCCTGAGGAAAATTACGACGGACAGGAGGTAGAGAGTACTTTGCAAGCCTTCATCCGTAGGGTCTACGCGCCTTTCCTCCTAGATCGGCGGGTGAAAGCAGGTGTTGTTATATTTTTCTTGGGTCTTTTCACTGCTGGTCTGGCCTTCATCCCAGAGGTTCCTCTCGGGTTAGATCAACGAATTGCGCTTCCTAGCGACTCATACCTGATTTCATATTTCAATGACTTGGATTCATACTTTGGGGCGGGGCCTCCGGTCTACTTTGTGACCCGGAATGTGAATGTTACCGAGCGAAGCCACCAGCAGCAGCTCTGTGGAAGGTTCACCACTTGCGATGAATATTCACTGCCCTTCATCCTCGAGCAAGAGTCTAAGCGCCCGGATGTGTCTTATCTTGCAGGCTCTGCCGCCAGCTGGATTGATGATTTCTTCTATTGGTTGAACCCCCAGCAGGACTGTTGTAAAGAAAATGGCAAACTTTGTTTCGAGGATCGTGTTCCTGCCTGGAATATCTCTCTTTCGGGGATGCCGCAAGGATCTGAATTTGTGCATTATGCCAAAAAATGGGATCGATGCTCCCACTGATGCCTCTTGTCCCCTTGGTGGCAAAGCACCCTACAGCAATGCCTTGGTCATTGACGACAAATATAAAACGATCAATGCCAGCCATTTCCGTACTAGTCACACCCCTCTTCGGGGCCAGGATGAATTCATCGAGGCATATATTGCAGCTCGTCGGATTGCAGATGGCATCTCACAGGAGCACAATATTGATGTCTTCCCATATTCCAAGTTTTACATCTTCTTCGATCAATATGTCTCTATTGTGCGACTTACTGGTACCCTTCTTGGGTCGGCTGTGGCTATCATCTTCGTCTTGACCTCTGTGATACTGGGGTCTATAGCCACGGGCGCCGTCGTCACCGCCACTGTGGTTATGATAGTGGTTGATATCATTGGCACCATGGCGATCGTTGGCGTTTCCTTGAATGCCATCTCTCTTGTCAATCTGGTCATTTGTGTGGGCATCGGTGTTGAGTTCTGTGCTCACATTGCCCGAGCCTTCATGTTCCCCGCTCGACCTATTATGGAGAAGGTGCCCGCCGAGTTCCGTGGTAAGGATGCTCGAGCATGGGCGGCCTTGATCAATGTTGGTGGAAGTGTCTTTAGTGGCATCACCGTGACAAAGCTGTTAGGAGTTTGTGTTCTGGCGTTTACTCGAAGTAAGATCTTCGAGATCTACTATTTCCGGGTGTGGTTGGCCCTGGTAGTTTTTGCTGCTACGCATGCTCTCATATTCTTACCAGTAGCCCTCAGCTACTTTGGCGGTGGTGGTATGTGCAGACTGGCCCTCAAATGATATGAATTCCACTGACGGATTTAGGTTACTTTGACCCTGCGTCTGACGGTGGACTAGAGGCCAATCTCGCTTCACGTGGCTACCGCTCGTCGCTCATCCATGAAGATTATGATTCTGATGAATATTAAGTCCTCGGTTGTTTGTGGCTTTGGTGTTGTGGGTCTGGAAACGACCGGATGGCTGGTGGTCCATAACACAGCACATGCCAACCTGATTTGTTTACTGAAGCACAATTTGTTATCGAACAAGATGGAAGTAACAGGAGTTTTTCGGGGGGAATTGGTTTCTTTTTTTCTTTCTCAATTTATCTTCTAGTTTTTATGTTCAATGTGGGAGATTTTTATACTCTTGGTGTTGTAGTTTACTTATAACTATGTTATGGATATCCCTGCAATCTTTGAGAATAATGAACAGTACAAATGACCTCTTCTAGTCATGACTATCATAATAATCACAGCCGTGATAGCTGATAGTCTTAATATAAATTCCCCTATAAATGAAGTCATAAAGAAAAAAAATCTCTGCCCAAATTCCCGCGTGTTGACAATCCAGGCGCTAAACTCAATTAGGTACCAGCCCACCTCCCCTAAATTTTTTTTTTCTTCTCCTCTTCTCTTCTTCTTCTCCTCCATCACTCTCTTTTTTTTTCTTCATCCTTTTTTTTCTTGTCAATATTGCTTTGTGATACCCCATTTGAGTTGTTTGTCTGAGACAGACTGCTCAATCTTTGTTCGTGTGGCCTGAGTCTCTCAGAGACAGGGCAACTGAAACTATCACTTGAAAATATTTCACATTCTCCATTCAATCATGGATCAACAACGATTCCTGCAGCAGTTGCAGATTATCCTAGACCGTGAGTCTGCCTTGCATAGTTGAAGTCGATGTTCATCTCGCTGACCCATTCATTCAGCCTCCCAGGGAAACCTTAAGGAGGCTACCGGAGTCTTGCAAAAGGAATTCTACAACAAGCCCGAATCCCTTGTGTTCCTTGTCCAGATTTGCACTAGCCATGATGACCAAAATCTACGCCAGCTCTCTTCTGTGGAGGCCCGTTCGCTCGTTTCCAAGCACTGGTTGAAGGTTCCCGCCAACCAGAAGCCCCAAATCCGAGAACAGCTACTTCGCTCCACTATGGGTGAGAGTTCATCTCTCGTCCAGCACTCCATCGCTCAGATTATCTCCGCTATTGCAAAGATTGATTTGAACGATGGTGAGTGGGCTGACCTGCCCAACCTGCTGCTGCAGGCTGGCAACAGTGGAAACGCCGCTGAGCGTGCTGTGGCCATCTACATCCTCTTCACCATCTTGGACACTCTCGGTGAAGGGTTTGAGGAGAAGTTCCAGGACCTCTTCAACCTCTTCAACAAAACTATCCGGGATCCCGAGAGTGCTGAAGTCCGCATCAATACCCTTATGTCTCTGAGCAAGCTTGCTATGCACCTTGACTCGGAGGAGGATGAGGCTCCTGTCAAGGCTTTCCAGGAGCTGGTTCCTGCTATGGTGGCCATCCTCAAGGATTCCATTGAGAAGCAAGAGGAGGACCACATCATGCAGTCTTTCGAAGTTTTCCAGACTCTGCTTGGTTGTGACCCTGCTTTGCTGACCGTTCACCTCAAGGACCTGGTCATCTTGATGAACCAGATCGCTGCCAACACTGAGGTTGATGAGGATGTTCGCACCCAGGCCATCAGCTTCCTGATGCAAACCATCCAGTACCGCAAGCTCAAGGTTCAGGGCATGCGAATTGGCGAGGAGCTCACCCGTACTGCTCTCCAGATTGTGACCGAGTTGGGCGATGCCTCTCCTGGTGATGATGATATCACCCCTGCTCGTTCCGCTCTCGGTCTCCTGGACATGCTCTCCCAGAGCCTGCCTCCTAGCCAGGTCGTTGTCCCCTTGCTCAACGCACTGGGACAGTACTTCAACAACGCCGACCCCGACTACCGTCGTGCTGGTATCATGGCCCTTGGCATGTGTGTTGAGGGTGCCCCCGACTTCATCAGCACTCAGATGAAGGAGATCTTCCCCATGGTCCTTCAGCTTCTTGCTGATCAGGATCCCAAGGTGCGTCAGGCCTCGTTGCACACTGTCGCTCGTCTCGCCGAGGATCTCGTTGAGGACCTCAGCACCCAGCACGCGCGCCTCATGCCTTTGCTCTTCCAGAACTTAGCCAGCGCTATGCAAGAGTACAAGGGCGAGGAGGAGGGCCCTACACTCGATATCATCAAGGCCGGCATTAGTGCCATTGATGCTGTCGTGGATGGTCTTGATGAGAACGCTGTTTCTCCTTACCAGGCTGAACTTGTTCCCATTCTGCACAACCTATTCAAGCACCCCGATTTCAAGATCAAGGCCCTTGCTGCCGGTGCTCTCGGCTCCCTCGCCTCCTCTGCCGGAGATTCGTTCCTCTCATTCTTCGATGAGTCGATGCATCTCCTCCAGGAATTCGCTACTGTCAAAGACAGCGAGGACGAACTTGACCTCCGCGCCAGTGTCACCGACTCTATGGGCGAGATGGCCGCCGCCGCTGGTCCCGAGCGTTACCAGCCGTATGTCGAGCCCCTCATGCGTGCCACCGAGGAAGCTTTGCACCTCGGTCACTCCCGTCTCAAGGAGAGCACTTACATCTTCTGGGGCGCCATGGCCAAGGTCTATGGCGAGCACTTCGCTCCCTTCCTTCAGGGTGTCGTGAAGGGTCTGTACGATTGCATCGAGCAGGACGAGAGCGATCTTGATGTTGATCTTGGTAGTGCTGCTAAGGACCTTGTTGGCCAGGAGGTTACCTTCAACGGCCGCAAGGTCAAGGTCGCCAGCGCCGAAGACGAGGAGGATGATGGTGATATCGAGGATGTCGATCTCGAAGATGAGGACGACTGGGATGACATTACTGCAACTACTCCTCTCTCCCTCGAGAAGGAGATCGCTGTTGAGGTCATCGGTGACCTCGTCACGCACACCCGCAGCGCCTTCTTGCCCTACTTTGAGAAGACCATTGAGTATGTGATGCCCTTGTGCGAACACCCGTACGAGGGTGTTCGCAAGAGCACCATCAGCACCCTTCACCGCTCATACGCTATGCTGTTTTCTATTGCTGAGGAGAACGGCCAGATGCCCAAGTGGCAGCCTGGCCTCCCCCTTCAGGTTCAGCCTGCGAAGGAGGTCCAGAAGTTCGGTGAGATCCTCATGACTGCTACCGTCAAGATGTGGACCGAAGAAGATGACCGGTATGTTTCAACTGTCTCTTTTTTTCTATTCTTCACCTGCCCAACCCATTTCTATGATGATGTTTTCCGCTTAACCCAGCTCACTTTGATGCGCCAAAGGCGTACTTGATGTAAACGGCGAAGTCTACACTCTGAGATTTACCTCCATAGCCTCATTATTTATCAAACGTCAACTCGAGGACTTGATTGCTGACCGATATTTAATAGTTCTACTGTCGCCGACATCAATCGCAACATGGCGGAGAACTTGCGCTTCTGCGGTCCTGCCCTCATTGCCAATGAGACCATGCTTCACAACGTGATCCAAATGGTCACTGACATCATCACCAAGCAACACATCTGCCAGGTGGAGTTCGGTCCCGAGGAGGAAACTCTTGAGGCCGGTGAGGAATCTTCCGAATTCGACTGGATTGTTGTTGACACTGCTCTGGATGTTGTCTCTGGCATGGCCGCCGCTTTGGGCCAGAGCTTCGCTGAGCTCTGGAAAGTGTTCGAGAAGACCATTCTCCGCTACGCTGGTAGCACTGAGTCTCTTGAGCGTGCCACTGCTGTTGGTGTCCTCGCGGAGTGCATCAACGGCATGGGTGCCGCCGTCACCCCCTTCACACCTGTCTTCATGAAGCTACTTCTTCACCGCCTCGCCGATGAGGACTCCCAGACAAAGTCCAACGCAGCATACGCCGTCGGCCGCTTGATTCAACACTCTAACGCTGAAGCTGAGATCATCAAGGAGATCCCCACCATTCTTGCCCGTCTTGAGGCTTGTCTTCAGATGGACGTCTCGCGTCTCCAGGATAACGCTACCGGATGTGTGAGCCGCATGATCCTTCGTTACCGCGATAGTGTCCCCACCAAGGACGTGCTTCCCGCCCTCGTCAACATTCTTCCCCTGAAGAATGACTTCGAAGAGAACGAGCCTCTGTACCGCATGATCTGCCAGATGTACAAGTGGGAGGATGCCACCATCCGCGAACTCACCCCTAGCCTCCTTCCAGTCTTCCAGTCGGTTCTCACCGGCGATGAGGATCAGTTGGACGATGAGCGTCGGGCCGAGCTCGTTGAGCTCGTTAAGTGGCTGAACCAGATGCAGCCCGGTGCCGCTCCCTGGGTGGAGCAGCTGTAAGCCGACTGCTCTTTTATGGATTGATGAACGAAAAAAAGGATTTATTTAATGGATAGACGGATGGCTTGGAAGCCCAAGATGACTAGACGATACCCCAGTCACTGCGGCGATGATTGATGAAACTCTTCAAAAGTTGCTGTTGTATATACTGTCAATGACTACATGCTTTGATCTCAACTGTGAAACAGCCTATTTTCATTCGTAGTACGTAATTTGTTAGAAGGAAATGGTCAAGGGGGCAGATTGTATAGCAACCTCTTCTCATCACTGCCTCCTGCAGTGCAGTCCGTCCTACCATCTCCAACCGTTGTCATCATACTGCACATCCACAATGGTGATAGGAAGAACTGTTGGGTTCAATTAGGATGCTAATTGCTGCCTCAAGATGCCTGATTTTGATACCCCTTTCAACGCTCCACGCAGTGTACTCCGTACTGCAAATAACATTATCATTGGAGCTATTCCACGAACAAAAATCCTTATAATCATCAAATCGCAGACTGGTGAAATACCTTTCACGCCTAGAACCCGGTAGAAAGGGAGAATCATACGTCAGGAATTGGTTCAAAGCCGTAAAGCACCCCAAAGTATGGCGCACTATCGTTTTACCCCATATAAGAAAGCTTTATTTTACCTACTTGAGAAGAGTTCCAATTTTGTCCCCAAGATCTTTTGACCTAGTTAAAGACAAACTACTCTTATGTCATCCATCAGAAGCGCCCAGATGAGGTCCCTAGCGGCCGCGGGGCTGTTGATCTTGCCTGCCCACAGAACACAGCTATGAACCAAGACAACGCTCCAGAAGCAGGCCATATTATCGCCGAAGATGATACCTAGCCAAGCAACGATGCAAGGAAACGTACTCAAGCTCTGAATGAAGCCAGGGTTCAGACAAGGGACGAAGCTGCACCGTCGACTAAACCCCTTCCTGAACACAAAGCTACACCTACGACTAAGGCGCTTTCTAAAGACAAAGCTGCATTGAAAGCCGAACTTTTGCACCGACTCTTGAATCACGACAAAATCAAAGCTGATGAGGCAGAAGCTAGGTCCAAGGTTACAGATGATGAAGGAGAGATACTCTATACCTTTCATCGCCACAAGATTGTTCGAATCAGCGAAGATCTTGTGGTGAAAAAGGCCGACGATATTCCAGTCCATGAAGCTCCAACCCTTCGGTTTATCGCTGAGAATACTACAATCCCAGTGCCAAAGGTTCATGATGTTCGGTGGGAGGAAGATAAAGTGGTTGGCATTGTTATGGACTATATACCTGGCAAGTCACTAGACGACGTTTGGAATACCTTGAGTCCTAGCCAGAAACAATCAATTTCCGAGCAACTCCGTGGCTATATCACCCAACTTCGAAATCTCAAAGGCAATTATATCGGTGCTATTGATCGCGGTACTGTCTCGATGGGCAAGTGGGGGCCTATCTATGGAGGGCCCTTTGACTCTGAACACGAATTCAATCAGTGGATTCTAAATGACCTCAGTTCAGGACTGTCGGCCCCTCTCAGATACTATGCAGAACATGCACTGACGGATGGTCATGAAATTGTCTTCACCCATTCTGATTTCTCCTCTCGAAATATACTTGTGGATGAAAACAATGATTACCGGGTTACTGCTATCCTAGATTGGGAGTTTGCTGGCTGGTATCCAGAGTGGTGGGAATACTTGAGAGCCTACAAGAACTTCCACCGAGGCAAGGATTGGGGTGATTGTCTGTGCTATATTCTACCCCCTCAATATGATCGAGAGTTCATTGCTATGTGTTATGTATCTGAATACTGCAGCAGCTAGAAGATCCACGTGTGAACTCATTCCATAGTACACACCAAGATCTCTGTCTAGTTCCTAGATTATTATGTTTCTTCAAAAAAAAAAGAAGTCTTGGATGAGAGACCTGATATTTGTGCCATAGACAGTGCGCCATTCCTAAGATTTACTATCCATCAATCTACCTCTTAGAATCAAAGCTTTATGATAGAAGTGTATTCACTCGAGTATACCCAGGTGTGTCAATCCGTAGTCAAACCCTGGTACCTCCATACAGACCCCAATAACACATCACTCAAGGATGGATTCTCTAGCTTGATTTTTCCTCAAATTCTTGGAAGGGAAGATACGTTCTCGATCACGAGTAACCCTACCAGCCCGCAGTTCCTCTAGCCAGAACTCCGCGACTTCCTCAGCCCGGGCCATGAGTATACAAGCCACTTGCACAATATCATCCGTGGCTGTCGGATAATCCACTACCGGGAATGAGATGCACTCGTGCCTAACGTACTGCTGAGACTCTGGATAGATGACAGCACGGTAACTCTGCATTTCGAGAATCGCAAACTCTAAGAGCATTTCATTAGTATATAGGGGATCCATGCTAAAGGGGAGTTCCACCATTATCCAGGAAATGCCTTTGCCTTTAGGGTCCTCTGCAAACTGATCGCCTGTTTGCCCTATCCTATAGAGAGACTGCGTGAGAGGTCTCGCAGAGTTCACGCCAAATAGCCGTCCCTTTCGTTCTGTCATGTTGTCTTTAAAGATTGTAAGATCACGGACTTAGATCAGACTTAACGAGGCCGAGGCATTTTTACAAGAGGTTCGAAAACAGAAGTATTGACAAAGTCTTTGATTATAAGGTCCTTTATAGCCCCATACTAAAGCTTTTGAGAGTAGCCCTAACAAAAAATGAATTCACTCCTTTTAACTCATAAGATAGCAAGCTGTTAGCTGAAATTGCCATATTTTCAATGAATTTGATGTCCAGGTCCATAATAAGATAGATGTAGGTATGTTAGAATATATATAATGTATGAAGCTATACTCCGTAGTAATTGATGTGCCTGGGACTTGGGGTGGTATCCGACCAGTCATAATATCTGGCTGCCTGCTGAGGCCTTAACTTCCTCCCTCTCTTTTTCCCCAACTCCCACTATTTCAGCCCTATACCCTTGAATCTTTGCTTGAAGGTATCTTCTTGAATGTTCTCACTTTTTTTTTTTTTTTCCAAAGTTGACGAGATTTAATAGAAAGCTTCTACCCTCCGCCATGGCCGTTCACTCTCTTTCAACCCCTTTCAACTTTACGCTTCCTTCCAGCTCCGGTAGCTCCATTAAAAAGCCCATCAAATCAGTCTCCAAACCCTGCTTTGGTTGTGATTGCGGCGACGAAGAGTGCGATTGCTGCATATGCACTGTGATGTGAGCTGGACTACCATCTCAACCTCGATATGCTTTTTTTTCTGGTTGGAAATTGCGGTGGTCTGACAGTATGTGGATGGCGAAACAAGGAAATCATATATGTGCAGATCATGGAGGGGATTGGGGGATTGGATTTTTATTTCCCTTTCCGATGTGCCGTCCTCATTGCGATACCCCACCAATCTATCATCGTTCAACTCTGTACATGTCATGTAGATGTAAAGTCACAGTCAAATTCTCCAAAGGTACGCAATACTCCGTATCCACGCCGTACCCGTAAATCTCCAGGGGATATGAACTGATGACATCATGATATATTTGCCTGAGGTTTGAGGCATTAATCTGAGTCAGCGGCTATACTGTCAGCGGCTTTCGGGGCCAGCCATTTCCTCCCGGACAATCCTTTAAGCTTAATTCTTTCCTTTGGCACGATGTATTCTGCATCGAATGCTCCAGACGATCAGCCAAGAACACGGACTTCTCGTGCCTGTGATTCCTGTTACAAAAGAAAGGTAGGTGGATCGTAATTCAAGTCTTCATCCCCGCTAAACTGGTCCCAGATTAAATGTGATGCGGCGCTTCCGCAGTGTAATTGGTGTAGCCACCATAATATTCCCTGCACATTCGACAGAGTAGTCCAGAGGAAAAGGAAAAATGCTGATGATGATGCGTGAGTCCGTACCTCGGGCGTGTTCTTCTATGGGTCTGACGTTAGATTCAAGACGCCCCAAAGTTTCACGACTATCGGAGCGAATTAGTCGTATTGAGCAACTTCTGGCAGACAATTTCATGGGTGATCAAATCTCCGGTATAGTGTCTCTTTACCATGCAGATCTAGCAGCCCGAAACTAACTGGCAAAAGTCGTGGGAGAGTCTCCTCAATCTCTTGAAGCCAATACGACGTCTGACACAACGGCCAGCAATTCCCCAAGCAACACTCAGCCTCCAGGCTCGTCGTCAGTGCGAGTTCACTTCGCGGGTAAAGAGCTGGGTGTCATCAGTTTACTTACAGGCACGCCGTTCCTCTTTCCTGAGGGGCGAGAATGGATCAGAGCCCGCACTGGACAGGACGTTGCAATTGACAAACTGAGTCCACCGCGCGCACCTTGGGATAAAGAGCGCGGAAAAACCTTTCACACTTTTTTGATGAACATGAACATGCACACTAACAGTCCTTACGAACTTCCCGACTGGAGAACCGCGCAGCTGTACTTTCAGGCATATAAGAGTTCCAAGGTGATGCGGCGCATCTTTCCTGTTATAGACCCGGAACTTTTTGAGGAGACCCTCAACACAGCTTATGGTCAATCGCCATCCATATTCAAATACGGCCAAGCCAGCGCTAGGGTTTGTGTCATTGCATTTCTTACCTTCATCTCTCGCCTCCCAGATGTCAAGGATATTGTCAGCGCGACTACTACGGCCACCCCAATTGACCATGATCTACTTTCCACCAAGGCACAGTTTTTGATGCCTCTGGTATTACAAGAGCCTGCTAGTCTGGACGCCGCGCAGGCTGTCACTATGTTGGTAAGTGAACCACCTTGTTGTCAAATCCCAAGCACTGACCACTGAATACACAGACTCTCTTTGAGCTGTCTTCGGGAAATATGCGAGCGACCAATTACTATGCGGCAATTGCTGCGCGGCTCATTTTCATGCTTGGTGGTAATCTTTTTAGCAGTCAGGCCATCTCGACGGATCAGCTCGGCCAGCAAAGACATTCACAGCTACGGAATCTATTCTGGATTTGCTACACAATTGATAAAGACCTTGCTCTACGCACGGGTCAACCGCCTACTATCACGGACGAAAATTGTGATTTGACACTTCCGCCGGGCTATCTTGATCGAGCATTCTTGGATGTAGAAAATGAGGAGGCCCCGTGGTACGGTCCAGTATTTCCATTCGACTTGCGCCTGAGTATTATCAAAGCCCGAGCGCATCGAGAGCTATATTCGGTCAGCTGTCTCCAAAAGTCAGACGCCGAGCTGCTCAAGTCAATCCGGGAGCTTGATGACGCGCTAGAAGAATGGCGGCTGTCAGTCCCTCCCATATGGCGTCCAACCGTGTCCTTCTCTTCCGAGACGTCCGATCCGAACATGGGTATGCATACTGTCATGCTGCGTCTGAACTATCACCTATGTATGACCATCATCCATCAAGCGAGCGGAAGATGCAAAGCGTGGAGACAAGGACAAAGTGGCATGATGGATGGGGTGAGTTCAAGTATGGCACTTTCAGTAGAGGCCAGTCGATCAAGTCTATGTTACCTCAAGGCAGCAGAACATGTGGTAGTCGACGGGGTGTTCTGGTATGCGTTTCTTGTCATGTTATGGGATTATTCAAGCTAATCCATCCATCTTAGGACTCTTATCTTCTACCCCATGTCCGCGCTGCTCACCATCTTCTGCAGCATTCTTCAGAATCCATTGGACCCACATTCGCGCGAAGACTTGGACCGATTGCGCGTCGCCACGGTTATGATTGAGCGTATCTTCTCACGGAAACTGCCTTCAACTGAGCTTGTGCAATTCAAACTGGTCGGTGATTTCATTGTAGAATTGAAGCGGTTGGCTGAGTGTGCTATTGACAAGGCCTGGGCGGAGCAGCGCGCCGCCTCTCATTGATTTGCACATTGTTTTTTTTTTTTTTTTCAACATTTTTCAAGGGTCGGTACCACTGGCTGCTCTTTAGCGTGAAGAGGTTATCGGAGTTTATTGGCTACGCTACATAGAATTATTCGAGGTATTCAATATCGATAGAAAGAACGTTTGGTCATTTGGATTGCATTCGATGCTGGTTGGAGCAGTGTTCAGTATAATGATATCTCATATATGATGCAGTCTCTAATTTCAACAATTCCCGGTGGAGTTTCACGGAAACCCGACATGTTGCTGGCTTCTAGGGTAATTGCAACGGGATTCCGAGGTAGCCAATCGCCGCTACAACGCTCTGAAGCGAGGGGCCGTTGGCGATAGCAGAGTGTTTCTGACATCGGAGAATGTCCCGGGATATTGGTGTGATCCAGTATCTGCCTTGGGATGATGCGAAGCGCTTGATGGTACAATCGACACATCTGGGTGTCGTAGTCAACATCCAGCCGAGTTTGCGTGCCTATGAGATACTCGGCCGACGGGTGCTTAGTTGGATGATGACGAGCCTATGGCTTGAGACTCTTCCCATCGGACCGTTCAAGGCCGAGGTTGGCATTTGGTCACGGTTGAGCACATAGCCCAGGAAAGGCTCAGCCATTTGATCCGGTGATGAGAATGATGTTGTAATTCAGAAGATCCAGCCTGTTGGTAGATTCAGTTATCTTTGTCCAGTAGATCCCAAATTAACCGAGAGTGCTCATCGGCCTTTTCTTTCAGCGCTTTGGCCTGGTCGGTATCCTCTCCTCGCCCAGTAGCAGCCACACGGCTACCCTCCGCTTGCAACTGCTCTAGTAGGCCCTCAACCTCGGCTTTGACTTTATCCATTTGCTTCATTTCCTCTCGGCTGTGGTTGAGCTGCTCTTCCATCATCATGATGAGTGATTCGCGGGCTTGGTGAGGACGGTATAGGTTGAGAAGATGGTGCGCATTGATGAATAAGTTGCGCAGGTCTTCAACCTTGGATTCAAATTGTTCCGGCGAGACTGACAAGATACCGGTAAATTCTAGGAAATTAAGGAGCAGAGACTTGCTAATCTTGAGAAGGTAGTATGCGTGATTGAGAGGGGGCGAGGGCTGCGAGTCCTGTTCGGTACCAGTTGCTGAGGGTTCTGGGTAGAGCTGTTCGATTCCTTGCTCTTTCAACGATGGCAACGCCGTAGAGAGCTATTTCAGGATCAGTATTGTCAACCGCTAGGCTCGAATTCGGGGGCACAAACGGTTTGCAATTCGCCAAAGACACTGTACTGTCCTTCAGGAATTTCAGGTGGCACTAGGTACCGAAGCTCTGGAGGAATCTCTAGAGCGCGCAATTCCGCTGGTGACCATTGCTTGTTCTTATGCAACTGCCCATCTTCGCCCCTGGAAGCTTCAGCTTTGATCTGCTCCAACTTGTCGACATTCTCGCGCGTAAAGTGTTTCCACAAGGGTGGCGGGGGCGCAAATGCCGTGTTTACGGCTCGTTGTTGGCTCTCGTCGGCCATATCGATTAGAGCGAGGGTAATGGATATGATGAAAGAGGAAGTGAGGCAGCGCTGAAGTTCCTTCCGTAGAGCGGAGAGCGGTCAGGTGGTCTGTGCTTCCGCAATGTGTCGAATGTCAGCTTGACTGATTTGAATCTCAACATGCTCCCCATGAAGACCTGAAGATATCTCTGAAGTTCTCGGGAGTTGTGCAGGATGCCTCACAATGGTTCGGGGGACGGGTCGACCCCGATTCTACAACGTGTTGGACTCACTGGTGCTGCAGCGCGCTTCGCGCAACGCACCTATGCCGCCGACTACATCGCATTAGGGTTTCTGGTGGTAGGATGGATACTGGTAAGCCGCAAATGATATTTACGAATGCACATGGGGGTTTTGTTGACAATTGAATAGATTCAATTATTCGTGAACCCGTTCCACCGCATGTTTTACCTGGATAACAGAGCCATTCAGTACCCGTTCGCCGTCCACGAACGAGTTCCTGTTTGTAAGTCAATTGCCAATGATAGGCTCTACTTTTCTTGATTCTAACATGGAGCAAAAGTATGGTCGGTCGTCTTCGCTGGTCTGATTCCTTTCCTGATTATTCTCGCTTGGTCCGCAATGTTTCGCGCGGGTGTGCAAAAGACGCAAGTGACAGTACTCGGGCTACTCGTGGCTTTGATGTTGACCTCGTTCCTGACGGACATAATCAAAAATGCGGCGGGAAGACCACGTCCGGATTTGTTATCGCGCTGCAAACCCTCCCGGGGTACATCGAATAAGGTGCTGGTCGCATGGACTGTCTGCACAGAAACCAACCAGCACATTCTACAAGAGGGATGGAGGAGCTTCCCTAGTGGGCATAGCAGCTTCTCGTTTGGTGGTCTGGGCTATCTATACCTGTAAGTGATCATTCAAGCGTACCGGGTTAAGGCCCTCTAACGATCGTGACCCTATAGTTTCTTGTGTGGTCAGATGCATGTCTTCCGTCCTCGGACGGATCTTGGACGTTGTTTACTTGCGTTTTTACCATTGCTGTGTGCTCTGATGGTCGCGCTCTCCCGTCTGGCCGATTATCGACATGATGTATATGATGTGACGTGTGGGGGGCTCTTGGGCATGTTGATAGCATGGTTCTCGTACCGCCGCTACTATCCCCCGCTGCGGTCGGCCATGTGTGACGTTCCCTATGACAAAGCTGATCTTGCTGGGCCGGATGGCTTTGCTAAATTGGGCGACGAGGAGACTCTTGCGCGGCCCTTCATTGCACGCGCTAGTCCCTCGGAGGAGAACTATGAGCTCCAAGACACAGAGCCATCTCGATAAATCTAGCTCTTGCATGAACATACCATCTTTCTACCCTGGCGTATTCACTCGCACTATAGAGGGCTTTTCCTGTTGGACTCTTTTCTTAAAAGCATCTGAAGGGAACACCGGTCTAGTCTTCATATATTCCCAATGCTTCAACACGTACTGTAGAATTTTTTTCTGTCTCACTTGGCCAAGGTATAACACAACTTGAGATAATCATTCGGTCTACGGGGAACTTCTATCATGCTCCGTCCCTCCCTGTCTATATGACATTCCCCCAAAAAAAGAGAACATGGAATGAATCAACATCATTCGACCACGTAGCTGACTCGTGAGTTTCCTTGTTTTCTCGAGATCTTCTTCACTGCCACAGGTCCACACAAATCTGTCGTATCGACATGTGTGCCTCCGCAAGGGTACACTTCAGCGCCAACGATGTTCACCACACGAGACTTTTCACCTGCGGGCACCAAACTGCGATCGGGAATCAATCGCTCTAGTCCACGCGAACGGAAATCCTCTTCACCCCACCATTCAATCTGAACAGGCATTTTGGCGGCGATATATTCATCCAACTTGTTCTGAATGGCGTCCTTCCATTTCCCTTCGATTGAGCCTTGAAACTCACATGCTGCCGAGTCAGGGAAGTGTGAGGCTTTCAGTTCATCGAAATCCTCAATCTCTTTTTCCAAAAGGTGCCGGACTGACGCGCCTAGTACGTGACCTGCAGTATGCAACCGGGAATACAGTAGACGCTTTTCCACATCAATTGCCTGCTCAACCGTGTCGCCTTTGTTAAAAATGGACGTGCCCTCGAAAAGACCGAGGTGCAGCACCTGTCCATGGGCATCTGTGCGAGCGGCCGTGACTGTGAAAACGCCAGATTGGCCTTTCAATACGCCCGTATCCGAGGGTTGGCCGCCACCTTGGGGATGGAAGATAGTTTTCTCGGTAACAATGACAATGTGTTTCTCGCCGGCATCTTTGAAGAGTAGGCGACTGGACTCTTCGAGGGCATTGAAAGGAAGAACAGCCGTCACGGTGGTCTCAAGAGTATGGAGATTGGCATCATGCTGGAAGACTAAAATAGTGCGGGTGGATGTCATAGTGAATAGACAAAGTTGGTGAGGGAGAAAAGGAGAAAAGAAGCGGGGACGGAGATATCGAAATGCCAAATGTCCTGGAAGGTTCTAGTCCCAAGATTATATACATGATAGGTACATTAGTGATATCCCGGATGGTTACCTGATGGTTGAAGGTATAGTGAGTTAGAATATGATCTATAAATCACTCTGTTGAGATATCACTCTACAAGGGGGCATTTGCTTCAATTTTGTACTCAATATACGACATATGTGTATGTCATTAGATGATATTCAAAGACTCAATGGACTGTACATTAAAATATCTCCGTTCTAACCTCTGGAGTCGAAGATGATCGCTATTCCGGCTATTCTTTACCTTAGCGATTAACCAGCCAATCTTTTCGGTTATACTTATATCTTAGCGAATACAGTGCATTCTCTGATCTTGGCTTATAGATTTCCTTCGAATTATAAAAGCTCTGGTTTATCACACTCTCTTCATTCTTCCATTCATTTTAAATACTTCCATCATGTCTGATACCCACCCTTTTGATCCCCTCGGGCCCCAGGAAATTACCAAGGTAGCTCTTCTCAATCAAGCACAGGTCAGCTATCCTATTAACCATATTATAGGCGGCAAAAATTGTCGAAGAGTTGCTTCCTGGAAAGAGCTTCAACTTTCGCGTCATCACCTTGAAAGAGCCACCAAAGCAGGAGATGATAGCCTTCTTGGAGAATGAACATCTGGAGCAGCCCCAAGTTTCCCGACCTGCTCGTATCGCTCACATCCAAGTGATCGTTTATGGTAACTCTGCACCAAATGAACTCACCGAGCTTCTTGTTGATCTAGACCGAAATGCTGTCGTTCAACGCAAGGTCCTTGTGGGAAAACACTCGTACATTGACTCGGCTTACATGAAAGAAGTCGAGAATGCTTGCATGGCAGACGAGAGGGTCAAAAATGAAATTCAAAAGTTGAAGCTCCCTCAAGGGGCCTCAGTCGTTGTGGAAGCGTGGGCTTATGCCACTGATGGCATGAACGACATGTCGGAGCGGACTAGCATGGTTAGAACACCGATATCTGCAACCTCCCAATTCCAGCTAATTGACATGCATAGTGTTGGTTCTACATGCGACTGGTAGACAATCCTGACGCCAACTATTACGCATATCCTCTTGACTTGTGTGCCGAGGTCTCCGAGAAACTCAAGGTGACCAAGGTCTACCATTTACCTTCGTCTGAGAGTGAGAGAGTTCATGAGGAAGCACGGCCATATGACCCCTGCAAGATCCATTCGACTGCTCTGAGTGAATATCATCCCAGTCTGCGACCACCACCGCGCACAACCACTAAGCCCTACCAGGTTGTCCAGCCAGAGGGTGTTTCCTTCAAGTCACAAGGTAACTTGTTGATGTGGGAGAAATGGACTATGCGCGTGGGTTTCAACTATCGTGAGGGTCTCACACTGCATGATATTCGTTACGACGGTCGGAGTCTCTTTTACCGACTGTCTTTGGCAGAGATGTTTGTGCCTTATGGTGATCCTCGTGCTCCGTTCCCACGCAAAGCGGCATTTGACCTTGGGAATGATGGTGCCGGGATTAACGCGAACAACTTATCCCTTGGATGTGATTGTCTAGGAATGATCAAATATTTCGATGGATGGCACAACACATCCTCAGGAGAGCCATTAAAATTGCCCAATGTCATATGTTGCCATGAGCAAGATGATGGGATTTTATGGAAGCACACAAACTTCCGCACAGGGAATGCCGCGGTGGTGAGATCACGAATTCTGGTCTTGCAGACAATCATCACGGTCAGCAACTATGAGTATATCTTTGCTTTCCACTTTGGCCAAGATGCTTCGATTCATTATGAAGTTCGGGCCACTGGGATTTTATCTACCAGTCCTATCAACATTGGTGACAAAGTTGGATATGGTACCATTGTTGCCCCGGGTGTTCTTGCACCATATCACCAACACTTGTTCTCTCTTCGTGTTGATCCTGCGATCGATGGAGTTGCAAACTCGTTGCAGGTTGAAGAATCCCGCCCTTTGCCCTTCAATGACCCATCTGTGCGAAATCCTTTTGGGGTCGGGTACACCACTCATTCAACGATTGTGACCGAGGAAGGTGGACTAGATCTTGATTTCACTAAGAATCGTACTTTTAAGATCATCAATGAGGCGCAAGTCAATCCTATCACCGGTACACCAGTTGGCTTCAAACTCGTTCCATGCTACAGCCAATTGCTACTGGCTCATCCAGAGTCTTTCCATGCAAAGCGATCTGAATTTGGCAACCATGCAATCTGGATTACTCGTTATAGCGACGAAGAGCTTTTTCCGGCCGGAAAACATACTATGCAGTCCCTTGGCGGCGATGGGATCAACTCGGCGATTTCTCAACGGAGAAATGACCCCGACTCCAAGTCGACAGTGCGAAATGAAGATATTGTGATTTGGCATACATTTGGATCAACGCACAATCCAAGGATCGAGGATTGGCCAGTCATGCCATCTGAAAGAATGGTGGTTGGTCTCAAACCGGTCAACTTCTTTACGGGAAATCCGGGGTTAGATGTTGCTGTGTCAAGTCGAGAGAATAATGGGAGTCGACTTGTTGACTCTGAGTCGGTGTCATGTTGTCCAATGAAAATTGCGTGAATCACAATCGTTGAGGTTCTAACGAGCTCTCTATATGGCGGGTGGATCCGAGTCGGGTCGTCTTTCCCTCTCGAGCGTTGACTTGGGAACTTGCTCTATAAATTTCATCACCTCTTGGCCTTCAGCTTCACCTTCTCTTCCACTTAGGTCATATAATCTCACACTTGAATTCACTTATGTCTTCCCGAAAACCAAAGGTTCAAATTCTACTTTCTGTCGATTTCGATGCCGTCTCGGGTTTTCTAGGGACCGGTGCTTCGGCTACAACCAATCTGGCCGATTATAGCAGTGGCTTTTTCGCAGCTCAAGTCGGAGTGCCACGCTTATTACGCCTTTTCAAGAAACATGGAATCAGTTCCTCGGTGACTTGGTTTGTGCCGGGTCATTCAATGGAATCATTTCCAGAAGAGACCAAAGCAATTGTGGACTCGGGCGCCGAAATCGGTTGCCATGGATATGCGCACGAGGGCTCCAGTCAAATGACTGAATCGCAGGAGAGAGAGGTCATTGCCAAATGTGTGCAACTGGCAACCGACTTGACCGGGAAGAAACCCCAAGGATGGCGGGCGCCGTTATATCAGTTACGAACACACACTATTCAAGTCCTAGAAGAGTTTGGCTTTTTATACGGTATGTATCCTCTTTTTTGTTTCATATCCTGAAGTCTGCGCGGGAACTAAATTTGACCCAGATTCCTCTCTCACGCATCATGATTCGTCCTTGTATTTTGTTCCTCGGATGTCAGAGCCCAAGGCCATTGACTTTTCTCCTTCCAAGTCTGCTTCAACCTGGATGAAGCCCCTCCCTGCCCCTGCAGCCAGGACTCCCCAGACACTGGTTGAAATCCCATGCAATTGGTATATGGAGGACATGACCCCCTTGCAATTTTTGCCCGGGGTGGAAAACTCACAAGGATTCATCAGTCCGGCCACAATTGAGCAAAATTGGAAGTCTCGATTCGACTTTCTCTACTGGGAGGCCCTCGAAAAATCAATTGAGGAAGATGCTGAACAAGGCTTTGTTTTCCCTTTGGTCCTGCACCCAGATACTAGTGGAATGGCCCATGTGATTGGGATGATTGACCGAATGATTTCGTGGCTCAAACAACGAGAAGTTGAATTTGTGACATTTGGCGAGTGTGCGGTCGAGTGGAAAAAGAATCATGCTTAAGTAGAATGCTCAAACGTATTCAAAGTCTGACTAGAGATCCCCTAGGTATCTATGTAGGTATCTAGGGAGTTCCCCGAGTAAATTTGTTTGGGCGATTTGGCGGGGTGGCCATAGGCCTCTTATCCGCCACCCCAATTTTCTTTGCCAACTTCAATCACCTACGATCTTTGGCCCCATGCAAATTCAGATCATGTGAAAGTTATCCCAATTTTGGAACTCGTATGCCACGAAGAAAAGCTGCAGACCGCACAGGTCCGGTGAAGACCCGCTCTCGCGATGGCTGCAAAGAATGTCGGGCGAGTCGTGTCCGATGTGACACCAAGAAGCCAATTTGCACACGCTGCCAGGAGAAAGGATTGCCGTGCATGAAGAACCTGGTTCTCAAATGGGAATCAGAATTTATCAGTCGGGGAGCAGCTTTCGGGCGTGCAGGGGTATGGAACAAAACTGGCGCAAATCAACCTACATGCGGCTCGCGTTTTTCGGAAACACATGAGTGGTGCCCAGTGCCAACAATCGGCCCTTGGGGCTTCATAAATAGCGGTGTATCGACATTTGAACACCCAAATGAAGTGAATGTCGACTTCGACGAGTTGAATGCACTGATTTCAGTCGCTCAAACCTCCAACTCACCCCAACTATGGTCCTGGTTACAACATTTCCCACATCTCAGTGGGCTTAGCACAAAAATCCACCCCAGCCTTTCACCTTCACTTGCACTGTTTCCAGAGCTCTCCAAATCAGGGCACGGAGAGTTGTTTGATTACTATCTTCAACAAGTGTGCCCTCGCACGGCCGCCAGCTCCGTATTTTCTTCGCCATTTGCCTCTGTGGTTCTCCCATTCTGTCTAACGGCTTCTCCTACGCTTTTCAAGGCCATTCAAGCATTAGGAGCATGCCACTGGTCAAGGTTCAATCCAAGCTATGCTGCAATCGGTCTGCGTTATAAATCAGGGGCGTTGAGGGATCTTCGTCAACGTCTTTCGTCACAAGGGAGTTTGACATGCTCCATGGATGCCGAAGTACTGGTTATTATGATCATGCTATGCTTATACGAGATAGTGGACAAGTGTGATCAACAATGGACCATCCATCTCAAAGGCGCCAACGATTTGATCCGTCTGCGAAGAAAACAGCAAATGACATTAGGGCAGCCAATGGCCCCATCGGATCCTATGACAAGCTTTGCAGAGCAATTCTTTGCCTTTCAGGATGTCATGGGTCGAACCGCTTGTGCTAAGGAGGTCTTGTTTGGTACCGATTACTGGAAACCAGATGAACGCAACGTCGATCTTTGGATGGGATGTAGTCCTGAATTGGTATCAATCTTGGCCAAAATTACAGATTTGAGTCGAACAAGGAGACAAAATACGTCTGATGCGGACAAGGCATCGTTCTCACTACGTGCGGCTTCTCTTGAACGCCAACTGGCGAACTTAGTCCAGGAAGTGGGAGAGGGCGACGACGAAATTCTCGCCCAGGTTGCAGATGCTAAGCGATTGGCTGCAATGGTCTATTTACATTGTTCCCTGTATGGGGCTGGTCCCACCACACCATTGGTGAAGAGCTATGTGCGCCAGATTCTGCGACTTATATCGGACCTCCTTGACCGTAAGTCGCTGGTCAATGTGACATGGCCAGTATTTGTGGCAGCTGTAGAGCTTGACCCATCTGACGACGAGGTTTTCCTGAAATCTGAAATGGAATCGGGTTCAGGACGAGTGATTGTGCTACGTTCCCTGGCAACAATGGCTGATTCAACCATCTCGAACATTGCTAGAACGCGGGCGGTGATCACCAAATTATGGCAGACACGCGACTCGGATTTGATGAAAGGGACCGTTTTCCAAAATCAGTGCAATGATTGGGAATGGTATGTGGTGCCAATCAGCGATGCCATGAGTCTGGCATAGGGCGTAAGCGAGCAAGAATAACCATGTGAAATCTTCTGTAAACTGTACAAGTACTGAATGATTGAGCAATCCTATGTCCTATTTACATGGAAAGTCTACAATTGTACAATGGATTGTAGATATGTTATGTTGGACAAGATAGTCGCTCACTATGTATAGAGGGGATTGTCCGCATTGGGTTAGCGTGCTGTCATCTGATCTCGTTAACCGCCCAAGCCAGCGACCTGCGATGTAATGTAGACCTCACATCGACCCGAAAACTGGGAATAGCTTTCTATAAAGCACATCATATGTGCTCGCCAGGCATTAAATGTGGCGTTGAACCCATTTTCCTGCCTCGGTGCCGACTAATGATGCCCCTCACTCTATACCCTTGCTCTGTATCGCGAAATCAGACCAAAGTGACTTCAAAATGGCGCAGGTGCGACCTCCAGCGCCGGGGCGCAGTGTGTCAACCCATGGGTTTGAAAGCAAACTCAGTCAACAATTAGCTCAACCTCACCAAACCGATCTAGAACACCAACTTGAACCGTCGCACTCTCCCAAGTCGCGTTCATTATCCGATGCGTCCAGACCTGCGCCCACACAACCGTCTACTGGTGATCTCAGTCGGGCAAGCAAAGATGATATCGCAATACCTGCCCTTCCTGCGACACCTCAAAGATCAAGTGTAGCTCATTCGAGTCTATCGCTACACTTGCCTTCCAAACCCGCCGTGTCGCCATCACTTACAAACCGCGCCCCTCTCTCTCCTAAACTTGACCCATCACATATCTACGGATCTCCGGGTTCTGTTCTCCCTCGACGATCTCGGGGACTCGACTTCTCACGCGCGTGTACGAACCTCCACCATTCTACCCTAGCCGAGTCGTCCCCAGATTCGTCTCCCATCGTTGGAGGGCGAGGCATGGCAATACCCCAGCGACGCGGATCACTTGGAGCGACGTCCATCCCACCTTTTTCCACCTCGGGTCCAGGCGACCGTACGACAATCTCAAGCTCCATGTCAAGTGTGAATATGATGGAGTCGGACACAAGTAGCAGCGAAGAGGAAGATGAGTCAATGGCTGATCGCGACGATATTATGCTTAATACGCCGCAGGCGACTCGCATAAGTGGACCAAGTCCGTTCGCTAGCAATATGCAGAGTCCAGGCAACGAGTGGATGGGGGGGATATTCACAAGCTGCTGCCAGCTTGATGAGTTTCCAACGTGCGCGCTTTCGCAAAGGCCGTAGTCGCCATAGCTCGAGCAGTGCGAGTGGAAACAGTTCAAAACATAGTCCTGCTCCTCACTCTCCACCAATCATGAAGAGTGTCGAGCACTCCGGTGGGGGTTATTTTGCCCCGCGGCAGACTGCACATTCACGCAGAGAGAGTCTCAGCTTTGGCGCACGCGACCTGCGTTTGTCCGATATGAGCGATGATGGCGAGAATCGCGCGATGCGAGGCGGAAGCCCAATTCCCATCCCCCACCCAGAAGGTGGCGGTCCACTGGGAGTAATCCGTCGCGCAGTGACACGACGTGGGAGCTTACTTGTAAGTTGGCGCCTTTTTGTCACAGTGGTCCAGAAGTTAACTCGAATGACAGCCTAAAACCAAGACATTTGCGCGCATTCGCGCCGCTCTGATGGAGGAGGGTGCTCCAGTTGATAGCGATATGAAACGAGAAGCGGAAGTGGTACGGCAGGTCCGCGACACTGAACCTGAATCAACTCCTGCACTCGGCGAGTTCCCGTCGCTGCAGCCCTCGACCTCGTTTGACTTGATACCGTCAGAAGATCCCGCGGTCAAAGCGGGACAGGACACAGCATCTACAGACACTTTTGGTAAACAAGCTAGTCGGAACTCGGGTGGCGTTGCGTTTTGGAACTCGTTTGATGAACGTTACCGAACCCCTCCCCCGGTTCGTCAGGAAGGTCCCTCGTCTTTGGCAGATGAGGATATGTTCATGGATATGACTCCGTCCACGACCATCGGCTCTGTTACCGCGGAATCCTCCAAGCACCGTTCCCGCTCTTCCACTCCCCATGCCCCGGGCATGCCAAGTATCGGGGAGATCTGCCGCAAGCGGCGTCGTGACGATGACTTTGATCCTAATCTTTTCAAGCGCCGGGCTGTTTCACCCAGTGTCAGTGTTCAGAGCAGTCCAGTGATGACTCACTCCCATAATGTCCCAAGTGATATGGGCCCAAACATCTGGGGTCCCCCACCAAAGCCGGGCCTCGGTGCCCCGTTCTCTGAACGACTCAGTTCTGAAACAGGCAATCGATCGATCTCTCATGCCGGAGGTGGGAAACGCGTCGGCCTACAAGGGATGACCGAAGCCAGTGATGGCTTTATGAATATGAGCATTGATTGAAAGGCGCTTTTGGGTTTGTGATACGGAATTAGATAGTCTTCATGCGCTCTTGGAGTTTACCGGCATTTTGTTTTGGGTGGTTTACAAGGGCATGGTGTTATTTGGATCCTCAAGCAACATACACATTCGTTATTTTAGCGTTTCAGATACCTCATGTCAGATCATTTCATCAATCATCTCACTTTCACTGCTCTGTTGATGCTTAGTAGGTATAGTAGTTCCGGATGTATCCATAGTACATAGTAGGTAGGCCACGTGCTTATCGTTCTCCGCCTCCGACAGCTTTCTCTCCGCAGACTCCAGACAATCACCGCACTTCTAAGCTCAAGTACTTCTCAAGGAATTCAATTGTGCTTGAACTTATTGCTCAATATCGAATACCCCGATTGTATTTCCCTGCACTATGCCTTCCACTATTGAACTGGCATCCTCCTTCATCGAGGGTGCCCCGCCCGGAGAGGTATGCACGTCAACAATGATCCAGGATCCCCCATTCCCCTGGTCATCGTCTACCTGGAGCTTAAGAGATAATCGCTGACATATTTTTACCCAGCTCGCCGATGTTGTTGCCGGTAGATGGCCCTCCTAACGCTGCACTGCCTTCCTTGATCCCCGCAACACCGACCCCTACACGAACGGTGATACTGATCCCAACTGTTTGATTAGATGTGCAAGCCTTGACTTCCGATGGCGAAGATATCATTCCCTCTCTTCTGCCCGCGTTCAAGCGGTACAACGAGACGCAGCTCGCAACAGTGAAATTGCCAGGATCAAGCCAGGAGGTGGGTTTCGCTTGGGAGTGATTTATGTCTGTGGGGAGCTGACACTTTTGCTGGGAAGGTCATTATTAGTGCATTTAATGAGCTCGAGGATAACCGCTACTTCGATCCGGAGAGCCAAACCTCCTTCGAGGTCGACCACACCACACAGGTAGGTTTCATCTGATCAACTGAGGGCGGTACGTTGGAGGCTCACCGGGTTTGACCTGGGCAATAGACTGCCTCTGCGGCACAATCATACCCATTGGAGTCGGAGCATGCAGACTTGATGTAAGAAATGATCTCGATTGCAGTCTTGGTGATATTGCGCTTACCATATTTAGCAAATCGCTGCTCAAGTCGTTTGGTGCTCATGCCCGTGAACACTACCCTAACTGCTCATATGGTGTGTACCCCATTGAGAATGACTCTGCCATTGCTATCGTCTTGGTTTCCAATCGTTACTCTCCCAACAACTTCTGGTGAGTGGTTACAGTCCCTACGAAGAATAACTTGGGTGGAAACTAATCGTTATGGACGCTTCCCCATCTGGGGAGGATTGTCTGTTCTATCACAATAGGAACGGTCGTTTCCGCGCAATTTACCAACTTCCCGTCGCGTCCTCTACCCTGACTGGCAACATCCACGTTGACGTCCACTACTACGAAGACGGCAACGTTGCCCTTAACACAACTAAGCCTGTGAACATCTCCATTTCCTCCGTATCCGCCGAATCGATTGTCTCCCGGATTGCTGCGGCGGAGCGCGATTACCAGGAAGCACTGAACCGGGCCTTTGTTCAAACATCGGAGGGTGTATTCAAGGGTCTCCGGAGGCAGCTTCCCATAACGCGACAGAAGGTGGAGTGGGAGAAGGTCGGTGGGTATCGTCTGGGTCAGGATATCTCGGGCGGCAAAGGGCGGTAGAACAGAGATCTGGAAATATTGTGGAGCGGCTTGATCAACCTGCTCGCAGTGAATAGCTGATGGACTGATATATCCCTACTATTTTGCAAGCATTGTCTCGTTTTGCGTGTTATTTTTTTATCATTTTACTCATTATTTTTTACTCATTATTTGGAGAAAGATAATCATATGTAATTTGGTTGTTGTTGTAGTGCTCACCCTCTTAGGCTGTCGCTGAATATATATCTCCGACACTCACTACCAGCCAACGTCACTCACACTCAGAATATTGCAGATGAACCGTTCTTTACAAGAAGATATGTCCAATTCCATGTCAAATACTTCATATGCATTATTTCTGGGCCATTCAAAGGCTGAATAAGCAAAATTACTAGTGCAGGCGAGATTAGCCCACTTCCAAGCCTTCGACACACGGATCCCACCCCTATCCCTCAAGAGTGTATTGTTCTCAGCTTTTCGCAGTGCTGCCAGGATGATTCAACAATTTTCTCGTTTTGTCAAATCAGGCGCTGGTCTTGAAAAGACCCTTCGTTTGATCCAATGCGTGTCGCAGGTCGTCGCCGCACTCACCGTGAGCAGTGCCCTGGCCATGCAACTGACCACGGTTAAGCTGCAATTGGCATTGGGTGAGTTGAACTCCAATGTCCGATGGATAGCTCTGCACTCTGATTGACTGTGTATATATGCTGATAATGGGGTTATTGCGTAGCGCGGAGATATTTCCGCTTCTTTGGATTCATTGACTCATTCGAGCGCATGTTTGCGTTGCTGGGCAAGGGTGGCTTCAGTTCTGTAGCTGGAGTGCTCGAACTAGCTAAATGCACCTGCTTTGGTCTTTACTTTGTCCTGGAAGACCTGACCACGGTATGTTACTTATTGCTTTTTTCGATGAATATGGTTGACCAAGGACCAGCTTCACGCAATGGGTGTTTACACAGTACCCTGGAATGGCCGTATGATGGATCAGGCCAATACCTTCTGGTTCTATGCGCTCTCTTTCTCTGTTGCTGGAGCCATCTGGTCGCTTCTTGTCGGACCTGCGGAGCAGCCCTTTAAGAAGAATGGTAAGAAAAAGAACCGGAAGACCTCCGAAAAGGCTCCCCCGGTCAAAGCAACTGCTGCCCCTGCTCGGGTCAAGCAGATCGTGGTGGATGGATGTGATTTGCTTATCCCGCTGGAGCTGCTGGGGTGGATGCCCACCGGGGACGTGGTGGTTGGATCGACCATGGTGTTGAGCACACTGCTGACTGCTCAAGACATCTGGGCTCGAGTGTGAAATGTAAGCGGTGTTTGTTTTAGACATAAGAATATTAGACTATATAGATGTCAAGAAATCGGCAGATAAAACAAGATCAAAAAGATCCAAAAGCCAAAAAGAAATGGACTTGCAGGGAATCGAACCCTGGACCACTCCCATGCTAAGGGAGTATTATACCACTAAACCACAAGCCCAATTGGATGAAAGAGACGGCCTTTTAGTGCTCTATGACACTAAATTGCAACAAGACGGGAAAGGGCTCTCCATCGAATGCCAATGCATCTTGCTGTAAAACTCCCAATTAGGAAATGATTGGAGATCAAAATCACGGTATCTGCGTCTTTTGAAATTTGGCTGAAAACTGTCGAGATGCGAAAAATATCCCCTATTAGTGATCCCATCTACATGATCATTGCGCCAGAGGGTGTTTCTCGCCAAGGTGTCTGAGCTCCTATCTTTTGGTCTTGGGTTGCGTCCGGACAGAATGCATCGAGCGCTGGGAACTCAGTTCTGAAGGCTGACTTGCGCAAAGAAATACCCAGATGGCTATGCAAATGAGGCTTAGAAAGTCTAATGACAAGAACAGGACGGAGTAGTGAGAAGCTGCGGATGATGGAAACACGAGCGCCAAGGATTTTGGTCCAAATAGGCAAGTCTCGTATTGAGAACAATATATAGATTGGATTCTCCCCGAGAGAGAGAGAGAGAGAGAGAGAGAGAGAGAGAGATCGTGGTCACAATCATTTCGAGGCATCCAAAGCCAAATCACCCCAGCAATGTCCACCATTCTGAATCCCAAGGAAATAGATCTTCACTCAGCCTCTATCAGATCCAACAGCACTCTAAGCACACTCATCGAGCCATCCTGTTTCTACCCATCCCGCATTTTGACCATTAATGCGCAAGGCATTCGAGCGTTTCGTCTCCCACTACCATCCCGCCAAACCGAGATCTTTGTCTACAACCCAGACGGCACCGAGGCCTACGTTTCCACGCGGGACAAGCTTTCCTCAGGAAATGCCATCCTGTCTCACCCAAAGCGCGGAAGTCTTATCCGAACCGAATACTTTTTCGGACCGAGCCGTGATCCCGTTGTGCACCTGCTTCAACCTCCGAGTGACATTCCCAAGAAGGTGATGGTCGTAGGGAAATGGACTTCCCGAACAATGTGCTTTGATATGCCTAGAGGTAACCGGTTTGAATGGAAATATGCCAAGGAAAAAAGAGCCGATGGGCAGAAAGTGAATTTGATGGTCTTCCGCGCAGTAGAGGGAGAGAAGGGTGGGAATAAAGAGACCCAGGCCCACAGGATTGCACAACTGGTTCGCGACGAGAATTCTCGGACGCCCAGCACGTCCCGGTCATCTGCCGGAAATGGTGGTGAATTGCAGATTGATGAAGCTGCGTTACAGTCTCTCGAATTGGACGAGGTCGTTATTGTTGCGACTTGCTTGATGATGTTGAAGAAGGAGATTGACCGACGTAGGATGATTCAATTGGCGATGATTGCGGGAGTGGGTATTTAAGATTGATCAGAGGAGAATATATAGAGCGTCTGTGTATTTCAGTTTTCCCCAACGCTCGTATCTATTGTCTATCGAATATTTGGATTATCTCTTCGGGCTTTATAGGCACAACTTCTCAACTGGCTCGCTCGTTCAACAGTTCGGAAATGTGGTCATTGAGCCAGTAACCATTCAACTCGTCGGTGGACATGGTCTTAGCCCCGGAGATCCAGCCTCTGCAGACCCCTTCCCCTGCCCCACAATTACACTGGAATGCCTGGTCCATCTCCCACTCGGTGCTGGGGTAGAAGAAGGTGAGGGCATCGCCTGCCTTCAAGGGATGGTCGTCTACAACCCGTACCTCCATGCGGCCCATGTCAAAGACCAATGAAGGTGCGCAGGAGTGATTGCAGTAGACTAGGTCGGAGTTGAGTTCAATATGGGTGTCGCGGCCGGTTTGCACGCTCGTGTAGGCTTTTTTTCCGGGAGTAGCCGTAGTGATCTTGGCGAAGACGGCACCCGCGGGGAGGTCGACGAGAGAGTAAGCTCCACTTGCAAATGCCTTTGTACTGCGTTCAACACGCAGACATTCAGGGTGGGTCGGGGGAGCGAAGTTGACAATGGGCGTCACAGGAATGGGATCGGCGGAGGGAGCCATACTGAGGGATGTATCGAGCAAGAGAGAGGGTATGTTAATTGAGTTGATTGATGGATAGATTTGAAGCCTTTGAAAGTGAATGGAAAGGGGAATAGTGGTTTTATTAAGTAGAGTGTGTAGAGGTAGACAGCTCTCACGTTGTTCCCTTCAACCGAGGTCTTTCCGCACGGAAGACCGAGGCACCGCCCTAAAACACAATTTAAATACATATATAAATCTTTTTTTGTCCTAGAAAAGAGTCCGGGGGTATATTGTAGACATTCAGAGTCTTTCAACGCGGCTGATCGTACGCATTCGTCATTCGGTGAACTTCCACATGCGTAACAGCCCACCTTCTCGGCGTCATACTCGAAAGGGTAATTTAGTGATATACCCCCTGGACAGAGTAGTATTGTATGTATAGTGTCATAAGTTTTTAAATTGGAATTCTGAAATATTCTTCGGAGATCCGGATGTTCCTGATCATGCTACTTGAATACCCATGCTTTTCTATTCAATTGACGCTGCTTGACTCTGCATGTCAGTTCATCTTACGTAGTAGCTCCTGTCCATTCAACCACCGCTCTAAATTCTCGGCTGTTTCACGATACCATCCCCGCAATAGATCCTCTTCTCCATATCCCATGTGGGGGAAAGTAGAACTTCGCTGCGTCCATCTTTCCCCCAGGGGGTAGTACGCCATGGACTATCGAGAGGTAATGGCTCCGGGTCAAAGACATCTAGCGCGGCCCCCCCGAATGCGGCCCGTACTCAAGGCCTCGAGGAGAGCCTGCTCCTCAATCAGCGGTCCACGTGAAGTATTGACGATAAATGCAGATGATCGCATATTTGCTAATTCAGCCTCACCAACGATTCCACGGCTTCGGTCCGATAACACACTGTGTACACTGACGATATCGGCATGTGCAAAGAATTCCTCCTTGGACGCAGCAACGGTAAATGTCCCCGCTGGCAGACCCTGAGCCTGCGCTTGCTCGTCGGCTTTTCCCTGTGTCAAGTTGGTTGACCAAGAGAGTATCCTCATCCCAAAAGCCAGTGCGCCAATTCTTCCTACTTCTGACCCGAGTTTTCCCAAGCCGAGCAGGCCCAGTGTCTTCCCAGACAAGTTGACCCCAAGGGAGCCCTGCCATGCGCCGCGTTTGACAGCTGCATCGTCACGTGCTATATTTCGAGCAATCCCCAAGATTAAAGCCCATGTATGCTGCACCGTCGAATTGACACCGGGGGGACGGCCCTCAGTGCCTGCGACGGCCACGTTGGAACGTGTAAACGCCTCGAGATCTAGCGCCAGGTTTCGAGTACCTGTGGTCAAAAGAAGTTTCAGATTTGGGAGCGCCGCAATCGTCTTGGCTGCAAAAGGTGTTCGCTCGCGCATGGCCAAGATGATATCGAAGGGCAGGAGTCGTTGGACAAGAGCATCGTGTTGTACAGGATCGCGGGGATCAAGGGTTTCAGGAAAACTGGAAATGTCAACTTGCGACTTGAGGTGGGTGAAATAGGCAGGTGCAATGCCCTGATAATCGTCAAGAATCGCAAACTTGAGTTGAGCCATTGCAAAGAATATTTTGTGAGAAAGATGCGAAAAGAAAAAAGTACGGGGAAGTGGGCGAACTTCCCCCACGTTCCCGGCAGTTCGTTTATCCACTCAACTTGCGAGTATGGAATGTGAGTATGTACGGCATAAGACGTATATTTACATATATGCCGGGAGATGTACGGCTACGTGATTGACACGCATCTTGACAAATCTGTGCATTAGGTATCAGAGTGTGTTTGTACCCCAAGCTTAATTCAATTGGGAAAGGTGCCTGTAGTATCTCCTAGTTTCAAAGCATATGTCCTGCACGCATTACTGTGAAACTGGATCCCTCATCATCAAGAAAAATGACTCGTGCCCTTCACCACCAAATTGGGCAAAATCCAGAACCACCTCCTCTACGACCTTCCACCCATACTTTTGGTAGACGGGAACGCCCTCCGGCGTACCCTCGAGGAAGATGCGCGACTGGGAGGCATCTGCTTTTTCCGTACCCCATTTCAAGATAGCAGAGCCAAACCCTCGCCCCTGATATTCCGGCAGGGTTGCTAGCAGATCGAGGACTGACGAATTACTTGAGCAAAATCTCCCCCTGGGGTTACGGGGCTTCACTTACTAATGTCGTTCTCTGTGGTATATCGCTTGCGAGCTTCCTCAAGAAGCTTTTTAAAGGCACTGGCAAGACCCACATTCATGGGCCGCGGTGCATGTGGAATGGGATCCTTGGCTAAAAAGGCCGCCTCTTCACTCAAGGTAACCAGGCTCTGCCCAAATGATGCTGGAAATTGCCAACGACTGTAGGTTGCCAGATCCCCACTGACTGGATCATGGATCTTGAGCACGTGCATATTGGGGTTTGCAAGATGTTTCATTCCAACAATTATTTTGTACTCTTGCACTCTCGTCAAGCTGGCCTCTGGAAAAACTTCTTCGAGGAGACGGCGGCCTTGAAAGCTTTGGACGTTGACTTTGGCAAGTCCTGGACCATCGGCCTCGGTGGCATATTGGATGAGATACATTATTAGATAACAGATGGATGTAACGGATGCAGAAAATACCTAGAGCCTGGCAATGAAGATATGGGAGGTTCAGAGAGACGCTAATCCCCATCAGTACCCCGTCCCCCACCATTAGCGCTCTTCAGTTGTAGGAATATTTTGTGTTATACCAGTGTCTTCTTTTTGTATAAGTACGCACTAGATTCGTATATGAAATGTTTGCTATCTTCAATCTTTTCGTTTTCTGACCTCCAGCTCTGCAGTTAGATCACCTAGCATTTCAGACCCCAACTCTATCATTGAAGGTGTCTCTTGAACTATCATGACATCGTAAGCCAAAAGAATCTTAGCTACAGCAAGCTTGACTTGGGTTGAAGCAAAATCTCCCAGGACAGATTGGTTTGCGAATTCCAAAGGCGATATGTTTTGGACTCGTAGATGCGAGTGCTGCAGTATTCCTCGATTCGTGAAAACGGAGAAAATAATAAGCGTCATAAGATGATGGGCTGGGATAAATGGCTGGATCTCACATCCATGATAGTATCAAGCCATTGGGAAGGATAATATTTTGCAGGGCTTTTCGCTCAAAATTAAATATGAGTGTATGAGTTTACGTGCATCTAACTTTGAATTTGGGATGAATGAGAACGAGTCAGCTGGTGACCAGGTTTTCTAGGGCAGGTTACTATACATCACTCAAAACCTTTGACTCTTCAAAACCTAGGATGGGTGTGATGTATAAGGACAATCAATTCCACCGTCGTTCAATGGAAGGGGTAAAAGTGGATCATCTGCAGTATATGCACAAAAAGAAGTCACGATTCAGTAGATATATACAGATCTTGTGGGAAATTCTAAGACTCATTGCTTTAAGCAGCAACCTTGGCAAATTTCTTCAGAGCGTCCAAGCTGCCATTCCAAATTTCCGAATCACCCCCGAAGCTATACGCATCCGAGTTCTGCCAGAAGCTCTGGAACTCCCAGCCAGCGGGGATGGCACCCACAGAAGAGCTATATCGAGCAATAGCCAAAGGATAGTCACCGAATGCCGTGCTGCCACCAGTGCAAGTGTTCCACCAGTCGGTGGTCGAGTAGATCATAGGGTAGCGACCAGCAGCGCTCTTGTAGGTCTCGCCAAAGTCCTTGATCCAGGCAACCATGGCCGATGCGCTGAGTCCATAGCAGGATGCACCGGACGGGTTGTATTCAATGTCCAGCATACCAGGCAGGGTCAAGCCATCATTGGACCAACCTCCACCGTGAGAAATGAAGTACTTGGCTTGTGAAGCACCGGAGCTGCTGGCGGGCTGGGCAAAGTGGTAACCACCACGGATCAGGCCGGCATTAGTGGCACCCGTGTATTGGTTCGAGAAGGTGGCGGAGATATAGCTGGTACCCTCAGTGGCCTGAGGTAGTCAGTACAGGGACGAAAAAAGAGAAATTGGTAGTAACCCCGGAAAGGCTGACCTTGATCATAACGAAGCGGGCACCAGCTGCATAAGCACCGGCAAAGTCCACGCTGGGTTGATAGCTGGAGATATCGAAGCCCTGGACAGTGGCGCTAGCAGCGGTGGCAAACAGAAGGGGTAGGATGTTGATCTTCATGATGCAAGTGAGAGTGAGATTCAATTATCGAGTGATAGAGTGTATCTGAGTGTTGGTGATCAAGTCTGGGGAGGAGAACTAGGGCCTATTTATGTGTTTGGCAGCGAAGCTTCAATCTCCCGAACTCCGTACTTTTAGCTTAGTTGCAACCTCGGGTTTTGAAATCACAAAGGGACATGATGTAGGAGTAACGTTGTATAGTAGAAACACACGGATCCATTTAATCTATCCCACTTCAGGTATGTATAATGTAGATCAGTTGCTGGACGTTTGAACGTGTCCAAGGTTGTTTAGTATCTCATATCCGAGGACTACCGTGTGAGTAAGAGGTAGAGTATCTTGAATTGACATTGAATCATTTCAACCTAGATTTGTTTCTTGAAGAACATTTCCAAAATCCGATATAGACCTCATAGTGCCCCGGGCTAGCCCTGGAGTTGCCTGCAGAGCACTGAAGATATGCAAAGTAACCCTAAACTCCAGTGATAAGCCTGAAACCGGGATACTCAGATATAAACATTGCAGATACGACCTATAATAATATCAAAGAAAATTAACAAATCAAATAATCTCAAATTAATTCCAATCTCTCGCAGAATGACAACCCTTTTGGCCATTCCATCCATCTGCCTATGTAAGCAAAAAGTGGACGGCTAAGCTCTTACTCTCCCCACTTTTATCTTTCCTTTCTTCAAAGTACAACACACTATGAACGTTCGCTTTCAATAATTGGTGGACGTGTGGGAAATGGATAGTCTGAGTCGCCCCCATGAGCACATCTGGAAATAAGGATTTTCGCGATCAACTGGGGAAGTTTCGCTTGGATTCGATTGATACTTATACGCCAACCTGGCCTCAACCACCTGTCCATGAGTCTATAGATGCCTCGAGCCATGCTCGGAGTAAACGAGTATCGACTGCCTGTGATTTTTGTCGCAAAAGGAAGAAGAAATGCGACTTTCGATACCCCAATTGCTCAGCATGCACCCGCGCCGGAGTCCGATGCACCATACCCCCGCCCGGTCCTCAAGTCGCTAGCGCCTCCGTTCCCCGAGATCAGCTGGAGAATTTGCAGAAACGGGTACGATGGCTGGAAGAGGTCGTCCGTCGTAGGTCGGGATTATTGGTGGCGGAATTGCCCACGGGAACACCAGTCGATGGCGGGGGAGATCCGGATTGGTGGTATCAGGTGCCCGCTATGATTGCGACCGGGGGTAATACCTCACTGCCGAGCCCTGCCGGTAGTGGTGGTTCTTCTGTGACGGCAGGACCCTCGGAGACCTCAACTGGAGTAGGCACTGACCTTCCCAACATCGGCGAGATTTTTCGTGATCAACTGGAGAATCGCCGACCGTCAGTGGCACGACCTTCCTCCGCGCCACGGGTCATGCGCTTGTCGTCGCTGGAGGAAGCGGAACGGCTAGCCGTACAATATTTCGATAGTATAGGATACCAATACCCGTTCCTGTCCCGTCCGGAGTTTATGCGCCATCTGCGCCATATCTATACCGGTGGTGTTCCGTCGCCGGAAACGCATCATTCTTATCACATCGTGATTGCCATTGCGCTTCTGATTGGGTCTGCGGACACCACTCAGGCAGCTGAATTTTACCATGCCAGCCAAGAGACGCTGCCACTGGCATTGCAAAATGAAGACTTGCCGGCTGTGCGGGCACTTCTGGGATTGGCGTTGTATACCATGTTTGCGACTGCTGGTCCTAGCATTTGGCATGTGTTGGGTGCCACCATGAGGTTGTCGATTAGTATGGGCCTGCACAAAGCGCGGTCGTATCCTAGCATTGCCGAGGAGGAGATGGCCAAGCGCGCTTTTTGGAGTCTTTACAATCTGGATCGCCTCATCGCTAGTACCTTAGGCCGGCCATTGGGAATTGCCGACGATGATATTAGTGTGGGCCTTCTGCGAGAGCTCAACGACGATGAAACCGAAGCGCCTGGCGCAAGCGCAATGACAATCCCTTTGCAGGTGACACGTCTGCGGCGGATATTTTCACGCATTTATCAATACCGTAAGTGGGAGTCTCGAGGTTTTTTATCAGCTCTTTCTTTTCTGACCTTTTCATCTGTAGTATATAGCAGCCTGCCACGACTGCCACCCCAGGAAGCTGCTGCCACGCTCAGTCGATTCCGCCATGAGGTTGATGACTGGCGCATGACGGCTCCAGTATATCCATCGGCCCTTCTTTATTCTACTTCTTATTACGATTATCTCTATTACACAACACTTCTCTTGATGTACCGCCCCAGCCCCCGAAACCCGACGCCCGACATACCCAGTATCATCAGCTGTGGCGAATCCAGCATCCAAGTGATTCGATCCTATTGGGATAGCTACTCAGTCGGCAAGCTGAAGTGGATTTGGCTAACGCTGAGTCAAGTTTATTTTGCCGGTATCACTATCCTGTGGTGCCTTGAGCAGAATGCGCGTTCATTGCGGGAGTTTCAGCCTGCCCCTTGGAACCCCGAGGAACAGACGATGCGACGCGGTATTCAGGCAGTTGTCGTCCTCTTGGAAGAATTTGGGAAGCGTCGGCCTGGAGTGGACCGGTTGGCAGAGACATTTCGGCACCAGAGCACGGTGATTTTTAGCCAAATGGCCTATCAACAACAGCAATCAGAACAGCAACAACCTCACCATCACCCACACCAACCGCAACCAACGCCTCCACCTGCACTTCTCCCAACTCATCCAATGTCTTTGGCCGCACCCCCTCCACCTCCAGTCCCACTCGCTCCAGTTCTCGACGATGTCTTACTCGTGGATGGCAGTGGGAATGTCCCGATGATTGATCCACAGATGGCGGAACAACTATTTTACTCCTACAATTGGTTCCAAGAGGAGATGGCATCATACTATACCCTTTGAACGAATTTCATTTTTTGTAATCAAACCATGCTCCATCGAAGGTAGACGGAGTTTTCCATTGGACCAGGCTTTTTGTTTTCGTGTTAATACTTTGTGAGTTTGCCTCTATAAGAAAAAGCAAGACTCAGATTACGAGTCACATCAGTATCTGCGACATAAAACCTCTTATATGGTTCATGATCACCCACGTAGGCCGAAACGAAGTTGGATTGGTATGAACGATTGAGACTCCCCGAAAGAAAAAACATATATTTGAAGCTTACTTACTCGATTTCTGCTAGGATCACGAACATCGTACAACCACAGGTTGTTTCTGGCCTTCGGACTTCTAACCTGCAGCCCTGGGGGCTTATGCTGATTATTAATGCCCCCCCTCCCCCTTTTCTCACCTCCAGTGCTTTCCCATCTCCATCTCCCATCTGCATTTTACGGGTATTACAGTCAAATCACGTTATAACCATTGCTGGATTGCTCTTGTGTATCATGGAAGATCTCGACAAGAATGCCACCCCGGGCTCTGGGCTGCCCCTTGCCTTTCATGGGACGGTAATCCACTCCCGAAGTTTGGATGACCTCGAGATCTTAGAGAAATGTATCATGATCGTGGGAACAGATGGCAAAATCCAAGCCCTACAAGCTGGGGTAGAATCAGAACAGATTAACTCCATTCTCTCAGAAAATGGGTATGTGCCCGACGTTTTCCCAGTGAAATATCTCAAGCGCGGGGAATTTCTGTGCCCGGGCTTTGTTGATACCCACAACCATGCTCCCCAGTGGGCACAGCGTGGTGTCGGACGAGGGATTTCCTTGCTCGATTGGCTGGATAAGGTCACTTTTGCCCACGAGGCCAAGTTTCAAGATCCAGAATATGCCAAACAAATGTACGCATCTTGCGTGACGGGCTTCTTGCAGCAGGGCATTACCACCGCATCATATTACGGCTCATATCATGGCCAGGCAACTCGAATTCTCGCTGATGTCTGTTTTGAAAAAGGACAGCGCGCTTTGGTCGGCAAGTGTAACATGAACCGGAATGCTCCGGACTGGTATCGGGATCCGTCGGTCTCCGACTCACTGCATGAAACGCGTGAGTTCATTCACCATGTTCAGCAACTTGATCCGGAATACCATCTGGTGAAACCAATCCTGACGCCACGCTTTGCAATATCCTGTGAGCCGGAATTACTGGATGGGCTTGGTGCCATCGCCCGTGAACACCCCGATCTTCCAATACAAACACATTTCAATGAAGCAAAGCAGGAGATTGAGTTCACACGCCAGCTCTTTCCAGAGTTTGATACGGAAGCTGATCTATATCAGCAATATGGTCTGTTGAATGATCGCTCTATTCTTGCCCACTGTATCTTTTTACAAGAAGGAGAAATGCGACGCATCCAGGAGCTTGGGTGTGGAGTTGCCCACTGTCCAATCGCCAACACCACTATGCAAGAGTTTATGGTAGCGCCGGTGCGAGAGTATCTACGCCGCGGTATCAAGGTGGGGCTGGGCACCGATAGCGGTGGTGCCTACTCGTCATCCATACTGGATGCCATGAAACAGGCTTTCATTGTGTCGAATGCGCAGCAGATGTTGACCCAAGGACGGGACCCTGCGCTTTCTTTGCATGAGGGTTTCTTTCTCGCTACGCTGGGTGGTGCGCAAGTGTGTGGACTCGACGACCGAGTCGGTAACTTTGCGGTTGGCAAAGAGTTTGATGCCCTCGAAGTTCATACCACTGATCTTGGTCATCCAGGAATTATGAGCCCAGTCGAAGATGAAGATACCACCCATGTGATATTCGAGAAATTTCTGATGACTGGGGATGATCGGAATATTGTCAAAGTCTATGTGGGCGGACGGTCGGTCAAAATTTGACGGTCAGCCTGGATTTATGAGAAATGAGAAATGATATCTGTGAGTTACAATGTTAGAATGAAAGTCAACCCCCCCATAGACTAATTAGCAAGGGTATTCAAATGACCATTTCCATGTTCAACTCCAGTATGCCGAAGATATTATGTACAAAAAAGAGATGCAAGATGCACCTAACCCGCAATGGTTACCAACAATGTTATGGACAGATAAAGACGCCAAAAAGAAGTCAGGATCAAGTCAGATCACTCCCAAGTTCCCTTTGGGGGGCCAAAGTAGCCTTCCGCTGGTAAACCCATGTAGGGTGTTCCTTTGCCGTCGGCCGTGGTTTCCGACACATTATTCCCCCACCAGCTCAATGAGCCTGCTGGGAGAGTTATGCAAAAGAAGATGATCACCGTCGCGACTGCAACGCCGCAGTCTAGCGCGGCGGATAACACATAATCTGTGGACGATAAGCAAAAGAAGCAACCTTAGAACAATGAAGAAGAACATACTGTATTTCGACCACCACGCAGGCCTACGGCGACGGAGTATACCATTGAATATCAAGTTGACTATCCACCACGACGAGAAGTTGATACCTGTAGCGGGTGGAACTAGACTCATTGCACCGAAGGCCACAGGCCAAGAGACATAATTGGCAGCCTTCCAACGACGACCTAGAAGAAACGTAATGACTACCACCGCGGGTCCGACCAGGAAAAACCAAAGCAGATTGCTATATATCTGACCGGGAGAAAACAATCGGCCTGGCCCAACAGCGCCTGAAGGTTGGTTAGCTATGAGTGGCAAAACGTCACATAGAATGGAACCTACCCCAGATGAGAGACGAAGAGTATGTGACCTTTCCATGAGGGCAGATGAAATTCCCCTCGGCCTCAGGGGTGCACACACCATCAATTCTGGTGATCATAAACACAGTCACACCACATTGAACGATAGCTCCGATGAGTGTGGCAAGGCCTTGAGCTACAAACAGAAGGCGTGGGGCGATGTGCATATAATGAGCCAACTTCATATCAGCCACAAATCTAATGTGATGTTAGTCCATGTCAATGTTGTTTCCATACAGGATGTAACTCACTCGAGTCCTTGTTGGACGGCAACATAACCATAGAATTTGAACGCCATATTAGCCACTGGCTGCCCGAGGAAAGCGTATCCGCCAATGAATTCCGTGAGCAGATTCAGTTGATTACTACTGATATTTGTGAGTGCTTTGATGACTCCCACAGGGATAAAGTAGAGCACTGGTAACATGAATGCCACAAGTACCCCCCATGCCGGTAGGCCCGTATGCCACACTTCGTTGGTTACAACACTCAAGACAAACATCGAGACAGATACTGTAACAAACCACCACCAAGGTACAGCCCGATATGAAGACATCAGTCGACCATGAACGTCTTGTTTGCTGGTACCTTTCCATTGTTGCCGCAAGTCTTTGCCATGATACAACGCGACATGAAAGAAGATGCCCGTCAAATTGGCAAAGGCAACACCGAAGGTGATTGCGAAGCCGGCCGGCAAAAACATGGGCGAATAGTCCCGATAAGCAGTTTGGTCGATACTTCCGCTCGAGCTCATGATACGAGTAGTATTATAAGGAGCTCCGGTATTATCGAAAGTGTTGGAGTTTAGCAGTGGTAGATGTGCAGAATACCAGATGTTAGAGTAGTAAGCGAGGGGGCACACAAGCCAAAAGAAGAACGCAAATGATCCCATCACGTTCAGGCCAGCCCAAAAGGGAACAAGCAGAGGGCTCTGGTTGGCATAGACCACCTGGGCCCAGTCAAAGGTCAATACTGACATCCCTAGCCCGGTAGTTTGTCCAAATAGCTGATTGACCACCACATTGGATGGCACGATCCAGCAGATGAAGGCGAAGGTGCTGAGACCTGTGAAGAGATATCCCGGGACGAAGTACCAGATGGCGCCACCGATAAAAACATAAAGAAAGAAGCGAAGACGTGTGACCCGCCAGCCATCTGCAATAGCATTGGAGCGAGAATGAAGAGTGGTCAGAAGTGCCGCATTTGACAACACCTGTGGCCAAAGCATCGATGCCGGGCCCACTAGCCAGCGTGAGGCCATTCCAGCTAAGCCGAAGCCAAACAATTGCGTAGTAACGCACAATAAAACTTCAAATCCACCTTGCGATGGCATGTTATAGAATTTGACAAGCGCCTCGATAACTTGGGTGGCAGCAGCAGAGCCAATAGAGACCTTGGCCATAATTGTGATCAAGGCATGCTCCTTGATATTAAAATGCCGGTCGGGATTTAATGCTCCAATGGGAATGCATTTCGCCCAGGCGCATCCCAGAGGGAAAGCCAACAACTGCGCCACTAGAGCACTGATATTCACACTGGGCTGTCGCAAGCTGAAGAACTGGTTGAGTCCACTACCGACCTGTGCCAGTTAGTACTATGCCGATCGTCGGGCTGTAGGAGAATATAGTACGTACGATAGTAAACAGAATACCAATAGTCCACATGCGGACTGTGTTCACAGGCAGCGTTAAGTCATTGACTGGCTGGATGACAGCCCGCACCTCGGGGAAAGGCGAATCGTCCGCTTCATAAGGTAAGATCTTCTCGGCATCCCGATCGTGAAGAATGTCAATTCCATCTTGAATTGGAGGGGCACTCTGAGATGTGAAACAGTTAACTAAGGGTACGTGAGGGAGGATCAAGATAGAAGAACCCACATGGCTCCATAAATTTTGACATTTCTCAGCCTTATCCATCATGGAACCGGTCCTCTCCCCAATACACACACACACACAATCCCAATTCAGTGTTGAGTCGGCTTGAGCCGAGTGTTAAACCGCGCTACCAATAGCTGCATAAATTGTCTCCAGATAGGTACTCGGTAGCCCGTAGAAGGATCCGAGCCCAGAGAACCAATAGAGAAGGGTATCGGGACCTCCCACCACCCCGGATTCCGCTCTCTTCAATGGGATTGGACAGGAGAGGGTAAAAAATGGATATGAAGGGAAAGGGGAAAAACGCGACGGAGGATGCGACGTCGGAAGAGGCCGTTATAGACCCACTTTATTATTGCCGGAGTAAGATCTAGCTTGATATTTTATGTCCAAAACCTCGAATTAATTGAAAATTAATCAGATCAATCGACTTGTGAAACACAGTGGAAATCCCACGTTGAAAGCCTTTGGAACTCGAAGCCCTAAGCGACAAAAATTCCCTTTTGCCTTTGTCTTTGGGGAATTTGATACCTTCTACTCACCTAACATCTTGAAATTGCCTTGGAATTTATCTCAGAGGCTACTTGAACTTATTTGAGTAGTTTTCTCGGGTTCCACCAGAAACTTGCCTAAAGGACTTTCGGAAACGCAGTGATATCATTCATTTGAACCTTTTACTCACCCCCACCATGGGTGAATGCAGCCAGTTTGATACCCATGAGGTGCCCTTTTCCCAAAGACCCATTATAATTCTCGGTGCAGGGATCATCGGTTGTGCGACTGCCCGTCAGTTATTGCTGACAGGGTTTCCCGTGGTATTGGTAGCCGAATATCTACCGGGAGACCAGAATATTCATTATGCATCGGCTTGGGCAGGCGCAGCATGGCATGCTGCTGGGGGCATCACTCCTGATCAACAATACCTCCAAGCTGTCACGCACCGTGTACTGCTCAAGATGGCACAAGATGGGCCCGAGGCAGGGGTGAGCATTGTGAACGCACGAGAGTACCTCGAACAAAAACCTGCCCCGGACTCGGCGATATGGGGTAAGACGGTAGTCTCCAAGGTATTTTGTACTCTGTGTGATCCCTTGATTTGTTGAATATTTCAATGCTGACCAAGTTCAATTGTTAGTTCCGTGAAATGCGTCCTGGTGAATACCCTCCCGATTTCCACTGTGCCTGGACCTATGAAACGCTAGTCACGGACCCCACAAGACATATGCCTTATCTTAAAAACCAAGTGGAGTCTCTTGGGGGTCACTTCATCCGCCAACGTGTCGAGTCTCTCCAGGAGGTGTATGAGATGTTCCCGGAATCACAGGTCTTCATCAATGCTAGCGGATGGGGTAGTAAAGCCCTGACGGATGTGCAAGATCACAAGTGTTTTCCGGAGCGAGGGCAGAATGTGTTTCTGGCCACTGATCAATGCAACACACTCTACTTTCGAAATGGCAAGGAATATACCTATGTGATCCCTCGGCCTCTATCCGAGGGGGTGGTCCTAGGTGGGGTGAAGCAACAAGGCAACCTGTATGGGAAACTCCTTGAATCCCTCCAAAAAGAAGAAAAAAAAAAAAAAAAAAAGAAACTCTAGGCGATTCCCAAGCTAACCATTTCCAGGTCACCTGAGGTCGATATGGATATTGCGAGGGATGAGATTACCCGTGCGCATCGATTAGCTCCTGAGATTGTTCCCGAACACCCAGCTGCAGATCAGGTGAGTTATATCATTGGAATCCGACCATCTCGCAAAGGAGGGTTCCGTTTGGACTCGGAGCGAAAGGACCGCCGGGTGGTGTTATCGGCTTATGGGTTTGGGGGTGGTGGTTATGCATTTTCATATGGGATTGCAGATGCGTTGGTCAAGATGGTGGAGACAGCGGAGCGTGAAAATGTGATCTTGTAGGAAAGATGTCTCGGAAAATGACCAATCGTAGACTTTTGTGTCGATTCAATCAAGACTAACGGGTTAAGACCGAGTTATTGCCGATTGAAGAGTACGGAGTACATAGGACCCGGGTAATATATGTGATATCTACCTACGGAGTAATATATACCTAGGTAGTGCTATATAGATAGATAGACTCCTACTTGTACATAAATCTATATATATATATATACACACAATAAATGTACAAGCAGGTCAAGATGTATAGAATCTATTAATATCCTTTCATCCCATGGATTTACATGTACTCATCATCATCACTTTTCCTTGTTTCTCCATTTTTTTTTTTCCCTATCCACTTTGTTCTCGATCACTCTCCCCGGCTATTTCTCCCGTCCACTCAATTTCCAACTTTCCCTAATTCCCCTCCAGAAGGACATCTCTATCCTTATCCTTATCCCAATTCTTTCGAATGACATCCTCAAATTCTTTCAGGCTGTCCGCAATATGCCTGTGGATGAAATGCTTCACCTTAGTATTTCTGAACCCTCTATGAATAATGCCATGATCACTCCTCCGGCCGAGGATGACTTGAATCGGGGGAAAGTCATTGAACAGCCTGCGATCGAATCTTTAAGTCGCATCTATCGATTGACACCGTGAGAGTTCCCCTTTGAAATATCTGAATATCATTAACTCTCGCAGTAAGCCCACTCTCGTATTAGATGGCGCCCTACAAGTCATCGAAGTGTCCAATAGTCATGTGGAGGTCTTCAAGCGCCCACGAGACCAACTGTTGGCAGCCAATGTCTACGATCTTCCTCCCTCGATCCTCCCCGCTCCCGATATCGCCTCGTTGAGTGGTGCTCTCGGTACTGCCATGTCTACCCGCGAAGTGCAGGTCATTAAGCGTGTTCATGTGGCCCAACTCGATACCTTCTTTTCACTCAGCGTGACACCCATTTTTGAAGAGGATTCCCTCATCTATCTACTCTTGGAAGCCCAGCGGACCAAGCGTCAACGGACTCGGACGAAATCCATCAGCGAACAAACCTATCTCAACGAGACCTACAAAATATTGATCGACACCGTAAGGGATTATGCCATCTTCATGCTGGATACCCGCGGCTATATTGCGACTTGGAATTCTGGCGCTGCGATCTTGAAGGGATACACGTCATCGGAAATCATCGGCCAGCATTTCTCCGTATTCTACGGTCGCAATGACAGCGAAATGAACAAGCCCGCCCGTGAGCTGGAAGTCTGTTTGAAAGAAGGAAAAGTGGAGGATGAGGGCTGGCGTTATCGCAAGGATGGCAGCCGGTTCTGGGCTAATGTCATGATCACCGCCATCTATCAGAATGGCAGCCATGCGGGATTCGTGAAAGTCACCCGTGACCTGACTGAACGCCGTGCGGCGGAGGCCCGTTTGATTGACGCCTTCGAAGAATCCGCCAAGCTCAAGTCCGACTTCTTGGCCAACATGTCCCACGAATTGCGCACCCCGATGAACGGAATGCTCTTGGCCTTGACAATGCTACTGAGGACTGACTTGACTGATGATCAGCGGGAATTCGCCTGCATTCTTGAAGACTCGACCTCTATCTTGCTGCAGGTCATCAACGATGTGTTGGATTATTCTAAGCTATCGTCGGGAACCTTTCCTTTGAACCCAGACGTGGTCCATATTCCCGATGTGATATCTGCGGTAGTTCGAAACTGTCAGTCGGCGCTCAAGCCTGGGGTTCAAATCATGAGCGGCGTTAGTGACGGGTTTCCTCCAAACCTCAGAGGTGACCCACTACGATTCCGCCAAGTCCTGCAAAATTTAGTCACCAACGCAGTCAAGTTCACTGAGAGTGGTCATATTCGAGTTCATGCCACTTATGCCATCGATGAAAAGGACCCCGAGATGTATGTGATTTCTACACAGGTAGTGGACACTGGTATCGGCGTACCTGAAGATGCCGCGAGCATCCTTTTCAACCCCTTCACACGATTCGCGGACACGGCCGCAAAAAGATATCAAGGTACTGGCCTCGGTCTGTCGATATGCAAGAGCCTGGCGGAATTGATGGATGGAGCAGTTGGATTCCATGCCAATCCCGATGGACCCGGTAGTGTCTTCTGGATGACAGCCAAGATGGCTCGCCTGACCTCGCCAGTGTCTCCAGTAAAGCAAAGGTTGCCACCGGCTACCCCCGAGGCGTTGGATAATTCCGCGTCACTCCAGAAGGTCGCCCCACACAAACACATTCTTCTAGTTGAAGACAACAAGGTCAACCAACTTATCATGTTGAAACTTCTCAGCAGTTTGGGTTTCAATCGTGTTGATGCTGCCTGGGACGGAGCAGAAGCAGTGCGTATGGTCAAGCAGAAACCTTTGGCCTACAATGTGATTTTGATGGACATCAACATGCCGGTCATGGATGGATTGACGGCCACCGCACACATCCGACGGATGAAAATCGATGTGCCCATTCTTGCATTAACAGGGAACGCTCTCAAGGGAGACGCAGATATGTATCTGGCCAAGGGGATGGACGATTACATCGCTAAGCCCTTGCATCGGCAGCAGCTGGTGGATTTATTATGGAAATGGTGTGGAAGCTAAGCGATTGTTTCCCAAGCCGGGGGTTTGCCCAGCGAAATCCACATCGCCAATTTCAGGCCGTCTTTTGGTGCGTCCAAGGCACAGCAGTTGAAACAGACCCGTGCCAGCGCCATGGGGCGAGAAAATTCGCGGTCGAATCCTCAGGTCGAGGATTTCTAACGAGGATTTCTAACCATATCACTTTGTCGATGCAGCAGAGGCTGCCATTTTCACCTGCAGTTTTCGGACAACAGTCCAGCAAGCGGGCATTGAAACCATATTGTTCTGATGCTTTGAGTTCTGGCACTTCTTTCACATTGAGGTCCGCAGTTCTCCGCTAATCAGCTACACACAATTATCGATGGGAATGTGACCCGCCGATATATTGAGGTCCCCTGCACATGAAATGCCCCATGAGCTATATTCTTTGCTCGCATGACTTACGCCCGGAGAAGGGCACATGAAACTGTGTTTCCACCACCGACGTTGCAATCATGCAGCCTTGGGTGGTCTTCTGTATCAACTTTTCAATACCACTCATGAGATAATTCCTGTTATGCGGAGCTTAGGCATCCGCATAGTGGATGATGACGTTTGCGATCTCGATACAAGACTGCTCAATGGTCATTTGTAGGGTCCATGAGGTTGGAATAGCAGCCAATCCTTTTAATCACCGTAAATCGATCCCAAAACGTACTAAGCAGAGTGCATAAAACAGGGCTTTTCCCATTGAACCACGTGGGCAAGTATCCCCAATTGTCCCACCGTCTGAATTTCAGGAAAGATGATAGTTCTACATTAACAGTCCATCGTTAGGCTTGGGCTTGATCTCAATCCAAACCTATCCCTTTTTCTCGCAACATTTGGGAATGTATAGCTCACCTCACACAATTTCACTAGATTGATCACGCTGGTTACGCTTTATGACCTCGTTACCAGTCAATCTTTCAGGGGCAGCTTTCTCCCGAGGTAGTACGCTGATAGTATTCTATCTTCGCATGAGGTTATGGCTGTGCCCCGAGGCAGCCTTTTGGTAATTCGGACGGTAATTGCCAATATCCCGTTCGTCCGGAGGTTTGAAAGCAATGAAACTTGATCTGCAATTGAAAACAAAGATACATGTTTTCAAATGTCTTGACTCGTGTCGACTTGATGGATGGTAGCGACCTCCATTTTCAAAAGTCGCCGAAGAACGCGACCCCATCAAGGAAGAGATACTTTCCGCATAGATGTTCACATGGCCCCTCGTGTGACCTCTCTCGGCCGTCTTTAGTCCTAACCTTCCGAGGGATGTCGATTTGGTTTGATCTTGTGGATGAATGGCTCCTAGAAACTTCAAGCGGATGTTCAACCACCGGCGAGATACTTAAAAGCCATGCTGGAGCTCATATGAGGCAGCCCAAAGGTTAATGACAGGCAGGATAAGCTCTATCCTTACACAGACTGTTTTCCCGGGGTCTTAGCATTCTTGATCGACTGGCTGCCCTTCGTCTCGGGTAATCTCAGGCCGTCGGATTCAAGGCCTTCGCCCCCGAAACCTTCATCTAGGCCTCCAAGAAAAGACGGGAGATTCTATATAGTATGCCCTGTCCGCCGTGGGTCATTTTGAATCGATCCCTAGGTTTGAAAGTGGAAGCTAAATTGGGAAACCCCTGCGAAGACAATTACCATGAAGTCTCTCAGTTTACTTTGTGCTCTGGCAACCAGCACCATGGCAGTTCCAATGGCTCATGATTATCAATTACATGAGCGTCGTGAGTTCATGCCAAAATTTTGGGCTGAAGGCAAGAAGCTCGATGGAAATGTGTCGCTACCTGTGCGAATCGGGTTGACCCAGTCTAACCTAGACTATGGCCATGAGCTTCTTATGAACTTGTATGAACTTGCCCAATGGACCTCCCACCGTCTGAAACTGAGATAAATCCTCTTAGGTCTAACCCCTCCTCAAGCCGCTACGGGCAGCATCTGTCCATCGATGAAGTACATGACCTGTTTGCCCCGACTGAAAAGAGTGTGAATGATGTACGTACCTGGCTGGAGTCGGCTGGTATCCAAGAAGACCGTATCACGCAGTCAGTCAACAAGCAATGGATCCAGTTTGACGCCGATGCCGAGGAGCTCGAGGAGTTGCTGCACACAAAGTACTATGTCTACTCACATGCTGAAACGAGTCAATCACACGTGGCATGTCGCGAGTGAGGCTGTTGCTTGAATTGGAGCTGCAATGTTGCTGATATTACGACGATAGATATCATCTCCCGAGCACTATCCGGGGGCATGTCGACTATATCACCCCAGGAATCTCTCTGCGGGAGGTTATTGGTGTGCGAAACTCGACCGATAAGCGGAAACGCTTCGCTGACGGAATTCCTCCTATTATTGAGCCGATCCCACTGCCGATTGAGATGCTGTCGAGCAAGGCTTCGGCCTTTTGCGCCCAAGCCATCACACCCCAATGTATTCAACGTAAGTGATGTGGGTATGAATCCTCACACATCGGATATGCTGACAAGCCCATAGAGATGTATAATATCAGCGAGGGGCACTCTGCCACAGTAGGAAATGAACTGGGGATCTTTGAGGGCATCGGAGATGTTTACGCTCAGCAAGATCTAAACTTATTCTTCTCGAGGTTGTACTCGTATGTAAACCTTCACTCATCTTTCATTGACTGCATTGGATTTTAAACTGACGCTCCTGTAGGAGAATCCCCAATGGCACACACCCAACTCTGAAATCAGTTGATGGTGGTCAGGCTCCTACAAACATCTTCAATGCCGGAGCTGAATCCGACCTTGACTTCCAAATTTCCTACCCGATTATCTGGCCACAGAACTCCATTCTTTTCCAAAGTGATGATATGTATTACGAGCGTCATTATAGGTTCCAAGGGTTCCTTAATACATTCTTGGATGCCATTGACGGCTCGTACTGCAGCAGCATCTCACCTTTGGATCCTCCGTACCCCGATCCGAATGACGGAGGCTATAAGGGTTCACTGCAATGTGGTGTGTACGACCCACCCAAGGTCCTCTCAATTTCCTATGGCTCCGCCGAGGCAGACTTACCCATTTCCTATCAGCGGCGACAATGTGCCGAGTTCATGAAGCTAGGTATAATGGGAGTTTCAGTTGTCGTGGCTTCGGGCGATTCTGGTGTGGCGGGACGTGGAGGCGACCCTACCCCCAGCAACTGCCTTGGCCCCGATGGAAGAATTTTTACTCCAGATTTCCCTGCCTCATGTCCATATCTTACTGCGGTAGGGGGTACTGAAATCCCCACCGGTTCCTCACCAGAAGATCATCAGGAGCAAGGCGTGACTAGGTTCCCGTCAGGGGGCGGTTTCAGCAACATTTATAAGGCGCCTGAATATCAGACCCAGGCTGTTGCGGATTACTTTGCCTTGGCGAGGCCCTCATACCCATACTATGAGAGCGTGGACAACAGCAGTTTTGGTGAGAATGATGGGATCTACAACCGGATTGGACGTGCTTATCCAGATGTAGCTGCAATTGGTGACAATGTCATTATTTATAACAGGGGAATGGCTGTGTCGATTGGTGGGACATCGGCCTCTGCCCCTGTCTTTGCTGGAATTCTCACCCGCATTAACGAGGAGCGATTGGCCGCTGGCAAGTCCACTGTGGGCTTTGTCAACCCTGTATTGTACGCTCATCCGGAGGCTTTTTTTGACGTGACCAAGGGCACAAATGCGGGTTGCAGGACTGACGGATTCTCTGCGGCTCAAGGGTGGGATCCAGTGACCGGATTGGGGACCCCCAACTATCCCGAACTTCTGAGGGTTTTCATGGACCAGACAAGTTGAGGGCAATTTTGTTTCGGGGATACGTTGAAGATTAGTTAATCTAGTGAGTCCGATGCTATTCGATGGAAGTTTGAAACCCCAAAGAACCATGATGCAGACCCTGCAATATTGTAGCATTATCGGGTAGAAGGCCGTAGAAGGCCGGAGAGAAGTACAGTAAACCGACTCAAATGCTCACAATACAAAAGAAATATAGACGAAAGATTCAGCGTGTCAAGTGAAAATCACGTTTTTAGAATGTCAAATGATATCATAAATAGACCCGCAAATGGGGTTGGGGTAGTTCTGGCGTGTATACACTCCCGACTCCCTATATTCCTTATATAGGGTGCACGTATCGTCTAGAATACCCTATATAGTCAGACGAAGAGCAGATATATCAGAAAATTGCCACTTCACCCAGTCAATCACAATGAGCGACCTTGTTACCCTATGACATACAACATGTATTGTCCCTCGGTGGAGTCTACTCCGAACGGGGTGGGATGGACAGTCCAGAGCCCCGCCGGAGAACTGGCACATTTAAGGACTTGTCCACCTTTCTTTCTCTTTCTCTTCAAATTTATTACAACAAACAGATTCAATCAACATGTCTCTCGGCAAGAAAGTTACCCTCAACTCTGGCCACCAGATCCCGTGCGTATATTCTACAAATACTCCGTGCTTCCATCACTGACCCCCACGTTTAGCCAGCTGGGCTTCGGTACTTGGCAGTCCGCTCCTGGTCAGGTTGGCGAGGCTGTCTATGAGGCATTGAAGGCTGGTTACCGCCACCTAGTACGTGCATATACTCCGTACACCTATCTCATTTTCTTTCTTTCAGATTCTTGGCTAACTCCTATTCCTCTCAGGATTTGGCAACCATGTATGCAGCACTGAGTTCTTGATCATGAGACTCCCCCGTGGTAATTGCAACTGACTTATCATCCGTTTACAGCTATCAGAACCAGCGTGAGGTCGCAGATGGCATCAAGCGTGCTTATAAAGATGTACCCGGTCTGAAGCGTGAGGATATCTTTATTGTAAGCTAATCCATACTCGAGAAGTTACACAATTTCAGCAACTGACGTGTCATTTTGCAGACCTCTAAGTTATGGAATAAGTATGCTGTCTCGAACTATGTTGTTATACTACAAAATTATTGACTTTGCATGTAGCCAGCACCGTCCAGAGGTTGTCGAGGCCGCTTTGGATGCTTGCCTTGCTGAGCTTGAGTTAGATTATCTTGATGTATGAGTATCCTATTTGGTGACTGCCTGGGAGTTTGCTGACAGACCCAGCTTTATCTTGTTCACTGGCCCGTTGCCTTTGCGAAAGGCGATTCATACTTCCCTCTAGTTGCCAATAGCACCGTCGAGGGTGGGGATGTGATCATTGATGACGGCGTCTCTATTGTGGACACCTGGAAGGGCAAGTAATCAATGTGCGCGGATTGGAAAACGGGACCCAGCTGACTCCTCTTAGCCATGACCCAGCTCCCTAAGAGCAAGGCCCGCTCCGTTGGTGTCTCGAACCACAAGATTGAGCATGTCCGTGTTTTCCCTATGCTGGAATGTGCCATACTTGAGCTAACATGCCCTGCAGCTCGAGGCTATCATTAATGGCACCGGTGTCGTCCCTGCAGCCAACCAGATCGAGCGACACCCGGTGCTCCAGAGCAATGACTTGATTGAGTACTGCCAACAGAAAGGAATCCACGTCACTGCTTACTCTGTACGTATTTATCTTTTGAGTTGATGGCAGAGGAGCACAATACTAATTTGACTCCTAGGCATTTGGTAACAACATGCTCGGAATTCCCCTACTCATCACTCGCCCGGAGGTCAAAGAAGTTGCCGAGTCTGTTTCAAAGCGCACTGGTCAGGAAGTCACCCCCCGCACATGTCATGTAAGATCATACACGCCAATTTTGCATCACTGCCCTGTGAGAGCTAACATTCTTCAAGTCTAGCCTGGTCTCAGGTCGGCGGACATAGTGTCATCCCCAAGTCGGTCACAGCTTCACGCATTCGTGACAACTTCAAGGAGGTGGAACTCACCCCCGAGGAGGTTGAAAAGGTTAGCGTGCTGGGCCAGAACCGGAAGCGCTACAACATTCCTTATACTGCCAACAAGCCTCGTTGGAACATCAATATCTTCGGCGAGCCCGAGGAAAAGCCCGCTGATCACAAGGTCATTCTGAGTGTTTAGTTTCGCTGATAGCAATAGCCTGAGGCGCCTACTGGTTGAATGTGAAGTAGACATCCATGTACTTCATGGCGAGTGTACAAAGCTTGCACCAGTTATGATATATCTAGCCTAGTCGCTCAATAATCAATCGATCAAGGTCAACCTTTGGCTTATTGAGTGCCTGAATTCCGAGGCATTGACAATACCTCGCTAAATCGGGATGAAGTTTCAACGTAAGACGTTTGGCGATTGCGTTCCGAACAGTGTGGTCACAAAGTAGGCTGGTGGTGGTGACAGGTGGCTGAAATGTGAGGACCCCCAAGACTACATATGCCCGTGTAGATATAATATTGTAGACCAGATTCTCTGGGTCGTGAATAGTGCGGGACCTTTGAAATTCGGGAACTAGGGCAAAAAGTATTATCACAGCATGTTGCGTTCAATGAAAGGATCAACGGGTATATGTATGATTGCGAACAGCTGTCTGCCATGCCGCTTACGCTATCTCACGGCGGCTGCAAGTGCTATCAAGATGATCTCTGCTCGTAAATTGGCCATGGCCATCCTTTAAGCCTGCATTTATTGGTCGCTGATGAGAGCTTAAGATTGGTCCTGCGTCCAGCTCATGACATTCCTGATCTCGAGCGGATGCATTAGGTGCCTCATAAATTGAGCGACTATCCAAAAATATTGCCGACCCCACTGGCTTCCGGGGCAAGAGAGTCTGCGGTTCTGCCGGATGTGAAGGTTCTTCGTGAGGTGAGACGCTGCCTTGAGAAATGGGGGCCTTTTCATCATGTGCCAGGACAGTTGATGGGGTTGATGACGATGGAATAGTCGACTGGGTCTGTCCAGCTCTCCGTCTTTGGCGCCTTCGCCGAAGCACAAACCATAGAACCAGCACAATCAGAAGCACAGCCACGATAACCCCCACTGCGATCCCACCCTTGGCTCCTGGACTCAGGCCAGACGAGCCAGTAACGCAGGAATAGCCGCTTTTGAAGACGCCGTTGGACTTGAAGCTGTCCAATGTACTGCATGACATCGAGCTGCTACCTGTAATTACTGTCTGACCTTTGACTTGATTGAGAGAAGGTAGCGACACGCTGGGATTTTCATCAGTACCGTGGAAGGTGGGAGCTGATGGCTGTGGCAATAATCATACCTGTGGAATGATCCCGTCAATACCAACTGTCCTTCAATTTCCTCCAATTCTTGGAACCCAAGTGTTTTTAGGCTCGGATTCCCGGTGATGATTAAACTCGAAGATACTTGTGATAGTGCGCCCATGGTTATGGCTGTGAGGGAATTGAGGGTGCTCAGTGTGATACCCCCTTGCACACTGTCCAAATCAGGGGCAATGATCTTCGTAAGTTCTGAGGCACCCTCAGCAATAAAGGCGCCCTTGATTTCCTCGACATTACTGATGGTGATCACTCCACTGGCAGAAGAGGATATCGTGATGGTTCCATCAAATGTCTCGCAATTAATCAGCTTATTTGCGTCGCTTTGATTTGAGATAATTACACTGCTTGAACCTATATAGAATGAGTTACACCACTGACTCGGCCGAAAAAAAAGCAATGCAGTACTTACAGGCATCAGAATCCGCGACCGCTCTTTGCCATGCACTGGCAACCACCAGAAGGTAGATTACGATCATCCGAACGGGTAAGGTCGGCGGAGCTTCAGTTACTTTTTTCTTCTTCACACGATCAGCCCTGAATCTTGTGAGCGTAAGGCTCCGGGTGTTGGCAGGTTTAAGGGAAATGATATGGATTGAGGCGGAGTCAAAAGATTTCCAGCCTAATGCGATTGTATGTATTTTGAACTGCCGATCGTGGCTGTTTATAGTGTTGATTGGTCAACTTTGGATGTCTTGTTGAATGATACCCGAGACCCATGCATGGCCCCGAGGAATCGCTCTACCTGGGGATGAATGGTATACCGTACAAGTCCAGAATTCTCCTGACCGTGCAAGATCTATGAACTTGTTCGACATGAAAGTTGTCATAGATTGATCATCACTCTCGGCATCCAAGTCATGTTGCTATTTTTGTGTACACTCCCATCCCCGTGCGGAGCCCCGGTATTGGATGGGGTAGGCAACAGAATTGGCCGCGCTTGGCGGGCTGGTCTAGTTCAAAATCCCCACGCCACAAACCACCAAAGGAATTGAAAGAATTCACAGGATAGAATTGATATGTAGGTACTCCGTAATCTTTCCAAGGTTGGGATGTTGATCATATCAAAAGACGTCATGCGTGTATAGCTTACATATGTATCGATTTTATGCCCAAAGTCCTTGGTACTGGGAGTGGCAAACCATGGATCTGAAAGCCTTTGGATGACTCAGCACATGCGGGGAGCTCTCCATGTTCGGTTCTGTATGCATCTTGAATCCCCTAAGTCAATATCCCTATGAGAGTACCCAGGGGCTGTAGGAGGTGTCGTCATCGCCACATAAGATGTGTGATTCCCACCGGTGCATCGACTTGCACTCCATGTTTGCGACTTGGCCGGGCGTGTCATCTCGATCCCCGCTTCCAGTTCAAGTCTGTCCACCACGTTTACCAAAGGAAAAATGGTGCCCCTGCCCGATTCGAGTTGAATTGGGGTGAAGAACAAGTTTGGGTGGCTGTATCGCAGCCCGGTAGGTATCCAGGGCCCATGAGCTTGGTTACCTACTAATCTAGTCCAGTGACTTTCGTCCTGGAGTCGAGTGATGGATCCGCTGGAGGCGGAGATGATGCCTTGGAACAATACAACTCCCCGACATCGGAGCAGGTGCTACATGACCACTGCGGATGGACTCAAGATCTTCACTCGGAAGATACATATCGGGATCAAGCTCCCAGCCCGCTTCATAGGAATCGACCCCGCCAGGACTCTACAAACAGTTCACTCAGCCTGATGCCAGGCAATGGGACGATACTAACACTAAGAGAGGCGTTCCTGATGCGCTACTTTATTCAGAAATTAGCACCCTGGGTGAGGCATAAGGGAGTGTCCTGCTACAATTGCATATCTAATCGTTATAGGCCGATGTTTGTGACATCCATTCACATTTCAGAACCGAAGTCCCAAAACGGGCACTGGAGAACAAAATGGTCCTGCAAGCCATACTGGCGCTGTCTGCGCGACATGATGCGATCTTGGCCAACGATAGTGACTGGGAGGCCTCGGCCTATCACGGACAGTGTTTACAGATCTTGATTGCGGCATTAGATCAAGCCGAGACGAATTGCGACGAGAATATGCTGATTACGGTCGTAATTCTACGTATATATGAAGAGTTGGAGAACAAGACTGACCAAAAGTTTCATCTGCTTGGGTCCAATCGCTTGGTGAATCTTGTCACCAGCTCTGCGTCCTCTGGTGGGTTGGCAGAGGCAGTGAGCTGGCAGTTTTTGCGACAAGCTATATATGCATCAGTGGTACAATATCAGCCATTGCAACTCGACATGCAGAACTATGAGCGCTCTTCAATGTTTCACCGTGACGACGACGCAGCTTGCGCTAACAGGATCATCTATCATTGCGCCCGTATTCTCAAACTGTGCTGTGGTGCACCAGCTCATATTGTAAGACAAGATACCTGGCGCCAGATATCGGACAGTGTGAAAGAGTGGAATCAGACCAAGCCCGCAATCTGGCAACCGATTCGGTATCAGGCATCGAGTGTGGCTGCTAGTCGACCGTTTCCTGAGGTATGGATGATATCCCCGCCCGCAGGTATGTTTTTTTACAGAATGATGTCGCACCCTGAAATCACTGACCGCACAAAAAGTGGTTGGCATGCAATATTATCATTCGGCGTGTATTTTTCTCACCTTGTCTGAATCCCAACCACCCAACATGACCGATTATGAAAGGGCCCGTTCAAGGCGCGTGAAAGAGGTAATCACGCCAAAGCTCTGAGAAACTTCATTTGCAGGCTGATACAACTCCCAGAAAGTCATTGCCGACCATCTTGTTGTGGTTATTGGCCTGTCACTGTCCAACGAAAGCGTCGAGAATGCCTATTTCATGGCATCACATTTATTACATCGTTGTTCGTGTGGAATCCATATCCCTCGAAATATTTGCTTGCTAACAAATCCTCAGTCGGTTACTGCCTTCGGAATGTAGTCGAACAGGAGGGCTCATTGCAATTTCTGACTCGAGTCGAAAAAGTGCTGGGGTGGCGCACTTCATGGATGATGCGAGAGCTGGAGCATCAATGGACCGAGTTGGCTGGGTTTGATTCTTGGGATTCTTGAAGTTTGGAGTGAATATGTATCAGCCCCCAGAGTTGAAGAAGACCTAATTATAAACAAAATTTCCTGAATTGATGCCTCTCACCGGTCCTTTGACATACGCCTAGATATCTGTGTCTACTGAATGGTGTCATTACCGCGAGTACGCGAGTAGACCAGACGTACGGAAGATTACATAAAATGGGGAATTCCTCATATGCAATACCATCTCATTTCGGACCTGTTTGGTAACCCAGAATAAGCCCACGGTGGTGCTTCCAGTTATCCAGAGATGTGACTTCTTATGATGGAGGAGAGCCCATCAGTTATGCCCGTCACAGGCGAGGTGCGGTTGCAAGTCGAGGGATATGGTGTCTGCTTGTCGAATCAAAGTGCTGAGATGTATGGGTATGGCTGGTACAGATATATCTTTGTATGTCTTTTTAGCAATGCCACCTGGGAGGGTTGAACCTCCGTGGATAGGAAGCAGAAGTAGTGCCCTAATTTACACAATAAAAGGAAGGGTTGAATGTCACCGGTTTTACTTCTGAGCCTGAAAGAGGTGGAAATTGTTACAACCAAGCATTGGCACGGATGGCTTCGATATGACCGACCGAGTGCTCTCATTCATGTCCTATATGATACGGGAAGACGAGGTTCTCCGAGCCAATCAGGTAGAGAGGGAGTCACAGTATAAAGTTAGGTATGAATGGGCTTAGACGATGGGTCTTGGAAGCTTGACTTTGTATGCTATCTCATGAGTGTAGATGGTCGTGATGGTAATGTGAAACCCTTACATATACCTACCCATTCCTCGCTAATTCTTCCCTTCTGCACCATCCGCCTCTCTGGGCCCTCTAGGAAAAGTTCCCTCTCCTGCCCATCCTTGACCGCAGCCTACATAAGCGCTAGTAGTATATGTGACCTGACTGAAAAGTCTAATCTATCCATCTCAAATCCCTCTAGTCCTAGTCCAACTGTCTCTTTCACCACAGTTGCAGTTAGGAACTCCACCTCCTCCTCACTTCCGACCTCTTCTTCCCAAACCCGCCACCACACCTGCCCTCCTATCCCCCCACCGGGTAACCCCTATCACTTGACTGACTCTGACTCTGACTCGCTATCTCCTTTGATAGCCTCTCTCCCTGATATCTGTCTGAGGTACTCTGCTTCTAAGCTATATATATCATAATTTCCCTACGCAATTAATATTCCAAAGTTATTAGCCCCCCATTGTTCCTGGGAGGTTGTCTTAGCTAGCTGAGATAGAGACAGACGAGAAGTAAAATAGCGAAGCTAGAAGTGCGCAGATGATTCCGAATAGGCTTGCGCAATAGGGTAGGCTGTGTGTAGGCGTGTCATGGTTACCTCTAGTGTGCTAAGTGCAGTAAGAGTCACAGATGGCAGGAAAGGCCGCCCACGCTGCGTGCACGAGATAGTGTAGGCCCAGCGGCTTTCTAGTTAGAATTTTCAAACTAACGCGCACTTTTGCTTTTTGAGACGTGATACAGAGAGATAACTAGTAATTGATTCTGGATAATCTAAATCAAGAGAATACTACTTTACGAATAAGGCTTAGCAACGGGGGTAAAACGAAGGGTAACTGTGAAAACTAAAAAGGGGGCTCAACTCATATTTTGGTCCTGTTTGGGGCCCATTTTGGGGCCTATCAGCCCATAGTGGGTTGGGGTGGGTTGAGCTTTGGGCTTTGTGGGCTTTGCGGAGCGCTAAGCATAATCAATTGCCCTCCTATTGAAAGATGAGTGCCAGGAGTGGCTACTCATACTTGAGACTAGCCCCTGTGAGAAATCCCTGTGACAATACGGAGTAGTCTCTTGTATCTTCTGTGGCGCCGATCAAAACGGTGATTCTGGGTTCACGCCTGGATTGAAATGTCTGCCTACCTAGAGGATCGATTAAGTAGCCAGAATCTCCACAATGAAGCAGACAAAAAGGGTGGCGTGATGTTACGGAAATTTCTTGATTGTCGTCGCGCCACGACCTCGCGGGTCAACGTCAAGTTTTACCCTCCCCTTCGTTTACTTTTTGCTTAACCTTCGTTGTTGGAATGTTCATGCACGACCAGAGCATCGCTGCCAAATCGTCGGGTGGCTTGCTTCGAATGCCAGCACGCATAATGGGCCACTCTGATGGGACAATCTCGAGCATAATGGTGAAATGCAAGCTGGTGCTCAATAGTTCTTGTTGCTTTCGCAACTTGGAAATGGTTAATCTTGTAGTGCTCGGCCGTGAAGATGATTTAGCCGCGAAGACTCGCAGAGCGAAAGCCAGTCCGGACTGCTCAGATTCCACCAGGAATCAACAAATACCAGAAAGAACTTTTCAACCCTCGATTTATTGGTGTGAATATTTTAGGGGGCTTGTAGTTTCTTTTTTTTGGGGAAAATGACTGGGCAGGTTGGTGGGGAACGAGGGTACGTACGGTGGCGCCGTGTTAGCGATATATCAGACGTTGGTAGGTAGGCTTGACGCAAGCGGAGGAAAGCAGGACCCTCGCCCTCTCAAGAGACCTTAATTGAGAGTGGCGATAGTAAGTCCGAAAGGCTCACGATACTTGGAAGTTGACGGCGAAAGGAAGGAGGGACAAACGAGGTGGAACAGATTCTATAAAGAAATACTTGACATTCTCTTCTCTTATCATTTCGTGACAATTCGATATTCAAAGTATGCAGCCAGACAGGTGTTAGTCTTCGGGTTCAGATCTTATCTCCTAGTTATGTCTCAATCTCTGTGCTCTCCAGTCCAAGGTTGTACAACTAGCCACGCCTATTTGAGGATTTTATCTATTGTACCAGTTAGACAAGTCAACAACGCCAGTGTGAATGTGGTGAATAAATTAAGAATGTAAGATGAAGAGCTTGGTGAGGTAAGCCCTTAGCCTATGGGTATCTGATGCATTGGCTGCGTATGAGACTTACATATAAATACATGTATCTTGCAACATCTCTCCCTTTCTCATTTCTCTCTCTCTATCCGTGACTTCCTCTGCTCTCTATTCTTCTTATCTCTTATTGATACATAGCAACATCCATAGGTCGATAGCAATGGTGACTAAATCATGGGAGGTGCTTGTGCACAAGAAGCAAGCTGAAGATGCTGCAAAGATCCCACCCGAATGGCGAATCCCGGAAGAACTGATCGAGATATCTGAGACATCCGGCAAAAATGTGCTTGATATTCCACGCCAGTCGGGAATCCTGTCAGCAAGGCAGCTTGAGATTACTGAGAACTATGATGCAACTGATCTGCTAGGCAAGATTCATAACCAGCAGTTGTCTGCTTATGAAGTCACCGAAGCATTTTGCATTCGCGCTGCAATTGCCCAGCAGGTGGTATGTATTGAACTGAGTTCTCCTTGTTTCCCTTCAAGCGCTTAATCGGCGGCTTACATTCAACTCACAGACTCGATGTCTCACGGAGATCTTCTTTGACCGTGCTCTTCAGCGTGCGAAGGATTTGGATGAGATATTATCCAAGACGGGGAAACTTGCGGGACCTTTGCATGGCTTGCCTATCAGTTTCAAGGTATGACTGCAATTTTAGACAGCTTCAGGTTTGCTGATGATGTATGAAGGATTGCTTCAACATTGTTGGGGTTCCATCCACGATTGGATTTACCTCATTTATCGAACATGGCGCCCTCAGTTCAAATTCCCCGGCAGTTCAGGTTTTACTTAACTTGGGAGCTATCCCTTATGTGAAGACAAACGTCCCCCAGACGATGATGGTGAGTGGGTTTGGTATCACAGAGGTATCACAATTGCTCAGCTAGACTTTCAGGCTGCGGACTCACACAACTACGTATTCGGCCGGACACTCAACCCTCACCGATCGAATCTTACCGCTGGCGGGTCGACTGGGGGGAAGGAGCACTGATTGCTATGAGAGGGTCGGTGTTGGGTGTTGGGACAGACATTGCTGGCTCGATTCGAATTCCAGCGATTTGCAACGGCATCTACTCATTGCGACCTTCCGCGGACCGCATTCCATACGGGGGACAGACTAGTTCTGCTCGCGGGGGTCTCGTTGGGATCAAGGCCTGCGCAGGGCCTATGGCAACATCAGTCAGAGTCTTGGAGCTGTTCATGAGACTTATGACCAATGCAGACCCATGGCAATTTGATTCTTCTGCTTTATTCTCCCCATGGCGCACCGTTGTCCTTAAGCCCACATTGCGATTTGGGCTCATCCAGGAGGATTCCCACTTCCCTTTACATCCACCTGTTTTGCGGACTCTCACAAGAGCAACGGAAAAGCTTCAAGCAGCTGGGAACGAGATAGTTCCGCTGGAGACCTTCCTCATTCGAGATATCTGCACGTTGGCATTTCGTATGTTTTCGATGGATCCAGCTCGAACCCCATTTCAACACATTGCTGCCAGTGGGGAACCGACCATCCCTGCGTTGGCATCAACATCTCTGGATGATGGATACATGCCAGATGGCTATGCTCCATTGACACTAGAAGGGCTGTATGACCTCAACGAGAAACGCAACTTCTTTAAAGAAGACTTCCGCAATCTCATCATGCAAGCAAAAGTGGATGCCTTTGTCATGCCTGGCTATCAAGGTACCGCTCAGCCTCATGACATTTTTGGCTTTGTGCCTTACACTGTCCTTTGGAATGTGATGGATGTAAGTTCGCCTCTTCTTGTCCCATGGAGCTATACTAACTCTCCGAAGTATCCGAGCTGTATTATTCCGTATGGCAAGGCGAGCAAAAGCGCGGACAAGCCATTCATTCGGAATGTGAATTACAAACCTCCTTGTACGTGTTATATTTTACACTTTGTCAATTTGAATTGAGAGAATTGATGCTAATTATGAAATTTCAGATGATGCGGATGACATTGAGGGAGCTCCGTGCTGCGTGCAGCTGATTGGCAGAAACATGCATGACGAAGAATTGCTGAAGGTGGCAGAGCTTGTTTCCAGGATACTCCGGCTTTGAATCCCCCTGGAAGTGAGAAAATGGATCATATTCAAGGGAGAGAGATATTTGGGTTACAAGAAATGCAAATTTGCTTTAGATTTCTACTCAACATGCCAATGATATTGGGGAATCACTAGTTGTAGATTATCTGAAGCCATAAATTTACCAATGTCAAACTCGCAAGTGACTCTCTTCGCAGATCTAGGGACTATTAAGGCAATGATCTATTTACAGGTAAATGAAACCTTGTGAAAGCGCAAGGGCACAAATGATGAGAAGAGGATTCGACACTGGACCCTGGATGATTTTCATATCAAGACCTTGAGGAGGAATAATTCACGGGAGAGTCACTCATAGGAGATGTTTCCTTGGCCACAGTACCCTCGGGGTATTTGGCCACGAGAATGTGTTCGAATGTCGTCACTTCGTTCAGCGGTCCCCGGAAAATTGCGATCCTGTCTCCAAAAAAGTTCCACCAACTGGAGGAATGTATTCACTCCCATCTGACTGCTATGAATTGGTGCAAAATCCGTGGGAGGTTGCTTTTTGAAGAATGTTACTATTCATATGCAACATTTACTCGGATCTCCATGACTCACACAACAATAGCAATGGCCTCGAAAACCACCGCGGTGGCTCTCATCAGCATCATCTCCTATGTTCAGGCATATCCTTTGAAACCTCTCAATCAGTTGTCCAAGCGACCATTTTTTGTTTTGGCGGGTGATAGCACCACAGCCACTCAATCCTCGAACGGGGGAGGATGGGGAGACGGCTTCCTCAGCACAACTCTTTTTGAAGGGGCTTCTGGTCGTAATTTTGGTCATAATGGTGCAACGACTGTTAGCTTTCGAGATGGAGGCGATTGGGGCGAGGTTTTAGCGACCGTGAAACAAGTTCGACATGATCATCATCCATTTGTGACTATTCAATTTGGGCACAACGACCAAAAGCCGGCTGCAAGAATATCATTGTCACAGTACACCAGCAACCTCGAGAGATTCGCGACCGAGGCTTTTGATGCTGGAGCTACACCAATTCTCATCACCCCTTTGTCCCGGCGTAACTACGATAACTCAACAGGCACACCGAGTATCATTATGAGTCTTACCAATGAGACCATGGGAACTATCAATGCCGCTCCCCACTCATATGCTACATACATTGACCTGAATCAAGCTAGCACGCGGTATCTTAATGCAATCGGGCCATCAAATGCTTCTACATACAACCTCAACCCAATGGACTATACCCATATAAATCTGCCAGGGAGTGTTCTGTTTGGAAATATTGTGACCGAACTGATTATTCAGAAGCTTCCTGCTCTGGAAAGATCCGGATATCTGTGCGTGAATGGTAGACTGAAGGAGGATATTGATCAAGGGATCTATCATTGGCCTTAACTCAACCACATAGTATGATTGTGGAGAACTACTCATTACATTCCTCAATAAGACAAGGTGCTATCGCCACATTAAAGAAGCTGTTCTATGTCTGTAGTGATACTGGTTCAGGCTAGCCTAGTGGTAGGTCCCACACGCCCATAAATCTGGTTAAATTAGTATCTCCAGCTCCCCAGTACCCCGACCAAACTGCAGATCAACGGGCTTTGATCACTTCTCCTCCTCATGTGCATGTTTTTGAAGGAATAATGCTTTCATCGAAGGATAAGTGCGCACTTCGAGATCTTCGGATAAAGCAGATGTTCCGTCTTTGCTATGAATATCGTACTGGATAGACTGTGGTGTTCTGCCCTGAGCACGTTTCTCAAACCAAATAGCGTGGACCCAATCAATGGAAACTTCGAACCCTTCTCCTTGGTCGTGGATTAAAATTGTCGCACCATCTTTACTGCTGAATCTACGGTCGATGTCGATCCGTTTCTCCGGACCCCATGATCCACCGATCTTAGCATTGAAAATGATTTCACCTTGAGCTCGGCGAATGGAGATGTGGAGAATAATATCTTTCTCTGCATCCATGATTGAAATCTGAGTCATGTCCACGCCATCATCGGGCTTAATAGGATCCACGCTTGACGACTCGAGGAGAATGACGCTGTCGGTCTTGAGTGTCTGCTGGAAGCGGAGATTTCCATAAAGAGGGAGATTTGCTCTTGGTCGTTTCGGTCTGGTTGTGGTCAGCGATCAAATTTCCTTCTTCATTCCCCCGATTCATAGGGCTGGGAACCTACCGAGGAGCCGGAGGGTCAATCTTCGGCTGCTTGAGCTCTGGATCCAGAGCTCCATCAGCACCACCGGTGATTGTAGGCTCTTTCTTGAAGTTTTCAAACGCCGGTAAAGTAGCGGGATTGGTGAAATGCTTCGTGTCATTGCTGCTGCCAATAATCTCTAGATCCAGCTTTTCAACCTCGTAGCGAGGTAACTCTCTCTCGTTCTGTGAATGATCAGCATTATTCATCCAAAACGGGCTTAAGGAAACCAATGGCTAGGTGTGTTTACCTTGAATACCCGCCAGTATGCGCGCTTTTTGATGTACGTCAAAACTTCGTCGCGAGTCAAGGACTTTAGTTTACGTCCACCCCTGAGAAGCTTGTAAAGGACGGGGGTAATTGGGATGTAAGCGGTTGATTTGACACGCAAATTCTGTCCTTGTGTGCAGTTCCCGCAGACTGAAGACCCATCCAGTTCGGGCTTTTGGCTAAAGTTATATACCTCGGCGATCAAGTCTCTCAGTGGGCTTTGTATGCCGTCCTCCTGGGCAAGATACAATTTGACCCAGAAAGGTTGCCCTCCCAACGCGTATCTGAGTTATTTACCATGATTAGCTATCGCCCTTTGGTGCCAGATATCCTTTTCAAGGGCAACGTACTTCAAGAATCGAACACTGAAGGCAAAGTCAGTAATTTTAAGCCCCCCGTCAATTGCCTCAACGCCCTCTGGGGTCGGAGCTTTAGGATCCAATACCAAATCACGCGACACACCATATAATTTATTCACGATGGTGTTGATGTTCTCATTGAACAGAACTTGGTTGAGTGTTCCGTCCTCTTGACGGTATTTACTCTCCCACCGTAGCAGCTCTGGGTAGGAATATCCCAGATTGGAGGGAAATCGAACTGCTTCGGGGGTCCAATAATTTCCTTCAGCATCACGTCGGAACGGCTGAAGAGGCGTGTTCCCATCCACGATATGCTCTTTACCAAATGAATCACGGATGGTAGCATTGTCTGCAGGAATGTTATTCATCCACTTGTCCGGGTTGAGAGCTTGCCAGATTGCAAATAGACGGTCGATGTTGCTATTAGTGATTGTTAATTAGGGATAAATTTCTAATTTGCTGAAAAGAAATTACATACCAGTGATGCAAGAAGAACAACGGGTCAAAAGATGCAACTGGTACATTTCCCATGTGTCCTGCAGCACCTGTCCAGCCGTGACTTCCGAGTTTGTTAGTATTTTGAGCGACCAAGTGTAATGCACAATACATAGAGAGATGCAAGGCTCCCTGTAGTGACACTCCGGGGGTGGAATACTTGCACATTGTTGTGAATCTATCGAGTGGATTGCCGGTCAGTTCTTGTGTTGTGATATATCAAAGCAATGTACTCACATATTCTATGTTCAAGTCCTCATCGACCTTTTGATCTTTGGAGGTTGGATTTGTGCTTGCAAATGTAGTGTAGTCCATGGGCACAGTAAGCAGTCGATACACCATTTCAGCCGCAGGACCATGATTTTTGTTATTGTATCCTTCGTGAGAGTTGAAGGCATCTGCCACTTTGCGATTATTGACTACACCATGCCGCCAGCCTTCACTTCTTGGATTCTGGTCCTCTTCATCAGGCCAACGGCTGGTTCCGATTGCATTGCCAAACTGATTGAGTTAGCACGCGTGTTTTTGCCCCTCTAGACCTTACCTACATTCTTGTACTCTTCCTGTTCAGTGTCATTTTCCCATGTGTTCTCAGTGCCGACGCCCTCGCTTCGCATAGGCTTGTCTGTAGGCATGCGGAACTGGAATAGAGGATTGTTGATTCGAATAGATCCGCCCTCGGGCCTGGGAACAGTGATGGTAGGGTATTTTGCCAAGTCAGGGACACGGCCATTTCGCGCCCAGTCCCAGAAGGGAAGACGCCATGACTCGGCTTGTTCACGCCAGGATGCTTGATGGGCTTCCGAAAATTGAGGGATGATCTCCCTTATCATGATGTCGTACACGATTTGCTAGAATGCAATGAGTACCTGGGTTGTGGACGATGATATTGCCTCCTACCTCAAACAGAAGCACATAAGGCCGATGCCAAATAGGAAATATCACATGAGAGTGGAAGCAGTAAGCATTTTTCATGGGCTCTGGGCTAGGATCATCCCATCGTACAAATGGTTGTCCATGGATTCCTGGTCGAACGCAACTCAGACGCTGCAAACAGGAGGTTGTCATTGAGACGTACCGGCGACCTGAAAGTAAGACAGTCTTTCTTTGGGGTCTAACTTCTGAAATCTGTCCAGAGCGAGGATGAAAAGATCGACTTGCCTTTTGTTGGACTTCACGGCACTCCATTCGTCGATATCCTGCCGGACAAAAACCTTACGATGAATGCCATCATCAGGATTGGAGTCTTTGGCCGGAAATCGGGCTTGAATTTGGTAGTACTCGTACGTCGACGATTCAGACATCCTATCTGCTGATGAAATGGTTGAAGCAACACTTCGTTTGGAAGATCTTTTTTTAATCGACCGAAGAGGTGCATCCGAACTTATCAAAGAAAGAGATTACTTGAGCCTCCGGGTTGAAGTGACTCTTTTATATTCTTTCTTCCAGGTCTTGTGGGGGTAGGTCAGCAGTCATGGATTACATATAAGGCAATTATTGACCACCTTTGACGGTGAATTTCGGCACACTGACGCATATTGGCACAAATGCCGTATTATTACATTTCAACGCAACCTTCAGCGTCAGAACCTTGCGACCCCTCGTGCAGCGCAGCGCGAAGAAATGATTGGCGATCCTGAAAAATATAGGCATTTGTTACGAGTCAAAACCAGCCCCTGCAGTCAATTTCATGACTGTTGCTTCACACTATACGTAGCACAGATCTCGATCTAAACAAGAAGTTGATCGGGCTCGGAGATCACCAATCAACCATTGTACGGGATTTTTATTTGGCCTGGATACTGGCTTGGCTATTGGCACAAACTAGGGTTCATTGAACTGTTCCAGCTCTCCCAGTTAGCCGCACATAGAACAGTGCAACAATCCAGCTACGCCAGCTTCTAGCTGTCCAAATGGTGCCCACTATGGTTAGACTTGGTCGAGTTTACGGCTGCACTGTTGGCTCCAGTTGCTCGATGCTACACATTGAGTTCCCAAGGTCAAACGAATGACTTTGAACACAATGCAAACTATTGACCACGACTCATTTTCTCGCTTTTCTTTTTCGAACTGCTGTGTTCACAAATATGCAGATTTAAAAACAAAATTAAGTCGAATATATGTACAGAGACTTATGTATACGTAGGGTTTTCTTTCTTTTTTTGTAAAAATAGGAGGTTCTTTGCGAAGCGTTAGTCCCTTCGCAGTAGCAGCGAAATTGTATAGGAAAATGAAACTAGAGCATCCTAAATTCAAGTGATTCTCTCGAAATGCGGAGCACCTTGTTCTCGCATTGCAAATCTCGCCCTCGATGAAAACCTTCCTCATCCCGCCGAGCATGGGAATGGTTTGCTCCCCGGAACGTGGCGTCTGGTCCAAGGCCTTTCGACTTGACAAGGGTTCCTAAAAACTGCCAAATTCAATGGATGCAGACAATAAAGCCCTAAGCCCTCAAGTTTAGTACGCTGGCCTGCTAAGACTTTGCTTCGCGAGGAAGGCCATAGGCGGAGCGGTATTTGATTGTAAGAATATTACTATCGTGATCTCAATTCAATACCTCTCCAAGGCGACCAGAACAACTTCCGTAGCTTTCACGCCAATCATTGATTTTTGTATCTCTTTTAGTTCGGGCGGACTTTGGACACAACAGGTATTGTCAATAAATCAAGGGTATTTCGCCAAGTTTGATAGCTCCACCAACATCAGTCGATCAAGAGTTTGAAACTAGGGGCTATCCGTAGCGCCGAGAACCAGAATGCCGTCATTTATACTAAACGCTTATGAGGGAACGGTGCTTGCATACCCCGTGCTCCGGCGTTTTGGCCATCCGCCAGATTGAGTCGTGGCATTGCCATATTAGGAAATAGGAAGCAACAAAATCTGGGTCTCAAACAATCATGCATCAGGCTTCTGGTCCTGACACATATCCCTGCGGGCCTAGGGCGTGGCAAGAATCTACCTTCCGTGAAATATTATTTGTCACCCCAGGGCTTCTTTTCAAGTACGGTACCCCGTAAAAGCACGACGGCTGTCGAGGAAAGAGAAGTTGGGTTGGGAGTTGGTATCAAGACTCAACGGCAACTCGGCCCATCCTTGGAATTTCAGTCATTCAGACCCGAGGAGGTCGCACATAGGCGCAAGGGCCTTTTCACCCGCTCGTGTGGTCTCCGTGTACAAGGGTGAAGATCATGTCAGGTTTGTATAAAGCCCTACCTTTTTCTCCTGAGAGCATATCCCATCCCCGGCGTGCTCTTACCTGCAATTAGACTTTCGCAAAGCCCACAAATGAGCCCCCCACCCCCAGGCCCAAAGCCCAACCCCTAGTGGACTATGGGCCTAACCTTCGAAACCTGGTCCAACCCATAGCCAAGTCTATCTCAGCTCTACCAAATCGGCTTCTGTAATCACTGTATCACGACCTTCTACCGGTCATATAAAGTTCCAATATAGAATCCAAATCCATAGTAACTATACTAGTATATATGCTAATTCTAGATAAGATCCGACTCGTGGAGGACGAGATATCGCGGAAAATGCTAGTTTTAATATCTAATCTTAGATATATGTTCAGGTTTTAAGTAGGAGTTGCACCACTTTCTAAAGAACCTCTGTAATTTTAAAGCTATGTTAATCAAGGTAGTTTTTCGAGTTCTTAAACGTGATATAGAGATATACCTAGTAAATAGTTCCAAATCATCTAAATTCATAGAATGAAACCTTAGGTGTAATAGTGAGAAACAGTGCTAAACATAAGGTAATTTAAAAAAAAACCCTAAAAGGGGGTTCAACTTTACTTGGCATATCGATTTCTCGGCATATTTGTATTGCTTGGAGCCCATTGAGCCCCCATTAAAGCCCAGTGGGCTTTCACCCGTGCCCATGGCCTATCGATGGGCCCAGAGGCCGGTCCCAAAACCCAACCTATTTACGAACTGGGTCGGGTTGGGCTTTGGGCTTTATGAGCCGGTGCAGAAGTAGTCTACCTGCAATTTTGGGGGGGGTATCGAAGTCCGTTTCAGTGATCCCACAACAGGCCCAATAGGACCCTTGATTGATGGAGTGAGCTACCGCTGACTGAAAATAAGCACAGCTGGGACCATGATTTCGAGTAAACTCGGTTGCGCTAAAAGTTATCGTGTTCGAATGTGACGCGCTCCCCTGGCCTTAAACCACAACAACCGAGGGATCCCTGCAGGCGAGACGAGATCCAAGAATGAGAATTGTCCTGATTGCTCTCCGGGCGTGCTTGGGGGTTACCATGTCAAAAAAGGAAGCTATGGGACACACCGAGATTGAAATTTTCGATCAAGATCTCGGATGTCTGACAGCCTGGCTGCCTACGCAGCGGAGGGAGGCCCAAGGATGTGCAGAAACAGAACCAAATGAATGGCGAGAAAAAGGAGTTTCAAGGAAAGGGGCATTGGCACATATGCCAATGTAGCCCATCTGAAGTCGACATGGACATATTTCTAGGTGTGACGCAGCGGGTCAGACTATTTTGTCATATATGGTAAATTAGAACGCTAGAGCAATCGAGGGCAGGTGTGGAGTTTGGGAAAGACTTTGGCAATTGAAATAGGCTATATGGGAGCAAATACAGTGATATCTTTGTCATGAAACGGAAGATCTTATCAAGTCGGCTTCATATCCTTTCTGAAGGTGATGAGGGGGAAGGTAATGTACCTCGGAAGTTCGGCTAAGTCACAACAATTTGTATATATGAAATCCTGGAGGGCAACTGGAGACGGGCTTCACAAGATCTTCACCGTTCATCATGCCATCTCAATCTTATGTTTTGGGGGTGGGAATGACCAAGTTTCTGAAGCCACGGCGCACTCGTGAATGTGAGACAATCCCGTTTTGTATAGTGTCTGGTCTGGATACTATGTGGCATTTAGAGAGATGACGGGTAGCTCACTATCTATGTTTCCTTATAGATCCAGAACTTGGCTATGAGGCAGCAGTCAAGGCTCTGCTCGATGCGCATATCACATATGATGATGTACAGGCAGGTGTTGCGTGTTATTGTTACGGCGATACGACTTCTGGTCAGCGGATCATGTACCAGCTAGGGATGACGGGGATTCCAATCTACAATACCAACAATGCATGTGCGACCGGATCTACTGGCCTCTATCTTGCTCGTGCCCTGGTCAAAGGAGGCCAGGCGGACTGTGTCCTCGTCGTCGGCTTCGAACAGATGCGCCCAGGGTCAATTAAGAGTGTATGGGACGATCGGCCCAGTCCTCTGGCACCATCGACCACAATGATGGAGAACATGTTTGGCAAACATCAGAGCCCTCGAAATGCTCAATACTTTGGGAACGCTGGACAGGAGTATATGGACAAGTAGGACACCCGGCGATGTAAATGTCCACCTTGCGCTGACGATGCGAACAGATATGGTGCTAAAGCAGAGGACTTCGCTGAAATTGCGCGAGTTTCGCATGAACACTCTCAGCGAAACCCGTACGCCCAGTTCCAAACTGCATACTCACTGGATCAGATTTTGGACCCGAAGGCACAGGTCTATGGACCCCTTACCAAGCTCCAGTGCTCTCCAACTAGTGACGGTGCTGCAGCTGCGATTATTGTATCCCAAAGATTCTTAGATGCGCGTCCTCACCTCAAACCTCAGGCTATTCTCATAGCTGGCCAACAGCTATTGACTGATGGACCAGAGGTATATTCTCAGAGTGCAATAGATCTAGTCGGCTTTAACATGTCGCGCCAAGCTGCCCAGCTCGCTATGCAAGAGGCTGGTGTCAGAGTGAAAGATATCAAAATTTGCGAGCTTCATGACTGCTTCTCCACCAACGAGCTTCTTTTGCTTGATGCACTTGGATTTTCAGAGCCAGGGAAAGCCCACGAGATGGTTCGTCGGGGAGACATCACATATGGAGGTCGTGGTCTGGTCGTCAACCCATCTGGCGGGCTGATCTCAAAGGGCCACCCTCTCGGGGCTACAGGGCTGGCCCAGTGTGCAGAGCTTACTTGGCAGCTTCGTGGTTGGGCTAACAATCGCCTGGTTCAGGGTACTGATGTCACTTTGCAACACAATCTCGGGTTAGGGGGAGCAGTGGTGGTAACCATCTACAAGCGAGCCGACGGACAGGTCAACCGTCCCATGTCAGATGAAGATATCAAGGGGGTTACCGGTCTGGAATACAACCCCGCAGTCGAGGCTCGGTATATCACACCTCAGGATGGCCAACGCGTCTGTAGCAAAACAAAGCATCACGAATATCCGCTACAAGAAACGGCTGAGAAACTCAAAGCGCGCATCTGAGAAATACGAATCAATCGGAGCCCACGGCAACCCCACAGGACATGCGGCGATGCTGGGAAAGCAATTAGGGAAATTGACCACGTGAATTTTGGGCATGAGAGAAATGAGAAGAGACTCATTCAGGACTTCGAAACGCATCATTTGGGTAGAATTCAAATAGAACAGCTTGGAATCAAGAGAAACCCAGCGTTTGCATTTAAATTTGGAATGATAATAGGGAAGCTACGGTAGTGGATCAATGATCAGGAAAGGGTTTGGCAGTTGAGAGAGAGCACTTTTAGGAATGTGAGCAAATTGTAGGCCTCCGCAGCTATACAACATGGATTCTTACTTGGGCTTATTCAATAGTACTGGACATGTAGTAAATAAGCCATGCTCCAGTGTGGTAAAACGCTCTGGAAGAACATTCTCGTTCTTTTCATGCTCTCCTCAGATGCCAAACCCTGAAACCATTCCATTCAGGGCATAAATCCAGCCCATATCTTTCATCTCACAAATTGGCAAACCTGATCCCGGATTTCTGAGCCGTATATGTGGAGATCAGGTCCATCAGCACAGGGGACAGCACGTCGTATGTCTGTAGTCCCACTGCCTTAAATCTTGCTCTCACTTCATCCATTTCTTTAGGGTGTGAGCCTTGCTCAATGATGGATGAGACGAAACCGGCGAATTGTGGTTCCTGCCAGCCCTTTTCATCGGACAACTCCACGTGGACAAAGTCGAGTCCCTTGAAAGGATGGTCTCTCTCGATCCGACCGAAGAGGTGCACACCGCAGACTTTGCAGGCATTGCGCTGGATGGTAGCCTCTTTGTCGACAATTGAGAGCTTCGATTCATTCGCTGTGACCGAAACGGCGTCTCGGGGCACAACACCAACAATAGAGAAGAGGGAACCAGATGGCTTCCAGCATTTAGAGCAGCCACAGGCGTGGTTGTGCGCAACATTGCTATTCAACGTGATCTCGACCTGGTCGGAGGCGCAATGGCAGTGCAGCTTCCCACCGGCAAAGCTACTAGAGCCTTTAGTGATGCCATTGTCGATGAGAGGATGAATAGAGGGTGCCATATTGAGGGTGTGGAAAATGAAGTGGAAACGTTCCAGCAAATCTCTTTCCTATTAAATATATGTACTATAAGCTCCAACGTCAACTTCGAGATCCCCTCATATCTCCTCACGAGGGGTAATCGGGCGGTTATCTTGTACATTGGAAAAATGCCATAGTGCTATAGGTGGACTTGATGCCAATTATGGGTCTGATTCTCAATGGGGAAATAATTTCCCTAGTCTTTTAGTCTCGGGATCTATACCGATTTTTTTTTTTTTTTTTTTTTGAAAAAGGGAAATTGGTGAGGGGTTTGTCAGCTCTGTGATTGTTAGTTTCTATTCGAACTTGAGGTCTGTGATGGGTGTAATGGCCAAAAATATATATCCGACGTCAATGCAAGGTCATTAGGCTCACGAGTGTTTGGTTCAAGGTTGAGGCTGACAAAGATGACCCCCCACCTGGCTTAATCAGGCTTTGATGGGTGAGTCTCGCATCTCTCTTAGACTACTTTCATCTCTGGAGCTTTCAGCGGCTTGACTTGTTGACTTTTTGATAATCTTACCTCCTTTCCAACTTCGAGCTTCTCCATGACCAAAACTCCAGAAACCTCCGCTCTCTTCCATGACGTCATCGAGGAACGCGCCGCGCGAACGATTCAGGTACAGTTACAATGACCATGTTGCGGCCGATTCCCGCTGACTGTCCTTACTAGAGGGTATATCGTGGCTATCGAACGCGACGAGAGCTGCGTGGTCTCGGTCTGACTGCTTCCACTCGATGGGTTGAGGTAAGACTATATCTTGCGTGAAACCGACCGAGAATCTAATATTGCTTGCCTGCGTCCAGGCCTTTCAAGAAGCTCAGTGGCACCAGCTCCATCAACCACTCGAACCTCACGTGGCACCCGAAAATGGTGGCTCCAACCAAGCTCGTCGAAACTGGCAGCGAGCGGTAAGTGTCGCTCGGCGCGTTGGCGGCGACGATTGTGCTTCCGAAGTTTCCTCTCCCACAGGAAATCGAGAAGATGATACGGAGATTGCATCAGGGGCTATTGCAAAGACCATGGACCTTCAATACTTTCTCGAGATGGTTGATCTCAAACATCGACACGGAAGTAATCTGCGCTTATATCACACCTATTGGCGAAATTCATCATCTAGGGAAAACTTCTTCTATTGGTTGGACTATGGCGATGGAAAAACTGTTGAAATTCCAAAATGCTCACGAGAGCGACTTGAGAAAGAACAAGTCCGCTACCTCACTCGCGAGGAACGTTTGAATTACATGGTGACGGTAGACGAGACTGGCCTCTTCCGGTGGGTCAAAAACAATGAGCCAGTATGGACAACTACCGCACATTTCAAAGATAGTCTCCAGGGTATTGTGGGAATTGAGGATGATGTGCCTGAATTCAGTGGAAACTCCACAACCCTACAGTCAGATTCCACCTCGGAGTTAGCGCCATCGCCGTCAACATGGGCACCAGCTTCGTCGTTGTCATCCTCGTCATCATCATCATCATCATCATCATTATCAGCGTTAGAATCTACAGGACAGAGCCTTGACAGCGCCATCTCGAATCAAGACCCAGCATTGGTCGCGGATGAGGCGTACAAAGCTACAAAGATGATGAAAAAGGTGATGCACGCAAGCCCCACCGCTGCGTTTAAGCGAATTTTGGGCAAGTCCCCAGATAAAGAAGATATGTGGTTATTTGTGAGTCCGGGTTGGATTATGGGTTTAAATGGGGACTAAGCCACTCTAAGGTTGCAGATACTTCTTTTCGTTTGTACATTGGCATAAAGAAATCAGGTGCCTTTCAGCATTCATCCTTTCTTCGCGGGGCCCGTATCGCAGCAGCTGGAATGATTAAGATCAAACACGGCCAGCTTCGAAGCCTGGCACCACTTAGGTGGGTTCAATATAACTTTCAACCCACAACTTCATTGAAGGAACGGGCTAATGTGTCTAGTGGTCATTATCGCCCCCCAGCTGCCAATTTTCGGGCATTCCATCACGCCCTACAGCAACAAGGTGTTGACATGTCCCATGTTTCAATGAGCAAGTCTTATATCATGCTTGCTGGGATTGAAGGCTACACTAAAACGAAACGCAAGGCACGTGCCGTACATGAGAAGCTTGACAATTCCAAGCAAAAGTTTCATGGATCCGAAGAATGAGTGCGTGGGACACGTTTATATTCCTTGATATCCTAGCGGACCAAATGAGATACCCCAATTGTCGTCTTACTTGTCCAATTGTAGGTGAACATTGGAAAGTCGGAGTGTAGACTGTAAGTTCCGTCACAGTCGGGTTGCATAGTTTTGTAACGCTTTGATCGCACTCGGGTAGAGTGGCAAAATTCCATGTGTATCGTGAAATAAAACGATTGCACAATTGCACAACCTGGAAAGAGCGACATTGCGCAGCAGAGTCCTCGCGGTCGTAACTGGGTGGCCCAATACAGATGAAGCTGGCCGCAACTGACTTCGGACAAAGCAGGCCTTGCCCATGCGAAAGTTCAGTGCAGCAGGGACGATCCCATAGTGGGCAATTGAGTGCAATCGTAAGTATAGGATTCCCAAAGCTTTACAGATTGATAGAGCCCGTGGAAAGTTTTCAAAAATAACCGCTGCGAACCATTGCTTGAGATGGACCTTGAATAAGGATCTACCCGGCCCCAGCGGCTCGAGACAGAAAACAATTCCCAATCCATCGACATTCGTTGATCTCCGATTCCGATCTATCATGAACCAACCGTCCACTAGTCGATAGGCAGTACGCGAACTGTCGTCCTGTACGCAAGAACGTAGTACAACATATCAAAGGTTTACAATGTGATTGGAATGCGAGATGCTGAAGCACAGGTTGACTTGTGTGGCGAATCATGGATAATCTTGAATGTTCCAAGTTGTCCAGTTTGGTAACCTCGGAGCCTTGGCCGCCGGCCGCCCGATTTCCGTGACTTACATAATCCAACTCCAAAATCCTCGGGACAAATTCCCGTGGACTCGTCGAGTCGAATTGTCAGTTCGTGAACTCCATCAAATATTTATAAAAGAAATGGCCAAGTCCAAAGCCGCTAAGCGCAAGCGCAATGCCCAAGTCGACCTTCCACAAAAGCTCCCGAAAGCAGTCCCAAATCTAACACCGCCTCCCGATGGCGGAACCCCCGAGTCCACACACGTCAATGCCGTCGTTTCAGACGAGGAACTCGATATCACAATCGAAACGCTCGCGGCGCTTGCACAATACCCCAGCTTGACAAAGTCAAAGGTATGCAAGGACCTCCGAGTCGCAGTCTATGACTTCCGCCAGGCATGCACTACGGGTGTTAATACTGCCGGTATGCTGCATTCTCTCCGCTAAGAGATCAGAGCTAATCCTTTGATAGAGGGCGCCAACCTAACAGCGCGAATAACAGGGGCATTGGCGGACGAGAAATACATCGAAGCCAAGATCTTGCTCGCCGAGATGAGGATTAGGAAGGAACAACCCAAGATCGGAGCCTTGTGTCGTTGGGTCCGGGATTTGGATGTCGTTAGCGGCCTTTCCACGCAGCCGAAAGCACACGATAATGCCCCCGTGAAGCGTAGTGCGAAAGAAATGGAGATATTGGGCGTCCTTGATGCCATTTTGCGTGTCAGCACCCCGATTGATACCAACACGAAGGCCGTTGACTCAACCGCGCCCATCGCCTTCCAGTCCACTTGGGATCTCCGCCCCTCGACAGCACCACTCCCGGTCTATGCCTCAGTCCTCGACAAATCAATTTTGAGCGAAGCGCCCAAGTCTCCATCCGCCCTCCGCGTCATCGAACGAACCCCTGGCCCACTCCGCAAACCACCCAACCACCATCCAGCCATCCTCTATACCACCGCCCCAAACGCCGTCCCACTGGCCCCCGTCGGTCCTCCTATAACATACCACGCACATCCCGCAGTGCCAGGCCTGGGCCTCGCCCTCAATGTACTATCCGACGCTGAGTGCAAGGCAATCATCGCTGCCGGCGAATCTGTTAATTTCCTGCCCGACGCACCCCTTCGCGAAGACGGAGACATAAGCATCCTAGCCCACAACTTTTACTGGATCATTGATACTACATTCCACGACATGCTGTGGGCGCGGATTTCCCCTTATGTACCGCCCTCGATCGGTGGCCGCTTCGTCCGAGGCATTAATCGTCGCTTCCGTGTGTACAGGTACGTTCCTGGTGCTGAATATCGGTGCCACATTGACGGAGCCTGGCCACCGTCCGGTATTCTTCCGGATGACACATACGTGTACGACTCTTCGCCGGAGGAAAAGAAGCAGAGCTCTATGTACACCTTCCTACTATATCTCAACGATGAGTTTGAAGGCGGGGAGACAACGTTTTTCATGCCAGCCCCACGGGAGGGCACTCTCAATGGCTATCCAGTGCGACCTGTGATGGGGGCTGTTGCAATATTTCCCCATGGGGAGTCAAATGGAGCCTTGCTACATGAAGGTACAGGGGTAAGGAAAGGAGCAAAATATATTATTAGGACCGACGTAGAGTATGATGTGAAGCCTTGCGAAGAAGGATGATAAATATATGAATTATGTAGACTTGGCCTTTTGCCATGGAAATGGCACCGAAAAATGCGGTGCGGGTAGTGTTAACGATGGAAATGAGAGCCAGAGGGGCATTTATTTTCCCGGATGTCTCAATCAAATAGAAAGAGGTGTTAGTGACCTTTCTTTACTTTTCGCATCAAAATCTGAATTGATCCTGAATTTTTTTCCCCCGGACAGGTATACAAGATGTACTTTTGAATGCTAACGAGGGCTCGAAACTTGACTTCTTTTGCTTTCAATGATCTCTGAGAATTGCACTGTAAATCACAAGATTGGGGTTTAGAATCACCGCGTCTCATTCTGATAGGGTGTTCATCTTTATGTACTCAGTATGGTTGACTCCTGGGCTTCCTGTCTATCACGTGTGGAGTACGATCTATGAAGTACATATGTTACCTACACTTCGAACATTTTAGTGTTATATGGTATTTCGAGAGCGAAAGTTTCCTCTTCCCACAAATATTACACATTGATTCAATATTGGTATACATACAACATTCCCCCTCGGCCAAGCCTATCCAACTAATCTTCTCCATTAGTCGAAACTTCCAACATGTTCGTTGGCATGAGTCTACCTAGATAGCCGGAGTTCTTATACTCCGACTCCTGTTCGTTACAACAGCGCATCTTACAATGGCGGAGTGCTGTTGTGGAGTACTGAAGTTTCAAAAAAAAAAAAAGCCATACGCGGATGGATCTACGTAAGACGAACTTGTTTTGCGGTAACAGAAGAGGGTGAATTCCCGACAGTCTTACATTTTGATTGACCAGTAATGAAAAACAAGGATATTGGCTACGACTGCAGTGAAGGATGCCGGAAGGAACTGCCATGGACAAGCTATACTTTTGAATTCCCACTTGAGCAAGCCAAGTAAGGTACACAGCTGAGAATTTTCCAACTGACTAAGAGATCTAGACCAGGCTGATATCGAACATGGGTATGAAATTTTTGTATTCTATGATGCTTAAGGCGGATATGTATAATGAACCGCTCTGATACAAGGTACAACAAAATGATGAAGCATATCTAATTCGGAAGCCTAAAAGTATGTAAAGGAAAAGAAACATCATATTTACAGATTTCGCAGTTTACGATGACATTCCAGATTCTGTCCAAAATCGGATAATCAGGAATGATCGAGTTGGAACGCAGTTCACAGTTCTCATGCCTTGACCTCCTCGCTGACAACAACCTCATTGGTGCTGGTATCACCACAATCGGAGTTCGATTCACGCGCTTGCTTTGCACGCTTCTGCATAGCACGAGCTACCCGAGGGGGATCGAATATAGACTTTGATTGCGCGAAGATCTCGTCGATCTCCTCCAGTGACCGTCCCTTGGTCTCTGGGAAAAAGAAATACACGCTGGGCACGATAGCGGCGTTGACAACCGCGAAGATGATATAGTACCGACTTCCAATCGTGGAGAAACCGACGGGAGTTACCTGAGCTATCATGAAACTGAAAGCCCACACGGTGGCAGTGGATACCGCGTTGACGGCGGCGCGGACTTGGAGAGGGGCCATTTCCGCGGCATAGAGGAAAGTTAGACCGCAAAAGCCAACCGTGAAGATGAATTGGAAGCAGAACAGGAAAACCACGGCCATGGCTAGGGCTCCTGTATTATTAGCTGCAGAGGGGGAGGTTGTGCCAGCAAGACCTGCCATACAGATTGTCATGGCTACCCCACTCCATAGCATGAGAGGGCGGCGGCCAAGCCGGTCGATGGTGAAATAGGCCAGGTAGCCACCGAGGGGCTGCATCATTGTCATTGAAGCAGCGAGGACCCGAGAGTTCACGGCGTTCATTCCGAGGTACTGCTGGAAAATCGTTGTGGCGTAGTAGGTGATCAAATTGACACCACACATCTGCTGGAACATCTGGCCCGTGGCAGCTAGATATGCGCGGTGGAAGAGCCGTTGCTCGCCGTTTTTGAACATGTCGGTCCAAGCGCCTGGGCAGTAGGCAAGAGATGTCTCAATGCTGAGGATGTTTTCGTTGACCTCGTCCGAATACTTATCAAGATCGAGCAATGCCGCAAGTACCTTGCGTCCTTCCTCCACCTGTCCGTCCTTGATGAGCCAGCGAGGCGACTCTGGCAGCACTGCGATGAAAAACATCGCCATGACCGGCATCACGATTTGGAAGGCAAGAGGGAACCGCCAAGAGACCGAGTTGTTTTTGATAAAATAAAAACCCAAATCAATCCACAGGGCACCAGTCACACCAATTCCCATAAAGACGCCATTCGTGACGACGTTGGATCCTCTCTTGTGCGCTGGCGAAAGTTCCGATTGCCATACCGGGACCGTCGCCACATATCCACCGATGCCCAAACCGAGGACCAGTCTCGCGACGATAAATTGAGCAAAATCAAACGAGGTTGCCATGAGAATGGCGCCGATGATACTGATGAAGTTGGTTATAAAGATCACCTTACGTCGGCCCCAGAGGTCACCCAGGTAGATGCATGACAGGGCGCCAAAGATACCCCCGACGGTATAGAGGGCGATGACGGTGCCTGTTGGAGGATGCCATGAGTTGGAGAGCCAAGATTTGTCTGATTAATAAACCAACCTTGCATTTGCGAGTTCTCTTTGTAGGCTGCCCCGTGGGTATGTATTGTGTCCATTCTGGGAAACTGCGAATTGAAGGCCTCGAGGGTCAAGAGACCACCGGTCACACCCATGTTGTATCCATAGCAAGTGAAAGTTGGACACACGACGAAGAAGAGGGCAGCCCTAAGAAGGGCATTTCCCCGAAGGCCTAGATACGGCTTCAAACCCATGATTGGAACTACATACAAGAAAGGTCAAAAAGTCCAAATGGCAAAAAAATTCAAGGAACCGAGGCGGTGGCAAGAAAATTTTAAGATCGCCAAGTAAAGCATAATATTTTGGTTACATTTTTCATGTGGGCCGGTGTGCTCGCTTCTTGGTGGATCCATCGAGATCCATTGATATTTGCCTTGGATATTACATAAATCATATTGAAACTTGAAAGCCCTGAACTTTCAATTTAAACTTCTCGGCATGTACCCCGGAGGCTCACTCGGGAGCTTCTAACGCTAAAACTTTGATTCCCCACAAATCAGCCACATGGCCTAACCTTGAATTTGCGGGTGCACTTTTGACAGCGACTTTGGACAGTCATCATAAAAATCCTCAAATCAAGTATCAATACGGTAATAAAATATTTTCCTTGTTCTTACAGCTCGAAAATTGCGCACATTTGGTTTTTCTCACGATGCTTCCAGTCTCCTGATGTTCAAAGACGGAGGTAACAATTGCTGTCTATTATCCGTCTCGGGGTGCTTGGACTGAATCACGTCATTGTTTTTTTTTGAAAAAGATCATCCCATACTATGGAGCCCAAAATCGCTCTTTCACTGAAGCGGCACCCACACCATGGGATCTAAGAGACTCTGGTATTGGAGAACGGTTAATAGATTCAAGGGCGCTGCGAGGAACGTGGGCGATATGTTCGGTAGCGTGTCGTCTTCACTGGGAGCTTGGGAAGATAGAGGCCCAGGTTCGACGTCGCGTCGTGGGCTAAACCAATAGAGGCTGTGTTGGATTTTGCGGTGGAAGCGTCGCAATGGGTTTGAAGTCGGTAGCCACGAGGGCAGCCTAACAACATAGACGCATATTAGGCAACAATGGGCCTCGAGGAGGCTCGATATTTGATTAGAAAGTGGGATACTCTGCATGTATGTGCAAGGATTGCATAGTTGTGGTAGCCTCGTATCGCTCAGGGCATGGCCAGATTGACGCAAGGGCGCCCGGTTGATCATACGGACTACCGTGATGCATATCGATACTTAGGACCTAAAAAAATGTTCATACACAGTTATCTGTTTCAAATACTCAGATCAGCGTTATCAAATCCCCCCCCCCAGTTTTGAGTTAACGCCTGTGGTGGGCTCGAGGAGCAGCCAGTAGTGACGGGTTTGATATATCTGTCTCTATAAGGAGACTGTGTCCGATTCTACATCTCAAATTATTTCATAACAGAGTTACGTACTAGCAACGTGTCTCACATGCGAGTCTTTCACATATATGGTGGGACAATCGATGATCCCATGTGGGACAGATCTAGTAGATAGTTTACTTCACTGGCCCTCTCTGCTTCTCTTTCTTTATCCATTTCCCGATCATTAGATACAGACTAGGTTTCTCTGTCAATACTATCTACTAGTTTGCTCCTTCGTGGACACATTGATTATCCGAACAACATGCGAGTCGCTCACACATGCGGGTTGTCCACACATGCGGGTTGTCCACACATGCGGGTTGTCCAGGCATGCGGGGTGTGCACACAAAGTAAAAGCGAGATAGTTGTCATTGATATTTCATAACTAAAACAATTAACTTAACGAGATATTGTTAACAATCGATAAGGATTCTTAGTATTGTATATCAAATTCGAATGAACCAAATACATATATCATTGTTGTCACATCGAAAATTACATCGCCAAATCTAGTATATGTGGATCATTAACTTCTTGGATACCGGCAGGATTGATGTCAAAACAACTAAACTGTCACTTTACGATGTGCTTTGACATGGACCACTCGCATGTGAAGTATATGATAAATGGGATATCACAAACATCCAACACAAGATTTATGTAATTACTTGTAAGATAAGAGACTTTTGTAAACTTATAAAAGGCCCTCTACCTCAAGTGTTATAAAATAATCTCTACTATCTTCATCCTCCATTATCAAACCCACTTCCTATCCTGGAATTAGATATGAAGACCTTCTACGCTGCTCTTACCTTCTTCTTCCTATTCGGTGCCGTTTTGGCCAGTCCTTTGGACCTCGCCGCCGATTCTCCAGAAAGGACGCTAGCCTGCTGCCCTACGACCAAGTCCAAGAATGTCAGTCACTGAAGAATCTTCACACCAAGGTGCAGATATCAGCTTACACCATTATAGCGGTGCAATGATGGAACTAAGGGTACCCCGTATTGCGGGAAAGGCCGTACGATACCTCACTGAGTGTCCTCACAGCTTAGACCAGTATCTAACAATTCTCCATAGCCTGCAATATCGCCGGATGTGCCTGTAAGGGTGGGTGTCGTTAAGCCTAAGCGCTGCTGAGCTTTCTATGCGTACTTGACTTGTTCAATGTGTCTTTCAGATAAACAGTTTCTGTACTGTATGGTCATTTTGCCTTGATATAGGTTTTTCCCTGCTGCATGGTTTCCCTACATCTCAATGCAAATGCAAAGGCACGAATGAACGTCCAGGCAAGATTATCAGTCTTAGTGAGCGATCTTACCAAACCATAGGGCTAGAGAAAGTGGCGCTATCACATGAGACTGTTCCATGGGACCATATAACTGTGAAGGGCCGTAGCTTATTGATTCAAGTCTCAAGCTCTTTTATCTATAGAGAGACTCCGGAGTCATTTTTGTTCAAAGAGCTCGCTAGTAGATACCGCTCCTGTTAAAACCTAAGGTCGAGGATCATTATCTCTTTTATAAGGAAGAAGTTGTCAATAGCTATCTAATTTTTCAATAGGATTAATGTATTATCGATGTTACTATATCCGCTCGACAAAGGAATCTTTGAGAGATTCACGGTTAGCTTCATTCGATATTTGCGTATTCTATAAATTGGAGTACTTGGTTAGAACTACTAGTATAAAATGTAAGTTCAAATAAAAGAAAGCAGAGAGGGGTATGTATTCGTCACTGAAACCGCCAAGGCTTATTTGTACATTTTAAAAGTAGTGTGGCATATTCATTGGCTCAAACAACACGTTCAATATCTCCTCAATCGTAATGTCCTGAAGATCCACCCAAGGAGAGCCAGGATCAGGCTGAGGCTCTTCATAGATACTATTATCTAAGATTCCACTGGTGAAGACTCCTAGTGTATAATTCTTCTCTCCAGCGCTATCAGACTACGCAAGACGATATTTCTCTTCAAACCACCCAGAAAAGAGCCGCAGCCAATCTTAGTAGAAGAATATCTCATGTTAATCACACTTCTCACCTTTACACTCCTGATCAAGCGTATTCATGCGCTTGACAGATTTCTGGATTTCATCCCGTATATCCACTGTCTCTCGTAACCCTCGGAGTTGATCGTGTCTATTAGCCAAATGCAGGCACATACAGTACCCTTTATATAGTGATATTTACTTGTTTTTTATTTTTCCATTATATATCTAAATATCTTAAATCTAAATCTAAAGGCTATATATTTTTATCTATTTTATTGAATTTATGGTGGACAGTCAAAGTTTCTCTATGAGATTGGAAGGGCTTAGGGCTTAGGGCTTAGGGCTTAGGGGCTTAGGGCTTAGGGCTTAGGGCTTAGGGCTTAGGGCTTAGGGCTTAGGGCTTAGGGCTTAGGGCTTAG